GCGGTCATCTTTGTTCGACGCATTAAGCAAGCTGCAAACTGTCAATATATGGACGGCATCAATTGCATTGACAGCGATACTCATGCAGCCAGGATCAATCCTTATCGACCACGCACACTTTCAATACAATACAGTAATGCTCGGATTGGTTTTGGCTAGCATGTCTAGTGTCCTTGCTGGTAGATACATGTGGAGTTGTGTATTTTTTGTCATGGCATTGGGATTCAAACAGATGGCTTTATACTATGCGCCTGCAATGTTCGCATATCTGCTAGGTGCCTGCATTTTTCCTGCTATTAATATCCCTAGATTTCTAGGCATCGCGATTGTAACGTTGGCATCGTTTGCGATCCTATTTCTGCCTCTGTTCTTGGGTGCTCTTTACGATAAAAATCGCGGTATCAGTGCTCGGCCAGAGCTCGATGGTTATGCTGCGCCATTACCGGTTCTTAGCCATCTCTCATATAAGCTGGATTATCGCGCATGGTACTTCCCTATCCTACAACAAGGTGCACAGGTCATATACCGAGTCTTCCCTTTTGCACGAGGTCTTTTTGAAGATAAGGTAGCCAATTTCTGGTGTGCATTGAACGTCGTTATCAAGCTTCGAAACTTTGATAAAGATCTTCTTCAGAAAGCTTCGCTACTTTTCACTTTGGCATCCATTACCCCTCCATGCCTTATTATATTCTTCAAGCCACGGAGAGACCTGTTGCCTTTAGCCTTAGCGACATCAGCTTGGGGATTCTTTCTCTTCAGTTTTCAGGTTCATGAGAAAAGCGTTTTGCTACCCCTAATGCCGATGACTGTGATACTTGCTGGTCGAGGTGGGCTTAGCAAAGGAACTCGATCATGGATAGCATTTGCGAACGTGCTTGGTGCCTTTACAATGTTTCCATTGTTGCAAAGAGAAGAGTTGCGAGTTCCTTACTTTGTGCTTGTTCTTTTGTGGCTATACCTCCTTGGACTTCCACCCTTCGCTTTTGAGGTATATGCACAATATAACGATGGCAATTGGATAGGATTCGGAACAACGCTAATCCACACGGTCTTCTATGAGGCAATGCTCGGTTGGCACTTGGGCGAAGTGTTCTACACGCCACCTCCAATGTATCCAGATCTTTGGGTAATCTTAAATGTTGGAGTTGGTGTCGCTGGATTTGGTATTTGTTATCTATGGTGTCTATGGTCTTTGGCGGTCGAAAGTGGTCTTCTGGAGTCACCAGGTTCAGAAAAGAAGGCGAAGACGAAAAAGGTTCAATGATCGATTTAAAAGTTTGCCATATACCTTCATACAAGAACATACTCTTGTCAATTGTATAAATATGTTATATACATCTGTTGGTCAAAATTCGGAGTCTTGTCACCTTCAAAGAGATTTCCACATGAGTTTCCACGCGGGTTTTCAAATCAGGCAATACGAAATGTAAGCAGGTAAGGGTTACCGGCAGGGATCTGTCCAGTCAAAGCGTAAGGCTTTAGATGTTCGTCAAATCTTGTACCTTTTATTGGTTCGGTTATGTGACAAGGATCGGTTATATGCCTGAATTCTGTTCAATCAACGTCCGTGGCCCCCATCTTCCATGCAGAATCCTACGGAGGTGGAGGCTGCATCCGATATTGAATCACTCAATCCTTCCCATATAGGCATGGCTCTTCTGAAGATATGAACTTACTTGCATGTGGATAAATTGCATCCATGCTATATTGCTACCAAGGCAGATCCGCTCATTGTCTTCCCATGGCAATACTTCCGACACGGCTGCTTCCAACCGACACGAACGGCTTTGCTGTGTACACACTGGTAGAAGGAAATGCTTGGTACAAAGCGATGGCTTCAACATGAGCGTGAATTTTTCCTACCTCTCCCAGAGGCATCAGCTGATACACTGCCGTACTTTATGCCAAGCCTACTCATTAGATACTACATGAAGAATTGCAAGAATTACCACATTGTTTTCTTACTCAGCCGCACATGTTGTTATTGCCTGTACATTCAGTACCAAGTATCTTTTTATGGGGGCTGGCTTTGCTGATTAGGTCTTCTTGATATGGACAACCACCCCCGCATGGGAGTAATATTTCCGCCTGATTTCTGCCCTAGCACACGTTTCTTACATTGTTCTTATTTGTTTTGTTTCCCAATATCATGACAACATTCGTTCTTTACATGTCACATTAATTGATTTCATTGACGACTCAACGGTCAATACGATGCTGTTGAGACGGTTCGGTCTATTAGGGCTCTCAATCCTTGCTTCGGTCCGGGCGGAAAGTTCTACCACGGAAACTACTACTGCTTCGGCGTCAAAATCAAGCTCCGCATCATCAGCATCCGATTCTGGTTCGGCCACAAGTTCATCCACAAGCTCATCGAGCTCTGCTGCTGCGACGCATGTCGTATCGGTCGGCGCAGTGAGTCGATGCCTCGATCGCAATTGCTCCACAATTTAAATGCTTATAGTTATTAGGATGGCCTCAATTACACTCCCAGATCATTGACCGCGAATGTTGGGGATATCATTGGTGGGGAATCAATCTAAAATATCGACTCGATGAATAACTAACTGATTGTTACAGAATTTCGCTTCTATCCTCTTAACCATTCAGTGGCAAGAGCAGAGTACAAACGTATTTTCTCCCGAAACCATCCTTTCGTAGGCAATTGCTGATTCTCCAACTTCGTAGAGGCATGCATACCTTACGAAGATACCGGCGCAGGGAAGGTCGGATTTTGGAGTGGTTTCGAACCTATTTCTATTGTCTCGAACAATGTTAGCCCAACATCTATTGCCTTACGAATTAATCACTGATGCTGACTGATTTTATCTAGCCACCGATATATAATTTACTCATTAATGATACAGAGCCCATATTTTTCTACTGCTCAGCTCCGGGGGCTTGTCAGAATGGCATGATCGGAGTCATTAATCCAAATGCTACGCAAACATTCGATGTTCAATTCGCGTACGCCGAGAACTCAACCATGGAGTTCTCTCCTAATGAATATTTCCCTTTAGAGACCTCAAAGCCAATTGCCGGAACTGACTCTCAAAAACCATTCCCACCTGGCGCAATCGCCGGTATCGTTATTGGCGCAGTCGCAGTAATAGCTTTAGCTGGAGCCTTATTTTACATGTGCGGCCGTCACAGAACCATGAAGAAAGTTCTCCACAATGGCTCGACCGGGCCTCAAACAAACGATGCTTTTGACAATAACCATAATTCTTACATGTCACAAGGTGGCAAGTCAGTTTCCGAAGTCAATTATCGCAGCATGTCGAAATTCTCATCTGGTCTCTCGGGTTTGGACACTGCGTCCGGACGCTTCTCGCCTCACTACGGCGCTTATATGGATCCCGATGCAAATAGTTTTAGAAGTCGAAGTCCACCGATGGATGAAGTGGGTATGCAGACGGTTAGAAATGGTCAATATCAGAGTGTGTCGGTCGGAAGTCCACTCGGGAGCCCGGGCTTCCCTAATCCCGCGTATAACCACGAGTCACATTCGTCCGCTCAACAATATGGTGGGTCTACATTGAGCGAGATGGATGATCGCAGTGCGCAAGATGCTTTGAGGTATGTTTTGACCATTTCTTTTAGCTTTTTTGAACTTTGTCATAAGATATGAAAAAACTCGCGGCTAATCAGTAAACCACAGAATGCAAGGAAAAGAAATGCAAAATCAAGGAAAAGGCCCGATAGAGCTACCCGTCCCAAGCAGAAGCCCGAGTATGATCGCGGGCGCACCTTCTCCCGAGAGAGAAAGACCCTTTTCATATACAGATAGCGAGAGTGGATATGCGGGAATGATGAGAAGCAATGTGGAGATAACACGATGATTGGATTCGATGGATATAATATATCGGAATGGAGTTTATTGGGTAGGAAATGAATGAATATTTTTTGATTCACTTCATAGGATTGGGGATACGGAGGAGGGAAAAACTTTGTGTGGTCCCTAGGTATTGATTGCTAGGTACTTACTTATTAATTGGTGAGATGGTTGATGTTTATTTATGATGCGATATTTAATTTTGATGTTGATACCACTATCATTAGCAACCTGGGAATTTAATGTCTGTTTTCAATTAAATTTACAGAATTTGAGAGAAAGGAAGGTAACATCGGAATGAATATCGATTATTAAATCCACTATCGATGTTTTAATTCCGAGAAGGTAGAGTATACCGATTATTTTTTCTTTCATCACCCCGTCGCTATTTCTCCTAAGTATCCCGCTTGAGAAATCCCTTCAATTCCAGTTCCAATTCCTCAATCCTCTCTCTTCTGCTACGTATGCTCAATGACATGGCCGCAAGTACAAGATACAGTTAATTACAACGAAATCCAAAGCAGCAAATTGATTGATTAAGACTTAAGATACAATACCTAGATACCTAAGTACCTAGGTAAATCTTTCTTTTTGTCATTATATCATACAAAAATACTAGGTAGATGTGTGTGTGTGGTTATACTACTATTCTTATTTTGTTTTTAATTACACAAAGATAGTTTTTAATAGGTTACTCTAGGTAGATAATGAGTGACAATCCGCTGGAAACGACTGTTATGTTGTGTTGTGGTATGGTGTGTTATTTACTGCATCTCGTATATGACATGTGACATGTAGCACAGCGTCTTGGGTGTGGAAATTGTGGTCTGAAATAGACTGGGAGTGATGGTGTGTATGTAGATAGGTAGATAGTAGGTATGAGTTGGACTAGATATGAGTTGGATATGATGTTGTTGGTATTTTTGATTAGATAATTAGTGGTTTGGACGGTGGACAGTGAAGATTGAACAAGTGGATAGGGCGTTGTTAATTGGGAATAGGGGTATTGGGTTATATTGGTTGAGTTGGTTGGTTGGTTGGTTTATCAGTTAGTTGTTGGTTGGTTGTTGTGCTGCGGAAATTGCATTTACATGGATCGGTAAGGTGAAGGGGGGATTGCCTATGTATGCACCCTTTCTTCTTTTCCAAGTGATAGTTTTGGTAATGATTCTTCTTATTTTCAATTGGGCCTTGGAGATTTCGATGTCTTCTGCATCAGTGGTTTTGTGTTTCTTTTCTGTGAAGATATAAGATCTTACATTGTTTCGAATGTTTTATTTAGGCGGAATATTTTTGGTCTATTTCTCTATACTAAAAACGTTAGTTGCGCCGTATAAGAGCCTGACCTACTCGCACGACCGGGTTTCCGTGTTGTTGATCGAGCGGAAAGGAAGAGGAGGAGGAGTTACGGTTAGGCCAGGTGTACTTTTCCTCGTTGACATATTTTAGCAAATACGTACACATATGACTGCCGGTGCAAAAATTTACCGGTTTAGTTGCTGCGAAATTCTGTACCGCGATATGTGGCATACGTGCTTCCATCTAACATTTTTGCCTACTGAATGATATGATAGTTTGTGTTGGGGAAGTTGATCGCTTATCAGTACCTTATAAAGTGTAGGGGACTTTGAAGTAGGTCTCGAGATGGGATTGCTAATGGTCTCCTCGTGTTTGCTTCTTTCACGGGCAGTCTAGATTCTAATATTGGGCTTTTGGTTCGCGCTGTCTTGAGCATTGCTAAATATGGGCTTTAACTAGGAAGTTTTGGGGAAATTCATGTGTTTATGACTGGAAAAGAGCTTTATTTCTAAATTCTTTTGGACCATGGACGCAGCATTATCTTCTTGCTAGTTATTTCAACATGGCTACCGATTTAATTTAATAAGATGCTAGTATGCTAATGGCGTAGACTGGCTCTTGACATCAAATCTGAATTGTGATGAGCGTTCTTGTGAGAATCTCGTATTCTTAGTTTTAAACTAGGTTTACATCGTAGTTTATCAAGTGTCAATGTTTAGCTTTAAATGCATTCCTAGGCTCTTGAGAAAACATCTCACCTTGCATTCAATTCAAAATTTCCTTCAATCCACAAGGGCCTCCGAATCTCCTGCCATTGGATGATCTAGAATAGTACTTTCTCTCCTTTTCAAAGCAGTGCTAATAAATCAATCTTTACGGTTTCCTGTTTCTGTTTGCTCGATCCGCAGCTACTCAACAACAACTCCAGAGTCTAGGAATCGGTGTCGGAATGACAAGCTTTGACCTCAACTTTGTTGAATATCCCGTTTTATTTTTTCAAGCACAGAGGTTAATTATGGTCAGTTCATACTATTTCACATTTCTGGGTTGGAAATAGTGCTTCGGAGTACACAGAATTTTTGGCTTGAGATCGCAGTACTGGAGCGCGATGGTGAGTGAGCACAACTAATGGGCCATTGGATGTTTCATCGTGCTTATCATTCCTCCTATCCCACCACCCACGGGTTTGGAAATGAGAGAATTTGGAACAACTAGAGACTGCGAACTCTGTGCTGGGGACGATTATTTGGAGCAAGGCGGGGTAAGTTTAATCCGGACTGTTGTGTTAATGAATAATATTCACCTCTTTGAGCAATGTGCAATTGTAGTCCTCCGGGTGAGTGCGCTAGTAGTGATCCTCAGTGTTGTTTCGATGGCGCTGGTATCAACTGCTAGATACGTTTAGAGGAATTGATTTTGTCGGACGTTGCAGGAACTTTTCTTGACTTTTCAGGGGATGGGTAGCGAGCTGTAATGAGTGCAGATAGTAGATATTAGAGTTTTCCGGTATATCCTGTCACAATATTCGAAAATTATTTGGACCAATGTCCGCTAATATCATAAAATGGATATAATATCTAAACACATTTGCCGCCAGAAACGATTTATGTTATTGAAGCCAGAAGATACTGGTCTAGTAAAATGTGTAAAATCGATGATAACCAATACTTGCCTACTGTCAGAGTGACAAGATGCCGCTATAAGTGGTAAAAATTACAGCCCCTTTCGAATAAATATGGAAGAATCAGCATCAGGACCGCCAGCTCTTGAAGATAATCCATCCCTGTATTCTTTTCGCTTCGTGATACTGGCTGCGGGATAAAGATGGAGTGTTGGTGAGTACGTCATTAGTACCTTTGAAGTCAAGCACGTCGGGATGACACTCAGTTTCTAGATGAGAGATCGTGTATGCAGCAAAACTTTGTGAAAACGGACGTAAAATTACAACGGAGGATTTTGGATAGTAAATCTCAGGTTATTTATTATTTACCATATAGGCCTTCAAAGCAGTGGGAAGACCGGATGAAATGTGTAATAACTATTCTCAGCCTCCTGAATGCCAAGACCTAGGTAATTTACCGAGGGGCGAATATTCTTCACTCTAAGAGTCAAGATCCAAATCATTTGCAGTACTTGAACGCGTATTCAAGCCTCCGATATTGATGTCAATCATGTATGCCTTTATACTACCACTGAATAAGCATATTTTCATAAGGCTTGAACCTTAGGAGCTTACCGCCCAACTCTAAAATGGTATAAAATCATCCATTCCATGTATTCTATTGAAGCGCATGAGCTTGAGCACATGAAGGTTTCCAGAACGCCATTGCACGAATGAGCAGAAAAGACAATCGACGAGATTGCTACGCGTGTATCTCTGTGTAAGCGATCTCCTTGAAACCAACACGAAATATACAGTGAAGCTTATGAGGCCCGAAATCTAAAACCGGAATATGAACGGAGTTTCATTCTGATTTACTAAATGACAGATGAGTGGCCCAGAAGAGCAACAAATATAACGCGTCACTCCAATGCGAGCTGGTTGGTAAAAACCTATTGCAGGCATGTTAATGTCTGAAAAAAGATGAGAGTAGGAGTAGAATGATCCGGTACATGTTCAACATTGCTTAGGCGCGAAAGACATATGCTTACGAGGCGGCCTTTTTCATTTCTTCGAAGTATAGAGAACTAGATTTACAGTTGGATGCACACACTATCATACACAACTTTGGACATGAATGGGCCTAATAACCAGGTCAGGATTTCCAATTGTCCGGAATGGACCCGAAACGTTTTAAAATTTTTAAAAGGCCGAGTTTTTGGGTATAGCTTGATATCCCAAATGTACCTAATACTTTAAGTGAATTGGATGTTCGATATTGGCCGATACCTCGAGTAACGAGCAGCCCTCAATGATGAACTACACTCCGGACTCTTGAAAATCCTAAACTCTGTATGCCTCTTGAAGGGCTTTGAATTGCTAAACTGCTCGAAAACATCCTCAGATAATATTTGCATATCCCTCAGTCTGGGGAAGGTCTCTACTTGTCTCCCAAACTTTAAGAGGATCACTTTCCATCCTACCAGTCTCCGGGTTCTCAATATCCCAACAGATAAGTCTAGCATGAGTACGAAGGAAATCCTGGTTTTGATTTTGATATTTTTCGGCCAAGACCCGGTACCTACTCACGAAAACATCAGTATCAATATAAGCTCCCTTAAGCCATCTCTCCCCAGCTGATGTATCAAATTCTTTCCTGCCATGAAGTACTCTTCTGTTATTAAAAATGACGCATTCCCCCTCTTGTAACCTGTATTCATACATGTTTTCAGGTGCCTCTACTCGAGATGCAAATTGCCTTAAAGCTTCAGCCACCGGTACCGAATTCTCTGGGACATCAAATGTGGCTTGAAATGGGGGCGAATAATTAATATGCCTAATAGCAGCGACTTTACTGAATTTTGTAGCTTTTGGCTTTGGTGGTTTGGATGATATCACTCGATGTTTGTAAAAATAATGTTCGCCAGCGTTGCGGTAATGGTAGGGGACCTTTTGTCTGCACAACTCGTCGAAATTATGCTCATCAAGCTGCGCAGCAGCGTGAAAAGCATCGGAAAATATAGACGAACCACCCGAACAGGTGTTTCGTAAACAATGAAGGAACTGAAACCCGGGAGGGTTAGTCATATACAGCAAATCCATGTGTAACCCCAGATATTGAGATGTATAGGCTACATTCTTAGCCTCAGAAACAGACTTAACATCCCAGGTAACTCCATATAGCGTGTCCCTAAGATTACCAACACGTTTCGCGATATCAACAACTGATGTTTCTGACTCTGGCACGTCTCTAAGAATGAGCAGCCCATAATCCCGAAGCATGATCAAAGCTCTAAACAAACCTTCTTCGGTGTTTATGTAATCATCAAAGGTTACATATTGCAGATTCTTAGCAATCCTTTCTGCATTCCACCTGATAGGTCTGATTGTGTTACGACGGTCGTTGTGATAGGCTTTGGGTGAAAAATTCGTTTCGAAGAACTTTTCGGAAAACGACGAAACATGGTCTGATCCGTAGCCGGGAATATCGTTGTTCCATGAAATTATTAAATTTCCATTTCCATCAGTTAGAATAGAAGTGGCCCTGATCCCAGAAGGAATGTCGGAAGTTTGAAAGTTCTTCTGTTTTGTGGAAGGATCAACGCATCTATGGCAGCCACAAGCATCGCGGAGGAATAAAGGGGGATAAGCTACGCCGTTGACTTTTATGACCTGAGAACTATCATTGATCTCAAAGTCGAGAGGGGGTTTTGCGTTCTGATTTCAGGTTAACGGAAGTCTTACATAAAAAAAACCCTTATAATACCTGTGAGCCGGATGTCTGCTTGGATGAGGGAGGTGTGTCATGAAGACTTGGTTGATTTGTGTCGCTACTCTCAGTTGCAAACAATCTTCGATGGATATGAGAGACTCGCAGGGCTGCCAAAAGAGGGCGTGATGTCACAGCTCGACGACCACATTTCAGGCCAAGACGCAAGGCACTCATCTTTCTAATTCTTGATTCTTGTCTATGAAAGCGAGACTTGAAGATATATTGACTTGAAATGGAGAAGGATTGAATGTTAGTATATGGGCCTACTCCCTGCCAAACAGTACTAAGACTGTCAAGATAGAGCCACCTTACATTTTCCCACGAGCCGAGATGAGAGTGTCATTGATATCACGTGACTATATTTTCCAACCAGAAGCTTTGAGGGGCTGAATTACGTAACATTTTTATGCTGGAAACTATCCTTCTTTAGACATAGCGTACTCTTCTCATTGCTTTTCTATCATACATACCTCCTTAAAAATTTAGAGCATACGGGATTGATATCAATATCCAATCTCAAGCTTCAATACCATTCTGAACGTCAGATGTATGTCTGGAAGCGCTGAGCATCTGAAGGATGAGGTAAGGCTAAAGGTTTTATAAACGTACCACTGTCCCACAAAATCGAGAAACTGATGCATATCTAGGGCTCCAAAACCCAATCAATGATAGCTGGTGCAACAGCTGGATTGATTGCCAGGTAAATACATAATTGGTCAACTTTAAATCTCGTTATACTCATACTTTTCACGCAGATTCGTAATCGCTCCCTTGGACGTTGTTAAGATTCGCCTGCAATTGCAATCACATTCCGCATCAGACCCTCTGTCTCATCGGGATCTGCGAGGATCACTAATATACAAAGGCACACTTCCTACCATCAAACGTATTTTCCGAGAGGAGGGACTGTCGGCATTATGGAAGGGAAATGTTCCAGCGGAGTTGATGTATGTTTCATACAGTGCGATTCAATTCACGACGTATAGATCTGTTACGCTGGCCCTGCAAGATACTGTCGGGGAACATAGAATGCCAGCTGCTGCTGAAAGTTTCATTGCCGGAGCATCCGCAGGAGCTGTCGCTACGACCGCCACTTATCCTCTTGATTTACTTCGGACACGATTCGCCGCGCAAGGAGTAGAGAGGATATATACTTCTCTCCGAGCCTCTATCCGTGACATTGCCGTTAATGAAGGACCGAGGGGGTTTTTCCAAGGACTTGGGGCTGGAGTTGGACAAATTATACCATACATGGGGATTTTCTTTGCCACTTACGAGACTTTACGTGTCCCGTTAGGTACTCTACACATGCCTTTTGGATCTGGAGATGCAACTGCTGGAGTTCTTGCTTCGGTTATTGCAAAAACAGGCATATTTCCATTTGATTTGATCAGGAAGAGGTTGCAAGTACAAGGGCCAACAAGAGAAAGATACGTTCATAAGAACATTCCAGTTTACAATGGTGTTTTTCGGACCATGCGACACATAATACAAAACGAAGGTTACCGAGGGCTTTATCGAGGATTGACAGTCAGGTATGCAGAAGATCAGCTTGGGATTTTCTGGTGCTAACAGCAATAGTCTCTTCAAAGCGGCCCCAGCTAGTGCCGTTACTATGTGGACATATGAACGAGTTCTCCGACTTTTACTGAAATGGGAGAAAGCCCAGGAGAGCCCAACATGATGGAAGAATCCTCCAAGGTAAGATGTTACATGAGGTTAGTAAAATTTATAGAGTTGAATCCAACACTGTATACTATTGCGGTGATTTTGCGCGTCTTCATTCAACATAGATTAATAGACATATAAGATAATAAAGATAGATGTAAAATAAGAAGCATCAAAAAATACCAATGATGCCAACTCACATATTAATGTCTAAAATGAATCTTCATTGAAATTCCTAAAATGGTTAGAGGGATAAGATATGCAGGTAGGAATGCAGGAATGCAGAAAATAGATGAAACAATACCAATGCAATGGATGTTGAACCACAATGCACGTGCCAGATTGATATCTCTCGGGCGGAAGGAGATCGATTCTCTGTTTAACCTCGTCGCATCACAATTCAATATGACTGCTAATACCAATACTGCAGGAGATCTCCACAGGACTTCTAGAGGTATATCTTAAGTAAATCGCAGTTCCTGGCTTTATTCAGTTCATCAATGATTTGATTTCGTTTTTTCTTATCATCAAAAGTTTTAAGTACCAGCATTCTTCACTATTGTACCCTTCGCTGGTCAAAGCTCCCTCCTGGTCTCAATAACCCCTTCAACTGAATTCATTTGCATGTGATAGCGGACTTCAACTACACAATCTTCTCAGCATGTCGACAAGTGTAACAACTTCGAAAGTAGAACAATTACTAGCTCCACTCCTGGCATCTTTACCTGCAGCTTCTGTATCTCCCCAACCTCCCACGGCACTACTTCCTTTACTATCGCCAATTTTACGTCAGAGAGTCCAAATTTTATCTTCAACTTCAGATGAACCGTGGCTCCCACTGCTCTGCTACGATGCTTCCAATATCTCGAAGTTAGAACAAGCTATAAGAAATGATCGATTAGAAGCACATCCTGTTTCTGGAGAGGTGGAGATTGATTGGGAGAGTGAGGTAGAAATCCAATATAAGCGAATTGATGAAGAGACTTTGCAAGCACTCGTTATACTTAGAGATCTTTCTTTGAGTGTGCGGCTTGTATGGTGCGTCGGTGATGAGCTTGGTGGTGGTGATGGTTGGAGGATCGGAGAAGTGGGAGCATATGATCGGGGAAAATCAAGAAGGATGGGGAAAGAAAAGCATTGCTTCCGCAGAAACCGCTTTTCTATCTGGAACTCCGCAAGTATCTACACGGGCAGGTGGCACTCTTTCCAATGTCTCAAATGGTTCCAAATATCTCGAAGTAGAGGATGACGATGATGATGATGATTACTGGGCTCAGTATGACAATACGCCCTCTCGTACGCCCGCACCGAAACACTCTCCGGCGCCTCAATCAATGCAAAGCGGTTCGAAGAGTGCTGATGACGAAGACTCATATTATGCGCAATATGCCGATGTACAACCTGCCATGGATAGCCATGATCCAGATGAGGCAGCACAGAATGGAACCGTCGAAACGTCGCTCGGTCAAGATGATCAAATCACTTCTACCTTGAAACAAAATCTACAAAACCACATGCCATCTCATGAGGTAAAGCCATGGGATTCAGAGTCTAGCAGCGCAATAATGAATGGTGGTGAATACGTTGAAGTCGTGCAACCAAGACCAGGAAGTAGAACTAGCTCAAGTGGAAGTGAGACTGTTGCGAAACTCGAGAAAAGGGCAGAGGCACGAGAACAAAATGAAGTTGGTATCAAACAACATATTTCAACAAGTGTAAAGAGCTTGTACAGACTGGCGAAAGTAGCTGGGATCGAAAGGGCAGAATTTGATAGGTTGATTCGGACAGAGTTGGATTGTCTGAGTTTGATGGATGAAGACGATGAATGAAAAATAGTCACATTAAGCTGTGAAGACAATGGACATATCATCGTAGGCATATGGGACGGAGTTTTGGTATTTTCGCCGCATAGCGTGAAACTTTGGGATAACATAACAGTGAGGTTAAGGTTGGTCGGTCACACTGAGGAAATCTATAAAGCTATGAATTACGAAATTGACAAAAAATTGTAAGTTGCAAACATCATGGTTAGTCATAGTTCATACCTATCATACAAGTATCGCTTCAAACAAAACAATTCAGTAGTCCTCTCTCTAGTGATATAAAAGTGTCATGGCAATTGTTAAAATAAGACATTTTATGGCTTTGTAAAGACACCGTACTTTCGGTACCGATGATACCTGCCGATATCAACTGATTTGAATGCCTAGGGAAGACTTACCTTAAATTACCTACTGAAGCACAGACCAAGGGCGACTTTATGGATTCTGGTCCATGATTTAATTAATATAAATAAACAAATAATAAATAATAAACTCTCCTTTAACTTTTTATATCTCCGTATTGCAACCAACAAACAACCAGCCAGATCCTAGTCTATTTTTGGAATCAACCTCGAGTCTGAAGTGAATTTTTGGTAAAAAGATTTTAAACAAATGTAATTAATTATCGAGAATTTGAGAAAACGGGGGTTATCAAAAGCCTATTACTCCGTACGCCCTGACCAGACTCCCCAGATTTCCCAGCTTCATTGATCCCTCAAAAGTACAAGCACACGACTATACACAATGGATCAAGCAGACATACCCTCGTTGCTCTCGAGGCTCAACAGTGATGAAGATGCTACGCGCAAGATGGCTGTCTTCAAGCTACAATCGTCTATTAATGATCCTTCATTCGCAGATGTGTTTATTTCCTCGGGAGGCCTCAGTATCCTACGTCAATTGATCATGACAACCAATGCAAATACCCTCGCATACTCCTTACAGAGTCTAAGTCGTTTACTGGAAGTCGATATGGGTTGGGAAATATTTGAGTCACAAGGTGCAGGAGAATTGGTCGAACGCGTGGTCGAATTAATCGTTACACATCCACTGGTCAATATTCTACGAGGAGCTATGTCGATATTGGTCGCTATTGTGAGCCATCCACAATCTTCAGGAGGACGTATAAAAATACCAGGCGCATTTGGATTTCGAGCCTTGAAACCTGCCGTTGCGGTTTATCCTCAATTCTTCGAAATGGTCGTCTCACAACTCAATTCGGCGGATCATTTACTATGTGCGAATGCGCTGATGCTTTTGAATGCATTAATGCGGGATGCGATCACAAATGACAATGGACAGGGAAAGGATAATGTTAGCAAAAGTAGTGGGACTGGGGAGGAGTGGCCGAAATTCATCAAACGATTACAAGATTTAGGGGTTATTAAATCTGCATATACTTTGATGCAAAGCTCGGCATTGCAAGACTTGTCGCATGCGCTGTTGGAATTTCAAAGTTTAACCAAGGTTTTATTAGGAAAATGGAGGGAGGTGAAGGTGGATTTGGAAAGACCAGAACATCGACGAGCTTTGAAGGGAATACATCTGGCCAGTGCTCCTGAGAAGAAAGATGGTACGAATGGAACTGTAGCAAAAGGAGAGGTATCAGAAAATGGAGAAAAGAAAGGAAGTCGGAAACATAATCCTGAAAAATGGAGGAGATTAGGCTTCGAGACCGAAAGTCCCGCTTGGGAGTTTGAATCAACCGGATTTCTTGGTATGATGGATTTGACGGATTATGTTAGGAAGAATGAAGACGCGTTTCAAAAGCTTCTACTGGAGCAATCTTCCAAGCCTCTACGCGAAAGGTGCCCCATTGCAAGAGCTAGTCTAATGGTTACATCTATTCTGTATGATCATTTCGATGTTGACAAATCAGATGCGGAAGATGCAAAAACTTATCTGGTGTTGGATGGTGTTAAGAATTATGACAAGATATTCCGGCCTTTATTACTGCAATGGTCGAGACTACACTCATCGAGTTTGCAAGCTTTCTTTAGGTTATGGAAAGCCACAGGAGCCGAGCAAGATGATTTCATAAAAGTTGCTGAACTCGTACGAATATTGGTTGAGCAAGTGGTTGGGCAAGCTTCGAGGACAAAAGATGTTCTAGAGGTAGAGGAAGAATTAGCGGAATTCGAATATTCAAAACTACGAAATCTACAGATGGAGTTATTGGAATTGACGTTTGAAGATGAATGGGGTCAACATTTACACCAAGTGAGAGATGAACTCAAACATGAAGCTCTTTTATTTGTCAAGGAACAGAGAATACGATGTTTACTTCAAGGGGCATGGTTTCCAAGAATAATCCAACCAAAAATCGTCAGCGAAGAAGGATCAACCTCTACAAAAAGTTTAGGAAGAAGAATACCAACTACAAGTTGGCGCTTCGTCAAACTTTCGCATAACCGTCGTTTTCTACACTATTTTGATTTCGATCACCAGATGAGCAAAGAACCGACACTCGATCAATTACTTGAAAAAATCGATTTAAGCACGATTAGTTCAGTGGTTTCCAATGTTTCCGCTTCTCATGATGATGGCTCGAGTATCTCCAGTTCATCAACCCTCAAAGATACCAATCCATCATCTAAACCAAATACCACGACCAAAATCACAATTAATAGTTACGTTGGCGGCGAAAATAAACCACAACCAGATGGTACTGATCCAGCCGAGAAAGCTATCCTTACTTTAATGCCTCCTACACATAGTCTTGCATCTGAATGGTTGGATGGATTACTCATGTTGTTGAATCAAGCGCCCATCACGTCGGAAACTAATAAACTCGTAGGACTGGTTAGTGAATATGGATTGAAGATTCGTTTGTTGAATGTTAGGTTGGATGATGCTAATGGGTATGGAGGACCGCAGCCGGGAGCGGGTAAGGTACCTAGTAGAGATGGTTTGGATGAGGATTATTATTATGAAGTGTGAGTTTGTGATGAGGGGGCGTCTGGAGGGGGAGGGGGAGGAGGGAGGAAATGAGTTATGTGAAGTTGTACTTGTAATTATATGGATATGAAAAAGGGCGAAGAGAAGTGGAAACTAGGATATCGGAGGAGCAGCGATAAAAGGTGTGGATGATAGCGTTTTTCTTTTCTTTTTTCTCCTCTTTTTTTTTTAAGGGACCAAACATCCCGATACAGTACTTTTCTTTGTAATGATACCCTGGGGTTGGTTTGTTGGTTTTTATTGGTTTTAAGGAATACTTTGGTAGTATGGATGGATGGATGGGTGAATGAAGATGGAGGAAAGGATAAATAATTACTACCTATCCAGTTAGTTAGCTAAAATTTAAGTATTATAGGACTTTATTTTTGTATATTTATATGTATTAGGTATGTATATATATATGTGTGTGTTGGTAAGTAGAAATAAAAATGAAAATGAAAATGAAAATAAAAATTTGAATTTGGATTTGGATTTGGATTTGATTTGGATTTACAATCTTATATCCACCTACTCCACTTGCCCAGTAAAACAAAGCATCATACACAGCATCATACGCAATGCAGACAGAGTAAGACCTACATATACCAATACCAATACCACTCTGCAGATACAAGATACGATATTCACTCCGCTCCGGTATAAGTTAGTTTCTATAAATATCTTGCATATATATATATATATATACCCAGCGCAGACATCGACATCGACATCGGCCAGAGGTTGATCGATGTCTTACCAAGTAAGATATAATGCTAATGTATTTGAGTATATGTAAATAATACCTTATGAAGGTTTAAATAGAAGGGGACTTCTGTTTGTTGTATGTTGGGTTTTTTTTGCTTAGAGGTTGGTTGGTTGGTGTCTTGGGGGGTGTGATAGTTGGGTAGGGTAGGGTAGGGAGGGGAGGGTAAGGTTAGATTAGGTTATTTGGGTGTATGTAAGTAATATTCTGTAAAAGTTTAAATAGAAGGAAGGGAATTTTGTTTGTTGCATATCGATTTTCTTGCCCAGAGGTTGGTCGGTGTCTTAGTATATGTGATGGTAGGGTAAGATAGGGAGCTCGAGAGACGGTAAGGTTACTCCGATGTATCTTAATACCCTGGGAAAGTCTAAATAGAACGGGACCATTAGGAGTCAGGACTTTTGTTGTATATCGAGTTTCTTGTTTAGAGGTTGCTTGGTGTCTTAGTATATGTGATGGTAGGGTAAGATAGGGTAAGGTTACTCTGATGTAGACTTTTGTTGCATATCGATTTTCTTGTCCAGAGGTTGATGTCTTAGCAAAATGTGAGGATGTTACCTAAGGTAAGGTTACTTTGATGTAGTGTAGACTTTTGTTGCATATCTATTTTCTTGCCCAGGAGATATATATAGAAAGATAATATTATTCCGAATGAGATGTTACGATACAATACTACCTACCTACCTAATAGAAGATACGAAGATATACCAGTGTACTCCCCTCTGAAAGTCTAAACAGAAGGGAGCTTTTGTTTGTTGCATATCGATTTTCCTGCCCAGAGGTTGATCGATGTCTCACCAAGTACCAAGTAGTATCACAATACCAAAACACTCGAGTAATGTACTCCCCTCTAAAAGTCTAAATAGAAGGAATCTTTCATTTGTTGCATATCTTTATTTCTGCCCAGAGATCATGATCAATGTAAGAGTCAGTTTTAGTATCATAGTGAGAAAAGATACCGAGATACCGAGATATTCCGATGTGGTGTTTTGATATCAGTTTTTTATAGAAATAGAAATGGAATTTGTTGCATGTCTTTGTTTCCGCCGAGAGTCTGTTAAGATATTCCGGTGTGGTGTTTTGATGTTAGTTTTTTACGAGTATAGAAATAGAAGTGGAATTTGTTGCATGTCTTTGTTTCTGCCGAGAGGTGATTGTGTGGTGTTAAGATATTCCGGTATGATGTTTTGATATTAGCTTTATACGACGGAATTTGTTGCACATCTCTATTTCTGCCCAGAGACCAATGTGCAGTACCAAGTAAGATATTCCGGTGGTGTTTTGATATCCGTTCTCTACATAAACAGAATTTGTTGCACATCATTATCTCTGCCCAGATATCAATACGCGATACCAAACTACTTCAGTATAATAGTCTATGTATAAATGGAATTTGTTGCGTATCTTTATTCTTGCCTAGAGACCAATGTACAGTACCAAGTAAGATATTCCGGTATAACAAGTCTGCGTACAAACAGAATTTGTTGCACATATCTATCTCCGCCCAGAGATCAACATCAACATATAACACCAAGATAAGATATTCCGGTACCCTTACAGTAAATAATCTATGTATGTGTATAAACAGAATTTGTTGCACATCTTCATCTCCGCCCAGAAACCAATAATACAATATCAAATTACTTTAGTATAAAAGTCTACAAATAAACCGATTTGTTGCACATCGAATTCCCTGCCTAGAAAATCGCGTGCATTAGTCTGATATACTCCGTACATACAAGACTTTCTATTGCACATCCATATCTCCATTCGAGATCAATGCAACCTACGGGACATAATACCAAGATCTGACGTGGTATTAATGGATACCAGGAATACCAAAGAAGAGTTTACTAGAGTTTTGTTGCATATCGAGTTTCTTGCCTAGAAAGTTTACTGTGTTAGTTTGTGAGTTATATACTAGGTATTCATTCCTTTTTGTCTAGAGGTGGATGTAAGTGATGTAGTATTTGAGTAGTAAGTACCAAGATTTGATGTGGTATTAATGGATACCAAGAGGAAGACTTACAAAAGAGGAATTTACTGGAGTTTTGTTGCATATCGAGTTTCTTGCCTAGAAAGCAAGATGCATTAGTTTGTCTGTATGCGGTATATCAAGACTTTCTGTAGCACATGTTCCTTTTTGCCCAGGGACCCGATGTGATAGTAATACCAAGATTCGACGTGGTATTGGTGAATACCAAGAGGACTCAAGAAGAATAAAGTTGCACATCTATTTTCCCGCCTAGAAAGTTAGATGCACTGGTTTCTACATCAAAGACTTCCGTAGCACAGATTATTCCCTTTTGCCCAGAGACCCAGCATGATACCAAGATCTGACGCGGTATTGGTGAATACCAAGAGTATTCCAGAGAATAAAGTTGCACATCTATATTCCTAGGAATATAGACCCATTAGTTTCTACGTCAAAGACATTCGTTGCACATCTTACTCTCTGCCCAGAAACCAAGTCCTCCCTCCATATCAAATCAAGAGACAAAAACGATCATTTGTTGCGTATCTAAATTCCTGCCCAGAAACCCCCATGTAGAATTCTAGTGCAATAACTTAAAATAACTTAAAATAATCTAAAATTCAAGACTTTTGTTGCACATCTTCTTCTTTGCCTAGAGATCTAAAGTGATACCAAGAGCACCAAAGAGCTTTCTGTTGCACATCTGTATTTCTGCCCAGAGAAAGTTTTGTGGAACTCTGGTGTAATTTATTTTAAATTTCTAGGAGTTTTTGTAGGATCTTAGGGTTTGTTGCATATCTTTCTTGCTGCCCAGGGAATCTACTGCACTAGTTTCTATAAAAAGGACTTTTGCTTTTGATTTTTTTTCTATATTTTGCTTTTTGCCTAGAGACTTCGGTGTATTCGTGGTAAGTTATCTTGTGTTGGTGTGGTGTTGTACTCTGTACTTCGTACTGTAGATTATTCCGAGTTTGATCGTCAGATCCACTGCTTGGCTTTTCTTATATTTAGGGTACCAAGGACTTTGGTGTTGGATTGATCCCTTTGCCCAGAGAGATCGGTGTGTTGTTTGTTGTTTGATGTCTTGGTGTTATAGAAAATGTCAAATTGGACGAGTTTCTTGGCTTTTTAAGGTGACGGTGTACCCGGTGTGGCATTGAGGAAGTGAAGTTTCTCCAAGATTAGAATTTCTATGAGGATTTGAGGTTGATAGATAGTACCAATGAATTTATCTACAAAGTTGTGTTTATTACGCTGCTTACTATCCTATCCTATCAAATAAAAATCCAATCTATCAAAGAATCGAATTCTCAAAATTCGATAAAAACCAGCATACCATTCATTCACTCATTCATTCATTTCCTTCCTAACAAAAATCACCAATTGATAGCAAATGCCAAGACCAAACAAGCCCTTGGCAAATAAAACCCATCAAACAACCAAAAATCACAAAGATAACCAACACGGAACAAAAATGCCAAAAGAGAAATACGAAATACAACTAAAAAGCTGGGCGTAAAGAACGACATGCAACAAAGACTACGAAAAAGAGGTCAAATCACGAGAATTTGAGAATTTGATGTACATGCAGTGGACGGAAATATTAACGGAAAAATTAAAGATGTTTCAAGCCTTTTGGGTCAATGTAACGTTAAGGTTATTATGATGGTGGAAAAGTTTAAATTCCCCTTCCTTTCCTTTCCTTCCGATTGCCGAGGTGCCGCGTCTAAACTTTATATTTATGTGGAATGACCCTGGATGGTTTTGTTTTATTTTTGTTTTTTGTTTTTTTTTTTTGGAGGGAAATTTTGTTACATACTTGGCGTACCTACCTATGCATGCATGTATGGTCAATCTATTGATGTGGTTATCTTGGCATTTCTTGTTGTTATTGGCATGACTTGGACGGAGTATTTCGGTTATTGGAGTCTTGGTTACCGGATTTGATGAAATGAATGAGATGGGGATTGTTAAGGTTAGGTAATGGGAGTGATTCTTGCGAGTGATTCTTGCGAGTCCATGAAAGATATTATTGAAAGGAGGTTGGTTAACTTTAGATGAGTTACCGAAATTAATCCTTTTGAGTATGTATGTACTCTGAGTACATGGAATTGAATACATACTCTGTATTTTCCTGCAAAGCGGGGAATTGATTGGTCGATCTTGCTCTTTGGGCGTGGTTCTGCGCAAATATGGGGAATCTTCGCATGTGCGTACATACGTATGTACTTGCTTTCCCGAGCTTTAGTCTAATTTTCGATTAGTTCGAGACGTCTATCTATCTATGCTCAAAATTTTATATCTTCATTTGCAATTTTTATTACTTTTCCACAATCAGTGGCATAGATATTGAAGCTCATATCTAACACAACAATATACCACCACCTGTTCATTACCAGCAACACAACACAACACAACCCAAACCTCTAACGACCACCAAAAATCCAAAATGGTCTCACCAATCCCCACCCTCCTAACCACCCAATTCCTCCTCTCCCACCTCCTCCAATCCTCCCGTCTCCCCAAACGCTTCCTCCACAAAACCTCCAACGTATCTCCCCGTCAAGATCTCACCCAATTCCCCACCAAAGATCTCTCCCAATCCACCATCAACATGTTATTACGCTGGGACGCCGCACAACAAAATGCTATGGATAATTTTCCCATTTTTGTTGCTGCGGTTCTATTTGCTAGTTTTAAGGGGGTATCTGAGGATACGGTTGCTAGTGTAGGGTGGTGTTATGTTGCGGCTAGGTTGGCGTATTGGGTTAGTTATGTGGTGGTTGAGAGGGTGAAGTGGAGTTTTGTTAGGAGTGCTTTTTGGTGGGTGGGGAATGGGGTTTGTTTTTGGTTGTTGAGGGAGGGGGGGAGAGTTTGAGTTGCGGTTTGAAAGGGGTGTTTGGGGGAAGGGTGATGAGGATGGGAAAGGTGGGATTTGTGGAGGGATAGATCTTAGAGAGTGAGCGGTATGAATAGATATAGATATAGAAATAGAGCTCTAGAGCTCTGTATTGATATAAAAAGTACATATATACAAATCCTTTCCAGATATCCAAACAGCCCAAGGCTCAAGTTACAAGTTTAGTTTTGACTTTCGAGGTTCTATCTCTCATCTCTCATCTCTCATTTTAAATATCCCATATACTAAATCTACAATCTTACTACCTACCTATCTATACCTACACTACATCCCCCCTCCTCCCATCACAATTAACACACCACACCTCAAAGTGTTACGAGGTTTGCCGTCTAGATCACGTGGAAGTGCTCTAGGCTCTCGAGGTGGTTTATAACTAGGCGTCAAGCAGGGACTTAAGTAATGACAAATAATGATATGCAATTCGTAACTAATAGTAGAGTATACTAAATGATTGATCTTGAGCACGAAGCTCTATACAAAGGAAATCCGTCTTGATTATATAGACCTTCATGCTTCGTGGCTCGAAGGGAGCGAAGGGATCGAGCTTCGATCCTTTCGCTCTCCTCGATCGAAGGGCTCGAGAGGCCAAGCCTTCGAGCTCTTCGAGTTCTCGCATCACGTGTTATTACTAATCCTGTGACCTAATTGTTACCCGTCGTAACACTTATAATGAGATAATTAGTGGATTAATATATTAATATATTAGAAAGCTGAAAATATTTTTTTATTTTTAGATCTACAGATGATATATCTTTTGTATTTACTTGAGATTAGGTATTAGATGTGTGCTTACATATATAGATACAGTACTTAATGTAGATATACATATCGTATATATATGTACTCAAACTATTATAGCAAGAATGAAATGTACCATTCAAAATCTCGGGACACATTTAGATCATTCAGTTGCTAGACGTTCTGTAACTCAGATCCCAAAGCCTGTGAGATAGACAACGCGTGTCAAGTCATTACAACGAAATGATGTATGGCCAGATAATGTGTTGCACAAGAATATTACAACTACCAAATCCAATTCAATTGTAAGTATTTCTATGACATTTACCCTATCCTTATATTTCAACTCCTCTTTGGTATAGTTTTCCCAAAACGCCTTCTATATTCTTTTTGGATTCTCCTTAGCTAGAACTAATCATGGTTCTAGCTCAAGGTTTGAAAGATCACACTTACAGCTTAGAATTCAAAATCCTTTGTTTGATTTTCACTCAGTTTGAGATCTCCGTTGGCTTCGCTGCCCCCTTTCCCTGATTTTCTACCAATCTCTGTATAACAATATTAGTAGATGCCTTTCCCGCTGAGTTATAGAGAAATACTAACCAAAAGATTTCTCAAAAGAACCGCAATGGTAACTTTTCCAATTGATGGTACATAGATTGAAGCTTTCTCCTTAACAGCTGGACCATCAAAATTCTTTTGAGAGGAAAAATTGATACAGACAGCTCCATCTCTGATCAACTCGGTATTGACCTTGAATCTCTCTCCTGGAACACCCGAGATAACAACATCACTCTTTGGCAAACAATCATCATTCTTCATCCCTTCCATATCGTGAACCTCATGATGGACTTTCTTAATCCCTTTGCCACGAGTAAACAGCTTAACTCCGTCAAGATCGCAAGAATACACGGTAGCACCATCATTCGCAAGTAAAGCAGCCAATGGACGTCCAACAACCTCGGAGCGATTGAATACAGTGATTGTCTTTCCATATAATCGATTCCCATAGGGTAAAACTGAGTTATAAATCTGTAGATGTTCGAGAACTTTGACAACGGCTAAAGGTGTGCAAGGTAAAATTGACTTTTGAGTATTGTGAGGAGCGTCGAGAAATCGAATGTTTTGGTACATATTGAAACGGTAGGTATGTGCCAATCCTTCTACATCTTTGTTCAAGGCAACAATTTGTTGAATATATCCATCTTGGAGAGAAGGTGCGGGGAAAATGGGGTAGTATACAATGATACCATGAATGGAATCGTCGTTGTTTGCTTTTAGGATTTCGTCTTCGATCTCTTCTTTGGTGAACTTTCGGAGCTCAAAGTCGAAACCACTGCAGACAAGTCAGTTTGTGCAAATATCGAAGCGCAAGTTATTGCGCTATTCGATATCGGGAGATGATCCAATTTCTTCGGAGACAGAGCTTGGTAGGATGCGAGCCCAAGTAAAGTTCCTTTCTCTTGAGAAATTGTGATTGGTATCCAACGTCCTATGCTATCCATCAATTCTGACCTCCGAACCTCCAATTTGGTGTTGCCTTCCAGACCAATTATCATTCTTGAGTGTCGCAAATACGCGGATGTAAAGGTTTTTGTGTATAGCAAATAAGGTGGGAGAGATACTCACTTCTCGATGCATGTTGCCATTGACCAGTCTGCATACTGTTGAGCTGCAGGATCATCATTTGCCAACAATCCAACAAGCTTAGGCTTGAAAGATAGCTTCTTCAGATCTGTTGAAACTTCTCCAAGTAACTTTTTAGCAATTCCTTGAGCCAAGATAACCTTGCAGGTAGCCGGGACAGGAGAGGAAGCCATTTCCCGATGATATTTGGAATGATTTGGAGCGAAGGATTTCGTGGTACAATTTTCGATATCGTAGTCACAGTACTTTGACAAGGGTCTTGTATGTACCTGCTTTGCTGACAGGAAATCCTCTTTCCCTAGGTAAACAAATCAGAGGAGTAGAAATGCTGAAACAGAGTGAAGATAAAATTTTCATTTTTCATCCCGATGCTTATCTTATCGGACTTTTTTTATGAGGGGAAATGGAGGGGTAAAATTGTCAAGGGTATTTTCGAGTGAATGGTATTTTTAGCCAGAATGCAGCCAATAAGCTGATAAATATCTCAATAAGAAGTTAATGCAGTAGATGAATTGAGACATTCCAGCTAGATGCTCTTTTTGTTCAGCACACTTTTACTCAGATAATTTCACACTCATTGTGGTATATATGAAAAGGTTATATAAAAGAAAACATAAATCTTTGGTGCTTTGATTGAGCAGTTGGGTATTTGCCGAAGTTCAACCGTTCACCGCCCGCAATGGCAGAAATTATATTTTCCCCTCATCATTCTAGAAGCTCCGTTATCTCGTAGATAATTTGTTGAATTGAGTCTATTCATCCAAGAGTATACCACTCAAAAGCATATTGCCTTCACTCATTTTCTACTCTCTTTCATTGCATAAGGAGAGCTGTTCATCTTGATACCCTTTTGTTACTCGAACATATACCTTTGTTTTTGCAAGCTTGCATGCTCACTTGTTACTTGTGACTCGAATTGTTACTTCAACGTTTCAGTAGACTCTTCCTTCAGAGTAAGTTAAGCCATTTTTATACACGCATCTTTACCTATTGCTTCTATTTATTAGCTATCAGCCTCTCTCTCCGCCATTTTCCAAAACCTTTCACAGTCACAACGGCTTTTAATCCCACCTTGTTCCTGGATATCCAAGGAAGCTTCTGAACTATCAATCTTCCTCGCCCTTGCAGCGCTACCCATTAAGTTGTCCGGAGTTTCTTCTCAGCATCTAGTAACTGCTTTATGAGCCTCCAATTTCAATTGACTCAGTTCCTCCACTGTCCTGTCTTTACATGTCCCCTCGTCCCTCTTCATTTTGGCAGCCGGGACATTTGATATTGGCGTTGAACTTGACGTTTGGCCCTCCCAGTCTCCCGTGGACCTCCCGTCACACTTTTTGATTTTCCAATTCAACGAATCACACAGTTATTCCACTGGCTCTCCTAGAGTTATCCCAAGCGTTCTATAATCCAGTTCACTAGTACTTCTACCATCCCGATATCAAGGCTAGTGAGGCTTTCAGTACATTTTGCACCCACCTCTACAACCACTCAATTCTTGAATCAGCACATGAGGTTATTGGACACCTGACTTGCTATTCAATAAATTAAAGAATGCATGTTGTCAAGTCACTGACATTTGGTTCTTGCTTAGATTTGTCTACTATCATCTATCATCACGTATATAATCCCCGTCTCGGATACTTAATTTAAATCCGCACTAGACAAAATGGGATCAAATGTAGCCGAGTTTATGGCTGCAGAGGCTGAAAAGGACAAATTAGCAATCGTCAATCAAAAAGTAGAAAGTACGAGAGCTTTAAGCCCGTTAGCCTTGACCTTTACTAATCTGGTGATAGATCTCAGTGCGATTAGCAGCCTCATCTCGGATCTTGGTCCGTATATAGATGGCGAGGCATCGATGGAAGATTGCCAAAAAGGTGCAACTCATTTGAAATCATAGAATTCAAACATACTTCGGTGCTGATTATGTCCAGGATTGGAGTTTTTGTTGCTTGTACTACAAAATGTCGACCCAGGAAAGCTCTCGAGGCATGATTGTAAGTAGTCGAAGTGATATATATATTGAGTCTACAAGCTAATATGCAGCAGTAAGTGCCCTCGTTAATTATTTAACAAATCGGGTGTCCCAAGCTGGGGAGGTTCAGATATACCGAGCTGGACTATCGGAAATTGCAAGGTGTTTGACCACCATTGCAAAGATGCCTAAATTTATTAAATCAGGTGCGCCAGATATTGCGGTGGCGGTTTTCCGTCTCCCAGATAACAAACAGTCTCTAAACGACTTTCCCCATTCTACACGACTAAGCCTCCTACAACTCCTCCAGTGTTTACTAGAAGTATATCCTACAGCACTTAAGACTTCCCTGGGCAGTACGTTTGTTAATGGGATGGCTTCGATGGCGGCAGTTGAAAGAAATCCGTCTTGTATCCTTGTCATTTTCAAAATTTACAGGCAATTGGGCACGAGTTGGGATATAGACCCCGACGAGGCCGAAACTATGTTTAGCTCGTTTTTCCGATATTTCCCCATTACCACCACTAAATCAGCGACTCCATTAAACCCAGAAGAGGACCTCAAACGTGGTCTTTTGAATTGTTTAACCTCTAATGAAGGTTTTGCTTCTTTTGTTTTTCCAGCGTTATTCCAGAAATTAGACTCTGAAAGCGTCAGGGCAGATGTCAAGGTAACAAATTCGTCCTCCTTAATGTTCTTCCATGCTAACTTTTTAGATTGATGTATTCGATGCCATGCTTGAATGCATACGCAACTATACTAATGTTTCGGAATTCTCAACCACAATATGGGATACTTTGAAATGGGAGGTTTGGAACGGCGAAAATGAAGATTTTATTAATCGTTCCATAGAAAATATTGCTGCGGTTGCCAGCCAACTAGGCCGACAGTCTTCTAACATTAAAGACGATAACGATAAGTTGGCCAAATACATCAACCACGTTACTCAAGAATGCATTACAATATTTACCGACGATACAAAGAAGAGAATGATTCTCCCATGTGCTCGTATTCTAAGCAAAATTGCAAGCACCTCCCCACATGCTTTCACCCTCACTTTTAGGAACACACTGCCAACTATTTTCACCTTATGGCATCGACTGGATACTATTAGCGACAAGGCACGATTAGTCGAGTCTTTAAATATCATCCTTGAAACACGTTCAAACATTTCAAATACTAAGGATGCAAAAGTGGTTTCGGGTACGACCGTCATGAATGAAGATTTCGACGGCTTCCGAGGAAGTCTTGTTGAAGTATACTTTGATGAAGATTTCGACGGCTTCCGAGAAAGTCTTGTTGAACTATACTTTGGCGCCATGTCCGGGTCGTCTAGTGATCTTGATTTACAGATTGCCACCACTAAAGGTCTCACACTTTTGGCCACAATCCGCAACAATTCCGTGAACCGACCGTTTTTAAATTCTTTCGAGCAAGGAACAATCATTGAAAAGCTCAATGAGACCGCCTTTGATATGAAAATAGCTGAGGAGCTTCGCACGTTGGCCGTGACCTCTCTTTCCACCTTGTCGGTTCAATATCCAGACACTTTTATCAATATCACGCTTCCAAATTTTGTTGGAAGACTTCCGGATCAGTTGAAGCCAGAGAATGGTGACGGATCTGATTTCTCCCGCATAGTCGGGCTTCTGGACTCCCTTGTGGATATTGCGTGCAAATCAGTTTGTCAACGTGAATTGGATGCCCCTGACTCCGATTCCAAGATTCATTTCAAATTTAGATTATTCACCGCTTTGCAATCTGAACTGATTATGAGATTTACGCAACACATTTCCAAAAACGCAGCCCAGAAATCATATCAAATGGCCATTCTAGCCGCAATTTATCGAGGATTGCAAGTGTTTGATGACGCACTTGCCAATGATAAGACCATGGGAGAACTCTTCTCTAACACCGGTGACACTATCGATCCTTATGCTTTCATCGCCATTGCATTATTCAAGCGAGTCATTGGGCTTTTTCAGCATGAGACTGGCAACTTAAAAGGTAGTTGGTTTGTTGGTATCTCCGAGGTTGACAAGGGGGAATATTTCGATGATTCCGTTGTTGCACTTGTTGGAACAATTGGGACGTATATACTTCGATCCAATACCACCTCGCACGAGAATAACTTTTTGCTCAAAGCAAATGCAGAAAATCCAACTGAGCCAAGTCGAGTTTGGACTCTGTTCAACTTTGGAGCTCACACAAGAGCGGATCTCGGTGTTTGTCAGCAAGACCTTCGCAGTGGCCCTTCTAACAAATGTTCCGCCAACATTCTTTCCGCAGCATTAATAGCTGGAATTCGTAAAGAAGTGAGCTCATATTGTACGTTTCTCCGCATTGACTTTAGCTGATTTGTTTTAGGATGTGGGTCGGTTAGGTCTGACTGCTCACGAAACCGCCAAGTCAATGCTTTTGAACGCCATTTCTGTGGAAAACAAGTGTTCAAGACCAGCTCGACTGGGTATGTTACAAATGCTTCAACTCCTCGTCAACAAATTTGGTGCAGACAAAAAGTCATTTGAAGATGGAAAACTACTCCACGATGTCATGCTCCAGCTAGTCAAGGAGGCAACCTCAAAGCCTGACCCAGAAGCATATCAAATCTATCAAGCCTTGGCTTATTTTGCTGCAGCAACAGTCGCAGCATATGAGCCATGCAGTACGGCACTTATCAACGCCATGATGCAAGGCATTTCTGACCCAAAGCGCGGCCGGAAGATCGCTCAAAGCTTCGCAATCCTTCTGGCTCCATCCAATATCATGAACGATAGCAACTTTTGTACCCTTCGGCCCCTTCGATTTGGTCGCCTTTACAGCACTACTGTTAGCGAACTCATCACTCTCTGGCGATCCAATGACAATAGCCGTATTAAAGAAAACTGCCTCATTGCTCTCGTTGGTATTCTTCGATATATGCCAGCAAAGATCTTGCAGGACAATGCCGCACAAATTCTTCCCATTGCTCTAGCTGGTACCGATGTCCCAGACAAGGCCACGAAAGATGCCAGCATGAATATTATGATCGTCCTAATGCCTGAGAATCCTAGTTTGATCGAAGAACACCTCGATTCGATCATCAATCGCATGACGGATCGTACGCACAACACATACGATTCGCCCTCGGATGCTACTGTGGAAGCAAGATCTAAGGCTTTGGATGTACTTGGTATGCTTCCAACTTTGGTAGAGAATGGACTCCTCTTGAAAAGGAAAAATGCTGTGCTAAAAGAACTCGGTATTGCACTCGATGATTGTTCTAGAGAGGTTAGGATGAGGGCTGATAGATGTAAAATGATTTGGTTCAATTTGTAATTTGAACTTTGCACTGGCATGACATGGTGTTGAGGCTACATTCGGCTTGAATTTTCATTGCATCTACTTGTTTCGGGCGCAGTAATGGTAGGCATGAAATTGGGTGGTGTGGCTTCTTGAGACCTGGTGGATGTTATGTAAAATGAGCAGATGATACCTATCATTAGATGATTTTTAGTAAAGCAAAAGTGAATAGGGAGAGATAAATAGAGAAAATCGCATATCTTAATCTAATTGAAGGTCCTTTGATGAATATAGATGTGTGATGAACTACGCTAGATGGAAAGGAAATCCGATCAATTGATGAAGTTAGGTAGTTGTTGTTCGCTTAATTAAGAATCTGGTTTTAAAAGCGTCTGCTCAGTGCTATTGCTTGCTCATTAGTTAGCATCGTACTTCGTTACAGAATACTTAGGACTTTGGATGGCACTGAGGATAGCTCCTGAACAATAATGCTGGTATACATACATGATTTTCTCGGCTGAGGTTTGTGCTGGAATAATTTGCAGCAGCGCTCCTTATCTTAGTAGCGCTTGTTCGCAGTGACAAAAGTCACTTGAAAAATGTGCTTAGGTATTTCTATGCACGCAGACTTATTGGATCATTCAAGGATAGTAGCGCGGTATTATTCGAAGTGAGTAGACTGAAGAGAGAGTTGTGGGATGGCTAATGTTTAGAACCGCGTGGCTGCTGATGAATGCGGTGCGGCAGAGGCACGAGAAAAGGGGTAGGGAATACAATCAACGGAGAGTGGATAGAGTTGAATGACGAAGAAAATGATCGTCATTAGAGTATGATTTGACGGGGTATGAATACAAGGTCCACTTCTACATTATTCAACTCAGAGTAGGGATACGCCAGTATGTTTAGCGAGCTACCTACTAGATTTTATTTGGTGGTTCTCATGGAAATAAACACGCCTAGCCCCAGAAAACAAATTGAACTCAATAATTTTTATTTTGAAAATTGTGTTTTCCATTCCTTCATATCGTGTAGAGATAATACACAGCATTCTTAAATCTATGGGGGTTTTACAAAGAATGATATGCCGTTTCTTACCTATAAGAAACCGCATCATAACATGTCAAACAAATACGTAGAAAACTCTCTTTTAGCCTGAATTACTCTTGCTTATAACAAAAAGCTTCACTAGCCTTATGTACTCCGCATGCACTCCGCAATATACAAGGTGTTCGCTCCGGCCCCATATTTCCTATGCAACTGCCATTTAGGCTGAATTAAAGTACGACCTAAGGCTTAGCCGAAATGCCCCGGATGTAGTTTTGCTAATGTTAAGGAGTTTCTAAATTACTGTTCCTACCTGGTATCGTGATAGACGCTTGATATTGCTGATCTTAATGTGTTACTGTTCTTTCATCAATGATTCAATCTATATGGTTAGAGGGATAGTTATTGCTATTAAAAAATAGGACTACTACCATGCAAATTCGTAAGACAGGCACCCTAATCCAACTTTAAGTTTCCCAGTTCTATTCGAGTTTCAGAAATATCAATGGATATGAACTAAAAGTGGTTAACAAACCCTATGAAGGTATCCAATTTTTCATCTTCCGGTATATGCATTGCCCAGCTTCCCCAACTTTGGACTAATCGGGTCAAATAGAATGCCAGTTTGTCGAGTTCATACGGCACTTTATATGATACCAGATCCACCACACCTTTCCAAGAAAAGATGTACCATATGCCCGATATCCTGGATAGAGTCTGGGGAATACTCAGCCTGAAGTGAATTTGGAGATCGGCAGCTATGAAGATCGTCAACTTCACTTCATTTCGAAGTTTACGTATTTGCACTAGTGCCCCATTAGGCCATTCTTAGTCGTCAAATAAGTATATAAAGCACTGCGTGGCCAAGAAAAGTACATGAACCATCAGCTATTCTATATTCAATAAATTCTCATTTCCCCATTCAATATCAGATACCATACCAACCGACACTATGGTTGCATTTTCCACCCTCCTAGCCGCCTTCTCGGCAATTTCTACATCCTTTGCTATTGCAAGTCCCACGCTCCCTAAGCGTAGTCCCATGGATTTTGTTCTTAGACGCAACGAGAGCTCTCTTCTCCGCCGAGCAACTCCAAACTACAAACAGGATTATACTACTGGTGGAGATGTAGTCTATACACCATCCGGGAGCTCCTTCACTGTAGATTGGGACACCCAAGACGATTTCGTTGTTGGACTTGGATGGACAACCGGATCTACTAAGTGAGTACTAACGAGCCAATACTCCTTCTTGTATCAACTTCCTAACAACTATGCTTCACAGCCCCATCAACTTCAGCGGAACCTTCGGAATCGGCTCCGGCACCGCCCTTCTCTCCATCTACGGCTGGTCCGAAAACCCACTCGTAGAATACTACATCGTCGAAGACAGCAGCTCCCCACCGAGCTTCGGCACAGTAAAAGGCAGTGTGACGAGTGATGGGTCAAGTTATACAATTTGGGAAAACCAACGTGTCAATGAACCTTCTATTGTTGGAACTGCCACTTTCAATCAGTATATCTCAGTGCGAAATTCTCCGCGAAAGAGTGGTACTGTTACTGTGGAGAATCATTTTAAGGCTTGGGCTGCGCTGGGGATGAATTTGGGTTCGCTTAATTATCAGGTTTTGGCGGTGGAGGGGTGGGGTGGCGAAGGGGCTGCTACGCAAACGGTTAGTTAGGAGGGGTGCGGGAGATATGACTCGTGGTTTTTGGCATTCCGCAGTCGGTAGAGCTACAGCTATTGTATAAATGAGACTTTTGATTCTTGTATTCGCGTCAAGTACGGTCAATCTTAGTAGTTGCAGTATCAAAGAAACACGGGCGGGGAGAGAGATATGCAAATGTGTGGAAGCGAGTCGAAGAAAAATTGATATTAACAAGAAAAATACCATATAATATCAAATATTGCTTCCGTGTGATGTTATAAAATGTACTAATCAACCTCTTTTCCATTTCATATTGACAGATATTATAAGAATTTAGCGTCTATGGTTAGCTTCTATAGTTGCGGGGTATTTTCGCTTATTTTCAACCACCACCCCCCCTACATTTCCCTACTTGAGGGGTGGTAAGCCCATTCGAACAAGAACTAATACCTCACTTTACATAGAATTGAATACATTTTTGTACTCCAGTGAGCTATCCTAAGTTTCGCGATCAATCGCTCTCAATGATGTGATTTCCCTCGCCCATAGGGACGAATTAAAACATTCGGTTCATCTTCACCTGTTCTCATCCGAATCTTTGGCCTCTAAAAGCGAGAAATGGTCGAGTATTTCGTAGAAATGATTACGATATGATTAATAATCACTTTTCTACTACCAGTACTGCTAGGCTTTGCTTTCTTCAACTAAAGTCTTGGCTGATCGTGCCTCCTCTACAAGCGAGTCTTGATCAGCTCTTTCAGGTGGCAGGTTGTATTTGACATGTGCACTTATCGTCGAATAATTGTATGAATAATTCAAAATCTAGCAGCATTTGCTAGCCGTGATTTTTAGCACCCTTTTTTTTCCTAGTCTAGCAGCACAAACTTGGAAATTGTGACAAGATCGAAACTAGAGCCCGAAGTTCATGATATCTTCAACAGAATAACATTTTGCGTAGTATAATGCTTAAATTTAAATCAGAAAAATTAATCAGGATGTTCGGATTTTTAAGTTATTTGTGCAAGCATTCCTTGGTGTAACCATTGTGAAACTAAAAGCCTCTGAAATACCAGCAGGTGTTGAGACATCCATTTGCACTTCTTGTTCATGGAGGTTATTAAGGGAAATTCTGCAAGTGGAGTTGCCTGGGATATAACTTCAATGACGGATACTATGTCTCTAGCTTCCAACATGCGATGATTAAGTTCCTCTTTGATGCCGCTAGGCTCTCGAATTCTTAGACTATGCTTAAAATAGCATTTTCGTTTTTCATAAACGTAATAAATTCACTTTTCCGTGTTTCCAAGGAATGGTAAATTTGGGGAAGTTAAAGAAGATTTATTCGCAGTATGCATCTAGAAATTTTTAATGTAAAAATCGAATGTTGGAGGATTTTTTGAATGAGCATCTATAGTTTCTGAAGGAGGCCGTATTAAAAAGCTGCGGGTTCGGGTGTTGATAGATCTTAGATCTTGGTAGCTCAAATCCTTAAGTATTAGATTGTAGTGTCAAATATCAGTGTTTGTAAAATGCGCTGAGCATCGAAAAAAAAACCTATTTAATTATCCCCCGGTCAGCAGTTATCACTAGGTACTGATAATAGATATTTACCAATTTTATATTTCCTAGAGAATAAGATAACATTCATGATAGACCTCTTCGAATCTATTTGCTGTGGATTGGTACATTAGTTGAGGTCAAGTTGTAAATTTTACCATGAGTGCTCTTTGATTAAGATTTATCCAATAATCAAGCCCGATTTGTTTGAGCTCGATAGTGCTTCGTGTTACCACCAGCAGTTGGTTAGTTGTCACAAAATTAGAGTAGGAGGTGTCATTCCTGTACCAATCTATGAATCTGGTGGTTCCTATACGTCGAAACTTTAACCGGATCGTCCCTTACGACACATTTATATTAATGTTACTGCGACTATCTTGTGTGACTTTGTGATGGCACTTTAAGATTAGTACCCCGCGTCTTGTTCGTGGTGAATTAAATTCAGACAGGTGAATCAAACCACCACTTAATAATCTGAGGCCTCAAATATCTCAGATCCATACGCTGACCTCGAATTCTTTTGATGACGGCGTTGTATTTGTTCTTACAGCTTTCTACTGAAAGGTCATAATGAGCACTGAGTCAGCCCCTCCAATCTTGCCCAACGAAACCAATAAAGATTCTACGAATTCTTCTGAAAAGATGAAAGAACGGGCCCATTTAGCGCCTGAAGAGTGTGAATCGGGTCTGAGCCAGGTGCAAGATTCGAAATCTCGGGGAAGCACACGACGCGGACTAAAATCTCGACATGCACAGATGATCGCATTAGGAGGTACCATTGGTACAGGATTATTTGTTGGAACTGGACAAGCTCTTTCAGTTGGAGGCCCTGGGTTTCTCTTCCTTGCATATTGTCTTGAAACAATATTCGTCTATGGTATTGTGACGGCGACAACAGAGATTAGTGCATATATGCCGGCTGGTGGAAGTACGATGGCGTCGTATGCCACTCGTTACGTCTCTCCCAGTCTTGGATTCGCCATGGGGTGGCTTTACTGGTATTCTTTCGCCATTATTGTTCCCTACGAGATCACTGCCGCCGGATTGGTTGTTAACTATTGGCCAAATGATATAAATATTGCCGTGTGGATCACTGTCCTTCTTTTCGTCATCATTGGCCTAAATTTCTTTCCTGTAAAGGTATATGGAGAGACCGAGTTTTGGTTTGCTTCTCTGAAGGTATTCATGATAGTTGGCCTTTTGATCCTCTCTTTCATTCTCTTCTGGAGCGGCGGTCCATCACATCGGCGGCTTGGATTTCATTACTGGAAAGATCCAGGGGCCACTAAAGAGTACCTAATCGACGGGGCCGGGGGAAGGTTTTGTGCTCTTCTATATGTGCTTGTCTTCTCTGCTTTCTCCTTTAGCTTTGCGCCCGAATTACTTGTAATCACTGGAGGTGAAATGGAATCGCCACGACGAAATTTGCCAACCGCAGCCAAAAGATACTTCTACCGACTTCTTATTTTCTACATTGGCGGAACCCTTGCAATAGGGGTTATCGTGAGTAGTAATGCGCCAGGTTTGATTGGCGGCGGGCCGGGCGCATCATCGTCACCCTGGGTAATAGCAATCAAAAATGCGGGTATCTCAGGCTTAGACAGTGTCGTAAATGCTGTGATCATCACATCTGCATGGTCTTCAGGCAATTCCTTCCTTTACATGTCAAGCAGATCTCTGTATTCTCTTGCGCTTTTTGGAAATGCACCAAGGGTTTTCAAGACATGCAATAGATGGGGTGTACCATATCCTGCACTCATTGCAAGCTCGTTGCTGTCACTCTTGGCCTATCTCAACTGCGCTAGAAGTGGAGTACAAGTTTTTAACTGGTTCATTAATCTCACCAACACATCTGGATTCATTTCCTGGATTTGTTGCTGTATAGTCTTTTTCCGCTTTCGCAAGGCATGCGCTATACATGAAATCACGGATCTGCCATACAAATCGCGTTTCCAGCCTTATCTGGCTTACGTCTCAATCTGTGCTTTCACGATTCTCCTGCTTTGCAACGGATTTAGCGTCTTCTTCCATGGAAAATGGAACATATCGTCGTTTCTCACTGCCTATATTGGGCTTCCTGTTTTCCTCGCCATCTACATCGGCCATCGCATTTACTACTGGTCAGACGAGTGGATGTTGCGTCCGGCTGACGTTGACATGACGACTGGTTTAGAAGAAGTCTTGGCGATTGAGACTGCCACTCTTGTTAGAACAGGTCGGTGGTACCACAATCTGGGCAAAATCTGGGCGTAAATTTTCACGCAATGGACTCGTGGTTTTAGCTTCGGCATATAAATTTGTGTAGTTATTATGGCTAGCCCGCACCTTGTTGCTAGCATTTAACGGAAATGTTCGCTTAATTTGTAATGCAGTCTGAGGTTTGTCACGATAGATCCTCGCAACAAGTTTAAACTTTCAAAATTTGTGTTAATGATGACTTATTGAGCACCATATTCCGATGGTTAAGCCCGATTCATGTGCCATTCACTGAACGCGTCTTGAGATTCATTAGCCTACTTGGTTAGTGATGGGTACAGTGAAGCCTAACATACGTAGGATTAGTTGACTCTGAAGCCTACCAAGCTGTTATAATTCACTCTTGTATTGATATCTTACCGCGACTTGAGTGAGTGATGTGGCTTGTTCCCTTGTAACGTGACAGATCATCGCCACTATTTTATGCCTAGAAAACATAAGACCACATACCACGCAAGTAGGAGAAACGGAAAAGCGAAATATTTAGCCTGATTTATATTGCAATGTTCTAACCTGCATCCGAAACATCAATGCCAGAAACTAACCGGAAAATGCATTCGGCACATCGTTAGCTGCGATCACGCCAAGTGAATGAGGGATATATGGAATCTACTTGATGAGACGGTCGAAGCAATACCCTATTATGCTAATAGCTCCTCGTTAGATATTATCCTATCCATGAACAAAAAGCATAGGACATAAATAAACTTACGGCAGATTCGCAGCTCTCGTGCACTTCTGAGCGTGATAGGGTTGAATATGGTGATAACATAAGATCTTGAAGGTATATAGATTAACATAGCCCTGAATTGTCTTTTGTCGAGTACTTGCAATCACAATAACACACACAACGTGAACAAAAAATTCCAATCTGAAATAAAATTATGTTTTGTAAAAGAAAAAAAAGATCAAAAGAGTAAAGAAAAACCAAAAGGAACATCCAACCTACCTTCACACCTACTTACCTACCTCCCCAAAACAAGCTTCACCATTGTCATAGCCACCATACCCAAAACGCCAAGCAAAACCACAGTCCAAAACAAGACCGAGTCAAAATCAGGAACAGTAGCATACCAATAAACAGAACAAAGCGCAAAAACCGGAAGGAAAGGTCCGTCGCCAACAAGATCAAACAAACTGATAACCAGCACAGCGAAGATGCTCAACCAGCCAATAAACCAAGCTAATACCGCTATTAAACCCTTCCAGAAAAATGTGTGCACAAATATAGTTCCCCATCCTTCATCATCTTCTTCGCGTGCGGATTGTTCTCGTTGCGTATCCGCGGGAGAGGGGTATGGTTCTTGACCGGGCTGGACGGATGGTGGTAGAGAAGCTATGTAGGCGTGATTGAGGGAGTCGGGAACGTAGAGGGGTGCACGTCTAGGGGGGTTGAAGGGACGGCGGCGGAATTCTTGGCGGAGATTGTAAGGGTCGCGGATTGGAGGCGTGAAGTTCATGTATCCCGCATTGCAGGTGTTGCAGCCTGTGGGGCGACCGGATGGTGTGGTGAAGAAGTTTGTAGACATTTTGTGTGATTGAGGTGTGTGTTGGAACAGTCCTTAAGTCCTGATATTCTTTAGCTAGGGATGATTTTGGGCTTACCTACTTTTCTCTGTATTGTACTTTATGGAATTAAAATGAAAATGAATGTATGTAAGTCACCACCAGGGTAGACGTCAAATGTTGTTTGAATTAGAACAGGGAAGTTAAAGTTGTGAGTGTGTAAAAAAAAGTAGGTGTTCTGTAGAGACTGTTGTTCTTGACAATTGAATTGTTGAGTAGAAGTCTGTTTAGCTATATACCTCAACTATCCTTTGTCGCCTTCGTGACAAAGGCTCCTGTTTATTTGAAGGCAGGTTAGAACTTTCTTTGTGCTAGATATAGAGAATGTTATTTTAGGCAGAATAATAACGATTGTCAAAGTAAATTCTTTGTTGCTTTGCTCTCAACAACAAAGAAAGGATTCCAAATCATTGTTCTTGAATTTAGAGGCACTTGGCGTAAAAACATGGTAACCCTCAAAATTACTCATTTTGTAGAGCAGAACAATGCTTTACCACTTGAACAGGTTTATTTACGATCCTTATCAGTCCTATTCCAGCCAATTTTCCCCTTTCATCCTTCTGATTTCACTCATACCGAACCTCAAAGTGCACATACAAAAAAAAAAGGCTATTGCAAATCAACACAACACCTATATTATATATCGATAGAAAAAATCAAAACTTCCGAGGAGCTCAAATCAATCCAATATGTGCAGCAATGTTTCTATCATCTGCCCCATCTGCACAAAGGTTGCAGCACCATCTCGAGTTATGGAGTGCGCTGAAAAATCCGGCCGTTTCATGAACGCCACACCATGCAAGACTAGCGACAATAAGATCATCGCCATGAACTCCTGCGTTCGATGCAGTAACCCTGAAAGACCATCGAGTCCTACCCGCATTCTCACAGGAGACATCCTAAAAGACCGGTGCTGGAGGATTCCAGAATGGCACCCTACAGCACCAAAGGAACTCAATCCTTCAGAGGTCCTTCCAAATTGGAACTCCGAGACCCTGGCTCTCAAGCAAATCAAAGAATTCTTCTTCGAGCACATTCCACGAAGCCATAATTTGGTACTGCTGAATCGACAAGGTTTACCAAGTCAACGAAAGGGACTCCCATTGTGTTTGGTGGCTGGGGTGAAGCAAAGACCTGCACGTGCTTACCAAAGACCTGTCCCTGTTCACCGACGACCTCCAAGATTTACAGCAGTGACAACATCACGACGGCAGCGAGCAACAATTGCTTTGCCACCATCGGCGTGGGAAAATCGTCGTCAAAACAGCCAATTTGGCGCTGCACCATCAACGCGAGCTTCATCACTTCAGGCAAATTTTGCACCGGCAGGAACACCAACTTGTTTAATCCCAGAGGGCATCCGTCGACAAAGCATAATTCAATATGAAGCTTCGCTCGCAATTCCATCTATGCCAGAGTCACTGAAAATCCGGCTACCGGAGGAAGCATGCGCTCCCCCCCAAGCTCAAAACACCAAATCAATCCCCTCATCCGCCACATCAATTCATTCGGGTTATCTCCTTCCAGGGCCCTCACCACAGGTTGAGACATTCAGCCCCGTTACACACGCTCAAATTCCCGCACATTACGATGTGCGACCCATTCTCACTCCACCACCTCTCCGTATTCCTACCAGACAACAGCGAGTCCAGGAACGCGAACGACGAAAGACTCTGGACCAAATCCAAGAGCGAATCCGAGTGCGCCAAGAACGCGAACGTCAAAACCAAGAACGTGAGCGTCAAAACCTAGAAAGCGAACGAATTCGTGAATTGCAACAACGTGGGGATCAAAGATCCCACTCCGAAGTCACACCTTCAAGGACTGTCAATGATGTGCAATTTCAGAGCGTGCGACCCATCAAGTCTAAGCGAAGTCTCAGGCAGCTTTTAAAGCTTCGATAGTTCAGTCCTCCTCGGAGTTGACATTTGAGTGGCGAATGAGTGACGAGGTGAGTGTTTAGACGAGCGTTTAGATGAGTGTAGACGGCGTTCTAGTGAGCTGGTCTCATTTCCATTTCCATTTCCATTCTCCTTTCCTTCTTTTCTCTTTTCATTTTTCACTTATCTTAGCACTTATAGATTTTATTATCACGATATACGAAACATAAAAAAGATAGATTGTAGGCATGGGCCCTGGAGATAAAAAATTGTAATATTTCTTAGAAAGTAACTTAACACTGATGAAACTATAATATCATGTCTATGTTCGAAAAATATGCCCATCCGTGATGTAACGCCTTGCTCCTATGATACTCTCATCTCATATTCGCTATCTTGATTCACTTGATATCTCATACTTTAGCCGCATCAATTTGTAAAGGTACAGCATTTGCAGTGCGCAACCATTCTCCATTGAAGGCATTGATGAGCCAGTTATTAAGTTCTGCGAACAGTTAGCGCCCACATGTATGAAGATATACGAATGATGACTTACTATCGTAAACAATTCTGTTCGCGTTATGAAAATAGATAGAATGATCGCTGTCAGGGAAAACATGTACATCATAATTTTCAACCCCGGCAAGATCGAGTTTGTCCAATAAAGTGAGGGTATTCTGCATATGCACATTATCATCCGCGACACCGTGCATGACCAAGAAACGGACATTCTTGGAGAGCGCCTCCACATTGCTAATGCTTGTATTGTCGTATCCGCCAGGATTGTGTTGAGGAGTATGCATGTATCTTTCGGTATAAATAGAATCGTAGAATCGCCAATCGGTGACTGGCGCAACAGCCATGCCATAAGAAAATGTCTCTCCAGCATCTTCTTCCAGAGTCTTCAATGTCATGAAACCACCGTATGACCATCCCCAGATAGCCATTCTTGATGCATCAACGTACTTTTTGCTGGCCCAAATTTTAGCAGTCTCAATCTGATCACGTGCTTCGTAGTGGCCAATGTTCCCACGAATTATGGTTCGGGCTTTTCTTCCGATGAATCCTGTGCCACGGCCATCAACAGTTACGACAATGTATCCAAGGTTTGAGGCAATGTAAGATTCAAAGTCAACATTGAAGCTCTTGCTAACAGTCTGAGATCCCGGACCACCATAAAGGTAGAACAACACCGGGTACTTCTTCTTTGGATTGAAATGAGGTGGTCGACGCTCCACAACTTGCAACTCAAATCCGTCAATCGTAACAGTTTGGTAAATGAGAATAGGTAAGTCATGTTTCTTTGCCATTTCAGCCAATCCTTTGTTCTCCTCAATGGTATGCGTATATTGGTTGCCATTACTGGGAGTGCTGATAACTTTTTGCCACGGAATACCTGGACCATTGTAATTAAGGAGTACGTATCCAGCTCCCTTGGAAAATGAGGCTCCATAATAACCTTCGTTCGAAGTATCTGTAATCGCTTTCATATCTGTACCATCTAATTTGACGCTGTATACTTGTCTTGTAATTGGTGACTCCTTTGTAGAAACAAAGTAGACAAGATTGTTCTTGAGATCAACGGCAGAAGGCGCCTGTACCACTTCCCAGTTGCCGGATGTGAGAAGTATAGGCTCTGGATTATCCATTGGTGTAAAATACCCTAAATGATCATAGTTTTCGTGGATGATGGTGTCAATGTATCCATCGTGGGGACGTCCGTTTGCAGGATCTGCAGGAATATAGCGAGTGTCCTCGGAGACCTCGAACCATCCACCATCGAGCTTGTTGATATCTGTGTATCGCACTGTTTTCCCCTCTCGAGCCACAACATCAACGAGGACAACTCGCAAAATATCACTTTCTCTGTTCGTTTCACGAATCAAAGCTTTACCTGTCGAACCAGCCCAAACTACCTCTGTAATCAACAAGTTCTTTGGCTCAAAGCCACCTGCAATTGTGACTTCAAATACTTCTGCCTTGAAAATGTCATAAAACAAAAGGTCAACAGTAGGATTTGGAGCACCGGCTTTGGGATATTTGATCTCTCTGACTTCTGGATAATTCTCCTCTCCTGGCAAAGGTTCCTTTCCGCTAGGTCTTGAAACGAAGTATTGAATTGGATACTCAGGTACTTCAGATTCATTGGTACGGAGGAATGCAATATATTTCCCACTGTCATCCCACCATGTCGCACTGGCTCCGGCAAAAACCTCTTCTTCATATACCCAATCAGGTACACCGTAAAAGAATTCCGGGCCACCATCAGTGGTTATTTGGATAACAGTTGGTGATGATAGTTTTCGAAGATACATGTTATTATCCCGAGTGAAAACGATGGCATCACTCTTCGGACTCCAGCTTGCCAATTGAACTCGCCCATCTAGATCCACCGGATCTAATGGTTCCGCGGTTTGGGATTCGACATCGAAGATCCAATATTTTGCATAAAAGGAATGTCTCCAATTTGACTGGACGTCTGTCGCTACCAGGACTTTCTTCAAATCCTTACTCGGGTATACTTTGCTTGGGTACAAACTTCTACCAGCAACTGTGAAAGATCCGTCCTTCATCAAAGTCATCCTGTCTAAGGTCCCTACAGTCTCTGGATTCTGGGTTCTGACATCTTCCACAATCAAATAATCCTTTCCGGCCGAACCTTGCTCGAGTAGCAACCCATCCTCCCCGTTGGCTCCTGCAATCCAACTTATGCTATGTTTAGTCGCTCTCCATTGACCACCCATAACCTGATCCATTGTGACCTTCTTCCCATTACCTCTCGAGGATGTTGCCTGTGGATCGTGGGGAATTTCCGATGAATGTTTGTACGCCTGTTTCCCTAAGAATATAAACAGGGCCAGCACCCAGGCTCCAATGAACACTCCCCCAACAATCCATATCAGCTTTCTCAATTTCTTATCCACCGACTTGTTTGTAGCCCCATTTGTAAGAAACGCGCTGTCCTCTAAATCGTAGTCTTTCTCTTCTTCTTCATCTAAATGTATCTGCGTATGTTCATCGTCCGCATACGCCATCTCCCCTCGAGGAGGAAACTTGGGTGTCACCATCATCGATTTCTCAGACCGATTCGCAGCTACACGTTCGCCGATGCGATCGAAAACCAGACTTGTAGTCGAAGCAGTCGAGGCCGCAGAATCTGATGAATGCCGTGAAACAGACTCCTGCTCTGTTGACAGGAGCTGTGCGTTCTCTTCAGTGTGCCCAGCCATATCTGAGTGTACGGGAGTTTCAGTGGGTCTGGGAGTTCAGAACAAGGCCAATACCATACGCAAAACCGTTTCAATTCGAGATGTGCATTGCTTTTGAACAATCTACAAAATCACAGCAGCCAATAGCTGAAAGAGAAGAAGGCTGGAATTGAAAAATATATTTATTGAGGACAGTATTAGGTAGAGTTCTAGAAATCGTCTTTGTCAATATGTTGACGAGGCTTACTATTCAGCTTCCCCAATTTGGTGGAAGAGCGACAAATCCCGGTATTTGGCCCTGCATCGCTATCTAATCAACCAAGACCATCATGAGCTAGCTTCATGAAATCCTCTTTGGTTACCGATATGTTTGTTCAATTTTTATGGGATTTTTGATAAAAATTAAGGTAGTTTTACAAAGGGTAGTTTCTTCCAATTAGGAAGACAAAGAATCATTCTAGTAGAGGTCTACTCTAATATTCCTAAAATCAATCAATATATCATTTCACTTCCTTTCCACACAAACACAACTTCTAACCTACAATGGATGCTATTTTTGGATAGTGACGGGACGTGGGTTGAGATATTGTACGGGAAGCAGAGAGTAAGCTGAATTATATTACAGCTGAATATCTCCTTTCCGTGTTACAGGCTTATTATTGAGCAATGATTAATATATCATTCATTATATTTGGGATCATAACCCGCAAAATGTTCTAATTCTCCACCCAGGTATTCCTCCTGCGAATATCAGGCGTTAGATATACAAGTATATGACCTCCAATCTATAACCCGTCCCAAAACCATATCTTATGTGCTTCCGTAAATCCTTCTCAGCCTCTAGCCATTACCAATCGGCATTATTTGTCGTTTGTAGATGTCCACGCCTTTATCTCCCAGACTTCCCTTATTTACTGTGCACAATAAAGTTCCTTAAACTATCCCAATGATCGCTCTGCACATAAATATAATCCATACTACTCCTCAACCCACTCTGAACTGTCTCCGGATACCACCTGAATAACCACATAACACTTCCCCAGCTCAGCGCTGCAAATACTGGCCATGCGTCGCTCGATATTCTATCCGAAAGCTCCTGGTTACGGATAATTCCTGTTGAAGGAAGGACTGCCAATTGTGCTAGCGACAAGCATACTCGTGCGAATACTGTGAATGATCTTAGGTTAGTATATCTCTTGTTGTGACTAATGGAGGCTTAAACGTAAGGAGAAACGTACCAAATATCACAATCTGTTTACTAACACTGCTAACATGACCTTTCTTCGACCTCCTCCCAAATACCACATATCCACCTAACAGTCCTGCCAGAAAGGTATCCCATCTTCCTTCCTTCCCCTCCTTTCCTCCTGCGTATTTCAAAGCCAGCATCGTAGACTTATATATTGTAGCATATTTCGCGAGATTTTGCGCATGTGTTCGAGTTGCGCGGAGTATCAGCCCTATCTTTTCACGAACGGTACCAGATCTAAATAAAAACATCATACTAGAACTTCAAATCAATAATGCACCTCAAGTAGCAGAGGCGAAGCAGAAAAGGGGAACCTACACCAATGCATGAGGAAACCTGACTTTAGCACCGTAGACAGCGCCGCTGCGAGCAGCTTTGAGGACGGCGAGAAAATCCGCATTTTTGGGATCGAGAATAAATTGCTCAAGTGCTGTCTATATTCGCATCAGCATACCGCTACAATCAGAACAAAAATGGTGGATGTATACCTTTATGATAGCAATCCTTCCCTCCTCCATCTTGTCGGTCTGAAATGAACCTCGGCAACTTTTGTATTCCTATAAATCCAGCAATTTCCTGAAAGGGAAGAAAGAAATAAGATGTAAACACTATTCTCGTATCCTCAATCGTAGTTAATCAATCCTGTATTCAAGTCGCAGATATTGTATCAAAGAAATAAGGTAAATGAAGCAAAAAAGTAAACTCAGGAATGAAGCTCGGCATGTTTATGGATGAACATGAATTGGGACATTCGCTACCCCACAGACTTCAAGACAGGGGATTCCTTAGCCTCAGGTCCGCAGGGTACCCTTTACAAGTTTACATGTGAGATTCAGGCATGAATAGTTCTTGCCTCATGGAATAAATTCGGCGCTAGTGCTTTATCTATTATCGGGATCGCAAAAAAAAAGTTCGAGCTTGGAGAAGTAAAGAAGGCATTTGTTGATAACTTCGTTTCCTTCAAACAACCGCATAATACCACATAATATCGATTCATCATGTTACGTCAAATGTGAGACCTTTCAATTCTTCTCAAATTCCAATTGAACTTTCCATATTAACATAATCTTCCAGCAAACCCCGTAATGCTCGCAGCAAGCGCGCTCTCACCAAAAAAGCACCGAAGCCTGTCGAGAATCCAAAAACTGCGCTCTTTCTCCGTTATACCACCTGCTCGCAACCTACTCAAGACTGTCTCACAGATCTCCATACCCTCCATCTACCTCTCGCAAAGAAATTCACCAAGAAGAATAGTATTCATCCTTTCGATGATCCTTCTTCCCTCGAGTTTTTCTCGGAGAAAAACGATGCTTCTCTTTTAGTGTTCGGTTCCTCATCTAAGAAACGACCACATTCGATTACTCTCTGCAGAATGTTCGATTATAAGGTGCTGGATTTGTTAGAGTTGAACCTTGATGCGGATTCATTCAGGACGCTGAGCCAATTCAAGAACAAGAAATGCGCTGTCGGATTAAAGCCTATGATTTTGTTCTCCGGTACTCCATTTGAAAATCCCGTTTCCGATGAATACACCCTTGCGAAATCAATGTTTCTCGACTTCTTCAAGGGAGAGCCTGCCGACAAAGTGGATGTTGAGGGTCTTCAGTATATCGTGTCAATTTCAGCCAGGGATAGTGTAGATGGAGAGGAGGAAAAGCCAAAGATCCATCTACGAGTATACTTGATACGGACTAAGAAGAGTGGCCAGAAATTACCACGAGTTGAGGTAGAAGAAATGGGCCCACGGATGGATTTTAGAGTTGGCAGAGTCAAGGAAGCGGATGAGAGCATAATGAAGGAGGCAATGAAACGGGCAAGAGGAAGCGCGGAGAGGCCCAAGAAGAACATCAGCACGGATATTGTTGGTGATAAGATTGGTAGAATACATCTTGGTAAACAAGATTTGAAGGAGTTGCAGACCAGAAAGATGAAGGGATTGAAGAGAAGCAGAGACGTGGCTGATGATGATGAGGGCGAGGATGATGAAGATATTGTTAGCGATGATGAGCCTGTGAAAAGGTCAAAGAAGGCATGAGCCATTGACACTATGTGCAGTAATATCAAGATATCAGGTGTTTGGAGTTTTGGCACGGAAAAGGACTTTTACCAAGATGGTGGGTTGTGCTCAAGGGTTAAATGCCAGGATGTATAAAAAGCTAGCAACTGTAACTTCCACCGAATTTCCTTCTTGCTCACTTGTATTTGCATCTTATTTTCTGATGACCAAGCCCCCTCTATTTCTTTCGCCTTCCTTGCACGGAACCCTAGGTTCTGATCCGTGAATGTGATACTTAGCACAGAACGTTGGAGGGGGGTCGTGAATCTTATGGTCTCGTCGTGCACGCATCAAGTGCATTGCTATATCATGAATAAGTTCAGGGTAGAGCTTTTCATCCAGATTAAACAGTTCTCAGACAAATTTTCGACTGTGTTATTCGCGAGATACTTGCGTAATGGTGAATCTTTCGATGTAGTTTTGCAGGCATGATCAAGTAATTCCAATGGAAATTTACAATCTCTATAAAAAAGCAGGTGGTGAGAGCATCCATTACCTTGTTGCAAAGCCGCGGCATCAGATATTTGTCACCAAGAACATAGTTTCACCAATACCTCCACTGGTCGATCCGCTGGTTCTTGAGTGTCCAAGTCGCAAGTGACAAACAGATGTATTGGTCAACGTATATCAAGTGTACAAAAGTTCTGATAACTTCGGGTTGCTCTTCTGGCAGGCGTATGATACTCCCTTCCGTGCCTTGCAATTCCTGCTTACAAGTAGCTTCAAAAAAAAAGACTTACTGCGCACAGAATATTTTTGTGGACAAAGAATTTTGAATCCTTGCTCTCAGGGTCGTCCCCAACAAGCAGAGTGACAACCTCACCAAGGGATCTGCATGGATCAGCACATACACTGTGTAGGAGGTAGGAGTAGGAATCTAGGGCTCACGTGGCTAATAGAGACTTTATGTGTGGATGCATGTCAACATCACTCAGTTTTCTCTTTCTAGCAGGGAGTTCTTCATGGTCATTAAGAAAATGGCATAATGAAGTTAGCATTGTGTATGATTAAATTGAAGGTCTCCATACTTATATTAGAAGCCGCAACCTTTGTGGCACTGCTGGAGACCAGGTCATTTTCAGAATTCTCCTTGGATGTTGCATGTTTAATGATTTCTCCGTCGCTGGGGAGATCCAACGACGCAATGCAGATGATAATGAGGATGACGAATTATCTCTCAAACCAGAATATGTACCCGTTGTTGTCACGATGAAACCTCGTTCGAAATAAGAGATATGATGATGGATCGGAGAAAAGATTTCATGAATAGTGAGGATGAGAAACTGAGATCGAAAAGCGGGGCACTGCAATCGATCATGGGAAGCGGAGTCTCAAAGACAAAATGAACAAAAGTCGCTCATGAGACTTCAAATCAAATTGGAATGATGGGCAATTACTGACAGTAGTCTAATTATTAACATCCTCCACATCAGGGTACCAATGATGGACAGCAGATAATGTATATATTGAAGAAAATAAGAAGGATGAAAAGTTAAGAAAGGCTGTGATCAAATGTGCGGGGAACAAGCAAGCGTGCCTTCCAAATTCACGATGTGAATCCTCGAAGACGGAACGAACGACAGAGTCAATCATGTGATTTTACACACCTCAAATCACCCTTAATAAGAGTTTAGCCTTCTAGGCGTGGATACAATTGGATGAAACTATGAAATTTGAAGATATGTTTGTACAATTGTCCATTGATCATAAGTATGAATAACTTTAACAGGGCAAGCTTCTTATGCCAATTCTATTCGGCAACCATGAACCGCTAGAGGGTACCTTATTGAGCGCGTATGCATTATATATGATCAAGCACCGTTGACTTCAACAGGAGCACTTCTAGTAATCAGAAATTCTAATCCAATTATCTGATCTATACCCTCACACTTTCCAATAATCTCTCCTCTACGCCTTCTAATGTGCTCTTGTGCGCCAATACAGATAAATTCTCGGCCTCTCCTTGGAATTGCTTGTCGGGGTCTACACCTGGTCCAAACATTTGTGCGCCTGCTCCAGGGCCCATTTGACCCATTTGTTGAGCCATTTGACTGGCAGCTATGTTGACTTAGCATCATCGACTTGTCTTGTAAGAGTGAAAGGAATAACATACCATTATCGCTTCCCAATAGATAATTGAACACAGATTGTAATCCAAAGATACAAAGAACGTACCACGAAATGGAAGACATCCATTGTGGGTCCATATCTCTGGTGGCTACTCCAGCTTGTAACATACTCTTGAACTTGATCGTCAAGGGAAATGGTAGTTTGACTATACATCTACATCAGTACATCCAGTCTTGTACTACCTCCGAAGAACTCACTAATAACAAATCCACTGAAAAATGCATTAATCCAGCCCATAATTAAAGTCTGCGGAATCATCATGGACATATTTCCCTTCATCATACCCATCATTCCCTCCATAGCCGCGGGATCTGTCATAGGATTTGGAGCGGCTTGTCCCTTCTTCTCTGGCTCCTTCAAGAACTTTCCTTCTTCAAATGCTTGAACGAGATAATCTTTACGGGGTTGGAAAGCGGCGGGAGTGAGAACATGGGCGTTGTTGCGGAGATTAATGCCTCGAAGGAGGGATCGCTGTTCGCGAATGGCTGGGAGCTCTTGCTTCTTGGGAGTGGTGGCCATGAGAACGGTAGCATAGTGACGAAGAATACCAGTCAAAATCTTAATGCCGAGTTAGCATTACGAATAGTAGAAGACGAGTAACGCTTACCATAACAATAGTAATTGGTATCAAGATCCAGTAGCTACATATCCATCAGCTCAATTCATCCTGAATAACAGCAATATGCTCACAATAATTGGGGATCCCTATGGATCGTCTGCACAGGAACTTGTGCCATCTTTTCAGTTACTCCTTGATCTAACTCGTTGAGAAAGATAATGTGTGAGGGGTTGTCGTGAAATAAATTCTAGGTCTGTAGTTGAATCTGACATCAAATGTGGCTTTCACGCTAAATTCGGATCCTACCGAGAGAGCTTCATCAAGACACGTTCTCTTTGTAAACAATGCGACGACAGCTTTCTCTCCCACATAATTCCGTGGGATTGTAAATAAATTCATCATGGCTTCAGAAAGGATATCGGTGCACTCTCTCCCTGGTCAGTATACATATTTATCTTTAATAGTTATCTATGTTTTGCAATATTAACCACCAATTCTAGACCTCAAAAACACCACTGACGATGCTCTCCCCACCTACCTCAACTCCCTAAAATTCACCCAGTCACACATCCTTTCCGATACCCGGTTAGCAATTGGTTATACTTCTGTCCTGGTCTGCGGTGCCTGTTTTTACTGGGACTACACTTTCGGCTTCGAGCCCACAAAGTCCTATACAGCAATCGCAGTTGGAATATACTTTGTCCTCAATACCTTCCTTACATTCTGGTTATTCTATGTCGAGAAAGGAATCATATACATCGGCACATCTCCAGATAAAAACCACATCATCGAGATTTCTACGCAAACCAAGAAACATCAACCAATTTACAACTTGACATTCAAGATCTTTGAAGCGGCAAAAGGAAGATCTGGACAACCAAATGAAGAGAGAACTTTAAGAAAACCTTTCAGGGAATGGTTTGATGAGAAAGGTCATTTTATCGTACAACCATTCCAAGAGATGCTGGCCACTAATATTTCAGTGATTGGAGCTGTCGATCCAAAGAGAGTGGTTAAGAAGGAGAAGAAGATTGAGCAAGAAGGGCAGGCTGATCAAAGTATGGATGAAAAATGGGCGGCACTATTGAAGGAGAGTAGCGGTGAGGTTGAGACTTCTGGAGCTGAAAAGTCAGTGGGAGGGAAAAAGAGAAGTAAGAAAGTTTGAGGAGATCATGTGAAATTGGTGGATGAGAATAGGTTCGGCATCATTATCAGCCATGGAGTTAGGCGATATCTTGTCAACGTCAATATTTGATTAGGAAGTGGAGCGCTGGCTATGAAAAATATCTATCGAAACTCTTTCCAAGCGTAGACTTCCACTGTCCCTGAGGTTACGCAAAGTTTGCTTCCTCATAGTACAATACATTATGAACCGTTTATTCTCAATCTCTTCCCTCAATCTCTCCTTTAAATGTATCCGCGACCTCTCCGCCATACTTAGCGGCCTTGGTCAAGGATATGGTGCCTCCGCATGATTAACATCATCCATCTCTCCCAAAAGCCCATTTCTTCCCACTCGTTCCGCTCCCCTTGACTCCGAAATGAGTCCCGATACTTCTCCAAATCGCGTTAAGATTTGTCTCCATAAAGCAGACTACCGATTTTGCATACTCCTTTCTCTTTTGAATGATGAACTCGATCGTCCTTGCAATCATATCATCTTCCATCATCGCAGCTTCTTCCCTTCAAGCTTCTTCCTTCCCCGCTTTCATCCTCTCTATTCTTAGAAGATCTTCACATGCCTTCTTCAAAGCATCTTCATCCGCCTCCTCTTTCTCCCAAGCTTCATCTTCACCCAACACTGAAACATCCCTTCCATTCCTTATCCGCCTTCTTTTGAGCTATCTTGATATACTGCTTCGATTTATAAGGATTCCAAGATTCAAATCTGTCGATCCCTCTCCCAATTTCTTCCATGCACCGAGGGTGAAATTACAACATTTCTCGTATCGTAGCGGCGGCTAAAGAAATGTTAGTATTGATTGCGGCTTAGGCTGCAGAATATGAAATATGAGTTATAGGTTATAGGAATTTCAAAATACATACCTCACTCCCTTGGATGTATACTCTCACATTTTGACACATGAGGGCATCTCACCTTTGTCTGTCTGTGCTCATGCGCTCTTGTGGGAAATTCTTGCTCCAGACATTCTTCAACCTTTCCGGGAGAGCAAAGGCTTAAGCCTTTATACCGGTGTAGAAACCATACTCATGTATCTGCGCAACATCTCCTCATTCCCCTCCACAGTTTTAGATCCGGCATCACCATATTCTCACTTCTATCTTTTTCCGTACTCCCCGTTGCAGAAATTCGATCTACGCCACTTTCTACATAATCTATCCAAATTTCCTAGTTTCTCTTCTCAATTCCCGCTTTTCATGCATTCCGAGAAATCTATTGGCCAAACGTCATGTTAACATATGGCTTCGGGTATCTAGAGAATCTAGTGACTAGATCATGCCGCTAAGTACTCTAGGGGGAAATCTTCACACAATGATTGGATTCAAAGTTCAACAGCTCCTAGATTTTCCCCAGACTACCTTGTTTGCTGAATCATGTAGCTATGCCTATGCCAAATCCGCGCTGGTAAGTCACAATTCAGCCTCATGAACTTGAAAGTTACGTCTCCATCTTGTCAGTTATTTGATTGTAATTACTGCAGATGGAGAGGCCAGATGTTGTAGCTCTTTATAGTAAAGTACTCATTGGTCCCTTATTTAGTATTAACAAGTTCCATAAACTTTGATTTAGTTCCTTCCACAAAAAAAAAAGAAATTCAAAAATTCAAAAATTATCCCCATTGCACCTTTTCTCATACTACAATAACACAATTACAGTTACTCATAACATTATAAAATCTGAAAATTCTAACATAATGGAAAATTCATCCGTTCCTTTCTCCTCTCAATCTATCTCTACGATGCGGCCTTCTACCGCCCATTCCCAACCCTTCCGCCGAACTTCCTCCTTTTACGGTTATTCGGAGAATTTGGAGCATTCTACTCATGGCACAGATCACTTTTTCGTCTCCTCTACTCTTGAATGTGGCACCATCGACGAAGCAATCAGCGAATCCGTATTCGCACTCACAGTGAACAATTCAACCTCCAGATTAAATCAAAGCAACCGGCAATCCACCATCTTAACCCGCTCGTCCGCGGGCACCCAGATATTCCTTCTTCGAGCTCGCCGCCCATTCCATCTCCTCAAGTTCCGCCCATCCCACCTCCTCACGTCCCGCCAATCCCACCTCCCCACGTCCCGGTAATACCTCCGCATACCATTCCCAATGCCACTCCCAATGCCATTCCCAACGCCTCTCCCAGCACCACTACACATCCGTATCCCTCTCCCTCTCCCTCCGCGTCCCCCAAACCATTTCTCCCGACATCATCACCAACCACCTCCTCACCCCCACCCAACTTCACTCCCTCAACCCCCTCGACCTCCTCAATCCCCTCAATCCCATACTCCTCAACCCCACCACCAACCTCCTAACCACAAACCACCCAACCTACAAACAATACATCCAACTCATCTTCACCAGCACCAGCACCAGCACCACCAATCCACGCCGTACATTGAGAGAATCCCCATGGTCACCTCTTATTCGACAAAGTGCTCAGGAACGACGGGAGCGTGAGGAGCATGCCAGGAGAGCCGAACGTGCTGAGGGTATTTGGGGTACTGATTACAATTTAGATAATATATCGTTTCATCCTCGATATACTCAGTATGATGAAGATGATGCTAGTTCTTCGGGTGCATTGGATACTCTGGATACTACATCATCGTTTCGTTCTGGGTATATTGAGTATACTCAGTCTAGTGATCGCACTTTAGATACTATGGATACTTGGGATAATACGTCATTATTCCATCCTGGGGGTGAATGGCGGAGGAATTTTAGACGTGGGGGAGTTTTGGGGGAGGTGTTGGAGGAAGAGGAAGACCAAGAAACAATACTCGAAGTACCACAAGAGACACTCGAAGCACTCGAAGCACCAGAAGCACCACAAGAAATAACCTTCGAAGCACCATCAGATCAAGAAGATCAAGAAATTTACGATTCAGACGACGAACTATGGTACGAAGACGACGAGACATTTTGGGATTCGGAACCAGAACCTGAACCAGAACCAGAATCAGAACAATGGCAAGGACAAGGACAAGTAAAAAGACGTCTTGAGACGATTTTTGAAGAGGAGGATGAAGAATAGAGTGAGGTGTGGAGAGTATTTATATAAAGATAAAATTACCATTAAAAGAAAGAAAGAAAGATAAAGGACATGAATAAAATCCATGGATAATTAATTAATTAATGATAGGAAAGCGGGATTTTTTAGGGGGGATTTTTGGAGTTGATGTATATATATGCTTACATATCTAGGATACCAGATGATAAATTGAATATTAATTGTTTATTTGAATTTGGTTTTGTGATCTTTTTATCTATATCTACATCTACAATACTTACCTCAAAGCTCACAATCATCACAATCATCACCAAGATCCAATACAGACAAATAAACAAATAAACATAACATAATTTATCATTATTGTATAAAGAAGTGGATATCATCATCCACATTCCCAACCACATCTCATGCTATGCACCAACTATTAGCTTTGCTTTGCATTGCATTGTATTGCACTGCATTGCTCCTTCTAGCACGAAATTTATTTCTAATCAAGATATGCATATCCCAATTAGATGATTTTCCACATTTTCTTTCCTCTCCTCTCCTCTCCTCTCCTCTCCTTTCTTGTCCTCTCACCCGTACGATTATTTATCAACCCTTAATATCCCATTTTATCCAGCACCTGTAACACCTACCCCTCCATTCTGCGGTGGTCTCCCAGGTCCCCACCCACTATTTCTATATTCCCTCCTATCCCTATCACCACCTGCGCCTCTCTCCCCATGTCCATGTCCATGTGCATTATCCGGGGTTCTATTCTGTTGTTCTCTATAAACAGCCGCTGGATGTTGTATTTCCGCACCTTCAACCCCTTGCCATTGTTGGTTTGGTGGCGTATTTTGATTATATCCCGCTTGGAGTATTGGAGGATCTTGTACATGCCTGACGCTACTTTCTTTCTGCCAAGCAGGATGTGCAGGATCAACATCGACTCTGGTAACAACTGGTGCTAGAGGTCGACCACTACCATCTCTGTGACCTGAACCTTCGGTAGTTTCAACTTGATGACGGACGCCACCACTAGCGCTGATGTCACCATAACGTTTAAGGATTTCTTTGGTGGTTATGTCGGATGTATTATTAAAGAGGATTGGGTCGTTGAGTATTGATTGGAGATCTTCTGGCACCTTTTAAATTGTTAGTTACATACAGGATAAATGAAAAAGGATAAAACTTACTTCACACATTTGTTCATTACACTCAATAAGTGTGTGAACGACCTCAATTGCAAGGAAGTTATCATCAACAGGTGACTTAGCATTCGTATATATGATATTCGGTGCGATAACCGTGGCAAGATTGTGAGTATCCATCTTCGATCCAGATTCTTCATCGACTTGATGGAATGATGCAACCCAATTAAAGAAGGAGCAGAGAATTTCCAAACAGTCTCTGTGTACCTTTGGAAGTAAACAACATGTTAGATGCAACACCCGACGCCTCTTATCTTCATCGGCTATCTTTTGCGAAGCGATGAATAGATTGTGAAGTTTGAAGGTCAGTAAAGGATCCGGTAGATCTCGAAGGTATTTCTTGAGTAGAGCAGCGACTTGTACGACATTTTGTCGACTTAAATCCACCGCATCACATCCCCCACTATCAATCTCCTTGACTGTTTCATTTAGTTTTCTAATGTTGCCATTCTTTCTGAAAACACCTTCAACTGAAAGATCCATCTTTCTCATGGCAGCAATTGCATCATCGACAAGAGCAGGAATCTTGAGAGCTCCAGGACCAACACCATCTGTCGATTCCGCGCCATCTTTTTCGACAATAACCTCAAGCGGTATTCCAAAGACTCCTTTCTTCTTAACGTTTGTCTTTTTGCCATCATTCTTGAAAGCTTTGCCCATCTTACCCCAGAACGTAGGTTTTCTAGTCTCGATCAAGTTAAGAAGTTCTTCCATGGTAAAGTGACCATCCAGCATGGGTTGCATCGCGATCACCGCAACGTGACGTACGATGAAGTATTCCAAAGCAGATAATTCCGAGAAGTATTTCTTCCCAGCAACTCTCTGTTGTTGACGTTGTGTTTGTGCATCCAAGTCATTCCCGGCAGAGAAAGTTCTTTGATGACCGTTGATGAGTTTAGGTTCGGTAATAGATGTTCGGAAAAGTTCATGACGAGCATGTTTATATGCGTTCGGTCTTTGTTCCTTTGCTTGTTCAGCAGCCACGATTCTAGGAATATCATCCAGGGTGAGAGCGTCTTGATGTCCAAACATTAATTCGGTTCTTGACTCGCCATTCCCATCGCGATCTTCCACTACTTGAAATTCGTTGTTCCTCGAATCAGATCCATCGGCACCTGCAGAACCTGGTCTCTTACCGTCAACACCATCCATTATCCGCGATGTTCTCGCTTTTTTGATGGTTGAAGACAGATGCTTGTCCATACGAGTACTTCGTAGTCGCCTTACGTCATTCAAAGTATTCTCGTAGGATGATTCACGTGGGTTCTCATCAACTGGACCTCCGAATGATTTGGAACGTGCTTCAGACCTCAACATAGGAGGGTCGTCATCGGAAGGTACCTTGTGACCTTCACTCGAATTATAACCATTCAGGTTTGGGTCATCCGAAGTATGTGGAAGAGTACCCTTGGATCGTAGTATTTCGAGGAGTCGAGCTAAAGCAACTCTCAAGAGGAAGACATACTGTTGTAACCTCGTCACTCGCACAAATCCTGATACCACATTCAGAGCGGGACTTTGACAATCATTACAGTAAACTCGTTGTTCTACATCATTAAACCTGATGTCGTCGAGGTTCTGAGAAAGGTCTCGCTCACAATTGGAGCATTGTAAGCATGTCAGATGACATCTCCTTTCTTCGAACCGAGCACATTCATCCTCAATTGGTTTATGACATTTGATACACGAATCCGAATTCGGCGCAGAAAGGCCAGGAGTTCCTGTAGTGGCTTCTAAGGATCTTTCATCATTCTTGATTGCATCCATATCACCTAGGTCATCAAGGAATTGGTGAAGGCCTTCAGGATCCTTTTGATCTCGTTCGACCTTCAATGCGCCTTGAAGGCAAATTCGAATTAATAATTTCAGATAGTGAGCCAAACCAGTTACCAATGCAAGAAGTTCTTGTGTAACGCCAAGTTTCCGAACTCCTGTCTCCTGAGTCTTGGACAGAAGTGAGAAAAATGCCACAATTTTCTTGCATAATAACTTTGCTTCGCGCGAATATGAAAGTCCTGACAAAGTTAGTAAATACAATGAGGATATACATGGGAATACTCACCCTTTGAACCGTCCCTCATCATTATGCTATCCAACTTATCTGCAGAACAGAAAAGTATATCAACATGCCATATGAACTTCTTTGCCACCATTACACCATCCATATATGCACCATTGCTCACATGTAGAAGCATGTCGGATATACAGGCTGCAGAGGATTCTTCGAATGTCGATAATACACTCCAGATCTTGTAGACCTTCTCTTCCATTCTCTCTTCCTCGAGTCGCACAGTGTTTCGATCTTCCTCATCCGTCGTAGCATCCGATTCCTGGGGAGCTTCTTGTACATCCTGCGGAGATGCCAACCTGACATTCCAGAACTTGTGAATCATATAACATTCGGGATGCCAATGTTGATTTTGGCCATTTCGAAATATCTCGACGAACTGTTTTAAGATCGCTGTTTGGCATCCATTACATCGCTGCGCGAACCGTGTCGAATAATGATAATGACAGTAAACCTGCCCATCATGTTCGTAATAACTATCTTGTGCGCCAAACACTGTTGGACATACCGAACAAGTGAAATGATCTATATGGTATTTGCGCTCGAGTGCTGTGATGTATGATCCTCGAAGCGCCCCATTACATTGGTGACATATCAAGTCCAAACGTCTGAAATAATCAGTCTCGCAAAGTGGGTATTGTCCTTCGCCATTTTCTTCATCTACCGGAAAGAACTTTGATGCGACTATTTGACCACAATCCTGCAAACTCAAAGTCAGAAGTTGAGTCCTATAAATTGAAAGGGTGAACATGGAAATGACCTACTCGACACCTAAAACAATCCAAATGGAATGTACCTCCAAGCGCACGTACGAATTGACCCGTCAAAGGTTCACCGCACTTCTTGCACAGTCTCAAAGATCCGCTACCAGCCCTCCCAGTTCTCGTTCGTGATCGTGTGCGCTCATTACTTGGTCTGCGACTCCCCTCTCTCATAGGCCCTTCTCTGCCGCTCGCACTATTCGCTGGAGATGCGTTCATCCTCCTATCTGGACCATTAGGCCTCGGTAGATGTTGATCTTGCATCGGTATATCCCTCTCAGCTGTAAGTCTTCCCCCATCATCGGAATGTGAGGGATCGTAATTTTCGCCTTCCGCATAGGGACCTGCCTCTGATTGAGGACCCATTGTTTAATGATCAACGTTATTATCCACCACTATCTCCAGACCTTGTTCGAGCCCCTATTTTGATGTGTTTTTGAAGGAATGCTTGGATCGAGCACTTCGAGTCGCGGTAGCCAGAGTGAATAATGAAATGGAATACTTGATGGTAGATAATTCGTTTTGTTCCTTGCAGATTGATTCAATCTTGCATCGATCGTATCTTCTCTCGAAGAATTGCTTGGTATTCTGACGTTGTCGAGTCGCAAAGGTTCCACTCAATTGGCCCTCCACATGTGTTGGCGACTCAAAGTTCGAGGAACATTCAGGGCTGCGGAATATGAAACAATAACCATCGATATGAGAAGAAGCCAAAAAATGATATTCTCGCGACCCTTTTCGCTTTCCCCTTTTTGTTCCGCGTATATTCCAAATTGTGATATTTATCTGAATACGAGAAAGTTTAGATCTCCAAATATGATTTTTGATGTGAGTCCTGCTCGTGGTTCTAATAAGGACCGAGTTATCTGTTTTCGCGAGGAGAAGGGTATCGAAGGACAAGTCGTGAGTAGGTAGGGACTAACTACTCGGTAGGTAATTGGAAAAAGTCGGCGGTGTGGACGAGAGAGAAATCCAAATTGGAATAAAAATCAATGAGTTCGTAATAGAATATGGTATGGAAGTAAATCGAGCGATTGTATCGGTGAAGCTTTTCTGGAGAAGGGGGAGAGGGGGGGTTTGTGGTTGTGAAGGCTGTTTGTGTTCTAAGATAAGTTACGTGGTAGAAGGTCGATATTGTGGTACAACTTGATGAAGAGGTACTACAGTAGAGGTAAAGTTTGTATATGTAAATAAATATACTTATTCTAGCCGTGGGAAGAAACGATTTTACATTAATGAACGTGTAGTTTTTTTCTTTTTCTGAGGGCAAAAGAGACGGTGGAAGATATATTAATTGGATTGAATTTGGTGGTTGTTGTTTATTTTTGGGAGAGACGATGGTTGGTTTGTTTGAGGGGGGCTTGAGAGGATATGATGAATTGGTGATGGGAGTTGTGAATCAAAAGCCAATTTCACATTGAATGAGCGGACAGTTGAAGCTCCTCTCCAAAGGTTTCAAGCTTGAAATGTTTTGGACGTCTCGATGGGGGAGATGGGATTTGATGCATGTAAATATTGCTGCCTTGGATATAAGGCAACAAGGAAAAACTACAAACTACACTACACTACTACTTCCCTCCTCCACATAAAATATCGAGCATCTCCCAATAGGTATCTCCCAATATCTACCAACATCTAGGTACTTGGGAGTCTTGAACCAATCTTGGATCAAATCTTCCAATCTCCCCCGCTCAAGATATTTTTGGCCACTCCCTAGCCCTCTGAATCATGAATATCCGGCAGATTATGTGGTGTCAACTCTCAAACTAGAATTTCACACAGGCTCAGCACAAGCAGGCGGAAAGACAATACCTAGGTAGGAGACAATAATAACAAAATTAAACTTTGATTACCTACCTAGGAACACTAGGTGCACCAGGAGTAAGGATAGAAATAGTAGAGATAACCTCATTAAAAGAGATTTAAGAGAACCTCCATTTTAAAATTCATTAGTGGTACGAGTAACTACATAGGTAGTAGATACACGGTGGTAGCTGGATTTTTAAGATTCGTTTTCCGAGAGATGTTCGATGCAATTAGCATTTAATAGCGACCTACTCCATCCCTAATACCTACCTGAGTAATGAACCTCGGGAGACTCTTCCCCCAGATTAGTAAAGACTAGGCATTAATAAAGACATTCCAAAGTCTCATATCATTTTATTTTTACATTCCTCCAATCCTTCTGGAACCGAGGGTTCTGTAAGAGAGTATGAGAGTATGAGAGTAGGAGAGTGTTAATAACTTCATGAGGTGATAGATGTACCTACTAGGTAGATGATTATTCCCATACAAAGACATTATTCATAGAACTTATTAGGTAGAACTACCTAGTAGGTAAGATTTACAAGAAGATCCCTCAATTAGTCGTCAGTCTGATATGTAGATTAGCTTAGCTTTGATACTACATATAATAAATACTACGTATAAGTGTATGGAGCATGAAAGTTAAAATCTGTACAGAGTACAGAAGCACATATGTACCTAGTACCTACCTAATCACTTTATGATTATGCCATTGTGGGGAGCATGAAGTTACGGTACGGTACCTGCATCAAATGCAATTATCCCCATCACTACGGAGTAATTAATAATTAATAATTATTCCCATGATGCCATCACATCACTTCAACATGAACATGATAAAAAATTAAAAATATGATGCCCGGAAAAACATTTATTTAATTCCGTCTTATCCATTGCATTCTGTAGCTAGCTGCAAAAAGAAATAAGCTTAACTTCCAGTTCGCCTTATTCTTATTATTACCTATTCATATGAAGCTCACAATTTCATTTCCCGTACCAAAAATGCCTAGGTATTCTGTATGATATATGAGGCAGATCGGTTGTTCGGCCCATGTGTTTGATTTGAGCATCTATCATCGTGTCACAGAACCAATTGAATTTCCGAGAATTCGTGTAAAATGGTGTCGATGGATTCATGTGCCAGGGATTACCGTACCATCAGTTTGTTTTTCACTTAGGACATCTGTGTTCTCAAGGCTGTAACCACTTGTTTAATTTTCTAGAACATTTCTTCAATGGAAGATACAATAATGCTTACATTTGAAACATTGCTGACTTCCCATATATATATACGCTTCTATAGTCATCAATCCCGAAGTCGAATAATCTCGAGAAATGTAATACTGCGCTTTCTCAACAAAATATGCGACTCCATCACACCAATCGTTTCAAGACATGGATCATTAATCATGAAAGGTATCATAAGTTCGTAATGGCGCTTGCTGCATCTAACCCAAGTGTTTTCTACGCATGACGACTTTCGTCCAACTACCGTGGAGACTGGAGAGGTATGTGTTCTTGACCACGGGATCTTTCGAGGTCATGATCTTGAGACTGCGATCGTGGACGCCATCGTTCACCGGATTTAACCCGAATAGTCGTCATTATATGATTTAGCCTTCCCTCTCCTTGACCTGGTGTCGGATTCTTGAGGGACTGGAACTTTGCGATATTCCTTTTCCTTTTTGCTTCCATCATCTTTGTTTCTTTTCGTGCGTTTTTCAATTGGGGGATCTGAGTACTCGAAGGATGTCGCAGAGGCCACGATACTGTCGAAGAGAGCAACTGGTATCAAAGGTTAGCGAATGAGGATTAGACGTTGAAATTGATCCTTACAGCCAGGAACGAACAACCAAATGGAGTTCATCAATACAAAATATACCCAAAAGTATAACGGTTCCGGTCGATAATACCGCTTGCCAGTAACGTGCTCATCAAGTAAACTGGTGACGAGGTACAACAGGTTTCCATAAAGTTCCCCTGTTGAGACAAGTGCTTGCACCGCATGTCGGAATTGTGAATTTGTGGTGATGAATATAGCTGTCAGGTAAGAAAGCGGCCCCCAAAGTATCTATCAATATAATTAGCATACTATACATGCAGAAACAAGAAAAAGGTGTACGCACGACAGTCCACGTCTCTATGGTCAGCAGAAATGAATTGGAGGACATATATCTCGAATCGGATAAAGCATACTCCTTCCAGAGCTGACCAAAAAAATCCGTCCTGCTTGCCATTCGAGCATGGTTGTAGACAAAGTATCCTTCGAAAAATATGTGAATTGACCCCGCTATTCAATTGTCAGACTTCATTGCTGGGCTTGAAAAGAATATCATGCAGGGCTTACTCAAAATGAACCAGAGGACGAGTCCTTGATCCTTTATACTGAGCCTAGGATAGAACCTTCTCACGGCAAAGAGTGTTGCGCCGAGTAGCAAAGCCCATGTTGTCGCAAAAGTTATAATGAGTGTAGATGGACTGAGACTGTTCTCCACATACTTTCCAGAGAGGTTAATATCGAGGGGATGATATGGATGATATGAAGTCATCCGCGAAAAATAGCTCGACATCTTGACGTTAATTAACAGGTAAGCTCACAAGTCCTTGAAGCCCATGATGAAGACACGAGAAATGGATTTTGCATTGTTGACATCTCGGATATGAGCCCCTGCATTTTCCCAGGAAAACCCTGAGTGGGGGAGCCTTTGGTTGGGCGCTCGCGCAAAGAATAATCCATATGCAAAAACCTTGGTGTGACATGAATGACTTACAAAAGATTGATCAAGTTGCACAAATATGTAGGTATTTCCATGTTACGAATCTCCGGCGCAAAGACCTGAATCTACATTTACATGTATGATACTTGGAACAAATCACGTGACTATTGACTTTTACGGCCGCGGTCCAATTGGAATAGTAGATGCTCTAGATTATCTACCACCCAATAAGATCTTACACCTTCAATCTTGGGAAGTATAAACTTGGAAGTTATTCCTAATGGGCGTTAGAAAGAGCTACTAACATTGATCTAGAGGATTGAAATTTCACACAAAAGCGAATCCATATCTTTTCTTCGGTATCTATATAAAGCAAAGACTTTGGAAGACCAAACGCAAACCACTGACCACTTTCAAGGATTGTTTTGATGGCTACTTTTTACGAGGCATTACGGACGAGGCCTCTTCCCAACCTTTTCCTTCGCTTTAACCTTGAACCTTTATCGTGCTTATCAAAAAGGGGGGAGGGGTGTTTTATCTCAAGTCCATAAATATTCTCTCTCTCATGATACGCTGGTTTCGTCTCAAGAATTCATGTACCATACTTCATTTATATTGCAAGACCTGGGAACAGCCTTGTATTCGTCAAGCAATCCATGAATGGCTTTGAAGCTTAAAAACCTTGTCGATTTACAGCATCCATCATCGGACAGAAGCTTCTCATAGGACAAGAATGATCCAAATTGGCTGGCTTACTGCATAGTGCAGCTCGAGAGATTCTCCATTCGGTAGGTACGATAACCAACTACAACCTCAATCTCATCAGTAACGCTTTCACTAAGCCAGGTATACACTGACACTATTCAAGGGTAAATCATCGTCATCCTTTCAATTCTTGTACGCGCGCAGTTAATCTGTCTACTCCTCTTTCGTCCACATAGTAAGACTTACTTGGTAACTCTATACTTACTCGGTACAATTTCTACACCATCATCATACCATACCGACGTAGGTATCACTCCATACATATTACAGTACCCGTACCCATACCCATACTGGCAACCCTCCCTCATCCTCACCACTCTTATTACTTCACCACTCTTATTACTATTTTTCACATCTGAGTGATCGGACCATCGGCATCTTTGAGCTAGGACTGGACCGCCGACAAATCCAAAATCATGACATGATTGGAACTTCCCGGCCATAAATACTATAATGATTTGCACAACACGACCTTTTTACGACTTTAACTACCTGATTAATTCGCTAGGTACATTTCGAGTCGAAATCCCCCATATATATTTAATGCCGCTTTTAAATATCTACCTGTTCAAAACTCGTTCTGGCTCCGTCATTAATTTTATTATTTAATTTTCCGATCCATCTTCTTTTTGGTTTCCTCTACCAAGTCACCCACCTACCACCTACCTACCTACCACTCACAAGTTACTACCTGCCTACTTACATCTAACCACCTTTCACATACAACCCCATCTCCCCGTCCACATCAATTTTTATTCACCAACACAACCTCTCACCAAAGCCAAAAACATTCAATGTCCATACCTTCTTGCGCACAGCCGCCAGCTATATTATATTTATTATTCATACCAGTTTGGACTTTGATTTATTCTTTCCTTCGTTCATTCGTTTATTTATCAAGAAACATCCTTCAAATCATTCATTATTATCTGGAGGTTTCGTTCTTAACGATAAGTATAATTTTTCAATTGATTTTATTTCCATTTCATTTCATTTTCATCATCGATTGAGTTTATTATTTTTATTATCCCCCCCTTGTCCCCCTTCACTCGTTTCAACATTCAGCCTTGATCACACATAACTTTATTATTACTATTCTCACTCTTCTCTATTTGTTCCTTCTTATCAGCTTTCCGAGTATCAACAAACATCGGGACAAGAGAAGAAGATGAAAAAGAAAGCAGTAAACCAAAAAAATGTTTACTACATTACACTACGACACATTGGTAATATTTCAAAAGCTTTTACTTGCTTTACTCATTAACTCATCTCACTTATCTGTCGATTTCTTTCGCGCGTTCTCTCTTTCTCTCTTTCTCTCTTTCGCTCTCTCTGCTGTCTCTACCTCTCTCAATATCTCCATTCCCTTCCTACTTCCTGACCTTTCCCTCATGTTTCGACTAAATCAAAAGCAGCGTTGGAATTATTTCTGTGTGCAGCAACTTTGCGCTTCTATCTAACAACTTAGCGTCTTGACCACCAACTTGAAAGCGGCAACCCTACTAACTCTGAAAGGTTCCTTCCCTCTTTCCCTCTCTCGAAAGAACCACTCACTCAACTAAAATCCCCCCCTCTCACTCACTATCTTTTCCACACTTACACACCTACACATCTTCTTCTTTGAATTCATGTATTCACGACATTACAAATAGGATACCTTCCAACGAAATCTGCCATCCATCTCTTTACTCTATTCGAACACAATACAATCAGGCGTAAACATTCCAAGCGCAAACTCGGTTGAATCGTCTTTGTCCTTTCGAGATCATCTTCTAAAAAGCCCTGTCTCTTCGTACCCTTCGCCTCCACTCTGGACTTGAAAAACCCTTTCATTTAGGAACACGGTTTCAATTGCAGAACATCAACTTCAATACACGAAAGTCGCAGATATAATATCCTAATTAGATATCCTTTTCAAGTGGCCTTGCAATCGTCGATCCACCCGTCCTTCTCGTTTTGCGATTCCTATTGATCGACTTCTCACATTGTTGGCGTACGTGGAAGGTGGCCAGGACAACTCTCATGTTGATTTCAATAGCTGATGAAAGATATCATCGGAATTGAGTGTCATTCTCGCTCTGCAATAACAGATTGCTTCGAGTCGTGGCCGTCTTCGTCATGCGACTCAGGTCTTGGTATCAGTGAACTCACCTTTGTCGTCTCATTCAAACAGCCACCCGAAGGCTCCTTCTAGATTATGACAGAAAGGTCTCTATCAATCTCGACGCAAAGTGCGACCTCAATTAAACCTATCTTCACCACTACTTCTGCTGCGATACCTACCAACGATGTGCAATTCGTTACCGAGCCGGTGGACGACGAGCCTTACACCATCAGATGCATCTGCAACATTTGTGAGGACGACGGAAACACAATATACTGTGATAAATGCGAGACGTGGCAGCACATTGAATGCTATTATGCTGGCAGCGTAGAGGATGCTTCTAGGGAAGACTTCGATCATCTTTGCGTTGACTGCTTCCCACGAGATCTCGGTCGGCATGCGATTGAAAAACAACAGTATCGTCAGAACAAAGTCAATTATGATAACAATGATAAAAAAATTAAAAGACCGGCAACAAAGAGTCATAAAAAGAAAACGAAACCTTCTGAGATTCAAACGAATGGGTTCAATGACCAAGAGACACACAAGAATGCCGGCTCTCTTGATAATCACACACACAAAAGGGCAAAAGGCCATCGGTCGCAACATTCCGTCAGCTCCCAAGCTACCAAACGCAGCCCTACTTATGCCGCGAGGAGTAACAACCACCCTCCAAGCCCCAACCATACAACGTCAAATCTGCCAAACGATTTTCATATTCATGGCTACTCCAAGGTTTTTCAATCGCTCTACGACGATCAGTTGCCAGAAACCAATGACAACACATTGGCCAATTTATCTGTCACGAACAAATTAGCGATGTGGAAAACGGACGCCAAACAGTTTGAAGAAGATGTGGGCAAGAAATTTGATGATGTTGTTCAAAAAACCAAGGTGCGACTTGATCCACAACAATTTCCCAAGTTGCACGTTGATGTTAAGACTGCTCTCATCAACAATAATGCAAAAGCCCAATGGAAATCTCTCTACACGACGACGAAAACTCCTGGCAATCAACCAATTGGAGAGATTAACGGCAAGATCGGTCTACAATCCGACTACCACAAGAATCCGGACAATGGATGGGAAGAGTGCCCCCATCCGCGCCCTCTCACTTTTTTCATTCCCGGATTGCCATTGTATATTGACACAAGAGCTGGGGGATCACAGTGTCGATATATTCGACGAAGTTGTAGGGCGAATGCAAATTTGGAGACATATATCGTTGCAAATACAAGCGAGTACCACTTCTATCTAACCCTCGACAGCGCCCTCTCCCCGGACGAGCAGATTACTCTACCCTGGGATTTCAAATTCGTAGACAAGCCAAGATTGGATCGTGCTCTTCATCTTGATGGCGACGACGATGACAGACTACCTGATATCTCTGAAACCGAATACCAGAGCATGGCACATTCAATCAATTTGGTATTATCGGATCACGGAGGCTGTGCTTGCAATGCCGGTAAAGATTGTGCGTTCGTGAGGTTTCACCGTGATTACTACGGCAGGGTGCATGGTCAACCTCAACCGCAATCCAACGGTGTAAACGGTGTGAAATCAAAGAAAGGTCGCAAGCCTAGGCAGCACGTCTCTCCCACAAGTACGGGTCACGCCACCAATAGTCGAGCTGCTAGTGAAGGTCATCCAGAGGCAAACGACGACGATGATACCCGCTCTACTTCCGGCTCCGGACGAAGCAAACCTCACAGTCGTGACCTGACACCAATACATGGCTTGGGTGAATTCGATACCCCCTCAACGGAGCCGTCAGATCGCGAGAAGCGAAAGCTGGTAGCGGTGGAAAACACATTTCGAAAAATGGAACAGGCCCCCCCACGAAAAAAGAAGAGAGCATCGGATGGTTCGAGCATGAATTCACCCGTCACCACCACGTCGCAGACCAACTCCAAACCCCGACAGAAGTCAGTGGTATCACGAACATCCGTTTCACAATCAGCTCTCACGAATTTTAACGGATCCCGATCTCGCCAGTACGTCGATGCCAGCACATCGCGGCGACAATCGGCATCACCTCCTAGCGCGGCGTCGCCACAAGCCATGGCCTCTCCGAAACCAATACCATCTCGCGATGATTCAGCGACTCCTCGATCACGCCACAATTCGGTAGTGCAAAAGATGGTTTTCGTCTATACAGATTCATCGGCACAAACGGATCGTGACGAAGGTGCATGGTACGAACAAAGAACAAAGCCGAAGCCGAAGAAACCTGTCTTATCTCTTGCGAGGCGCATGCTTTTGAAACACCATAAAATTCACGAGCAGGCCCAAGCTTTAGCGGCGGAGCAAAACAAAAACATGGCTGCAGGATTGATTAATGGAGATCTCCAGAATATCTCTTCGCCTGCGTCGGCAATGGATGTTGACGGACCCGTTCAGGAAGATCGGTCAATCACTCAGTCACCTACTGACACCAGGGCTCGAAATGGCAGTATTGTTTCATCGACTCCGTCGGTGGATGTAATCTCAAATCCAGGCGATTATCATACAGATGGATCAACACTTACCACTGGGCAGACAATGAAACCTCCATCTTGGCCTGGACATTCCACCAATGGCTATTCACACAAATCCCCTGAACTGCGGGTACAGATGCCTCCGACACCAACTTTCATAACGCCTAATCTTTCCGGAACTCCAGGCGCTCTCACACCTGCTTCAGCAGCAACCTCATCAGCGATGTCGCCGTATGGCACAACTCATTTCTCATCATACTCCACTACATTGGCAAATGGCGTCAATCCAAGTCCTGCCAAGAAAAAAATGTCGCTTAACGATTACAAGGCTAGGAAGAAGCAGAATGCTGATGGTTCGGGTGGGCGCAAACCTTCCACGGGAAGCAGTCCCACAATGCCATCAGCGGTTCTCAAGTCAACACTTTCGACCATCGAGGAAGCTAAAGCACGAGAGATTCTTCTTGATAGCAAATCTGAAATCATTGAAGGGAAGGAGATAGTGGATCCTTCTCCTATTGACTTGCTCAAAGTTTCACCTCCCAAAAATAATATGCCCTCTCAACACTCGAATGGTGCATTGTAACATACAGTTTAGACCTCGCTTCATGCGTGTTTTATTGCCTCGTCTGTCTTTCTACTTCGGCGTGGGGTTTCCAGCTGTTGAGCGTTGGGACGGGTGGCCGGTATCATTTGGGTTCAAAATGGGTTTGGGATATGATCTTTACTACAAGGTCGAGGGGTGTGGCGTAAAGATTGGGGCGGAGTCCAGAAGTTTCAATTACTTCGTTTTTTTTTTCTTTTATTTTTTCTTCTTTTTTTTGTTCTTCTAATGCTGATCATCACGGATCATTCATCAATGTCTTTCGACTGGCACACGTCAAACTCCATGGGTGTTTTTTAATGCTGCTTGTTCGAACGGACTTTTCTTTATTTTCTGAAATCCCTTCTTGCATCAGGCGATGGCAAAACAAAATACCTTCCTCACCTAAATTTATTGTACCAGTAGCTTTTTTGCTGATGATGATTGACGGATCACCTTTGGGAGGACGTGTTGATGTTGAAAAAAATCTTAGGATGTATCCTATTCCCGATACACTAAGCTAGCTGCTTCTGATGGCTAGCTTTAGCTAGTTCGTAGCGCTACAAGATGAATGTTTAAATGGATGAATGGATAGGGCTTGGGAGTAGATGGGTGGAATTCTACTTTATCATTCCTTGAATGAATGCTACGAAGGCTAATTTCTATCGGAATGGCCCCCTGAAAATGGATGGATGGATGGATGGTGGGTGGGTCGGCTTCTCTGGGATAAAGATGAATGGGATGGCATGGCTTTGAATGGATTGATATGCATTGATTGGGATGAATTGATATGATATTGACTTGATACCTTGTTGTTGAATGGGAGAAAAACATTTTAAATAATAACTTGCATTTTTGCATAGAAACTTGGGTGCTGCTTCCCTTTGCTTTTTGTTTGTTTGTTTGTATCTGCTGTGAGTGTGCGTGTTGTAAGTGATAGGGGTTTTCTATGAAGAGGGAGTGCAGTTGGTGATTGATATTGAGATCCAATGACTATGCTAAGATTATATAGCATTAGATGAGAAAGTACTAGCTAGGTTTATGGTATATAGTATATGTGAATATCTATATTATCCGTATAATTACACTCATCTATCTATCTATCTATCTATCCATACAAAAGCTCCCATCTTTCAAGTAAAATATAAATAAACATATATACCAATCTCGTTTTCTCTCCCCCCTCAATTATGCGTCCCCCACGTTCCCTGTTAAAACACGCCCTTCAAAAAAATTCTACACACTCAAATTATCACTTTGAAAAATTAACAACGCCAACCGATGTCTCACAAACAAGCCGAATAATCCACAAATAGTCTGCATGGCCAAGATTTCTAAGGCTAAGCGATCTTCTCTCCTGGGACCAAACCATACAAGCCATAGATTCAAGAGGGTGAAATTACTGCTTTCGATTATTTTGCCTTCGTTGTTCAATGTGAGGGAGAGGAGATGCAGTTTATGGAGGAGGTGGAGGAGCGCTGCTTGGTGCGGTTTAGGGGGTTGAGGCCAGGGGGTGATGGAGGGTTCGAGGAGATTGGTTTGCGAGTTGTAGCGGGGAAGACGGTGGCGGGGACAGGGGATTAGGTGGAAGAGTTGGGGAGTGCTGTAGAGGAAGTTGAAGGTTTGGGGGATGAGGAGGAGGAGGAGGGTTTTGGAGAAATGACCTAGGATGCCGCAGATGGCGAAGACCATGCCGGCGAAATAGCAGTAGGTGTCGCCTACGAAGACGGAGGATGGGTACCAGTTGTGGGAGAGGAGGGCGAGGGAGACTCCGATGAAGGGGAGGAGCATATAGAGGGAGAAGAGATGCGAGTCGGTTGCTGGGTGTGGGTACGGTGTTAGGAGGTAGAGGGTATCGTTTAGGACGAGGAGGAGTGCAATGACGAGGGATTGGGATACTTCGATGCCGTTTATGCCGGCGAGGATGTTGATACTGTTGGGGCAGAAGATGGCGATCCCAGCCATGTAGATGTAGTAGAGGGGACCGAGTTGGAAAAGCTCGCCCAGATAGGGTTGTAAGGGAATTGGTACGACGATTTGGGTGACGCCGAAATCGACAAAATAGACGATCAGAATAGGGATACTGGCAATGGCGGGAATGAAAAATTTATGGCGCCAGCGGATATCGAAGAGGTCGTCGCCAATTCCAAGAATTACTACGGATTGGAGGGACAGAACCGCGGAGAGATAGGATGCTAGCTGTTTAACTTTGTCAGTATATGATCTTGACTCCCACGACCCAATTCAAGTAAACAATCCCACAGAAAATGCAATTGAACAACCCCCAACATCTCAATCCATCACAATCCAAAAATCCACAAAGCCCAAAAACAAAAAAAACACTTACCTTACTATGCGGAAACCGATGCAAAAACCTCCCATTCTGCACCACATCACGCACCTCCATCTCCATCTCCCTGACCACATCCCTATTCCCCCCTCCACTCGTCGCCGCCACAATATCCTTATAAAACGGAAACGGAATAAAAACAATGACCACCAACAAATAAACCACCGCGCAAATCGCCCCCATCGTCTCAGGAACCTCTCTACGATCCCGCTTCGAGAGATCGCGACCCTTGAGTCCGGCGCGCAGGAATGTAGGTCCGAGCCAGCGAATCATGCTATAGGTGGATGAGAAGGCGATACCGCTGAAAGCGAGCGAGGCGATGAGCGGTTCGCCATTTTCTCTGGAGAGGGTTTTGAGGAGGAGGGAGATGCAGAGGATGGTGAGGGAGAGGTGGGTGAATGTTTCGATACGGGTGAGGGTGCTGCGGGGGGGACGGACGGGTGAGTTGGTTTTCATGGTGAGGGGTGCGATGGGTGGTGCATTTCTTTAGGAAGGCTTGATGCGTGGTTTGGGTGTGTGGGAATGTAAGGTTTGGGGATAGGTGGTTTTTTTTGGCTTTGTTTATTTTTGTTTGGAGGGAGCCTTGCGCGAGGCTGAGAAAGACACGATTTCATATTGCATGATTTGTGGGGTGGGTGGGGTTCGTTTTCAGGGCTGAGGAAAATAGGTACGTACCGGTAGATGACGAGGCTAGTGGGGTGGACTGCATGCCGCTTGAATGATTTTCCTGCGAGTCTAAAATTAGGTGAGGAGAGCTACGCGAGCTATTTAAGGAGTACTGTAGGGATGAGATTATAAAATGTGCATGAAATTATAATTGTTTAAAGTGTTAAAATCATCTTATTCTTAAGAATGTATCCATTCCACCAGCACTCAGGCTAAATACGCTCATCTCAACGCCTAAACACCATCCTCCAATACGGTATCTTTCCGAATAATCCCCAGAACAAACTCCATCGAAAATTCCAAACAAGGGACTTTAACACCCCAACCCATCTCTCTCTTAACTAAAATCACAAACTTCATCAAGCTCTATTCATCGCCAATTCTGCACTCTTACTCCAGATACCCGTTGGTTCCCTCCTCCACATCATTAACTTCCCATCATCACCCGTAGACCCCAACAACTGTCCATCAGCATCAAACTCCACCTTCCAAACCGGCGCTCGATCAACTTCCAACCTCGAAATTTCCTTCACTGCATGAATGACGGCTCCATCCCTACCTTGAGCTTCTTGCTGTCTATTCCGACTTGTTCTTTGACCTGCTAACCCCGCACCAATGCCCGAAGGAACATTTTTGGCCCCATTCTCCATAGCTATGTGCACCGAACTTCGTGCAATAATTTTCTCTGGCACTTTTTCAAAATCACTACTCCTTCCTCCCATTCCCTCAGCATCTCTACCAGCCACCACCCGAAACACCCTCACAACACCATCCTTACACGCCGTAGCAACCTCATCCCACCCCCTAATATTCCCCGCCGCCCACGCCACATCCCTCACCAAACCCCGATGACCCCTCAACTCCGCCGCGAGATAAAGTTCCTTCGTACTCGCACTCCCAAGACTAACCGTATGCGATATCTCCTTCGTTCTCCAAATACTCGCTTTATGCATACTAGCAACCACGAGACTCAACGCATCTCTCGGAACCCCCTCCTTAATAGCCCGATAACACGGTTCCAGATTCAGATCAAAAGCCACCTTAAAACTAACCTCCTCACCACGAGCCGGCTTCTCACACACATTCACACGATCGAGTTCCGTCCACGACGTCATATTCTCCGGCTCCTCATTCTCATACACGATTAATTGGGCATCGCGATCCAGCAACGCAATATAAGTATGTCTAATCTCAGCATTATGTTTAATAGAGAAACTCAAAAACGGCGCCCGTGTATGCGATCTCGTCTCCCATACCGGCCGATTATTATGCGAATTAAATCTCCGTCCCTTATTAGGAGGCAACGTGGGATCTTCAACCCAAAGCTTAAAACGTCCATCGGTACCAATAGACGCGATGAGGTTAGGATGAATAGTAGGTGGTAGCCATTGTAATTCTAACACTTCGCCGCCATTATGCGCGCCCCATGTATCGCATAGATTCCAAGAGCCATCGCGATGTCGATTGTAGACTTTTATTTTTCCGTCCGCGGAACCGGTTGCGAAGCGCGTGCCGTAGCTGTTGAAGGCGGTGGCTTCGACTAAATCGCGGTGCGTCGAGGTCAGGAGAGCAAATCCTTCTTGGGGTGGTGGTGTGGCTTCTCTGCTTGGAGACATGGTGTGTAGATGGGTGTGGGTAGTCTTGGTGAAGGCTGAGATGATGTTTAGATGGCTAGCCTCGTATGCACAGACCATTTTGTAGTTTGAATAAGGCTGTTCATGAGCAGAGCTAATTTCAATTAGCTTTTAATAGTGGACTTCATGGCTCTATTTTCTAATTAAAGACTTGTAGATATCCGTCGCATATTCCAAGTGAATAATTACAGGATGCTATATACATCCTAGAACACACAACATGTATCAACTGTAAACCCAATCACATGTTCTGAACAAAGAGAAAGAAAGAATAGTCAATCAAACAATATTTCCAGCTTGCTTGTATTACCCTGAACACACAAAGTATTCTCCCGAAGTTCCAATTAAAATTTTTAGCATGAAGTTCTTCCATCTGCAATACACTACTACTCATTATTTAAAATATCAATATCACTCGCTAATCCGTTTCCCAAGAAAAACTCCCACTTGCTTCGCTCCTGCATATTCAATCCTGTCCCTTCCCATACCTATTCCCATTCCTATTCCAATATTGAATTACCCACCGATATCCGTATGCCCCAATAATCATAAAATGCCTATCCCACACGCACAATCATTCAATGATGGCCTCGACCATAGCATCAAGTATTTGCTCACCGTTTGGCAAATTCCAATGCCACCACCATCCGTCGCCCTCCCACCAAGCGATGTCTCTTCCCTTCTTCCACTTCTGCTCCAGTACCTTTCGGACTTTCTCATCACCACCTATACCACCACCCTCCTTGTCCATCCATTCTCTTTCTGCCTTTTCTTTGGCCTTCTTAACCACAACCTCATCATCTTCACATCGATATAAATCGCACTTTGAGCACTCCGTACAACGCCTTCCACCATTTGGTCGAAAGTGTTCACAGAAATGCCGATACCCTTCCCCAGACCCAATATCCTTACGACAAACATAACACATTTGATATCCACAAACACAGGTTAATTTATTGCAACCAGAAGATTTCACAAATGATGTGTTGCAACGCGGACAGGTACGTTTGATCGCCAGGGACATTGCAAGCTCGACTTGCGTTCTTAGGGCAAGTAAAGAAGACTCGTGACAGATATGAATATCGTTCCATGCTTTTGAGCACGAAATACAGGAAGATCTCCCACATCGTTGATTTTGACAAACAAATTTGAGACCATGTTGCTTCCTACGCAAGCGGATAACTGAGTCCTTGAATTGCTCGACAGCATAGTCGCCAAAAGTTTGTTTCGAGGAGAGACATAAAAACAAGAAAGAAAAGAGAATACAAAAAGGTAAAAGGAAGGGTATCATGCCAACGCCCAAAACCAAAAATGGAACAGTATAGATAGATGACGGACCAAGTCGTTTCAAACGCCAAGATCTTTGCGATTCTGGGAGATATATCTCGTCAATCTCAGCATAATTGCAGAATGGACAACGTATAAGCGGCAGTCCAGTTTTCATGAGACTGTCCTCGATTAGACGTTCGTCCAGCTTCCGCAAAATCTCCTCGCCCCTATCTTCTAGAAACGCTCTTCGCACCTGCGCCTGGGGAATACATCCTTTGCATTCATCCGTCATGGCCGCAAGGCACCTTAGTGTTCCACCGTTGAGATCAATGTTCCTTTGCCATCCTTGTCCAAAAATAGCTTCATTACCTGCATGTCTTATACACTGAAAGCATATAAAATGGCCTCCAATATCACACGCAGTGAGTTCTTCAAATGCATATGCAGTATAACAACATCCACAGTCGTGCAAGGCATCCTGTTCTTCTGCCTCATGGTTATTTATTTCCAGTGCCAGAGCATGATCTTTCTCCTCTCGTTCCGATACTTCTCGTTCCTGCAATGGTACAATAAGAGAATCAAATAGCTCTTTATCCAATTCCGGCGATCCCGTGGTCTTGATAGCTGGTATTATAGAACCTTGTCCAGTTGACTGCCAAACCACGAGAGGATGGTGCCCTGCTTCGACCGCCGTCAGAGGCTTTCGGCGAGAGAAGAATGATGATATGGTAAAGCGCCAAGACTTCGAAGACAAATCGACAAGTGTAGGTCGAGCCAATGTGTATGAATGATTACGTTCCGCCAACACTGCATTGATCGTCGATCGCGGTAGACCCTTAAATTCATAATATGCCACTGTCCTTACAGCCTTTTGATATCCTTCTGTCCTGAACTTCTCTTCTACAGGCACATGGCCCTTGGAGTCCTGTTGATTAGCCTTATCTTCCTCACCAGCAGTCTTCTCTTTTTCTTTCTCCTTCAACGCGACCCTATATCGTCCCCTCACATATTTCATCTTATGTTTAAGCAGAGCTTCCGTCACGACAGCCAATCTAGATTCTTCTTCAAAGCTCGAGAGCATCTCACGAAACACCTCGACTTGCACATCGGGGAAGATAGCCGCAAGCGCTTCGAGACTCTGGTTCAACTCGCGAAGGTCGGGTATTTCGGCATCTAGGGGTGGAAGGTTTTCCTTCGCTCGGATATATTGACTCCCTGCCGGATCCGCAAACGCAGATGCAGTTGTCGCTGCAGGCGAAGTACTTCTTCCTCTATCATGAGAAGTCGATGAAGGTTGTTGTGATGTTGAATCAAAGATGGCTGTGGCTGAAGGATGAGAAGTGTTTTGGTTGGTTGACCTGAGAATTCCCGAGAACACCATCATCATGGATTGTTCCTGTGATAAAGAGTATCACATTGTATCCGAGAGATCGTGTATAAGAGAGAACTTTTATGTTCTTAATAATCACTTTAATTAAAACTTAATGTATGTAGCGATTTGTTGTTGATGTTGAAGAGAAGCCGGCCGTATACGAAAGAATTATGACGCGGGATTAAAGGAAGGGGAGGACTATTCTGTTTGGCCGACAGGGAACTGTTGAACCTTAAAAATGTGAAAAGTCGATTCCTAATTTGAGGAATTCCCTAAAATTGCAGGACCCTAAAGGAAACATCCCGATGGCATAAAAATTCTTTCAATACGTGATTTTAGGTTCCAAAAATTTCTAATCTTTATCTCTAACATTTGTGTTTGGTACAGAAAAAAGGCAAGCTTAGCTCTCAACTCTAAAATGCAACTTAGGTTTGTCCATCTCGTGATCCTACGATTTATCAAATATAATAATCCTCTACGCCTTTGAAGACTATGTTCACCACACAGCTCTACCATTACCAACCATTTCATAGAATCTCCTAATGCCCTTCTCCCCAGATCAACTAGTAGTAACTCCTGAGCGCCAAATTTTATTCATTCGCGACGAACCGCTCTTTAAAATATCTACTCCTTCCCTCTCTGTTTCACCTCAGATAACCGGACCAGAATCCCGCCTCCAACCCTTAGCTTTCATATTCCCCTCAATCGCCTTCCAAATATTCTCCACGACTTCCTTATCCCTCCACCTACTGGCCGGACCTGCTTGTGGAGTCCATCTTTCAACTTGCGAAGCTAAGACTCCACTTCCCCATCCCTTGACTGTATCCGGGAGACTTTCTCCTCTGAATCCTACAAATACGCCTAGAGTATTCCTGAATAAATCCGTAGGCTGTGGCCATTTATAATTTTTAAATTGCCAAATCTGTCCAGTAGTGAAGACAGCCACAACCATCGACCAATACTCAGGCTTGAATTTCTCTGGTGAATCCACAATAATGAAACGAATTGGCCGCGCAGGATCTATGGAGGGTATGGAACGTACAATATGTAAGATGGAGGCTGACGAGCTGGACGTAGAACTTGCAGAATCTGGGGGGATGAATGCGCCGCCTTCGAGGAATGATTTGATATTAGACATGCGAAGAATAGAAGACGCAGATGGAGAGAGAAGTATGATGGGATCTGGACGGCGAGCGGGAGCTTTAAGATTATGGGCGAGTGCTGGGTTGTTTGCAAGATTTTGTGCGGCGGCGTGTGAAGATTTGCGTGAGAGGAATGGCGATGCGAGTTTGCGAACGTGAGAGAAATCCTATATTAAAATGAATTAGTTTTCACCTCCAAACAAATATTACTTCCTGCAGAGATCAAGACATAATAAAAAGCACATACCGTGGGTTTAATCCCTCTTAACACACTATTCCTATCTCCCATCCTCCTTTCACCACTATAAATCTCCGCCAACCTAGGATCAATATTTTTACCCTGTCTCCCCGCAGCACCACTAGTAACTGGAACTATACCCCCAGCGGCCCCAGAAGCAACCTGTGCCGACGCCGTCGCATTTGACGTATCCGAAGCCAAAGGCTTAATATATTGCGATTCATCCGACGCGCCCTCCAACCACGTAATAAGATCCAAACGTTCCACAAACGACAAATTTTGAATTTCACCCCCAGCACCACCCTCTCCTGCAAGTTGCGCGCTCAGTGCCGATGATGATGCATTATATTCCGGAATCGCAAGTTCGCGTTGCTGCCACGCAAAGTAGATGCTGCGAAGATTGACAGGCTTGTCAGATGATATGAAACGTGTGGGCGTCGTAAGTGGAATCGATACTTGTAGAGGCGAGGTGAAATGTAAGTAGGTTGCTGTTGCTAAACTCAGGTCGACTGAGGATGCTGAAGAGCCATCTTCTGTGGTGGTGGGTATACAAGGACTTTCTGAGGCGATTGATTGGCGCAAGAGGAGTAAAGGGTCTTGATCGGAAGCTGACATTATAACCGATTCGATTGATACCACAAGATGGGATGGCTTTTGTTTGATGTTACTTGGATGGAAGAAAAAGCAAGATTGCTCAAAGGTGAGCTCTTGCTGCTTGTCGCGATCCAAAGAAATTACGGCTGCCGACTCGAACCATAAGCGAACTGAATATTCTCGGCTGTAAAAGATCCCCCTTTACGAGCCAACCGTGAGCTCTGTCACAAAATTTTTAATAACTAGAGGTGTATGTAAATAAGATTACAGAAAGTTTGTTTACCACTGTCCAAGCTGGAAGGAACTACAAGAAGAAGGCAAAACGATATGCAGAAATTCGTTCAATTTAGTGACTACGATACAGTTGCCAATCTCCACCCGGTATCATTTATTCGTCCATAAGTTCCTGTAGGTCCTATCCAGCAACCAAAGCTCAGGATGACCATTTCTAGCCCTAATCTGATGCCGTCACTACTATCTCAATATCGGGTGTATGACTTCTACTGGTATTAGGCGAATGACCTCTGTTTTTGCCGCGGCCATGCAATGGACACATTCCCTGCCCTTTGCTTATGTGCAGAGGGTTCGCTGGACAGAGAGGACTGTTAGGTAAGTGATCAGGGACGTTTAGTTCAAAATTCTGGGCTTTTGGGATATGTTGTGATGCAGAACATCTCACAGTCGAAGATCCCCTCACTGTGGAACATTTATCGGAATCTGACGATTCGCGACGACTTCCTGGGGTCAACAGTGTTGGGGTCTTCAGAAGGTTTCGCAAGGCCGAACGATTCGTGTCGCGTCGCGGTCTTGCTGCACCCATACCAGGTTTGTCCGATACTTTGTGCTCGCTGTCATACGGAAACATGTTTGGAAGAAAGCCACGCCGTTCTCGCTTGGGAGACCATTGCGGCGTGTCATGGCGTTGTGCTTCCTAGGTTCTTGTTGTCAATTCATATCCGGCACAATATAGTAAAGTCCCGTGTTTATGGCTTTGATCAAAAGAGATGTGAAGTGGCTATTGAAAATCGCAGAACTGCATCGACGGCGATGGTGACAAAAAGGGCACTTACAGACGGTAAAAAGGTAGGTGCATCATGGTCCGATATTTCAACTGGAGATGTCAATACAAAGTTTCACATGTCATTTCACTCCGGATCAATTACCTTTCACGTAAGATTTTCCTGCTGTGCCAATATAACGAGATCCAGATTTTGGTGTCCCCATTGGTGTTTTTCCAGCCAATAGATCACATATGGAACTAGTTGCAGATATTGAGTGGTCAGATAATCTCCGGTGCCATGGAGCGCCCAATTTCCATCGGCGTTTCGATCCATCAGATGCATTCGAAGATGCTGTAGTTGATGGTCCACCATGAAGCTTATCAGCGTGTATATCGAAATAGCCAACGACGCCTTCGAGAACTCGAGCAGTGTGAGTAGTAGATGAAGTAACTCCTGAAGACCCAACAGGTGGTGTCTCGGCCTTCTGTATGAATCTCATTAGTCAATCATCCTAATGGAACAGATCATTCACGCATACAATTTTCTTTCTTCTGCCGAAGGGGACTGCAAGATGTCGTCTTTCGATTATGTTGCGCTTTGTCTTATCATACAGCCCTTCAAGCTCTCCCGAGGGCGAAACGTAACGTGGATAAGTCGGCGATATCGAATTCAACGTATTCAGAAATTTTTCGCTCTTACTTGAAGAGATAGCAGATCCATGGATAGAACCCTTGAACGATTGAGCGGAATACTGCTTAACGACTTTGGAAGAAAAACTCCCCCAAAATCTCCTAGAGCCTTTTGGCGAGGTAGAATCCTCAGAGTCATGGCTCTGGCGCTCAGCAGCTCTCGAAAACAAATGACTTTTACTATTTATACGCTCTGGATTCTCTGTAGGGCTTACAAATTCTGACAATTCTCGCTCGGCCCAATATCCTGCTGGAAACCACACCCATTCATAACCCGCGCGCGCAGGTCGAGGTGGATCAATCGATTGTTGTGGGATAGCTGGTTTTGCATCAAAACTTCTGGTAGTGTTCCAATCCGAGTTACTATGAGATAGACCTTGCATTAGTGTTGTGTTAATGGAGTCAATGGGCCTCGGATCGAAAAGCCTCGTAGTATTCCAATCTTGCACATCTTGTCTTGGGGACTTTGGGTCTGCAGCACTTTCGGGTGTGTCCTCCGAGGTGTCCCCCTTCGGAACCCCTTCTGGAATCTCTGGTGAAATCTGCTTCCAGAAAGCGGATAATGGGGACGGATAGACTGGCGATTCTTCGCTCACTTTCTTTGCCCGTTTTACCGCCTTTGAAGTAAAATATGACGAGCCACGAAAACTGGAAGAAGATGTCGCAGAGGGATTGGCAGGAGGAGAAGTTGAGCCATCCGTGCTTTGCTGATGCCGGCGAAGACTTGGACGTTTCAAGACGCTTTGCGCCATAAGATTACCGTGTCTTGACGTTTATGGGATGTGCCATGGGATGATGTAACGAATGTAGGGAAGTGTAAAAGATTTGTATTAGGATAAAGAGTGCGGAAAAAAGAATATGCAGTTTCGGTTTGAAAAAATGACTATGTCCTCTTAACTGATGCAGGAATGCAAGTCGTCCATGCTTCTTTCGGATCTAAGGAGGAGAACCCATCGGCCAACCATATTTTGGCAGGCACGTTGAAACAGTAGTTATGCAAAGGTAGGTATAACTTTATTCCCACGAAACCTGCGGGAAATACTGCGAGATTATAACGATGCCTCGAAGCGATCCAAAGCCATCATCATATTCGGCCTTCCCAGGCTGTTATCAATTTTTCATACCAAGGTCGTAAGCATATGACATGTGTATGAGCATATAACTATACATCAAATATTCAGCATTGAGGTAAACTTCTCAAAATAAAAAAGTAGGGATTAAGAAACGTCAATCAAGCATTCATGAGATGCCAGGCGCTGGCCACCTTTGGAATGATAAATATCTACTTCGGTTTAAACGCTGTATGAATATATCCGTATCAGAATCATTATAGACAAGCTATAGACAAGCTATACAGAAGTTTTACATACCCCTGCACGTCTCCTCTCTCCTCCGCACTACTCCCATCCAAACGCCCTTTCAAATCTGCCCAAACTCATTGCCATCTACCCGCTCCCACTCTGCTCAACCTCTTTCGCAACTTTAGCCTCCATTTTCCTCCTCGCTGCCAGGATCATCTCTTCTCTCCTCCTCTGCAAAAGCGCCTGTCTTTCATTTTTGTTGGAACTCCAAGCCTGTCCTCCTCCCTGCTTCTGTTTCGATTCTCGTTCCTCGGCTTCTCGTTTTTCCGCCTGTTCCTCTGCTAGCTTAGCTTTCAGATTATATCGCGTTATTAAATCTGGTTGGCTAGGTTTGGAAGGTTGGACTGAAGTTGAAGAAGCGACTGGGGTTGATGGGAGCGGAGGTTGGAACGATTGAGGAGGCTTTAGTAGTTTGTGTTAGCGGGTGTAATTTAGATGGTTTAAGAGAAGAGCATAAATAGACAGGTTTGTTCCGCAACATGATAACATGAAGAAGATATGGTAATACTCACAACTTCTAAGCCTCTACCACTCAATATCCGCTCCGTGGTAGCCACCACATTTCCTCCATTCCGCTGTAAATCCCACATGATATTCCTCCTCGACACCTGCGGAAACATCTGCTGTATACGCTCTACATCTGCTTCTCGCGCTCGCACATTATTTGCGCTATTGCGATTGGAACCCGACGATGCGGTATTGGAGCCGGAGAAAAATAGATAACGTACGGCGAATGCCCCGACCAGGATTACGATCAGAAGCTGCGGTATGTTGATTGTTTGATCGGACATTGTAAAGTCGGAAGCTATCAAAGTCGTGGGTATGTATGTACTATGCTGGATGATGAGATGAGTTGGCTGATTGGGGTATCTTGAGCTATGCTGATCAATGAACGGAGGTCCAAGGGAACATGAGGAGATATCAATTGTGTCGAAGCTTATAGAGTGCGATAGCTGGTTTTTTTTGCTAAAATATATTGTCTGTGGCTGAACGAAAATCTAGAGCAAGTTGTTTGCACCTAGAAGTTCTAGAGAGCTTCGAAATAGTATGTCACGAATTATCAAACTAAGGACTCGGGTGTAATGATAGACAAGTAGGTCAATAATTGATAGAGGTGATTATTCATCTGGTTGATGCTCCGAAGTATATCCGAAGTTCGCCAGTCGCTCCTATTATGGTTTTGCCTGCACCTGCCACTATCTACACAATATTGGCCGTACAGAACTTGATCTAGCAAGTAGTAATTCAGGATTTCATGTAAATACAGGACTTTGGCTATTCGAAAATATTTAAGATATAAGTATATCAATTACTGCCCCTAAACACTCCATAATTCTATAATTCCATCAATTCGAACTATATATCCATTCCTTCCATTTCCTTCCTTTCAATCATAACCTCCACAAGCTCTCATGGGTATCATATCAATCCGCACTTTTACACCATAAACCAAGTAGCCGAGACGACCGCCTCAATCTCATATCATATATACCGCAGCATCTCCACATGTTATATTCACCTCTCATTAATTCCTCATTACATTGCCCCATAATTCAATTATCCTTCCAACTCGGCATGATAAGCTGGTAACTGTGAAACCACCCTATTCCCCATATCCTGCCTTCCAGACTCGTCACTCCTTTCGTGCACAGGAGGCGAAGTCCTATACTCTAACTGGGAAGAAGCACTGCGGTGATGACCGGGGACTCTCTGAGTTGCTGCGTTTAGTGGCCGGTACGTATTCCACATATTGCTTCCCGCTGGATTTTGCCACGATGCCACCCTTGCCCTATTACTCTCATTACGGACGTCACTAGCAGGACTTTGGTAAGACATGCGACCATTCGAAACTTCTGGGCCGTGTATAGAAGCATTCCAGGATGATGCACTTTCTCGGCGAGGGTTAAGCGCTCGGGGATATGCTGAGGGATCATATTTAGGATAGATTGGCTTTTCGTTACAGTCGGGCTTCGCTTGATTTTGAGGCGGCCCAACTCGAAGGGCTGGAGGTACTTCCGAGACCTGTGACAGCGAGGCCGCTGGTGGATTGGCTTTTGGTGTTTGTGAAGCCTGCGTGTTTTGCATAGCGAGTGTGGTGTATTGTGGTGAGCCAACTTCCGACCCTGCAGACGCACTATCATTGCCATAGTCACTGGCAGGAGAATATGCAGTTGGTGTTTGGGAAGACGGCGTTTGTGACGAAGAGGGTCTCGATATGGTGAGTTCCGGCATACTAAATGTCTCCTCATTCAGTCGAGAATTTCTGATAGAACGATCTAGCATCTGGGCTTTGACCACTAGACGCTCAACTAACGCGGAGTGTGATTTTTTAATGGTCTTCTTGACAAAACTTGTCATAACGATATTGCATTTCATATCCACATCTTCTCTCAACCATAGCCCATCGAGAGGTACACCAGCCCCCATTTCAACCGGTGCAACAGGCTCCCCTGGTAATGATCCACCAAGAGTCCACTTTCCTCTTATATTTAATCCCATAGGCGCATAGCAATGTGTTTGCAAGCCGTTCTCGAGATCATGAAAGCAGCAGGTGTAGGAAACTTTGCCAGACATCAGTCCTCCAGGAAGGTATTGTACTCGATCAGTTAAAGAGTACCATAAGCAATGATATTCCTCCGCAGTAGCATTTTGTGGGGGTTTGATCGGGTGTCGCTCTTCTACGAGAGGATTCAAATCTATCATTTCAGTGTGCGAGCGCAAAGTTTCCATCACTGTTTCTCGTGTGATACCTGATGGTAACGGCGTCACTGTTGTAAAGACAGTCCTTTTAGACATAGTGCGAGATGACGCTTGTAAGTAGAACTGGTAGAAGGCCGATCAAAGAGGACGAATAGAAAATCGCACGATTTCAAAGATACCGGAGTAGACAAAAAGATGTAAGATGTAAGAAAGACGATGATGAAAACGGCATGTACGGAGAATATGAAACTGTAGGTTAGATCTTCAAGAAACACACAAACATAAATGATTTCAATAACCTTATTATCCACAGACGACATACAAAAACCCCGCCGCAAAACCAAAATCTAAATTCACCTTGTCCTACCTTGTCCTACCTAGGTACATAAATATATGATATGAGATGAGACGTCCACCATCCCTCCAAAATACAAGAATAGAGTTTCCCCCCCCCAACCCCCCCCCCAAAATCCGACAAATCATCTTATCGACATGATTTTATATGGCGTAACCAATTACAGTGATTTCAGTGGCTGATGCTGCTGCGGACAGCTCATCTTTTTCGGCTGTGTTTTGATTCCGGGGCCATAGCATATGTATGTACTCCGTATGTAAGCTCACGGCGCAGCACAGAGTAGGGTATGTAAATGTTGAGAGGAAGAGAAAAAAAAATTTGTTTGTTATTTCTGTTGTTCTTTGGGTTGGGGAGGATTTTGAACCCTTTATGAGTAAAGTTGTTGAATTATATTTGATTAAGATTTATTAACTTTAACAATTCATGATCAGTCTTGTAATATCCAGATTCCCTTATAATAAATATGACAAAGAAGTAGAAGAGGATTTTGGTACGGCTTAAAACCAAAACATCAACTCCAATTAATGAAATAATCTTATTTTTGGTGATTAGACACTGCAGAGCAAAACTTATGCAGCTTCATGGCGCTTTACATGTATGCATACGGAGTAGCTATAGCCCTACTAGGTTAATTTAGGGGTCCTTGCAGAATAATCTCTCATGGGTTGGTGGATCAATTTTGGGGTATTCGTAGCTTTCTCGTCCAGTCTGGGTATGTTAAATCGATTATTGTTCAATTTCCAATCCAGTAAGGTGAGTTATATAGATTTTATAGGTAGATATATAGACGATTCAACTGAATTCAATGTATTGATTAGGTATATAATACTTCTAATCAATTCAATGAAGTCAAATCTTCGCTCAGTCCCGATTAATTCTCTCAATATTAATTAATTCATTATTGGACCGTGACAATAATCTAAACTATTGAAAATACCAAGAACAAAATAAGCCAGTCGAGGTTATAAATTACACATCTTTCCATTGCTTAGCATACTCGAGTCGTGTCTCATCTACCAGCAAATATAATAAAACTCCCATCCCATCCTGGAGGGTATATGTGCGATAGAAGCCGAAACCATCCTACCCTATGCGTATAAATCTAAAGCATGAACGCTAATTTACAATCAATATCTTTCTCAACTCCCTCATAATTACGAAAGCAAGTTTCTAATTACAAAGCAGCCATAACCATAGCAGCAGCAGCACCTCCGACAACCCATTGCGCCTTAGCAGTAATCATTGGCATACCTCCAGTAGAAGCAGTGGGGCCCGAAGCAGACGATGAAGCAGACGTGCTGGATTTACTTGAACCGCTTGCTGAGGCACCAGTCGCTGAGGCACCAGTCGCTGAGGCGCCAGATGTAGTTGGAGTGGCAGAACTGGTAGTACTTGCCAATCCAGCGGTAATGGTAACAGGAATGCCGGATAAGAGACTTGAGAAATCGGTACCAGTGACGGTTGTGCTAGCGTCTGAGGAAATGGTCGATGTACCGCTAGACTCGACGTTGATGCCGGTGCAGTAAGCGGAAGAGGAATTGGAGATGACGCAGCCGACGCTATATTCACTAAAGAGATAGGTGTTAGTATTAGATCTAGATCTACAGTCGTGATTTGCGAAATAGGTACATACGCGTGACCAGATCCTGTTGGTGCAGCATCAGAAGCAGTTTGAATCATGGTAATGTCAAAAGCATAATCAATCGTGTAAACATATGCGATTGTGGATGGACCTTGGGTAAAGGTAAAGCTATCTGGAATACCACAGTCGTCTTCATCGTCAAAGTAAGCCGAGGTTGGCGCAGCACTGGCGGTTGTAGAACCACAGGTAATTGAATACGTAGTGGCGGTAGCGTCCTAGAAAATCGAATATATGGTTAGAAAAGATTCGCGATTCGATTCCACTGTTCATGATGTGACCTACGGAAGCAATAATTGAACCAACGAATGGAGGTTGATCATCACCACCGTCAAATCCCATAAGATGGAGGTTGACAACTGAGCTGGTCTGAGCAGTAACAGTACCCATAAGGGCAACTACAAAGCTTGTGATAGCGACTGCGTGCATATTTGCGGGACCTTGACGATTATTGTCTTAAAAAAGAAGTTAATCAAGGAAATAAGTTGAAGTGAGGAAGAAAGATGGAGTATTTAAGTGTTGTATACTGCTTATTTACCACTTGAGACACCAACATAAATCCTCTACTACACCCTTGCATATTGAAAAATAAGCTTAATTTATTATTTTACCCTTGGGAAACTTCTGATTGGGTAAATAAATCATTTAATCTATTGACTGTCCTTACGGTTACTGGTCAGGGCTCTTTTGTCAAAGTCATCACAGCGGTTGCTTCTACGATTCCCTTGAAAATTCATGTCCCTTTATTCCTATTTAGGAATCCCAACACTGGGGTCGCAGTATCACGTAAGGTCTAAACGGGTTATCGGTTATGGGGATAAAATTATTATGTACTGCGTGAGAATACGGAGGAATGATATGATATAAAAAGTACTTGTATGGGACTCTGCATATGAACTTCGTATCGCAGTCCATCCAGTCGATGAATGATTGAATTGCTTTAGGACAACTCAAATAAAGGGGCAGTAAACAACTTTGTCGGCCGATTTTCAAGACACAGTCAAGTAAGTCTAGCTACCTATTCCAACCAAATTTACTCGCATCGCACTGCAATGCCAAGAATCGTGAACAAGCCCCCTTTGATCATCTTCCATCGGAAGTGGGATGAAGTGGATCATATCATCCGCGATATGTTCAAGCTCCAGGCACCAGACACAATTTTATAAGCGGCATTGCGGCACAGTCCGGAAATGGGCACACTGACCTTGAGGGCTAGATGTAGAAGAAAATGAGAAGCATATTAATGCCATATCTTCTTTTTATGCGACAACATGATCATCATCGTGGATGGTCGATGGATTCTCTCTCGTGAACATCATTCGTTACCGCCAAATACTTCCCCGAGTTGACCCTTCCCCCACTCCATACCAAATGGCCGGGTAACCAAACATTGCTTGCTGTCCATTTACCACGAGGCCGATCTTTGGGGATCTGAATGGCAGTGGGTCGACTCCTCTAAATATTATGGAAATTTTCACGCACGTACCAAGAAACCAAGAAAATCATATGTGGAATTTGACTCCAATTTTTTTTTCAATTCGTCGGATATATTTCCAGGGATACAAACTTTATGTGAAGATCAATAACTTTATTCAGAGCTCATCTGAAGTACGCTTGGGAACGTTTGCATTCTTTGTCTAGTGTCAAGGAATAGTCGTCCTATAAACAACAAATTATCTCAATTGAATCTTCGATTGAAAATATTCCCGAATCAAAATACACGAAATGGCACCGCTCATAGAATCTTTTCGCATTTTCAGTATCGAGGGTTAGTCCCAAAATTCGTAGCAAAAGGGAAATCTCGTGGGAAGACTTGGACAAACTCCACCATCAACCTTCCTTCCATTTTGATACTCGGATCTCTTTCCCGCGAGATTGCCAATTTTGCATAATATCCATGCCGCTAGAAAGGGAGAGAATGAATACAAGCGAAGAAGTTGACCCGCTTCTCATATTTCTCCAGACCAATAGAGATGTTGTTTCTGTCCGAGCACTCACTTTTTCCACATCGTACTTTGACAGGTTACTTGCTCCAGCAAAGTTTTGAATCTTTTGTTGCATCTCGCACTTTGGAGGCGTTTGTCGATCTTGCTTGGCTTTGTGCCCGAGTCATGTAATGCATGCTTGTTGTCCTTTGCGGCCCGGATGATTTTTAAAACTGCTTGATATCAACGGGAATGAAAGAGATTTTGTCCGAATCAGTTGGGTTTTTCATGCTTCAAGCCTACTAGTTTGTTTGCGTTGAGGATCAAATAAGGTTTGAAGAATGTGGAGGGAACTGTCACTAGCGTGATTGGTCGTTAGCTTCTCAGATTTGTATCTTTCGCTTGCAAACTCTTATTGCCTCATTCTCTACGTCTCTTCAACTTCCTAGTTTTAGGAAATTCATGTCACTAGTTGATTGTAAATCATCCGTCTCGTAAAAGTCCCTCTCCTTACATTGCTCCGATTCTGTTGACATAAGGTGTTCACTAGTATAACAATGGCACGGTGCTTGTTTCCTTGACGCACTTATTGGGCATGATTCTTACGGCTATTTCCCATCCTTATAAGTTGTAAGATAGTTTCTATGTATCCATCTATTTCGGCTAGCTTCTAGTTATATCTAGTTCTTAATGCTTCTGCTACGTCTAGGTCTTTTTTGAAAATATATTGTCAAGCATGTGAAAGTTGAACTTTTAAGTTTACTTGAGAAAGAATCTGCTTGAAGCATATATCAATATATCACTCTTACTTGGATTACCGTTCTGCAGATTTTAAGTTGTCTGGGTGTTTTTTCCAATTGTGGAAGTTTCCTAAACAGATAACTCTTTTTGGCACACAAGCTTGACATGTAACCTTGACACAAAAGTATTCATATTCGTCAACTTAGCAGAATGTTTTGTTAAGAGCCTTTTCTCCGCCTCTTAAAGTAGCTAACACTATGCCTCAAGGAGGTATAAAAGGTATCAACATGAAATTTGCTATCTACTGCAGGATGCAATGCTTGCAAAAGACGTTGACCGCTTCATTTCCGAAGTAATTACACTCTACCTGAGCATTTATCCTCAACATGAGACAACTTCGGCCTCATTTTCTTCGCAAAATAGCAATCTGTCAATTCAATTCGTTTACCCAAACTTGTTGACCTAGTTTCACTTTTTGCGTCGTCTGCTACATCTCGGAAAAAGCGCGTTCCTTCTGAAAATTCCCACATAAAGATTCAGTCACACATTTGACTTGTCTACAGTGGCTATTTATCCAGGATATGATCTACAGACGCACATTTTAATCCTAGATATCATTTATTCCCATTAGGAGAGCTTCTAAGGTGCCGAGGCTTTATTTTTCTTCTTTAAAAAAGAGAGAATCATAGGTAGAGCCTAGTAATTATGCTCTGGACAACAGGCGAATGATTACTTTACTTGATCTCGTGTCACGTCTCAGTCCTATCACCATTGCAACCAGTACTTCATACTTGAATGTATATATACTAGAGTGGCATAAGGACAATGAAGAGCGGCAAAACAACAAATTTATTTTGGATGCTTTGCAAATTTGCAGCCGAGTCCAAAAATATTGACTATTGACTCCACCACAACGCAAACGTCACGTTCTGTTTGTTTTCTGAGCGGGTGCGAACTTCTCTAGTCCTCCTACGTCAGGATTCACATTAGGAATTCAGTTTCTTCTTCCGTCAAGCCTTGCGGTTCCCTGTTCGTCGTGTTCACCATAAATCGAGTTTTCAGGTGATTGCATTAGCAATATTTTCAATTCTTTCTTCCATCCTGGCTTCGCTTATTGGGCTGTCGCCAGCGATTACAATGTGAATGTGTGCTGATCTAGAATTGTATCAATTCCAAGTAGTACATAGAAGATAACCTTCCCAACAAGCAAGACTGAAGTTTTGCTTGAAGTGATTTCCGCGTCAAATTTAAAGAAAAATCAATGCTCAACTATTAAATAGTCACCACAGATTAAAAATATTCCTCATGTGAAGTTTCGTACTTACTCAAAGCATGATCGCCATTTAGTCAACATTCCAAACCGGGAACAACCTCGAGGAAATCAGTCAATCTAAGCTTTCATAAGCCCTACTAGAATAGCAACCGAAAGATTCTTTCTCCATACTTCCAGACCAAAGTTGTTGGGTTTCTTGAGACTAGAAAGAGCATCAGATTGAATTGATTTATTTTCTAGCTAAGCAGTTAAGCTGCGAGCATATATTCAAAAAATGAAGGAATAGGTTGGGTATTCGGCCTTCGGAATTAAAGTGCTTTGAAATCAAAATATTGAAAGCAAACAAACAGTATACCAAAAAGGAAAGAATGAATTAAAAGTTGAGTTTTGTTTGCTCCTTATATGCATATGTACTATATATGCATATGCTGCCAAGATCCCAGGAGGTCAACAAAAGTCAATAAATCATCTGTGTTATTTTCCTCTACATAGAATTGCTATTTCTACGAATACAAGCGCATTCCACGACCTACTCACTCGACGCTTCAAGCTCTAATCACAACAAGAATCTAGACCTTTATATTCCCATCCGGATATTCTTATAGTTAATATTCTCGCTCTTATACGGAGTATTTTGGATGATATTTATTATATATATTGTATGCTAGCTTTCAATATACTTAATAGACAAATGGTGAAGTACCATACCGAGTATACTCTCTAGAGATCTCGTGTTGGGTTTCTTGAGACTAGAAAGAGCATCAGATTGAATTTATTGATTCTCTAGCTAAGCAGTTAAGCTGCGAGTATATATTCAAAAAAATGAAGGAATAAGGTTAGGTATTCAGCCTTCGGAATTAAAGTGCTTTGAAATCAAAATATTGAAAGCAAACAAACAGTATACCAAAAAGGAAAGAATGAATTAAAAGTTGAGTTTTGTTTGCTCCTTATATGCATCATGTAATATACATGCATATGCTGCCAAGATCCCAGGAGGTCAACATCTCGGCTCTTGATATTTCATTCGGTTGAAAATAGGCCTGGGATGAGTATCAGATTGATTGCTCTCTTTTAAAGTTCTATTATCTTGGAGTATACTAGTGTATCATCATATATGATGTTTATTTTAGAAACTCGTGGTACCTTAATAAAATCCTACAGATTCTTTTCCCCGTCAGTTACTCTGAGTATACCGTCCTCTATAGTGCTGTATTATAATGTCGAGAGATTAGAGGCGGCCGGATGAATATCAAACTGCCTTAATGAGGGGGAGTTTTATATGGTGTGATTCCTCTCTTCTTTCCCGCCTAGATGGTCAATTATGGTGAGATGTATTGTATTGTGCGAGATATATTGAAGTGTAAGGTATTAAGTTCTATTTTATTAATATTATTGTATTTTATACCGAATCCCAGACAAGACACCGCAGAAAGAGAACGCGATTACACATTTTAAGTTTATATATTCTTAAAATAACAATATAAATATCTATACTCAGTAAGATAATTCTAAACAAAAATCTGTAAGCTCTTATGTTACGAGGTTTGCCGTCTAGATCACGTGGAAGTGCTCTAGGCTCTCGAGGTGGTTTATAACTAGGCGTCAAGCAGGGACTTAAAGTAATGACAATGATGATATGCAATTCGTAACTAATAGTAGAGTATACTAAATGATTGATCTTGAGCACGAAGCTCTATACAGAGGAAATCCCATCTGAGGTTATATGGAGGTTTCGGGGCGGAGGGCTACTCAGTGAGGATCCAAGGCAGTGCATGTTGCTCCGGGTAACAAGAACACCCTCACGTGCTACCAATATCATGTGACTGACTCAGTGAGGATCAGCAAGCTCAGTACTGAGCCATACTGATCCTACTGATCAGCTAGAACACGAAGGTCTATATAATCAAGATAGATTTCCTTTGTATAGAGCTTCGTGCTCAAGATCAATCATTTAGTATACTCTACTATTAGTTACGAATTGCATATCATTATTGTCATTACTTAAGTCCCTGCTTGACGCCTAGTTATAAACCACCTCGAGAGCCTGGAGCACTTCCACGTGATCTAGACGGCAAACCTTGTCACACTCAAGAATACTGGGTAAAGTATCTTGTATTAGAAAATACTAAGCTAAGGAGAAAAGAAGAAGGAAAACAAGAGTAGAGAGTTTTCCTATGATTAAATACAAACGGGGCATGCCACGTGACCCGGAGGTGTGAGGCGTCACAAACCTCGTAACAGCTCAGTACTGAGCTCACTGATCCTCACTGAGCTAATCACGTGATATTGATTGCACGTGAGAGTTTCCTGTTACTCGGCGTAACAATAAAATAAATACTAATCTTTATATATTTAAATTTAAAATAAAATAAAATTATATAATATATTAAAAGAATAAGATTTTTATAATTCAAATATTATCAATATAAGGTTGATTACACAATTATATATCGAATTTTCTGATTTAACATCTGATTATAAATCAAATCTATAAGATGTTACGTTGCAACATTATAACTATTATCACGTGTTATAGGATCACATGAATAGTCTTGTGAAGGAGCGAGGAAGCGAGATTCGAATCTCGCTCCCCAGCTCCATCGCTCCAATGTTGGAATACGAAGGTTTATATAATCAAGATAGATTCTTTTTGTATAGAGCTTTATACTCAAGATCAATATCAATCATTTAGTATACTCTACTATTAGTTACGAATTGCATTATTGTCATTACTTAAGTCCCTGCTTGACGCCTAGTTATAAACCACTTCGAGAGCCTAGAGCACTTCCACGTGATCTAGACGGCAAACCTCGTAACAAAAAGCTACCCGGCAGAGTAGTATCAACATAAGATTACCCCAACCCATGACATATTTTTCCCCAGCTGAATATATAGTCTTACAAACTCGTCTACTTGCTTATAAATGACATCATATTATGCGGTATAAGGTTACATTATAATATTGCAGAACTTGAAAGAGAGAGATATACATTAATAAATTAATAAATCAATACTTAGATGTATAGATGTATAAATATATAAATATATAAATATAAATACAACCAACCCCATCCCAGCCCAGCACAGCCCGGTGTTGTTTCTCAATCAATCATTATAGACAATTGTAGATACATCTCAAATCCTCTATATACCATGTACATCCACATCCACATCCACACTCTCCTCACAAAAAATCTCTTCTCCTCTATACCAATCCTCCTCCTCCTCCTCATCTTCACAACACTCTACCTCATTCCCAATCATCTTTACCACCAACCGCATCTTCATACCGATATCCCCTACAACCCAAAAACAAACCCAAAAACAACACCAAACCCAAAACCAAAATGTCTCCACCTCCCCACCTCCTCCTCCTGGCCCAACAAAACAAAATGGAACCAACTAAACACCACCGTAAACGGACGATTAATCCGAGGAATACCCCTAGGCCAGCCCTGCTACGAAACACAATTTGATGCAGAGGAATGTGCTCGAGTGCGAGATGCGTGGATTAGTTTAGAATCTTAGTAAGTATAGTAATTTTATTATTTCGAGTTTGGATACAAGAATCATGACCAGACCCCGCCCCCTAACCCCTAAGAAAAAATCCGGAAGAGAAAAAAGAAGACATAAAAATTAATACTACTAGTAAAGTGAAAACGACCCCGTGAATATCATGGCTCCATATTGGCAGAATAATTCCTGTAATCCTATGGTAGCGACAAATACAGGCACAAATACAAATAATACCGATACCTATAATACCTGTATTTTAGGAAACCTCGCGTCATACGCTCTCAACATCAGTCATGCAGGAGATGTCATTTCCGGGCTTAAATTCGCACGGGAGAACAATATACGACTTACGATAAAGAACACAGGGCATGATTTTCTAGGACGATCCACCGGTGCAGGTTCATTAGCTTTATGGATGCATAATCTTGACGACATCGACTTTTTTAATTACAGTAATAATGCGCTTTATACAGTACCTGCAGTTCGCATTGGAGCCGGGGTTAGATATTCTGATTTGTATCCTGTGGCGCGAGAGTATGGGTATCGTGTTGTTGGTGGTTCGTGTTCTACGGTTGGGATAGCAGGAGGGTATACTCAGGGGGGTGGTCATGGACCCCTCGCCTCGGCATATGGAATGGGAGCCGATCAGGTATTAGAGTGGGAGGTGATAACAGCTTCAGGGCAGCATTTGATCGTGTCACCTATGCATCATGCCGATCTGTACTGGGCATTGAGTGGTGGGGGGCCCGGAAATTTCGCGGTAGTGCTTTCGGTGACAGTTCGAGTATATAATGATGGTCCTGCGGCGGGTGCGGCCTTCAGTGTCGTTAACAACGATAATAGCACGACGTATTGGGCTGCTGTTCAGGCATGGCTACAAACTCTGCTTGTGCTCGATACTATTAATGGTTTGGCTTCAGTCTCGACGATCACAGCTAATAGCTTTTCGCTGAATTTCACTGCGTTGCCAGATGTTACAACCACGGATAGTATCCACGCTGTCCTCGAACCATTTTTCACAAAGCTTGGACAACTCAATCTCTCAATCGGTAACAGCTACAGAGCCGAAGTCCATGCTAACTACGCCGAGTTCTACGATTCATTTGTTCTGCAAGAATTATATACTAGCAACATCACGGTCGGCGGTCGGAATGTTCCACGTTCGACAGTGCGAGATAAAGCCACTGGCCTTCCAGCGCTCATTGACGTTTTCCGCAAAATCACAGATGGCGGCGGAATAATAGTCTTGGCTGCAACCAACGTCGCACACAAGAACTACACTTCCAATGCCCTACTGCCGTCTTGGCGTGATGCGCTATTCTCCGTGGTACATATGAAACCGCTGGCCGAGAACGCTGAACTCGAGGATATCCGCAGAAACCAGGTACAACTCAATACATGGCAGGATATGCTGCGCGATATCACACCTGGGGGAGGTGCCTATATGAATGAAGCAACATGGGACAATGTGCATTGGAAGGCTGACTATTTTGGATCAAATTACGAGGCATTGCTAAAAGTGAAGGAGAAGTATGATCCGGAGTTTTTCTTTTGGGCAAATGCGGCAGTTGGTAGCGATGTATATTGGAAGGTCGGTGAAAACGGAGCATTGTGTCGTGTTTGATACAGGAAAGAGAGGTCACATATGTGAGGAAGCAGCGCAGGGGAATTGAGGGAGACGTAGAGAGGGAAGGAGAAAGAGAGCAGATAGCAATCGTAGTTTGGATGACATGAACATTGCTGGAAGGAATCCGCTCTCTGAAGAACTATCAAATGTCGTTGGGGAGTTGAGAAATATAGACTTGTGATTTGCAAACGAAACGATTGAGCTCAATGAAACGAATGATGCGGGCATTCGGAAGTTATGGAGTAACTCAAGTGTAATAAATATGACAAAACCGAACAAGACGGGAAAAATCTTCGTAACAAACAAAAATGATATACCAAGTATATAACTTCATTCTATCAACGACAATATTTAACAGATGACATTGGAATTACCCAATTGATGAAGAAAACCGTCCATCCTAGCATAATTCCCGAAAAAGACACACAAAACAATAAATCCGAAAACATCATCAACATATATATCCAAAAACAACAACAACAAGCACAATAAGAAAAACAAACCAAGCGAGCGAGCAAACATTCCACCGTCCAACGTTCCACCATCACCAATGCACCTTATTCACTAGCGAAAGATGATAGAAAACCCCTCAGCCACCTACCTACAAGTAAGTACCTCTCGCAAAGCAGCATCCCAGACCCTACATTTTGTTGCACATCTCGCAACAATGGGATATTGGTCAAATACGGGCGACACACGATGGGAAAGCGACATGGAGATTTGGGGAATAGCATGGCCGATTTATGAGTGAAGAAATCCGGTTGTAGCAAAAAACCGCGCGGCGGCAGGAAGTTTTTGTGGTTCTGTTTGTTTATTTGTCTTGGTGATTTGCTGATTTGGGAGGGATAATTGGGATTTGCTGAGAGTGGTTGGGGGGTTTTTGAGGGTTCGATGATGGAGGGTTGGAAAGTGATGTTTGGGATCGTGAGGATTTATGTGGGGAAGTGATGGGATGGGATGGTGCAGTGTGGAATTTATTTTTGCCTGGTTTTTATGGCTGTTGTGGTAGGTTATTCTGAGTGGCGAATTTTATAAATGCAGTTCTTTGCTCCGCCACATTTCGGGACCGAATAAACACCGAATCGGTCCCGAGATCATGGTCAGTAGCTAATCAAATGAACTGACGGGAATTGTTAAGAGTCCGAATAATAATAACTCTTGGCTTTGAGTCATCTTTCCCCTACCTACCTAGGTCCTAGGTACTCGACCAGAACCAAAAAAGGGTTCGATAAATAAGCTGCACTCATGGCGCGAAACCATAAAAGATTACGCCACACAATACTGCCTGTTTACCTGACGCGCGGCTGCTACACCAAAAATGCAATTACCAACCACAGCTCTTCCGAGGCTTCTGGTGCATTCTTACTATTTCTTTATGGGTTGCGTAAATGTCTTTCTGGCTGAAAGATAGGTAAGTTTGTGTTTCGTTACTCATTTTTTGCCTCCGCTAGTCTTAGTGTTGCATTTACGCGGTCATTGCTTGCCTCGAGGTTTGGTGGTCGCAGGGAAAGGTATATATTCTCTGATCTTGCTGTTTTTTTTCTATCTCTTTATTCTACATCATTATCATCATCATCATCATCATCATCATGGATTTCAATAATCAAAACAATCATCAACAAGCAGGTCCCTTCTGGGATTTTGTACGCTCAATGCAACAAAACTCTGGAGCAGGTGCCGACCAACCTTCCCAAGAGTTCAATATGTGGGGCTCGTCAGAAGGACCTCATGAACGTCATGGAAATCATGGTCCCAGAGGGGCCCATGGCTTTTATGAATTTGGTCCATTTGGCTTTCCTTTTGGCGGAGCAGGACCATTTGGTAGAGGTGGCTTCGGACGCAGAGGAGATCATCGAGGACGTCACTCTTTCACCCCCGGCGGAGATGGAGAACATACCGATGAAGAAGGCAGAGAAGAATTCCGAGGACATCGTCATCACGGTAAAGGCAAATATAACCGTAGAGGCGGAGAAGAATCTGGAGAGGAAACACCTACTTCCGATGCAGAGGCTGGAGAGGGTTCTTCCAGACCACAACGTGGCCCTCGAGATTTCAAGGGCAAGAAAGGAAATTGTCGCGGAGAGGGTGAGCATTTCGATGAAGAATCATCGGATGTTGAAGCAAGAGAAGGGTCACAAGGCCAGGGGTCACGGCGAGGACCCAAACACCACGGACGCCATGGACCAGGTAGCAGAGGAGGATGGGGCGTTCGAGGTGGAGGCAGATGTGGACCACATGGTGGACATCAAGGTCGGGGAGGACCCCACGGCCATCATGGAAGACGCGGCCCACCTCCATTCGCCGGCCCAGGTGGCCCATTCGACTTTAGTGCAATGATTCAAGCACTCTCTTCTCACCCAATCGCACAGGCATTTGGTATTCCTACAACTCAGCGCTCCGGCGAAACACTCGTCCCCGAAGATGTTGACACAGAAAACTCTTTTGTTCCTCCTATTGACGTTTTCACCACTGAAGATGCATATGTTCTCCACATTGCACTCCCCGGTGCCAAGAAAGAAGACGTAGGTGTACACTGGGATGCCGAGAAAGGAATATTGAGCATGGCAGGTGTTGTTTACAGACAAGGAGATGAGAAATTCTTGGCGAGTCTTACCAAGAAGGAGAGAAAGGTGGGTGCTTTTGAGCGCACTATGAAATTGCCTCTCAACGAAGAGGATAAATCAGAAATTGATGGTGATAACATCGCCGCCAAATTGGAGGATGGTGTCTTGGTCGTTACTGTGCCAAAGCTGGAGAAGGAAGAATCTTGGACTGAGATCAAGAGAGTCGATATCAATTGACTGGATTTGGATAATAATATGGGGCCTGTTCGGGTTAGCTGGGAGATTTAATTTCGCATCCTTTTTGTTTCAGGTTTTCCTCTTTCTTAATAGTTAGGGTTTGAATTTTGGCATCGGTATCTTGATTTAGTATAGTTACCATAAAGAGTCTCTCATGACTAAAAAAAATAACCAAAAAAATGCCACTTGGCAATATATATACTTCACATCTTCCACTGATCTGCATGAAAACTGTGATGTAAGAAACTTTTCCATATTGTAGACATCGATATTCGGGTCGGAATATTTGGCTATACTCCATTGGAGAGTCGAATTACTCTTCGATATGGGAATAAGTGAGAGAAGGCGTATAAGTGGACAATTGATAGCGAAGATGAAATTACCGAACAAAAGCACATTCTCAACAAGTTGGAAGTGAAAAATTAACGTAAGATTACTTCGATGAAGAATATTGACGAGTTTGTGATCAGTAATTATGGCTGATGAATTTAAGTACAATAAAATTATAAAATGATTCGCAATGAGGATGTAAAGGGTACATATCTAAAGGAACAAACCTCTTGAGAGAATGAAAGGGTTCGGCACGTGACCATATTTTTGAAAAGCAGAAGGAATCTTGAGAAAGGGCCCGGAGTTGCGGGTTTAGAATTGAGTAGACATCAAGACAAGATATTCAAGTGTCAAAGTTCGATCTGATATGAGCGCTGTGGCTATATTTTCACATCATAATAGCTCGTCTTCTGCTCGTTGGTGTTGCAATACTTGACCTTTTCTGAATGTTTGAAATTTGCCGTTCCAACAACTTTGAGGGAATGGCACCCTTAGTGTCTTGTCTTATGATAGTTGGGCATTCTGAATATGTGAAATAATCGATCGAGACCGACTTGTATAAGATCTAGAGTTAATAGTTCGTGAGAAGTTGTGCCACGAGGAAGATTGTGGTTGTAAAGCAGCTGGAGGGATGGCTCAAATGCAGACTTCGAATGTGCATGTACACTCCAAAGCAACAAATTCGATATTCTAGTTTAAGTGGAGAATAGATGGTCAAAGTACCATGAAAATGTAATGATTGTTGTTAACCCGTGAAACCTGCGCTTGATGTCCATTAACTATATCATTTTGGTAATCTTACAAAAATTGCTTCAAATTTTTACCACCCGTGAAATGCCAGACCCCAACCCATCGATATCGAAATCCTTAAACACCAGCCGATAATTCTTGCAAAGCTCCCGCTGCTTCCTGCTCCGCCTTTGACAACTTTCTCCTCGACAACTTCGCATCATGCTCTGGATCATCGAGAGATTTCCGTTTGTTGTGCTCGGAATTGGATGGATGTGATGCGTTTCTTGTTGCTGTGGAAGGTGGAAGAGCTTGAGGCGTTACCGTTAAGACAAGGTTGTCGATGAAGTTACGTAATTGATCGAAATGTTTTGATTCCTCTTCAGTCTGGATGCATGCTGGTGTTGGAAATTGTGATCCAGATGCGTTGATAGCTTTTAGATTTGATGAGTTAAAACAATTCTGATGAAGGAAAAGAGAATGAAGATATATAAATCAATCAATAAAAAAATAAACACAATACCTCTTTTAACCGTATCTTGGATTATTTGGTGACCACTGTTGCCTGGAAATGCCAATAAAACCTTTTGAAGTGCGGCATTGAGCTGTTTTACCGTAATGTTAACCAATGAAGCAATCAAGCAAGTAATCATTGAGAAAATTCGAGATTAGAAGGGAAACCACATACATCTCGAATACTTTCATCCTGTTGATAATTCATCATGTATCTTGAGAATTTGAGACGATCAATCCATTCACATTAAAATCTAAATTGACATTGACATTGACTCTTTCACCAAGTGAAAAAGAAAAAGTCATTGATTTTGGAGGGTTTGTAAGTGAAGTTTGACTGAGGGTAAGTAATAAGTGAGTAGGTGAGTGAGTAAGTAGGTAGGCAGGTACCTAAAGTTTGTTATTCATGGAAATTTCACATGATGAGGGAAGCTTTTCAATCAATGAGCCCAAGCTCAAAAATCTGTGGCTGTGGGTGTGGCTGATACTGTTACTGTTATTGACTGTGACTGACTGTGGCTTAACCCGTAAAGCAGCCAAACAAAGACCTTTCAACGCCACACATCTAGGTCCCTAATAAAGATATTCCGGTTTCCCCCACAACCATTTATTTTATCTTTCTCTTATTTTCACTTTTTCCTTATCGACTTTTCATCAAAGCTTTTTTGATCTCAAGAGTAACAAGGAACCATAGTGCGTTTGTTCATCAAACAAAGGTTTGACACCATCTGACTACACTCACTTATTCACAACACCCTTCGTCAACCTCATCTTCGACCTGGCGTCGTTTGCAGCTTTGCGCAAATCTAAAGATAAGTTCTGGATACAGGGAGATTGGTACATTGAATTGGTTGCACGATTATACGTCATTGCCGTCGTGTGCCAAGCTCATCAACATCACCAGTCAACTACTTCAAACTATCGTCTTTGATCATATTTTCAGAATTGTTTAAGAATTGCAACGCTATCTCAATTCTACTGCTCCTTAGTATCCGTTCTTGTTCATTCGCTTGGTTGGATCATTGCTTCTCAATCTCATAACTTGTCAGCACAAAACAGAAAACAAACAAACATTATGTCAGATGAACTCGATTACCTCCAGCAAGGCTTCGATGCCTCTTCCCTTACGATGGCCCGGATTCGCTCTATATTAGTCCAACATAACATCGATTACCCATCTAATGCCAAGAAAGGGCAGCTCGTCGAAATCTTCAACAACGATCTAGTCCCACAAGCAAGAAAGATATTGCATGAGAGAGCGCGTGCGAAGAGAACGAGCCGAGGGATTATCGATGTCGAATCATCAACAGATACCAGCACTCAGGAGAGTACAACAGAAAGTACACAGGAGAGTGATGCGATACTACCACCACCGAGGTCGAGATTTGCGAAGCAAGCACCTGCAGAAGTCAGAGCACCAGTAGATATTAGTGATGATGAACCAGCGTTGTATAGGAACACCAGGAGATCAACCCGATCCATAAGCCCAGTAAAGAGAATGCCCAGAGCTAGTAGTCCCATGAAAAGGACAACGAAACCAAGCAGCAAACATCCCAGGCAGGAGGAGATTCCTCTGGAGGATGAGGATATAGTGCGAAAATCCAGAAAAAGTACAACAGTTCAAACACCGATGGTTGCGGCGAGGAATAATCTAGATGGAGTGGCACAAAGAAGAGACTCGCGAAGAGAGACCAATTTCACCTACGACAATCCCTTTCAAAAAGGCTCGCCGCCTAGAAGACCTATATCGAGCCATGATAATAAGAGGAAAAGCTTTGGTGGAAGTGCTATGAAGGAACTAGAGAAGTCGAGGACTTCGATTCCGAGAAGAGGCATGGCGTACCCACAAGCTAATGATGGAATACGTCCACCAACTTCTTCCACTTTCGAAATTCCTCTTAGTAGCCTTGATGGTCTCAAGGACTATGATGATAATGGAGTAGAAGTTAGTGAGGATTTTACTCCAGAGGCACAATTTGAGCTCGAGCGTGAGCAACAGAGGGGACTCGCAAAAATTCAGCCTCGACGAAAAGCATCAAACGGAGTTAGCATGAGTGGACCTATCTGGATGGTCCTTCTTACATTGCTTGGTGGTTATGCTGTTTGGTATAGGCAGGAGAAGATTGCTGTAGGTTTCTGTGGCGTAGGTAGAGAAGCGCATTCGATCATACCCGTCCGATCAAATCTTCCGGATTGGGTACAAGTAATTGCCGAACCGCAGTGCGATTGGTGCCCACAGCATGCTTATTGTAATACAAACTATAAAGTTCAGTGCGACCAAGATTTTATTCTCAAGCATCATCCTCTCTCATTGGGTGGATTCCTACCTTTGCCGCCAACTTGTGAGCCTGATGGGGAGAAAGCTCGGCGGGTCAAAGCCGTTGCGGATCGAGCTGTTGAGGAATTAAGGGAGAGAAGAGCGAAGTGGGAATGTGGTGACTTAGTTGATGAAGCTGGAGCACCTGAACCAACAGTCGAAATAGATGCCGAAGAATTGAAAAAAGAAGTTAGTCAGAAGAGGAGAAGGGGAATGGGAGAGGCTGAGTTTGAGGAGTTATGGGTTGGTGCCATTGGAGAAATTAAGGGGAGAGATGAAGTGGTTGTTGGTGCTGATGGGTAAGTTGTAGATTTTCCCCTCTTTCACCTCTTACATGTATCCTTCCTTTATTACACAATATCTTCTGACAACTCGGTTCACTAATCAGGTTGAACATCCCTGTTGTAGATCAAACACCCTCACAAGTACCTCACTCGCACGTCTCCCCCTCACCTGTGCTATCAAACGATCCTTTAGAGTCACATTGGCAAGACATTATTTCGAAATTGGATCTTTAGGTCTTGCTTTTATCCTCTTTTTATATGTCCGTTCAATTATTAGCAATCATAGAGCTACTCAAGCTGTAATCCACCCTTTAGTTTCACTCACTCTGTCGCGTCTCGCCACTCAAGCATCTCTTTACGCAGAAGATCCAGGTACCGTAAAGGAGAGTTGGATCAGTATTGGCCAACTGAGAGACGATGTTTTACGGGATGAACATAGTCTACAAAAGCGGGAAAAGATTTGGACAAAAGTGAGGAATGTAGTGGAAATGAATGCGAATATCCGATCGATGCAACGAGAGAGTCAAAATGGTGAAATCTCCAGAGTTTGGGAATGGATTGGTGCATTGGAGGATGTGGAGAATAGTGTTAGGAGGAGGAAAGGCGAGAGGGTTAGTTGGGAAACACCATTAAGGCATAGGGATAAGTATTTGGAGAGGTCGTTAACGCCTAGGTGGGAGGAACCTGGTTCGACACCTGCTTTTTAAATAAAGTATGCTTTATACATGCGTGTATGTATGCAGGCGATTTATTTATTAGCCCTTTTTGTTCAATTCGGAAAGTTGTGTTTTATTTATTTATCTATTTATCTATCTATTTATTTATTCTGATTATAAAAACATTTTAAACGCTTTCTTGTGTTTGTAGTATTAGCCGTGAGTGAGATAGCGTGATAATGAGTGAGGCGGTAGAACGACGAGCCGATGAATAATAAAAGATCAATAGGCTAGCAGACTTTTTCCTTTGGGAATTTAACTATATAAGTCTATGTCACACTCAAGAATACTGGGTAAAGTATCTTGTATTAGAAAATACTAAGCTAAGGAGAAAAGAAGAAGGAAAACAAAAGTAGAGAGTTTTCCTGTGATTAAATACAAACGGGGCATGCCATGTGACCCGAAGGTGTGAGGCGTCACAACCAAGGTAACATGATTAAGTCACGTTATGGACCGCTGAGGAACGTTAGCTGTCCAGGATCGTACAGCGGTCCTAATTAGTTATAGGTATGAAGATCTATATAATCAAGATGGATTTCCTTTGTATAAAACTTTATATTCAAAATCAATCATTTAGTATACTCTACTATTAGTTACGAATTATATATTATTATTTATCATTACCTAAGTCCCTGCTTGACGCCTATTACAAGGTTTGCCATCTAGATCATGTGGAAGTGCTCTAGGCTCTTAAGGTGGTTTATAACTAGATGTCAAGCAGGGACTTAAATAATGACAATAATGCAATTCGTAATTAATAGTAGAGTATACTAAATGATTGATCTTGATCTTAAATATAAAACTTTATATAAAAAAAATCCATTTTGATTATATAAATCTTCATATTCCAATATTGAAGCGATAGAGCTGGGGAGCGAGATTCGAATCTCGCTCCTTCGCTCCCTCGCTCCTTCACAAGACTATTCATGTGATCCTATAACATATGATAATAGTTTATAATACTACAATGTAACAAAAGGGTGGCCTATATTAGGGGTGGCCCAAAATTAGGGTACTAGACTTATATATATAAAAGTTCCACACCTCATCATCCAAACCCAACTAATAAACCGAACAAAAAAACATAAGTCTTATATTTCCTTTCCTCCTCGCTGATTTTCATCTTTCTCTCTCTCTCTCTTCATTTCCCACCCACACCCTACAATATTAATCCACACCTCTCAATCTTCATCTTCATCTCCATCTTCTCAGTCTCATTCTAATTAGAATCTAGAACTAGATTCCATCTATCTCTACCCCTTTTTGTTTAAAAAAAAAACAAGAAAAAGATAAGACAAAAATTTACATACCAGATGTAAGGTTAATATAATATCTTGTGTTAATTATAGGAAAAACAGGATTGTATCTGTTTTACGGAGTATTAGATTAATTAATCTTCCTACTCGCACTCGTTTATATCTCGGGATAGATGAGGGATTGGGATTGGGATAATAGGATTATATTCTTCTTTTAATCGATTTATGATTATAGTATGGCTTTTTTATTTAATGAGAAGGAGTGATGTGATTAGTTGATTTAGGGATTTGTGGAATGGGATTCGGTAATTGTATAAAATAATGAGAGAATAATAAAATTTATTTTATCATAACGTGGTTTATCAGCGAGCGGGCCATATCACCGAGCGGGCCACTTTTACCTCAATTTATCATTTCAAACCCATATTATTTAACAACAATTAAATCAATTGATTGAAACTATCAAGAATCTAATAATCTAGGATCTATTATACTATTCTGACAAGTTCTTGAATTATGACCAGTCTTTCCACACTTACTACAGCATTGACTAGTAGATGATTCCCTATTAAAATTTCCCCCATTTTGACGCTCGTCGCGTTGAATCTGATTATCAACCTCTTGTTGTGATAATATATCTTCAGCTTCTTGTCCAGTAAGTACTCCTCCATTACGTAGTTGAATTTTTTTAGCGCGTCGACGTTTACTTAATACCTCATTTGCTCTTCGAAGCATACGATTCTCAGCACTCAAAAGTGTAACTTCATGTGCTAATCTCTCTGTACCTTTAACTAAAGCTTGTACAGTCTCAAATATAGGTGTAGGAGAGCTTGATTGATGACGAGCTATTCGAGCTTTTACTAGAGTTGATTGTAAGAGAGCCTCAGTTGGATTATGAGGGGTTTGAGAGATCCAGGAGTTGGTAAGTTCCAAGGAGGTAGATGGAGGGGTAGAAGTACGAATCCTAATATCTAGTTTTGAGAGTATAGATTGAGGATCGAATGGTATTAGACCTGCTCCTCGAAAACCAGCTTTCATATTCTGAATAGTAAATGATTGTTGATATGCAGCTTTGAAAGTTATAAAGAATTCAACTTTAGTGATATGATTGATATGTGCCTTGATAAACTCCTCAATTTGAGAACTATATGAACGTTTAAGTACACCGAAACATCCAACATCAAGTGGTTGAGTTAAATGACTTGAATGTGGTGGTAATTTGAGGCATATAATATCATTTGATTTGCAATATGATTGAAAAGGTATTGATTCGTAGCTTTCGTGCCCATCCAATACTAGCATTCGATATTTGCCCTTTCTTTGACGAATAGTATGTTTATCGAAATGCTTTAACCATTCTAGGCCTGTCTCATTATTCGTCCATCCATTGGAAGTAGGTTTAATAGCCCAATCCGCAGGAAAATCGGTTTCGGTATACCAATTGGAAAGATGAACTTGTCCTTGAACTACCAGAAATGGAGGTATAGTTTCACCCTCTCCATTGCCACATATAATTGCTGTAGCCCACTCTCGATTGCCTGGTTGTATTGCCTTGCTTCTGCCATTTCGTTCAGCACTAGTTACAACCATTCCAGGGCATATTATACCCATCATGAAGCCGGTTTCGTCGAAATTGTAGAAATCGGAATCGACAATACCATATTTCGCCCGCATATTCGATACCAATCTAAACCACTCTTCAATAAGCTTGGGATCTTCGCAGAGAGCTCTTTGAAAATCATAAACGCGATTAAAACGCGTCTTTAATTCTGGACATCGTTTAACAAAGCGATAAGCCCAGAGCTTTCCAACCTTCTTCGCACCCCGCGATTCGAGGATATAATTCGCCATATCTTCTACACCATTTAATTTAGGTGCAAACCCTCTCTCATCCATATCGATTATATACTGGATAAGCACTTCCTCTTCTAATTTGGTCAAATTATGACTATTTGCTCGAGATTCGATACGAGGGGTAGTACCGTCTATTCTGCGCTGAATCTTTGTACGCGGGATATTATATAGCTTAGCAGCCTTCCGAATGCTTAATTTTTGGTCTTTATTGATAGCTTCGATAGCTAAAAGTATTCGACCTTCTTGATTATTCGATTCCATAATATATTGTTGATAAATCGCGTATTGAAGTTGAAAGATATAAATTGAGGTAAAAGTGGCCCGCTCGGTGATATGGCCCGCTCGCTGATAAACCACGTTATATTATGTTAAAAGGAATGACTTTACACAGGGAATAGTGGGAAGCTGATAGGGCAGAACTGAGGTAATATTGGTCTAGTAGGTTAATCTCTCTTCTAAGTTCTACGGAAGTGCGAAGCTCTCTTACAGAGAGCTTCTCAATCTAGTCTTAATAGGACTAGTGCCCTGTGCACGTGCTACGCAGGAACCATTCACTTTAACATATTATAATATAATAGTTTAGCTCTTGTTATTATGTATAGATTTATAAATAGTTTTTTTTTGAGAGGGGGATGATTTATATGATTTGAGTGGATTGAGATAAAGGATCGAGGAGGATTTATTTTGTTTTATTTATTTTTTGAGTGGGATTTTTTTATGACTGTATTATTTTTAACCTCATCTATATGTTGATCATTCTGTCAGTGTGTGGGATATTGTGGGGGAATTGCTGTTGTGTTGATATATGTAGGTCAGGGTGAGGAGGGTAGTGGATAGATGGATTCTGAGGTATGGGGTGTGTTGTAAGTTGAAGGATTGAGGTAGTGTGACCCTGAATGATAGTAGTGCTATTGTCCGTGACAATTGACACTATCAATCATCATTACAAGAAAGACTTTCTAGAGAAATTCATTATTGCTCTTGCTTATGAGCTTATGAGTAGATGGAATCTTATACCCACTTTAGAGATTTGCTGTACATCGACCACAGTGATATCCTATCAACATCAACACCACTCACATTGTCGAACTACTCTACCCATATTATTGATTATGAGCTGCATACAAGCAAGGGATTAAGCGTAGGAGCAGGCAATGAGTGTGGCTAGGTCCTAGCTAATGTACAGATCGTCATTGCTCTCAGATGTAACGCTTGAAATAGGACCGCGGATCTTCAGGAACTTGGTAGATTTAGTCGATGATGATATCTCGTACTATTACTGTATCAAGTGATACTGGCACAATCAATGCCATCATCCAGAGACTCATCTGAGCTAATCTTTGGCCAGCACTTTATCTGATCTGGATCGATTTGTCAATAGGGAAACACCCTGAAAGTTCAAGTGTTTACCTTTCTCTTGTTAACTACCTAGGTAAGCAAGCACAAACTAAAAACTATGATAAAGAGGAACGAAAGGATAACCTGCGCTCGGGCGTACCTTCAAGAGCCACTGGGCCGAGGTGTTCTACGAAAACCTAAAAGCAGGTATCGCCCGATAACATGGTATCAATCTGAATTTTGCATGGCTTGACAACCTTATATAGACAGGATATCCAAGTCATTGACTTCAATGTTAAATTTACACTCATTTTTGTAGATAATATAAATCAACTATCTACGAAATCGTATTCGTAATTGCTCAGAGAGGTTTGAACGATGTGCGGAGCAGGACAAAATTCAAAGTAAGTGGTGGCGAACAACATGCTCGCCATGTGCATGTGAACCTCAAAGCACAGACTTAACATCCACCGGCTCTCCTGAGGCCCGGCTCCCGGAGCTCGGCAAATGCCCTTTGGAGATGGAGATTGTTATGATAGGTATGCTCTCTTGAAAGACCCTAGCTAGACATTATGACCATATTGCGAGCTACAAGCTTTGATGAGCTCTTCTCGGCAATCCAATCTATACTAAGATTTCATGCAAAAGGGAAAACTAGCCCGGATTGAAATATGTGGAAACATCCGAAGTCTAATCAGTTGTCATTGTGATATGAATGTGCATCCAGATGTCCGAAAGCTCTCAGACTTATAATCATCATGTTGCGGGGTCGAGAAATTGCTTTTTCCAAATTACCATGTGGTATAATGGGGTATCTGCCGGCACTGGTGAATGTATCGAAGATCAATGACGATCTCAAAGGGAAGAGTGAAGATCTTTAATATACCACCGAAAATCTCTTTGATACACTTGGGAATGGTATCATCTGAGAGTCGATATAATGGTTGAATCGTACTGGAAGGTAAGACAATTGAGATGAGCGAAGCTAATGTTGAGAGCAATAACGTCTGGTTGACATGTCAACATGTCAATTGTGAGCGAACGACGTAGGAAGAACTTTCCGCTTCTTTCCGCATTTCCGTTCTCTTCGATATTTAGTCGAGATATCAATGTTGATTGTGGAAATTCGCAGCAAGTGATTTGTTGATTTGTTGTCAATTGGAAATTAGAAGCAACAAGGCTCAGCGTGGAAACTCGGAAAGGGATAACGGCTGTTGTTAGCGAGTTAGGAACCTCGAACAGTTAGTGAATTGGGTGAAGAAGACTGAAATAGTATGGTAACCAAGTAGTAGAACCTTATTATATTGAATATAAAAAATCAGATCTAAATATAATACATCACGGTCTTTGATATATCAATGTTCAGATATTAAAATATTGATCAATTTGTATAATCGCTTTTTATTCTAAATTTTAAAATCTCAATTTTTGTCACACTCAAGAATACTGGGTAAAGTATCTTGTATTAGAAAATACTAAACTAAAGAGAAAAGAAGAAGGAAAACAAGAGTAGAGAGTTTTCCTGTAATTAAATACAAACGGAGTATGCCACGTGACCCGGAGGTGTGAGGCGTCACAATTTTAGTCTCTAAAATCTGATAAATTAATTAAATGATTAAGAATATATAAAGATTTTTAACTTAATTTTTTCCATCAAAATTGTAAAAATTCACTCAATATAATCAAAATAAATCAAGTTGATTTTCTGGTTATTTCGACAAGGAATTCCCAGATGGATGAATGCCAAGGTAGTACAGGGTAGGCAGTGCATAGTAGGGAGTGCAGTATCTATTTACCTTCTACTTCCCTGCGTAAGTCATGACCCACTTGGTGATTTTAGTGTATGGGGATCCCTGATCATCCTCTTCCCGCTTTCTCACTTGTTCCTGTCCCTGACTTTACCCATAGTGAAGACCGCAAGTCTCATTCTGATTTCTCATCACGACATGCAGCATTTAGATGCATAAGAAAATTTCAACTAAAACTACCTTACGATTCATGAGTGCAAACAAAACTACCGACTAATTATCTAACTTGAATCGTAAAAAATCAATTCTTCTGAAGGTTAATTCCGAGTTATTTCGACCCTTACAACGTTAACGACGTTAACTTTCGCGATACCGAAAAAATGTCTTGTGTCTAGACTACTGGGTAAAGTCAAAATATTGGTACAGCTAGGCGTTACGTTATAACAGTTACTAATTACTTACAGTACATAAATGCTGCACGCAGTCATGCAATCGTACTCTTTTTCGTCTAAAACTCCAAGCGGGTCACTTTATTCAACTCAACCTCATTGTTTTACATTAACTACCTTCAACAAGAGCATGCCGTAAAGAGAGGCAGCGCTTACAATATTGGCTATTCTGGGCCGATGAGATGTACCAATACAGACACCAGTGTACGTAACACTATCTTCAACGGAATCATCAAGCTTCATCCTCAGAAATTGCAGCTTTTAGCTCATACCAACTAAAGGCTAGAATATCTTTCAGCGAATCGTCCCCACATCAACTCCACGAGTGATCATGGTATCAATATTTTAATACCAATTACCCCCATACTTAAGTGGCTTTTAGACTTTAGTTCTGCTCGCGATATCCTTGCGAATATAGGCTAGACTACAACTGGTTTTAGCATGCTTCTACGGTATTTTTCCGCATACAGGGGCATAGGTAAATGTTTGGGTGCTTGAACATCCCGAGAGAAGGGAAATTCGCTCGAGCACGCTAACATATCCCCACTATCAAACTTTTGATGATCTCCAAGTCAATATCCCATCAGGACTCGGGAACTATCGAAAACTGCTTTGCACAATACATTCTACTAAAATGTTCCAACATTTGAGATGATGGAATAAAATATTCCGGTAAAAGATGTTTTGAGCTTCGTCACTCTATGCTTCATTCTAATGAGGAAAGATTTGCCAAATGCGCTCTATACTGATACCAGATGAGGCGACTGAAACTATGCCCTGCGATAAGACGTACCCCGAATTTTAAGTTTAGCGGGATAGATTGCCCCCGATGCATGTACAGAATACGTAGATCGCCGTTCAATAACCCTATGCACTCTAGTGTCTGCCCAGTGGCTCGGTTTGCAAAACCTATACTTACACTTATCTCACTCTGCTTACCGTCCACCTCCGACCTATTTCTTTCTATACCGATCTACACGTTGGATAATGAAGAAGATTGAAGATTGAGACATATGGCGAACAGAAGCTTCTATATGTAAGACCTATCCTGGTTCATGAACGGTGGTCATCGACGTTATTCGAAGTCAACATGAGAGTATCTTCTTGGTTATCCTTATGGTGTGCTGTGCTCCCAGTCAGCATTGTCGCCGAGACACTATCATTGAGTGATATCGTTGAAGCTCTTCCCGCATGTGCTGTAAGTTGTGAATATTCTTGAATCCTGACATTTCCTCAGCCCTGACAATAAATTAGGTCACTTGTCTCACCACAGCTATTGCAAATTCTACCTGCTCTCCTACCGATGAACAATGTATTTGTACAAACGTGCCACTGAACACAGAAGTTAATGTCTGTGTATCGGCGCATTGCACCGTTAAAGAAGCACTTAGTAAGTCAAATTCATATATCATATCAACTTCAGTTCTGATTGTTCTAGCTACTAAGAACGTAACATCTGTCGCTTGCAATGCACCTTATAGGGACAAAGGGAATTTCTATACCTGGCTCTCTAACTCCTTCGTTATTGTTTCCTGGGTGGCATATCTTTTAAGAATTACATCAAGATTCATTTCTGACACTAACCTCTGGTGGGATGATTATATGGCAACTGTTGTTATGGTTAGTAGGTTATGACCAAATCACGGACATTACTGATTCAATTGTAGATTATCGGTATACCAAGTTCCGTCATCAACGTTCAAGGTCGTGAGTTTCCTGTAGTCTAAGTGTCTATTCTGTACATATACTCATCAAATGGCAGTAAGCGCCCATGGATTGGGAAAAGATATATGGACTTTAAGCTTCAATGATATCAGCGCCATGATTCGTGTAAGTATCATCATGGTTTACACTCATAATCCATCAACATTTGGAACTGACCATTTTCAGTTCTTCTATGCAGCCGAGATCCTGTACTTTGCACAAGTTAGCTTTGTAAAGATTTCAATCCTTCTCTTCTTCCTCCGTCTCTTCCCCGAACGCAAGATTCGCGTGGCAATCTGGTGTACCATCATTTTAAATGGCGTAATCCTGGTATTATTTGACCTACTTGCCGTCTTTCAGTGCCGTCCAATAAGTTTTTACTGGAAGAGATGGGATAACGAACATGTTGGGACATGTCTAAATATCAATATCCTGGCATTTACAAGTGCTGGTCAAAGTATTGTTATGGACATTTGGATGTTGATATTGCCATTAACTCAACTATACGATCTTAACTTACACTGGAAAAAGAAGGTTGGAGTGGGAGCGATGTTGGGTATTGGTATTCTGTAAGGATATGCTCATCCCTTATAGATACTATTATGCTTACCTTCTCATCAGCATAACTATAGTCAGCACCCTCCGCCTCAAATCACTAGTACACTTCGCAAATACACAAAACCCAACATGTCAGTCCACCAATTCCCCCTGGAAAAAACTCGAAGCTAACTTATATATCAAGGGGATTACCTCGAAGTAGGCTACTGGTCCACAATCGAAATCTGCGTCGGCATAATCTGTTCCAGCATGCCCGCCCTCCGCCTCCTCCTCGTCCGAATCTTCCCCCGCTTCGCAAGCACCACATACAACTCGAGTAACCACTCGAAAAATCAAGGCAACGACCCCAGCAAAAGACGCTCTAGCGTACCCAAAATCCAGTTCAGAAACGCGTATAAGAGAGGTCCTTTACATTCTGTAGGCACACCAGGCGTCGGAGGCCCCGGCATCACGATGAAGAAAACATATGAGGTGGTGTCGAATCAGCGGGGAGGCACAGGAAGAGGGGGATTTGATGGGAAAATGGGAGAAGAAGATGGGACGGAATTAGTTCATAGGCCTGGAACGAAGGACTCAGAACAAAGGGTGAGTTTTGAATATTTGGGGCGTCGTTTGTCGTCGCGTTTGGATGGGAAGGGTGAGGCGGGGAGTGTGGATGATGAGGGGGAGTTGGGAAGTCCGAGGAGTCGGGATTGGGTTTGATGTGTATATTTTTATTTAATTTAGCTTTTTATGATTGAATGATCGAATAGATGAATGATTGAGTGAATGATTGAGTGAATGATCCAATGGGATATATTATTAGTTTATGATGTTTATATATATCTAGATATAATATTATAAACTCTGATGGGGTGTATGAACTAATTTAAGTTTTATCGCGGAATAAATTTTGATAATAATTTCACATCCTAAGAGTTAATTTTATTTTGTGATATAAAAGTAATTTAATAATTTTTATATACAATTATACTCGCACTTATACTTGTATATAATTACTTATATTACCCTCCCCGATTAATAATAATAAACATTCAATCAATCCAAGCCATCCAACCTATCTAACCGACCCAACAAATAACAACCCCTTTACACAATCAAACCACACAGACTCAATCGCATAGCAACACCAACTTCAAATGCTATACCCAATCAACTATGCATTTCAATATAATCTCTCTCTCCCTCTTTTTCTCTTTCCTTTCTCATTACCACTCTTTGAAACTTTCATCCATTTATTCCTCCTAAACATCTATCCACATCACTCCACTCCACACCATTTAATCTACACAACACATGAAACATAAAAGAAAAACACAGACAACACAGACATGCAACGCTCGCTTATTCTTTATATACCCATTCACCGATGCTATAATTCTCAGTTCCCGACCAAAGAAATCCGAGTCATCAAGTCATAAGATATTCCTTTACCTTTCCCTCCCTTTCCTTTCCTTCCCATCGAGTTCGAGCTCGAGTCCTGCTCCAAATTCCTCCGCCCCGTCTACGTCCGCCCATGCATGCATTCCTCCAATTTGTATCAAATCCAAGACACTGTCTTCTTAATAATATCCCCGGACCCAAGTAAGCCATTGATCCTTCCATCAATTCCTCCTTTCCTTCCAATGTCTTTCCATCCATACCTCCACCGCCAACCAAATATATTCCATTCCAAGTATTCCAGCTCAATAACAAAAATGAAGCACAATAATGATAATAATGAACAATCGCAAAAAAACACATGCTCGTCCCGCTCAAAGAATTAACCCAACAATCAATCAGCAAATATATAAGGCAAACTCCCGTCTCCTATCCGACCGTACCCTTTTTATCCATATATAAACCTAGCCGCTAATGCCTATACCCAAAGACCAAAAAAGTCAAGAGAGTCGACGTGTATAAATAGGTAGCTGAAAATTCAACTATACCATCGCTGTTTTGCCTCCCAGTAAATTATACTAAAATAAGTGAGTAAGAGAAATATAGTTAAAAAAATGCTTTACATGGTGTTTAGGTAAGCTATATACTGTGCTACCCTAGCCAGATTGTCTAGTCGTCTTGCTCGTGAAATGATTTATGCTGTCCGTATGGAAGATTCAGTGTATCTTGGTTTATAAATCCTCGGATTCGTCCTCGTCCTCATATTCGTATACAGAGGGCTCCAAGGGTTCCAAAGGTTCCAAGGGTCCGTACATAGCTCTATATTTTTGTAATTCTTGCAAATCAGCGGCAAGACCTTCAATAATACCTGCCATTGGTGCACGTAGTTGATCGAGGTCTGAGATCAGTGATTGTCCAATTACTAAATGACGGGTAGCGAGTGCTGCGGTGCATGTCTATGACATTGTCAGACAAATTCCATAACAGTGCCTTTTTGGGAAACTTACCTCAATCCTCGAAACTTGATGGGTCAAGAAACTCAGCAAGAAACGATCCGATACCTCTCCACCTCTATTCCTCATCTTCTCAAGCATTGCTGTTTCAGGAGGCTGTAGAGCAGAACCTCGGGGTTCTTCTAGAGTTGAGCACAACATCTCCAACCTTAGACTGAGCCTCCATATATCCCAAACATTCTCGGTGTCAATGCTCAGTTCCGAATCGCGAGCAAGAGTGGCAGGCTCCTCCTCAACAACGGCTGCCTCACCACTTTCCAAGCTCCGTTGAAATTGAATTCTGCCAGCAAGGGCATGTGGATACATGAGGTAGATATATTCTGGATTCTCCAATCCTTTGAGCTTTCTCTCCCCTATATCCTTGACTTCAAATCCTTGACTGCTGAGTGAGCGAAGCTCACGGCGAATTGAATGACTGATAAAGTCGCTGTCGAAAGCATCTTCCGAGCCCGTGGACCCTGAGCGGTCGCTTTCACTGTATGTCTCGAGACATCGCTGGATCTCTGATATAAAATCAGCTGAGACGGTGATTTGACCACCATCGGCGACGGCAGAAATACGAGCAGTACGGTTAACCATAGGACCAAAGTAGTCCATACGTCTTGTCACTGGATCATTTTCACACACTGGACGACCCCAATGAGCACCCATCCTGACGCTTAGACCTTTGAAAATCAGATTTTTATTGCTGTCATAGACCTCGTGTCCCATGTTGCTAGTTATGACTTCGGCGGGCCAATTGACTTCAAGCAACGCTGATTGCACAGCAAAACACCAAAGAAGAGCAGATGTAGCAGTAGGAAATGATACCATGAAAGCATCTCCTTCTGTCTTGACCTCGTAGCCACCAATAATCCGCAATTGGCGACGCATGACTTCATTGTGAAGTTTGATTGCTGATCGCATAGCGCTAGGATAGGTTTCCCAGAGCGCCGTAGAGCTCTTGATATCAGTGAAAACAATACCAATGTCTCCTACAGGTGCTTGGACTTCGGCTTGTAATCTTCGAAGCATTGAATCGTCGACGTCATCGGTCTTCTTCTTAGGTCTCTTGGAAGGTACATATCCGTCTTCCATCATCATATTTGGATTGAATGATAGACTTTGAACACGGTGTGGTCGTATTTGGGCACGCTTCTTTAAATCACTAACACCCATCATCATAACCATTATCTTTCCAGAGGCGCCAAAGGCAATAGCAAGATCTCGAAGCCTTTGTGCGGCCCTCATCAGGTCATGTTTTTCATACCTGGCGATATCAACAACCAGTTCAGGAGACAAGTACTCCCAAAGTTCCCTTGAAGCGATCAGTACCATCTCATCTTGCTCCTTGATAGTGATATGCTCCACATTAGGGGCAGCTTGAACAGCTGGCATGAGTTGGACATATCCGAAGGCACGGGACACCTCGAGAACATCGTTCAACTTTCCCTGCCTTGAGACCCAGCCCCCTGCATCTCTGATGCGCTGCCTTTCGTTTGGTTCGGCTGGGTCATGTTTCCGGGTCAATATTCGATGTCCATCTTTCTCATGAATGAGCATGGCTTGAGCGTCTCCAACGTTGGCAACGTAGAGCTCAGATTGTTGCAAAAACATCACAGTAGCCACACCACCGGAGATAAGATCCGCTTGGCTGAGGACTGCTGGCGTAGCTGATCCTCGATGCGAAAGCAGGGATCTTTCTTCTGTATTTTGAGTTGCAGCAGTGGCTAGATCTTTGTTGAGTGACAGGAAAGCCCGCCTCAGCGCATCCTTGGGAGTCTCGTTATTTAAAGCGTTCAGTCTCTTTAGTTCCTCGCTGAAGATGTGGCCAAAGTTCTCATGGAGGTATTTGGCAATCTTTGAACCTCCACTCGACAGCGCCTGACCATCGAACATACCCAACAAGGTTTCAGTCTCAGTAGAATTGAAACGAGGTACAACCATATCAATGATGGACAAGTGTTCATTCTTTCCTAGACTGTCTGCCATACCATATGCCAGCTGGCCTGCAAGAGAACCTGAAGTACGAACTCTTCGATCTTCAGTTTGATCAGGAATGGATGGAATAGTCAAGGTTACATCCATGAGACCCAATATTCGCAGGTTCTGCAATGCGCTAAAATCCGTAAGATCACGACCATCTCGAGCAGCTGCACTTCCCGGCAAGGACGGCTTGATCTCTAGACGTTTATTACCAGAAAGGTTGAGGTATTTCAAGTTAGTATTCCAATTCCAGTTCCAATCATAAGGCCAATTCGAGACATTGTATTTCAAGGAGTTGCTACCACAATCCAGAACCTGCAAACGATGTGCTTTTCCAAGCTCCGCAGGTAGGGTCTGGAATTTGTTGCCATTAATGTGCAAGACCTGTAAGAGACTGAACTCCTCAAAATCATCAGAAGGAAGGGAGGTGAGCTCGTTTCCGGATAAATAAAGCTCAACCAGCTGTGGCCAGCTCTTGATAGACCTCGATGGCATGTCGTTAAGATCATTGTAAGAGAGGTTTAGTACTCGTAGTTCGCTGAGGAGAGTGATTTCATCGAAAACATCGTCATCAAGTCCATTGTCGGCCAGGTGAAGAATTTTTAATGATCCAGCGAATGTATTGATAAGTTTAGCCGATAATCCAGAATCCTTACGGATGTTTGTAGGTGTTTGGTGATTAATTGTGCTTGCGGAAGTACTCCTCGAGACTACTGAAGTTTTGCGCCCTCCTTTACCGTAAACAGACACGACAGACCCTTTCCTAGCATCAGGGACCGGGGAGCTGCCCACGCTGAGAAGCCCACTGGACGCCTGGCTCGGTCGTCTATGTGCAAAGTCCAGAGGTCCTAGCTCTTCAAAACTTGAATTTTGTGAATTTGCACCAGTATTATTGCTATTTGTGGAACCAACGTCGCCAGGTGGCTGCGGAGGCCTTGAACCTGGTTTTGGGAAATTGTCCAAGACATTAGAAGATACATTGAGGAACTCTAACTTATTCGCCCACCATATTTCCATGGGAAGTTTCTTGAGGTTATTTTGTCTTATATCAAGATATCGAAGCTCTGTCAAGCACCCAAGTTCCGCTGGAAGACTGCTCAAAGCATTTCGCGCTATACTAAAATATTCGAGTTTGCGTAACTTGCCAATTTGCGCGGGCAGTGAGACGAAGTGGTTTATGTCTAGTACGAGCTTGTTGAGATTCGGCATCTTGTCAAAGGCAGCGTCGGGAATTTGTGCCAATTTTGCGTTAGATAGATTAAGGGTTGTTAAGGTGGGGACCAAATTTTTGATCTCGAATTTGGTCACGGGATTCGAGTTCAATCGAAGGATTCGAATTTTGGCAAATTCACATTCGCAAACAGAGACTGAATTGTGATCGGCGGAAATCTGTTCAACCTTGGGAAGAGTTGCAATGATGTCAATACTCGAAAGCATGTTGTAGCGAACGTCAACTTCTTTGAGGTTCACAAGTTCTCCAAAAGTGTTTGGAAGTGAGCCCTTCAGTCTGTTGTTCGTGATGACGAATCTTTCCAGATGCTTTAGCTTACCGATCTCGTTGGGGAGATTCGATATTCCGTTAAAACTCATATCGATATCGATCAAAGCAGTCATGTTGCAAAGGAATTCCGGAAACTCTTCTAGAAAATTTGATGAGAGATTTAAGGTTCTCATTGATCTGTACATCCCAAAATATGAAGGCAGACTTTTCAGTCGGTTGTTCGCAAGCTTCAAACTAATGAGGCCTTGCAGTCTCGATAGTTCGGCATGCTCCAACTGCTCGAGTCGATTATTGGAAACATCAAGGATTGTGAGGCGATTAGCTCGACTGAGACTAGCTGGAAGCTTCCACGCTTCATTGCTGAGGAACTTGATTTCTCTTAGATTGACGCATGAAGAAATGAAGTCCTTTGGCAGATCGAGGGACAAGTTCCGCGACAAATTGAGCGAGATCATTTCTGAAGTCTTGGAATATAGTGCAATCGGAATAGTGATAAGGTTCTTTCCCGATAAATCCACATGACTAAATTTCTGGACTCGGCCAAGCCCATTGTCGTTTGACACGGATGCGTAACCGCCTTGCCTCGCCGGGAGAAAGGAAAATCTGCAGAGGTAACTGTTGTCTTCCCTTCCCACATCTTCAATTCGATCTTCAGGCTGATATCCTGCTTGCTCCAAGAGCCTCCTCTGTATAACAAGTGGGCGTTCTCCAGGAGCAAGGATTCGTTGCAAGTCATGTTTCTTCATCACAATCTGGTAGTTGTCGAGACTGTCAGCCTGGTAAGTCTTCTTGTTAAGCTGAGCCAGCAGTTCGGTGACGGTAGTGTTGAGCGATGTCGACAACGTAGCAAAAGTCCCATCCGCTTTGAATATCCTTATGCAATAAGGATTTGCTTTTTCTTCGGCCTTCTGAGGGATACCTGCTTCGTCAATCTCAGGGAGCCGCGACATATTGTCGTCGTCAATCTTTTTTACAGCCCAACTGTCTGGTGCGTTCCACCCGAGTCCACCTAAACTTTCGGTCTCTTCCTTTCCTTCGTCCTCCTCTCCGTTAAAAATGCTGTTATCAAGTGGAGTTAGAGGTGGCGGCTTCGTCAAGATCCCTTCCATATTCGATAGATTGGTATCCAGGTGGTGTACATTATCTCCACTGCGATCTGATGTATCATATAATTGATCTGAATCCTCCGCGCCTTTGTTTCCTCGGCCTTTCCGAAATGGTAGCTTCGGGAAGGTGCCTTGTCGTCCACCCGGCGGGCGAGCATTGCCATTGGTAGACTGGCTCGGTAGATTGAGCTCTGATCCAGTAATACTTCCATCTTGGCTATATTTTGCAAGGTCCGGTGATTCATATATCTTTCCTGCATCTTGCTTTGAAGATCCATTGATAGGTGCCCGACTGGCTGCTGGTGTTTCTTTCAAGCGCGATGGGGTGTGATCTTTGTCCTTGTGCCTTTTGAATCGACCAGTCAAGTTCAGAAGACTCCTTTTCGTACCATTATTGTTGTCTCTGGGCGATGACGGACCATCGCTATTACCACCCTTCGTTGTTTGACTCCACGTACTCATGCCACTCGGTGTTGGGCTCTTTGGTCGTTGAAGATTAGGGTTGGAAGCATTCGCCGCGGCGGTGCCCATAGGATTGTTATTTCGGTCCTTGAAGCGCATGCTGAATGCAGACTCCTCTCTACTTACGGTCGGTCGTAAGGATCTAGTGTCATCATTGCTTCGATTACGTAGATGATGTCCAGGGAGGTGGTGAGATTTAGCAGACGATGAAGTTTTGGGTGGTTTGTCTGAACTATCATTTATGTAGCGTTCTCTATCAGGGCCGGAAAGATTCTCTCGCACAGGTGCTTCTCCATACAGAGTTATATCCTATACATTTCCGTTAGCTTCAGGTACACGACGTACGCTTCAATGCATGAAACGGGGGGTCGTTATTGCCATATCACTCTCAACATTAGATTGAGAATCAGTAGAAAAATAAGAGCGAATTGACGAAGCGTATGATTTCATCTCAAAATTGTTGAGAAGATACAAATCGTGTCGAGGAGTGAAAGTCCCAAAGCGAAGATTACTTGTGAAGATCGAATTTACTGACCTGGGAATTCTGATATAAAAATGGAACAACTTCGCTAGATGGTACCGGTGTTCTAGGTCGGGATCCACCTGCTGGGGATGCGTCTCTATAATGTCCGTGGTCTGTGGCAGATGAATGATTTCGGTCTCGATGACTCCGCGCAAATGAATGCGATCGTACCTCCTTTCCCTGCGACGGAAGGCTCGTCTCGGATGAACTTGGAAGGTCCTCACCAAAGAAACTTGTCAACTTTTTATGAAGCCCACCCACCGCCCTACCGAGACTAGATTTTGAACCAGTACTACTCGCTGTCGTTATACTCGCCACGGATGGTCTTCTTTCATCACCATCGCCAAAGAATGCATCTGCAGGCGACTCGCTCGTATTTGTGTGTCCCGTTACTGCTGTTCCGGGCCTCGCAATCGGCGACAACTGTGAAGCTTGCGACAACGCATCGCTCGAATCATTATAAAAGCTCGTAAAGCCATTTGGTGAACCTGTCGCGCTGCTTCCAGTAGACATCCACGGAGTAATTGGGTTTGTAGAGGCTATCGCTGTTGGTGGATTATGGTGGATTTGAGGAATGCGCCCGCCAGATGTTTCGAGGACTGCGAGATCACGTCGATAATTGCCGAAGTCGGCGGCCATTCTTTGCTCCCGTGGGGATACATTAGGAGATATCGATGAAGATGGAGATATTGTGTTTCGAGGTCCTGCAGATGTCGGCGAAACTTGAGCATCATTTTCTACCCTACTGCCATGTTCAATGCAGGAAGCCGTTAGTTATGGAACAGGTTCAAAGCTTTTTGTTCCAGGACATAATAAAATAAAAATGGAATTTGAAATGGAAATGTTTATGTGAGACAACTAAATAAAGGAAAAAGGAAACGCAAAGAACTAAAGCAATAAAAATAAAGATTCCTTTTTGCATCATAAATTTTTTTCCTTTTTGCTTACCTCGTTCTATCCGTCTTCACCTGCATTGGGGCTCCTCTCTTCGTTGATGAACCCTGAAAGTATGAGGAGCCAGGGCCTTTTATCGTATCAGTAGATTTCCAACTCCCAGTGCTTGAGCTCGTAGCGGAGCTATTACGATAGGAACCATCTTTTCTGGTCATATTTGACCAGGTATATAAGCTAAAAACCGTCCATCCGCGGAAAGATTATTATGAGGGAGATGTGAATGATGCAAAGTGGAGGGGAATATTTCTGAGATTTTTGGAGGGGTTATTGAGGGAGGTGAGATGAGGTGAGGGAGGTGAGGTAAGAGTGGGTGCGGGTGTGTGGGTGTGGTGGAAGTAGGTATAGGTGTAAGTGTAAGTGTGAGTAGGTGTGAGGGTAAGTGTGTAAGTGTATAAGTAAGTGTAGGTATAAGTATAAGTGCAATGGCGCGGGGGGGGGAGTGATATTTTGTGGAATTTCTAACTATTATTTGGTGGGCGAGGAGGAGATTGGTGTTAGGCGGCTGGGAACCTGGTGATGATGGGTAGGATTTGCTCTGATGTTCGTTCGGATTTGGTACAATCTAGGTCGTCAACTTGAGGTGCATGCTAAATTCTTTGCTTCGCCCCACAGCTCTTTTCTCCATACAGAGTAGAGAATTGTGAATTGCGACTAGCTTCCATGATATGAAAATCAACATACTAATAAAAGCAAGCAAGAAACAGGAAACATCTAAACATCTAAACAAGAGCTGAATCAGGATCAGATATATGTTGTGATATAAGAGATACCTAGCTGATATGTGTGTACGTTGAAAAATGGGTTTGGTTTGGAATTAGTTTTCATTGATTGATTGACTGATGGATGGATGGATGGATGGATGGATAGATTGATAGATAGATAGATAAGATAGATATATTTGCTTGTTTGTCTGTTTGATATTGGTTACAACAAACATAGAGTAATTGATGAGTATTGAATCAATCACTCCAATACAATGTTAGAAGTATCGTATCATAATGTATATCAGAATTAATACCAAGTAGGCACTGATAACCCTGTAGTAGTCTGAGCGATACAAAACATATAAAATGTACCTATTGAACCCTTCTTAGAGATGATATTCTGCGTTGGAATACTAGGTAGGTAGTGTTGATGATTTGACGATCAGATGATTTGATGATGTTAACTCAAGCAAGATGTCGGTTTCTTGTTTTATTATTGGATTGTATTGCATTGCATAGGGATAGCAACAAGCTTATAGTATTTAGGTTCTTTGTTATGCAGAGAGAGCTTAAGCTCAGGCAAAAATGTTCATTTATTAGTGGGCCGACCACATTGGGCCAATATCAGAATTTTGGCCACTTGATCTCTTATTGTTCCATTGTGCCCTTCGTACAACAAATTTCATTCCTCTTCCATTCCGTCAATCATGTGGAGAATAGGCGAATCTGCAAATCTGATCACACTGCGCTTCTTCTTCTTCCTCGTAGATATGAATCACCATCACAGCGCTTGTCAAAGCTAAAAAGTATATTATTGATCCCAAGAGATGCTCATATCCATAGCCTTTCGCCCTTGAATCGGGCTACTTGGATTCCTTGGCCTTTGAACATGAAATTTGAAACTTGGAGATGTCGGGTTGGTTTGTTGAGGCAAACAAACATACACCCCTTCCCGGTGATCCAAATTTAGAGCACAGGGTAGTGAGAAGGAGGGTATGTTGATTATGTGGCATGGGCTTCCGTGGTATACACGCACCGTACATCGAAACTGACCTATAAAACTAAAAAATCCATCTTCAAATAATGTTTATGAGAGTATCGGACATAACAGCATTTCACTAATAACCGAACAGATGAAGGGGTATCGTAACTTGGCAATCAGTTGTCAGCGGTAATTCCATCTTCCGTTCTTTGAAGTTCCAAGCTGGTGGGCTGTTTTGAATGTCATCGGAATTTGGACCAGAGTCTTAGACCTACGTTCAAGAGGATATTTAGAAAATGTATTTCAAAACCTTTATTAATCTATTAATAAGCCAAGTGAACAAAGGATGATTACTGAACAAACTGAAAGGCAAATGCCGTTCGAGGTCCCTGGATTTGGTGTGTGTACTATGTAGGTAAGTGATATATCACTTGCAGTCGCACTGAATAATACGTACGTTCTAATAAGCCGTCGATAACATAGAAGTATCATTTCTTGACGAGTTGCTGTATTCTCTCATCTCACACATCCTTCTAGATTAATATATTTTAAGTTATAAACATGAGTCTGCACGTATCAGATTGAGTCTTGCATATATAACAAAGACAAAAAATGAGACCTCAAGAACTTTCCTGAACTTTCCTCTCCTTCATGTTGCAATTAGAAACAATCCTCATCTCCAGTGGTTCAGTCTTTTGAGACCCGATTAATCACCGAACGAAATGATTGAGGCGATTATCGGCACGTGATCAGTCATGATTCACCTTATCGAAATTCGAAGTCGAATCATTAATAAGGATGAAATGTAACTGCAAAGCGGGGTTAATCCTTGTGTCTCCCAGTCATCGGCAAAGTCCTCCTACTTCCTGCGCAGACTACTCTGTACTCCGTTCATAGATACTTAGTTACCCACTAGCTAGGAAAGTAAATAATTCAACCCCCTCCCAAAAATCCTCTGGACCACGGGATAGGTCTAGTGTCCCGAGTACAGCTTCAATATTCCTTCTCAAATGAAATAGCTCGCAGAGAACGAGTTTGCTTCGAGGTGGATATTTTTTCCCCTCCACGCATGGAATCGTCGGTATGCTGCGATCATATTCGCACAATGCTACCAAGGCTACAAATTTGATACATGCAGGTGGGCTTTTGCAGCAATGTTCTAAAATACATATACCACCATGGAGGCCTGCATCACCATTAGATGAGTATGAATATGAAGGTCCCGTCCGAACTCTCGTATGTTCTTGCTGACCATGTTAGATGGGTCGCAAAAGATGCCAGACCTATCAGTCTGCGCCAACTTATGGTATTCGGGCGATCGTTGACTGAAGCTCGACTGATAAGCTCTGCAAATTATGTGCGAACAGAGCTTCCTACCAGGTGAATATGCTCTTTCCGTCACGCATTCTATTGCTTGTATTGATAAGAGTGACAGATTGGCGCATCGCATACGAGATATGCAAACGCTTCCGTATGTCGTGGTCACCAATCCGCATATGAGTCAAGTCTACGAGTTATACTACAAAGCTTTTGAAAGCTTCCGGCGTGTGCGCGATATCAAAACATTAGACGATAACGAAAGACTATGCAAAGTCATCAGCAGTACCCTACAAGAGCATCTTACCGTGATTCCAAAATTAGCAATGGGCGTATTAGAATGTCGAGATCTAATGAATCCATCAGATATGGACAAATTTATGAATACAATTTTACGATCGAGGATATCCCGACGGGTGATTGCAGAGCAACACTTAGCATTAACGGAGACATTTCATTCCCATGGGCATTTTCCTGATGGGAAACCAGTAGAGGCGGAGTTCGTGGGTGAAGTTTTCTTGAGGTGCAATGCAAAGGAGGTGGTCGAACGAGTGGGTAGGGAAGTTCAGGCCTTGATGTCGGCAACCTATGGATCTACCACGATTATGCCTGAGATTCGGCTCGCGGGGCATCTCGAAGCTACATTCCCATACATTCTCAGTCATCTCGAATACATAATCGGCGAATTATTAAGGAACTCGATCCAAGCTGTAGTCGAAAAGCAAAGAACTGGTCGTAACATGAATAAACCACCACCACCCATAGATGTAACAGTCTGCGAAGCACCTCAACACGTAATAATTCGAGTGTCAGATCAAGGAGGCGGTATACCGCGAGATATCCTTCCGTACCTCTGGGCATTCAGCAAAGGACCGCGCAGCAACCAACGCCTCGAAAACCTCAACCAAGTCCCAAAAATGGCAGCAACCATGCAAGAACTACGGGTGACGGATGAGGCATTACCTGGACTTCAGGGAAGCGCAGAAACCATCGGCAATCAAGGTCCCAGCTCCACATCCACACACGAAACATCCCTCTCCTCGTTAACTAGCCGCCCTCCCAATCTTCGATTGGGTATGGGTCTCCCCCTAAGCCGTGTATATGCCGAATACTGGGCTGGGAGTTTGGAGCTGCACAGTCTAGAGGGATACGGCTGCGATGCATTTTTACAGATATCCAAACTTGGGAATAAGAATGAGCAGTTGACCATGAGAGCCAGTATGGATGCTATATAGCAGGATATGATCTTTTGAATATATCCGGGATGATTTGAATTACCTTCGAGTATGGATATCATTATACCAGATTTATATGCTTTTATTAGAGATTAGGTGTTGAAGTAGTATGGGATTTACGATGGTCTATATATACAAGCGACCAGACAGTTTAGGACAGAAAATCAATAGTACAGAAAAGAATCATGTAGGCAGGGTAATAAGAAGTAGAGTGAACAAACTATCATGAAGAAGCATGAATTACATCGTGGCTAAAACTAGTGGAAATGGAAGCCCCTCATACGAAGCTATTTAGAATTAAGAAGCCTTCTGAACATTAACTGTCGGAAAAAAAAAAGAAAAAAACAAGCTGCAAAATGACCTGTTTGCAACTATCCCGGCATCACCTCCATCATGTCATCCATCCCTGCTACGTCCCCACAATCCAATTTTAGACTAGAACTCCTCCCGAACCATGCATTATTTAACGACGGCCGTGACTGCGAGTTGCGGCATTGCCTTGCATTTGCTCAAGTTCCTGTTCTAGAGATTTGATAGCAGCATGCGTACTCTCCAAGTCCTTGTTCAAACGATCACGCTCACTGATAAGCTTCTGCTCCCATTGTCTGAAACGGTGCTCCTCAATCTTAACTTGTTCAGTGAAACGCTTTCTCAAGCTTTCTTCCTCTTCCTTGAACTTGGGGTTATCGAGCTTCCTAGGTCTAGCTTCACCGAATTTGCGAGTCTCCATTTGCTGGGCACGGTAAGCCTCGTAATGTGCTTCTTCGGTGGTGTGGATAAGATCGAGCATGTGTGTTCGGATGAGGATGGATCTCAACTTCTTGAAATCGCAGTGATCTTCGTTCTCGACTTCGGCCACACCCCACGCATATTGGCGTCCCTTAACGATACGTCCGTCGCCAGTTTTGACATCCTTCTCTGAGCCAATAACCGCGAAAGGCATAGCCGCCATCAAACTTCGTGCATGTTGAGCAGCAGCCTCGTCATCTTCTTCGATAGGTGGTGTGTAGATCTTGATGCCTTGTGCTTCGATGACAGCCTGGATCTGTAAAAATTATGTTAGCTTCGAAGTGAAACGATTTATTGACTATATCATACCCTCTGCTTAAAACGGACCAAATCAGCCGGGCTTAAGGTGTCGGCCTTAGCAACTACTGGAATCAAGTTCACTCTTGAACTGAGTCTCTTCATAACCTCAATGTCAAGAGGCTTCAAGGTGTGGCCAGTAGGTCGGATGAAGTACAAGCAAGCGTGTACACGTAAATCAATCTTATCAACACGACGAGGTTGTTGCTCTTGCAACATATAGGATTCATGTTGATCGTCCAAAAACTCAATAATTGGCATCCAGGAATCGCGGTTGTTGACATAATCTCCAAAACCAGGTGTATCAATAACAGTCAAACGAACTAAGATAATGTCAACAATGGGTATTTAATTACCACAGCGTACTGGATGTATCGAATTCATACCCTTGAAGAATTTCTCCTCTAATTCAGCCTTTGTGATTTCGATCTCGACGGTTTTATCCACCTGCTTCGCGTGTCTGCGTTTGTGATCGGCATAGTTTTTGATTGTGGTAGAGAAAAGGGTATTAATGAAGGTTGTTTTTCCTAGACCAGATTCGCCAGCAACCTAGAGGAAGTCATTAGTATGATACGGCAGAAGGATTTGAGAGAAGCATAAGAAAATGCATACCATAATAGTGAAGGCAGCACCTCTCTTTGCGACAATCTTGTGTCTCTGGTTTGGTAAGTTTGCAATTCCGATGGGAGAAGCGCTTTCAGCGGTGGGTGGTGCCATTGTGATTATTATTTTGTTGAAATCAAAGATTGAAAAGATTGTTAAGAAGAAATAGATGAAAAAGGTGGATGAGGTATCAAAATGAAGTCTTTTCCGATATTTGGGAGTCGGACAGTTTGGTGGTTGAACGAATGGTAAGACTTGGTTCTTTCTCACTTCAGGAGAATAATATGGTGGTATCTGCTGCTGCTGGATCTGCCGCTGGTTGAAATTCGAGTTACAAGCTGCCCCTGGGGATTTGCTGGTTCCTTATTTCGCCTAGCACCCCAAAAGCCACTAAACATGTGCTAATAAACGCTAAAAGTTATTGGTTGCATTGGTTGCATATCGGATTATCTTTTCGGATTAATTCTAAGAAAAAATTCCAATTCCTAATCCATGCAATGCGATAAGATTTTGAAGCTCAGAAAATCATCCACATATTAACATGCCAGTAAAACGGTAATGATGAAGACGGAGTTTAAGGTAAGAGGCTTTGAATGTTGGTATCGGTATTTACTAAGTCTTAATTAGTTCTCCAATCTCTTAGGGACTGTTTACAGCCAAGGAAACCTTCTCTTCAGTCCAGATGGTTCATGTCTATTTTCCCCAGTAGGAAATAGAGTTACTGTCTTTGATTTAGTGAAGTAAGTACCATCCTTCCAATTGCGTATTATTGTACTAATGATTTTCCAGCAATAAGTCCCATACGCTTCCATTCGCACACCGAAAGAATATAGCAAGATTAGGACTTGCGCCGCGGGGAAATTTATTACTTTCTGTTGATGAAGATGGCCGCGCGATATTGACCAACGTACCGAGACGAATCGTCCTTCACCACTTTTCCTTCAAATCGGCTGTATCAGCTATTTCGTTCTCTCCATCCGGACGCCATTTTGCTGTGGGAGTTGGGCGAACGATCGAGGTATGGCATACACCCTCAACACCAGATACAAATTCAGAGGGGGAATTGGAGTTCGCCCCATTTGTTCGACACAGAGTCTATGCTGGGCACTATGATACTGTTCAGAGTATTGAATGGTCAAGCGATTCTAGATTCTTCCTTAGTGCAGCAAAAGATTTGACAGCGCGGATATGGAGTTTGGATCCAGAGGATAGTTTTATACCTACTACACTGGCCGGCCATAGAGAAGGTGTTATGGGCGCATGGTTCTCAAAGGATCAGGAGACCATTTACACTGTCAGTAAGGATGGAGCCGTGTTTCAATGGGCATACATACGGAACCCCAATGCTCCAGAGCCAGAGGATGAAGATATGGAAGATCCCGATGATGATTCGCACACCCAATGGAGAATTACGGAGCGACATTATTTCTTACAAAATAACGCCAAGGTCAATTGTGTAGCATACCATGCCGAAACGAATCTTTTAGTTGCTGGATTCTCGAATGGTGTTTTTGGACTTTATGAAATGCCAGAATTTAACATGATCCATACTTTGAGTATTTCACAAAATGACATTGACTTTGTCACTATTAACAAATCTGGAGAATGGCTTGCATTTGGAGCCTCAAAGCTGGGGCAACTTTTAGTCTGGGAATGGCAATCTGAATCATACATCTTGAAACAACAAGGCCATTTCGATTCGATGAATTCCCTAGTCTACTCTCCGGATGGACAAAAGATCATCACTACTGCGGATGACGGAAAGATAAAGGTCTGGGATGTGAATACTGGTTTCTGTATTGTTACATTCACAGAACATACCAGTGGAGTCACAGCCTGTGAGTTTGCAAAGAGAGGGAATGTTCTTTTCACGTCAAGTCTTGATGGATCGATTAGAGCTTGGGATTTGATAAGATATAGGAATTTCCGAACCTTTACAGCTCCTACTCGACTTTCATTTTCATCTTTAGCTGTTGATCCAAGTGGTGAAGTTGTTTGCGCAGGATCTCTAGATTCTTTTGATATCCACATTTGGTCTGTGCAGACTGGCCAATTATTAGACAGACTATCAGGTCACGAGGGACCTGTATCATCACTGGCCTTTGCGCCAAATGGAGGCGTAGTAGTAAGTGGTAGTTGGGATCACACAGTTAGAATCTGGTCAATCTTCGATCGGACACAGACAAGCGAGCCACTTCAACTTCAAGCGGATGTACTAGACGTTGCATTCCGTCCCGATTCTCTACAACTTGCAGTATCTACTCTCGATGGACAGTTGACATTTTGGTCAGTTTCGGAAGCCGAACAACAATCAGGTGTTGATGGAAGAAGAGATGTATCAGGTGGTCGAAAAATAACCGATCGACGAACTGCAGCTAATGCTGCAGGTAACAAGAGTTTCAGCTCTCTGAGGTATAGTGCAGATGGTTCTTGCGTACTGGCAGGTGGTAACAGCAAGTACATATGTCTGTACTCGGTGTCATCTCTTGTCTTATTAAAGCGCTTCACTGTCAGCGTCAACTTATCCTTATCCGGAACCCAAGAATTCCTCAATAGCAAACTCTTAACTGAAGGTGGACCAGCCGGTCTTATCGACGACCAAGGCGAAGCCTCAGATCTCGAAGACCGCATCGATCGAACTCTTCCCGGATCTACCCGTGGTGGAGATCCTTCCGCCCGCAAAAGACTCCCAGAAGTACGTGTCGCCGGTGTAGCATTTTCCCCAACTGGAAGATCCTTCTGCGCAGCTTCGACCGAAGGTCTCCTCATATATAGTTTGGACACCATGCCCCTATTCGATCCTATCGATCTCGACCTAGCCATTACCCCCTCTTCCACTCTACACGTTCTTCAAACCGAAAAAGATTATCTCAAAGCCTTAGTCATGGGCTTCCGTCTTAACGAGGCTCCTATAATCCGCCAAGTCTTCGAGGGTATCCCTCACTCCAATATCGCCCTCGTTGTTGACGAATTACCTGTAGTATATATACCACGTCTTCTACGTTTCGTCGCCATGCAAACCGAGGAAAGTCCACATTTGGAATTCTGTCTCTTGTGGGTTCAGGCTATTCTCGTCTCACACGGTCAATGGGTGGGCGATAATAGAATTTTGGTTGATTCCGAATTGAGGATTGTGGGAAGAGCAGTGGGAAGAATCAGAGATGATTTAAGAAGATTGGCGGATGAAAATGTTTATATGATTGATTATCTTCTTAATCAACCAGTTGAGAAGGTTGTTGATGGCTTGGATGGAGAACATAGAGATGTGAATATACAAGATGTGGATATTAATGATGATGATGCGGATGCGGAATGGATTGGTTTAGATTAGGTTGTATCATATTATATGGATGGAAAAATTAACTTGGTTTTTGTGTTTATTTTTGTGGTTCTTTGTTAGGTTTTTGTGTGTGAGAGTGAGATTGAAAATATATGATGCCAGGCTTGTATAGCTTCATCAATCAACTAATCATGCAAGACCCATTAAATGTAATATTTCCCTCACTCTCTCTGTAAGACTTTTCAATATCCTATCACACAAAAATAATTTATACATCCCCATATTATCTAATTCCATCCCATCATCTAATTTTGCCCCATAACATAAGAGTTTTAGAAGTTACATTAAGGTTACTTCACTCACTAGTTACACATTAACTAAGCGAATGTAAGATTAAGACTTAATTTTTCAGAAGATATATATACATATTATACTCGTCTTTATAAAACTCTACTACGGGGAGATAGATGGGGCTAATGGATTTCATAGTATGGATATGGGATTGGGATTGGGATTGGGATTGGGAAATGAGGAACTTGAAAGAAGGTAAAAGGAAATGTTTAATTTTGTGGAGTTGTATTGGTATAAATATCTATATTATCGAGGAGAAGTAATATAATTTCTTAAGTTGTGTCTTCACGTTACATTACATAATATTATATCATAAATCTCACTCATTCAAGGCTTAGTTGCGGGCGGTGAAACTAGCCGTTCAACGGACTGTGTAGATTGCGTGATCGAAGGACCTGCATTTACTTTGTCTTTCGACGGAATCTCCTCAGCTATTTGCGGAGGTGGATGTCCAAATATCATCCCGGTCTGACCATCCCTTCGAACAGGCACCAGGCCTCTAATATTGAACTTCGCGGTCACTTGTAGATACCGAGGAAAGCTGGTGTGATACGCTGAAAGTACCATTTCATCTGGAACTACGAACCCAAGGTTCTTATGGATAATACGGGTGAGCCATTTGGCTTGAGGCCCTTGAAGTCTCAAGTATATTTCTTCAAGACGATTCCAGGTGCAATTGTCATGAGGCTGGGCGTGAGATCTTATAGCAGGTGATGACCGTTTACTTTGAGCAGCAATGATGATTAGCGAATCCTCTATCTCTTCCACAGTCACGTTCTTGTATGAAAAAATTGTCCCCTGTCACAGAATTTTAGTAAAGCTAATCGGTAAATGCGTACAGCACACGAATATTCCTCGGATGATACTTTGCGTAACCGAAACTTGAGTCTATTTCATGGATGATTTCAGGAGAATAGTTCCCCCTTAGCGATGATATACTGACCTGGTCTGTATCCCGGCCTATCTCCTTCATTATTCGTTCTACATGGTAGCCTATATCGTTCCTGATTATCTCATTGCAACTACCTTTAGGATTTGACACAGATATAGAGTCCATTCTCGGTAAAACTTTTGAACCTAGCACGTTGTTCGACAGTCATATAAAAAGTTCTGGCGATGAAGCGTTCGAAAGTAACTTGATTAAAATCATAGTCCCGATCAACTAGGGCTTCTGGCTTGAGGGTGGATAGAACAGAAGGATCATCTTTATGCATAGCATCCAATTCATCACGATGAAGTTTAAACCAACTGATCCAAGCATGGCTCATCTTTTGAATCCGAACATCAGGAAGCAATGGTATTGTCCTGCAAAGGAGCCTCTCGAATTCATCCGGAAGTTTGCATACCTTGTAGAATGGAATGCTTTTCATCATGAGAAAGTATGTTGTGCCAACTTGTAGGATGTGCTGATGAGGAAGAGGAATGAATAAGAAGATGAATCATAGAATGAATATGGGAATATGTTCATGTTTGTGAACAGATTATGGTTGTTATATAGAAAATGGAAGTATAATGGTATTTCTTTGTTATGCACTAGTCAGGTCGCGTAAAGACCTTTGGCTGTAGTAGATAACACACTAGGAGACACGAAAGCAGCTCGAAACCCCGTGACTCGGATGAACAGGATCGGATATTATAAGCTCCGATGTCAAGGTTAATCCGGAGAGCATGTCCTCTCCCCTCTAAGTTGCATGAACTTTGCTTTGCTTGCCGCTTTTGATATTTGAATTTCCCCTTTTATAACCCTTGACCAAGCTCAGACTATCAGACTGCTTGTTTAGTAAGTTGTTGTCCCATTCAATCACCAGTTCATCCCATTTGTTCTTCATCCACTACCATCTAGACAAAGCTTCAGGGTTGTTCCAGACCAAAACCCTTCAAACCCCATAAACTACGAGGATATTTATCTCTCAAGGGTCAGTTAAGCTACCTAGGAACAGCATACCTCCCAATTCAACTCAATAACCGTTGAAGCCAAGCCTAGAACGTTTTCGTACAACTCTTTTCCATTCCTTTCTTCACTTAAAGGTTACAACATAACTAACAACTACACACTTCTTTTTTATGCCCTCCTTTATGGATCTCGAAATGACATCCAAAACGAATCTGCTTTTCTGAATGATTATGGATATTTAAGTCTCTTATATATGTATGATGTTCACGATCATCTAAATCCATATCCACCTCAGCGATTTATCTAAAAATTATCTTCAATTCCACCACTATTTCTTTGTTCATCTCGTTTTGATTGTTCGCTTTCATCTTGTTTTTGTTGTTTGTTGACATTTCGCTTCCCCTACTACGAATGCATAACATAACATAGCGACTCGATTACGATACCATAAACATAAACTCGGGATTTCTTCAACTTGAATGCTCATTGCGAGAACTACTTTCTTTCCACTTTTCTGTGATCATTATATATACTTATTCTCCTCGATATGCAAAATGGATTCCTTCCACAATCGAATGACTTCAATTGATCGTGCTTCTGTCGAATCTATTCTAACAGGGGCCGATCAACCCACTGAAGTTCCCAGTCCCCATATTGGTGCTTCACCCAATAGAGTAAATTTCTCTGTAAAGGAACCACCTCGACCCATTGTACGACCAGATCGTGCACTATCATATACTTCTAGAAGACCAAACCGACTTTCGCTCACTTTTCCCGTTGCTCCAAGCAGCGGCCCCGAATCGGCCAGAGTTACTCCAACATCGTCAAATACCCCATCAGTTCCTGCCACTCCCGCAGACCCAAATGTTATCGTATCACCAAATGATCCAAACGGTTTTCTGGTTGCCCTTGCCAGTCAAGAAAGAAGGGTTCTCGAACTTAAGGAGGAACTCAGCAAAGCTGAGACTGAACTTAAGCAGTTGAAAACACAATGGGCACTTCATGAAGCAACAAAGAAGAGAGCGGAAATTCGACATGTCGAGAAACTTCAACCTGTGCAGACTGAGCGCGGGTCTCCCGATGAAAATGTATTAACGACTCCGAAACAAAGTATAGATATGGATCGAAAGAAAGCTTTTCTTGCCAACCTTCCTCACTTGCCGAAGGATCAGAAGAATCCTCGAAGGAAAATCATTACCGGTGGTCATACTCGCACCCTTTCGCTCCTATCTCCTGAAAGGATGACGCGCAATTCTACTGTCAACGAGGTGAATGGCACAACCTCAGTCGACCTCCCAAGAAGTACTACGATGCCAGATACGAGTATTGGTATTTCCAGGGTCAATACAAACCGAGCAAACCGAAATTCATATCAAGGAGGATTGGGAGTAACACATGGGGTGAAGCAGATTACAGAAGATGTCAAGACCGGGCTATGGAATTTTCTGGAGGACCTCCGCCAAGCTACAGTAGGCGAAGAGGCAGTCAATGGCAAAGCGAGCAAACGATCAAGCTTAGATGCGACACAACGCGGGCTCAATAAGCGAATCAGCAAGGGTAGTTTGCGAGGACGACGAGGGAAATCACCAAGACCAGATCCATCATCACAAAGGACATGGGACTCTTTGACTGGTAGTAATCCTGCCCTCTTAGATCTAGGAGGCGCATTATGGCAAGACCCTAATTCTCTTGCGGCACCCCTGAAACCCACGAACGTCCAAAAGAAAAGCGCAAGACCAATTTCCTTTCCCACAGCTACTATTGATGACGATGATTGGTCAAACTGGGATTCTCCAACTCCCAAATCGCCTATGAGATGGAGCGGCAGTTCCACACTATCTGGTCCAGTGACCCCAGGAAACACGAGCAGTGAAGATGAAGTAAAGTGAGCATTTCATTCTGTCATGGAGAGAGAATAATTCACTAACAACTATATAGCATTCTGGACCAACACCACCCGCTCGAATCGCCCTCAAGAACGGATGAGATCCAATGGCCTGCACTCGATAATTTAAAACCGGGCAATCTTAAGAAAACAATATCTACAGCAATGAAAGAATGGGAAAAAAGCCTTACTCCACCCCCTGAAGAAACACACTCTGGAGATTTCCTCACCGGGTCTCCGCGTGTTAATGGAAGACGTGAACGAGAGCCTGGTGTTGTTGCACATGATGCACAATCTTGATGAGCTGAGTAACTGGCTAGTAGGTAGGTATCCTTATGATAATGTTTTCTTCTGCGTGTAATGTATGGATGGGATGAAACTGGTGAATTGGATGGTACGGGATGGGTTAGGATGGAATGGAATCGGCAGGCTATGAGATGAGATAAGATTGTTACTTTTTTGTCTACTAGGTACCATCAGTGTGCCTACCTACCTACCTACCTACCTACCTACCTAAGTAAACAACTCAGATATCTCTTGGGTGGGGTGATTGACGATAGATGATTTTGATGAAGGAATGAAAATCACGTTCTTTTTTGGATCTGTTGTATTCTGTCCCGTTCTGATGTAATGTGATATAATGTGACATAATGTGACATAATGTGATATGATATAATATGATAAAACCTTTTCGTCTCTAGGTATTGGTAACTTAATTTTTTGATTTGATGATATAATAATTGATACAGATGTACAAGGTAATCTAAGATATTCAAATGCCCACCAACCCATTTTGTATACCCCAAAATCCCAAAGAAGAAATATTATAATCCTATTCCATTCCATTTCGGTTCATCTCCTCCTATCCCATTTCCTCTGTTTCATATTTAAATGTGTATGTATGTGCGTATTGTAATGTATTGTACATAAAAGTAATAGAGATATTCACACTCGTATCCAGGTACTGTAGTTACACCTCACCTCACCTCACCTCGCTTTTAGACAATACATTCCCATCCATCATTTTTCGTTCCTGTGCAGCTTTCCACATCTTTGGAAATAAGTTGAATCACTCAACCACTCAAGCCACAACCACAACCACACCACCATTTCCCTCCCCCTCCCCCTCAACAGCTACTTCCTCCTCCACCGCCTTCCCATTCCCATTCCCATCCCCATACAAAAAAAACTGCACAAAAACCCCCGCATCTAGCATCAACGTCCCTGCACTCCCAACCAACCAACTCGCATTCACAGCAATATAGCGCAGATACTCTGAGCGGGCTTCGCCAACCTCGCATTTTGAGTGTCCGTGCTTGGAAGCGGTGAGGCAGGGAGCTTCGTAGGCGAAGATAGAGAGGACGTATGTGAGATTGCCGATGCAGGCGAAGAGGAAAAAGAGCATAGAGATTCCTTGGGTGGATTTACGGCGGTAGTTGAGGAGGAGTTGGGGGATGCGGGAGGAGAGGTAGAGAATTGCGCAGAGGTAGCCGAAGATTTGGCCGAGGGGGGAGAAGGTGGGTGTGGATGGGTGTTTGGTGTTGTTGTGGGGTTTGTGGGAGGTGGAGGAGGAGGGGGATGTGGTGGTGGAGATCCACCAGCCTAGGATACCGGCTATGCAGACGAGGAGGATGCTGAAGAGGTTGAAGAGGAAAGTTTGCATGGGGGTGGTTGGTTTGTCGTTTTTGGTGGTGGAGACATCACTTGGGTTAGGGGGGTCGAGGAGTGGAACGACGGGGGAGAGATGTTGAGCCGAGACGGAAGTGCTGCTGCGGCGTCTTTCTAGACCACTCAGCAGACCTGTGGTCTCGCTGGGTTGAACAGCTGCGACTTCTGCGTAGGTGGGTTTTTTTGGTGGAGTTGGAGGTGGCTTGACTTCATCCCGCCAGGTGAAGCCTTTGTAGTAGAAACATTGGCCTAGGAGGACTATATCGGCTATGGTATAGTAGACGGCGAGGATAATCTAGAAGTGTTAGTGCGGGAATCGTGACATTCACGGAAAATAACTACCATAGTAGGAAGGACACCCTGCAACATAGCACCCCAGATATTAAAAACATCACCAGCAAGCCAAATAATGATAAATTGTAAGGATAATCCATCAGCCTATTCGAAATATCAGTGCAATGCTCCACCAACCAACCAATCTTGCCTTCAAGCATGCATGCAACTCGAATTGCAAACAAACCCTCAACAAGTCACATGGAAATACTCACAGAACCTCTTTTCCAATTCTCAATAATCTGAGGACTAAAAACTACTATCCAACACGCAATTGAAATGGATCCACATATACCTGAAATGGCAGTAATATCCAAATTTAAATTTTGAGTCGGTGGAACCATTTTTGTTTTGGTGGTATGTAATTACCAATGGTAGTAAATATTCCCCCGAAAATAAATAATAAAAAATGAGGGAAAATCCACCTCAATTCCTCTAATTTCCTGTCAAAAATGGCTTGATATATCGATTGCACCTGAACCTGAACCTCGTGCAAGTGTGGCGGTCTACCCAACGTCTTTATGGTAACACAAAGATCGTATCAATAATGTCGAGCGAACTTCTCGATACTATTGATGTGTAAATATTGATATCTGTGCAAATGAGCGAGATGTGAAAGTGAAGGTATGGTATTGTATAGGTATAGTTGTGTGAAGACTTGTTTGTCGTTGGTATTGTTGAAAGATACTTCGAAGCAGGGTTTGAATCTCACATGATTAGCGTGATCACGTGATGTGGAGAATTATCCGATCTTATTGTAAATACCTAGGTAAGATCTTACTAGTGCTCGGAAGGAATTCGGGGTAGTGAAGACGTCATCATTGTTCTTATTTGGGAGTGAATCGGAAAATTAAATATATCTTATGTCTTTTTTTCCAGGGGTTTTTCTAAATTTCTTAAAAAATCTTAAGAGTTATTTATGATTACTGTTCACCGGTTTGGAATACTAATCAAATCTACCAATTGACTCCGTCAATAAATCGAATGATTTGCAATTAGTGGCTGGCTATCAATTTGAGAATGCGTTGGCTTAGAAATCCAAAAGAGCCACCCCACTATTTATTTACTTTCCACATCTCCCGTGAATCTCTACTCCATCCTCCCCAATTGAAAAGCACCTGCATTCCCCCTCAACCATCTACTTAATAAGTACCTCTACATCGCCACCTCTATCCCAAACCTCCAAACTCCAAAACTCCAAACCTCGACGATGCCCCAACCCTCTCTACCACCTCCAGCCCACCCAGACGTAGACTCTATGTTGAGCCGAAAATTCGGCCGTGAAGTGGCCAACTACTTCAGCGGTTCCCCTTTAAACCGCGTTTCCTTCTTGCGTACAAATCATGAATTTATATCTCAAGCCTTCGTTCATCCCAGCACCAATTTTCTACTCTTGAATAACCTCGCTCCTCTCACTAAAGATCCAAGTCATCTAGCCTATGCCTCTCACGCCGAAATATCCGGTTTAACCGGCTCCAATCCCTTTGAAAAAACAGAGGCCGATTTGATTAAAGAATTTAATTCTTCGGTAACATTACCTCTCGTCTTGTTTTTGGGTTTGGATGAGAAGAAGAAGGAAGGCTTTAGTCATGGGATTTATAGTGGAGTTCCCTATTTTGCAATCGATGTGACGCCCAAGGGTACATATGAGACGGAAGCAAATAGCGTGGTGGAGGCAATGAAGGAAAAGGGATTGCAGTTTCATAGTGGTAGATTGGTCATGACTTTGGATGCAGAGGATGCGGCGATTTTTGCTCAAGCGAGGGCCCTATTGGATTGGAATGCTAGGAATCCTTTTTGTGGAGGGTGTGGACAACCTACATTATCTGTAAGTTCACTTTATTCCAAAAATACAGATTCAAAATAAGAATGCTAATGTAAGATCCAGATTCAAGCAGGCACTAAACGGGTCTGTCCACCAACAGACTTTGCATCTCTGCCTACAGCCCAAGCAGGAGTCAACCCTGAGACACCCAACCAAAGAGCACCATGCGCAACCAGAAAAGGCGTATCCAATCTCTGCTTCCCCCGCACTGATCCCACTGTCATCACAGCAGTAGTAAGCCACGACGGTAAGCGACTCCTGTTGGGACGAGCAAAAAGCTGGCCAAAAGATTGGTACAGCGCGCTAGCCGGATTTTGCGAACCCGCCGAATCAGTCGAAGAAGCAGTACGTCGAGAAGTCTGGGAAGAATCCGGTGTGAAACTCGGTCGTGTAGTCATCCACAGCACGCAACCTTGGCCCTATCCCGCCAACTTGATGATTGGAGCAATTGCACAGGCATTACCTGATGGTGAGCAAATCCATCTAGAGCATGATCCCGAATTGGAAGATGCAAGGTGGTTTTCCATGGAGGAAATTAGGGAAGCTTTGGTCAATGGGACGAGTGCGTTGGGAGAACCACCCAGTCCGGGGTATAAGGAGGGAAATTTGAGATTGGCGCCTTCTACGGCAATTGCGATGCAGCTCATCAAAGCCGTTTCTGAGGGTTTCTTGGGTGAGAGTCCTAAGATTTGAGGATGTGGTGGGAAATGTATTTGTGGTGTTTAGAATGTATATTGGATGAATTTAATTTGTAAGATGTAGATCAAGACTATCTGTAAAGAAGATAGGGGTCTCGAGCTCTCACCATTCTATATTGCAGACATATACAATTGATGAGCATGAACATGAAAACGAAGTTAAAGATCATAAATCGGTATATGCTTATTTTTGTCACCATCAAGTATTTTATATCATTAATGCTAATATACAAAAGCAATACTCTAACAATAAGAATTACTACTACTTCCACTAACATCTCCATCTTATCCCAATATCCCACAAAACAAGACAATGAAGTATATATCAAGATTAGGAAAAACATAAACTATAATAATAGCGAAAGGGTTGAATCGACCTCAAGCAGAACATGCACAATCTCCTAATCTTAAGCTTGGGGAATATAAAAGACAATTATTTTCATTATTACATATTAGATTACAATCAACTATTTAACAGTATATCAATCTTCAAATAATTACGATGCTGTTTCTGTTGGGTTTCTTAAGACCAGAAAGAGTATCAGATTGAATTGATTGATTCTCTAGCTAAGCAGTTAAGCTGCGAGCATATATTCAAAAAAATGAAGGAATAGGTTGGGTATTCGGCCTTCGGAATTAAAGTGCTTTGAAATCAAAGTATTGAAAGCAAACAAACAGTATACCAAAAAGGAAAGAATGAATTAAAAGTTGAGTTTTGTTTGCTCCTTATATGCATATGTACTATATATGCATATGCTGCCAAGATCCCAGGAGGTCAACAGTTTCCCTTCATTCATTCAATCATTCATCTCTTTTGGGTAGAACACCATGAAATTGTTCAAGAATTTCCCTAAACAGCAGGATTGGTAGGTAGATACAAATTCGACTCGCAATTGATTTATATAATTGGTAAATATCCATAAATGATATCACTCTACTTTATAGCAAAAAGTAATTCCAAAGTAATAATATTCTGTTCCTGAACTGATTTTCTATCTCTTTTCAATTCTTTAGATTGTTTTTTTGTGTATTCGAAATTGATAATTTTTATATCTTTGCTCTCTGGGTAAGATATAAGATTTCTAAAATTAATATTTTTATAATACATATCTTTGCTTCCAATAGCTTTGAAAATGTTTTTGTATTTTAAATATACAACATCGTTTTTGACATCAATATCCTCCAAAGTTCGAAACCCTTTAGGAATTCAAGTGCAATTCCTTGATGTATTGTTTTCTCTTCATCCTTCTATTAGATTTCCCTAAAGCATTTTGGGAATGTGAATGTCTTATAAAGATACGAGATGTTTATAAGTAACAAGTTCATCTTTGTTATCCCCAAACTCCTTAGCTATGAACACCTTGGGGAAGTTTCGAGTCGTTGTCGTTGTTGGAATCTTGGTCTTGATCTTGATCTTGATTTTGATCTTGATTTTGAATTTTGATTGAAAGATAGTGATAGATGGAATATGCAATTGTTCCCTATATAGATTGATTTACTAAATAATGACTTTCATAATAACAATCTTGGAATTCGAATATCAAGACTCGTTTGCTGATCATCATTCATTTCACAAAGCTGGGATTTATAATCTACTACAAGAAATTAAACTTGTAAGATTAGAATTTTATTACACTACTTTTGTTTATGTCTTCACTTATTTTGCTGAACATTTCTGTTGACCTCCTGGGATCTTGGCAGCATATGCATATATATTGCATGATGCATATAAGGAGCAAACAAAACTCAACTTTTAATTCATTCTTTCCTTTTTGGTATATTGTTTGTTTGCTATCAATATTTTGATTTCAAAGCACTTTAATTCCGAAGGCTGAATACCTAACCTGATTCCTTCATTTTTTGAATATATACTCGCAGCTTAACTGCTTAGCTAGAGAATCAATCAATTCAATCTGATGCTCTTTCTGGTCTCAAGAAACCCAATAATTTCCCATCTAATATAAATAGATGGAAAATGTATTAATGACGATGATGGTGATAATGATGTTAGATCAGAAGTTTCCATCATGACGATGCTTAATTATTCTATCTTTCAAATATAAGAAGAGTAGAAAGTGAGCTTGAGAAGGAGGAGAAATCTTCAATTGGTATAATTTGTACAGATAGAAGGAAAGTAGTAATTACAAGAAAACAATAGTCAACGGGAATATACATGGAATAAGCGAACAAACCGACTGTAGACTTCAATTTTCTTTGTTCTTCTCGATTCGCTGAGATTCTCAAGATATCTTTCCCGGTTTCATTTTTGGATTTCATTCTTTGCTCGTTATATATCGCAGGGTTATTTCAAGGGTCCAGAGGTAGCCTCGAGGTTGTGACAGCTCTGGCAAAAACTCTCAACTCAAAACATAGTTAGATGGAGAGTGCGTGAAATGGAGGGATTCAATATGGCTTACGGATTGTGGCTTATGGGCTGTAGATGCTCACTTGCCGAGATTTGTAGAACTACATACTTACCCATTCACACAGGCATCTGAAATCTTATATTTTTCGGCTCTCACCTTGCTACTGATCATCTAGGACGTATATCTAATAACATGATGTTCTGCAAGCTGGAGAAGTAATTGGAGATTACGAGCTAGCCTATATAATTATCTTTTGAGCTTTGTAGAGTATTGTACCCGGATCGTTGTTGGAGTTCGATGCGGAAGAGTATTATAAATTTCCTCCTAGAAGTAATCATTCTTAGAGAGAATTCGAAAGGTTTTTGGGGAATAATAATTCTCCTCTATAGTTATTGGTAGATATCTCTAATTGCCTCAAGATCGTATCTCGTCCACTTTAGATTGCGTGAATGAAGAAAAGGGAGTAAGGATGCAAGCGTCGTCCGCAGGTAGTGAAGGAAGCTTTTGCTGTTTTTCAGATTGGAGGTCTGTATCATAACTATCACCATTGCTAGTCTCAGTCTCTGTTGAATGCCACCGCTTCTTTACTTTTTGCTTATTGTCATCTTCCTTCTTTCCTGTCACCCTTACTACTTTCTGCTGATGCTAATGCTCTCGGAACTTGCTTCCTGCTTGCTCTATGCTGCATTATCTCATCATCGGTGTATATGCCGATGTGATTTTGTGAAGATTGAAGAAAGTCATGGCAATAGCAAGGCTGCTCTTGAGGAGGTATACAAGCAAAGTCTTGCCACGATATGGATATATTGTCACCCTCGCTGGATTCGTCCCTTTTCGTGTTAAGCCACGCTCCATGGCCGACGGGTGGATCTTGCTTGCTCGGCTCTAGGACAAAATCAGCCGAAGCGGAAGAGGATTCAGTATCGGAAGCGTACGATTCATTATTCTTGAGGAACAGTAATTGAATTTAGAAGAGATCAGAATACTGCTTATTACAGCGATTAAGAGTTTATGTGGATACCTTGAGTGCTTCGGTAGTTTTCACGCGTGATGATCAAGGACTCCCTGTGCAAAAGCGGGACTGATTCAATCCCCCCCTTCCCGAGGAGGAGCAGCCGTCCTTCGGGTGTGAGGCGGTCTCATCCTCCCAACCTGCGTTTCCCTAAACCGAGTCCTCAGAGCCAACGTTCTTTTGTGATGTAGTAGAGCCTAGGCTGTCGACAACAGGTAACTCGAGATGGTGCTTAGCATCGCTGATAATATCGATCTTTGCTTAAATTCTCACCTGTCAGTTATGGTCACGGAAAGCCAAACATCCCGCAGAGTTAGAACATACCTCGGCTTTGTCATTTGTAACTCTCATCATCATCGATAGAAGTTTTGTTAGGAGTTCTGCACTGCTTCCGTGCAGGTCTGTGACGAGACGTTCTGCTTTTAAAGCTTGGGGCAGTTGGTCCGTAACTATATGGAATGGGGCTGAAAGGAGCCATATTGAGTACGAAAACGATTGGTCTTGGAGGTCTTTATCATTCTCTCGATACGACCGAGCTGCAAGAGAATGTGGCAGAAAGGAAGAAAGGAGGAAATGGAAGGGTTCAAGTACACGTATTTAACTACTATCGCCGACTACGGCTACACAATGTGCGATCGCCTGCAAAATTTTACCATACCATTGCCTCCACTCTTTCAGGCGCTCTCATCGTCAAGAATTACTCGGCTTCCATACATCCACAAATTATCCCCTACCCTCCCCATTCTAGCTGCAGGACTGAGATTGTCAATCCCCCTCTCGTTCCGTACGAGACCCATCCGAGTTCATCATCCCTACCCTACAATCCTTCTATCGGCATCCTCAAATCAACATTGGAGAAGCCTAACAAATACTTCATGAAGTATTCGCTGCAAGCTTTTCAAAAGCAAAGTGGTTCCGGGTAAAGATTCAAACAAGAGTCGTACTAGCTATTCCTTAGCAGTGCGGCCTCCACCACCCTCAACGCCTTCTTTGTTCCTTCGAATCTTCTGATTCCCAATCTTCTCCCAACTAATCTACCATGGACTTCTCCATGACTTGGCGCTGGCGTTCATCAAACTTTGTCCTCAATTATCGACAGCAGTTGCCGACCTCCTCATCAACCTCTCGAATCTTCGTTAGGAGGTTCTTATAGTTGACCTCCTGCTCGTTAACCATACATTGTTTGAAAGGGTTTATAAAATCATCACAAAGCTCCTTATCTAATCCTAGAAGAGTCGAAGCGGCGCTCTCTATTATTAGAAACAAGAGATCAGAATCAAGAGTTCAGTACTTTCTAGAGATAAGTAACTTACTGAGAAATTCTTTGATCTCTGGATCATATAAAATCAGCTCTTTTTGCCTGTGCTCCATCTCGCGATGTTTTTCCTTATTCTTTGATGATTCTAGAGCTCTATCGTGCCAAAGCCAAATTGAAGTACCAACGTCTCCACTGACGCTATGATAAATCATATCAAAAAGAGCACGATCTAATTCCGATGCGGGCCCATCCAGCTTTATTCTATCTCTATTTTTTGATAACAACGATGCCCATGGCCGCTTTCTTCTGGCGATCTCGAAGATCATTAATCGGCCACGGTAGTAGTTCGTGTAGATTTCCTTTAAAATACCCACAGTAGTCAAATAGTCAACGGCACTATGAAGTGTGGTTATAACTCCATATGTTGGTAGTTTAAACTGTACCGTTTCATCCGATTTACTCGAATCATTCTTCGTAACGATGGCAAAATGTGTATCCGTATCATCGCCTTTGCTGAACTTGGTGGATCGGGACATCGAAAGTGACCAGATAAACAACGTTAACAGAGTTACCTGCACCCCTAGAGCTTAAATCAAAACTTTTTGATTCCGGACTACGTTTTAATGTGGGGAGCTGAAAACACATCACATGGACGTCTGCAGACTACTGCCACTTCAGGCTGCTGTTTTGTAAGCAAGGATTGAGCCGAAAATGAGGATCCCATAAGCACAGCACCCCAAGTAACCTTACTGTGGTATTCCTGTATAGATTTGAAATCCCTAGCACCTTAATCAGACCCATACCGATTTCCTAATAAGCAACCATTCACCATGAATAAGACGACCAAGCCAGGGGCTGGAATTATTACCGACGGAATGTCCTACACAGAGCGGCTATTCCATTATTCTTATACCATAGGATCTGAGGAACCACATTTCTTGGTATTTCGTGGATTGCAAAGACTCAATATGGTGAATCTCCAGAATGAATTGGCAAAGAAAAAGGGTTCCATGTGGATCAACATGACCGCTTCTGAAGACGACACTCGAGATCTCAGTTCACTCTTGCACCAATATGGTAAGGTTGATTTCAATAAACTATAAGGTTAACTGATTAGTTTCCTCAGATAATAACACTCAAGCTTTGAAGCCAATGCAATTCGAGATTATGCCTTTTTCTCTGGTCTCCAAGCCATTACCGGATCCCATGCACAAGAAAAGCGTCGAGATCTCACACATGCCTTTCCCGAGATTGCCGGCTTACCAGGTGACCCATTCAACTCAGCTTATCGTCGTCTCCCCGATCAATCACTGATACCAGTTGACCCTTTAAGAAAATGGCTCAAAGCGCGGCTACCATCTCGATTGACATACACGAAACGGGAGCAACTGTTTCGTACAGATGAGTATCTCAAAAGCGAGCCGCCAGAACAAGTTTCTCCCTTCGTGGATAAGCTAGCTCGATTTATGGTCGCCTTCGCGGGTGGATTGAGTCTAATAGGCCCTATGCTGATCATGAGAATTGGGGAGAATTTGACCAAGAGTCTAGTGACAACAAGTGTGGCTGTGGTATTGTTTTCTGGAATTACAAGTTTAGTTCTTCGCGCAAATAATACGGACACCGTAGCAGCCACTGCAACATATGCAGCAGTACTTGTGGTTTTTGTTGGGACGAGTGGTAGTTAGAGAGTTGGATAACTCTTGTACGTGACTTCCCTTTCCAGCACGTGCGACACCTCCATTAACCCCTTTCCCTATGGGCAGCAGTGTAATCGATTGATGATTAACCAAAAATCTTTATTCGTTGATTATAACCCCAGATTGTATAATCTTGTGAACCTAAAATTTAATCATTTTATTCAGAATTTGAATCATAAAATACTAAACCATCAACCTATAAAGATTCAAACCTAAAATCCATACCCAACTACTCAACTGTAAAACATGATTTCATAAAATCCATTTCATTAATCATCATAATTAACCGTACCCAAACCACTCATCGACTACACTGGTGAGCAGATGGCTAAACTGCCAACTCGTCTCTCTGACACTGCAACCAGCTTGACGGAACCAGCACCGCCCGTTCGCCCGTCTACAAGTTCCCGAGTTAGAAATGCAGTACTCTCTTCGTGTTTTCGAGGGACATTGGCAGCATGCTCGAAAGGAACTTGGCGATAAAGGAGATTCGTAGGACTTCGACAGGTGGAGGATATCGTGAATGATTGTGGGGGCCAAGGATAGATATTTGTTGATGAGCAGGTGAATATTGCGTAGCTCCTGGGGAAGGGATAATTTGGGTAGGCAGGGGATGATGTAGAGAAGAACTGAGAAGTCCAGGTGATGCAAACGACTGATGTAATAGCGTTTTTAAATGTTAAAGGAAATTGTATATCCGAGTTTGCTTGTGTACAAGTCCATCCTGAACAGATGAAGGCATTAGTCACATCAACCTTCGATTATCATAATACCAACAGGTAGGACACCACCGGTACTATATTTAGATTGTTATTATTCGTCTACTTCGCAAAATTGTATTGTACAGGAAGAAATAAAAACCTATATGTGTCCCCTGCCTGCATCAACCAAACGCCCCTGCCGTTTTTCGCATACCAATTTAGCCAACAATTGTGCGCCCATCTGTAATACACCTCTAGTCCGCAAGTTTTCTCTTCTGCCGCTCTCTCTCCATTTTTTTGAAGAAAGCAGAACTTTCCCCCTTGTTCTTCTTAAGGTCCTTATTTCTGCTTCTGTTCTGCTCAATATACGCCATGTCTTGCCCACCAGCTAGATCAGCAAGTTTACCTGCGGTCCTTCTTACGTTAGACTTCTTTTTAGGTCTTGGTTTACCATCATTTCGATGAAATAAATCGTCTCTTAGATCTTCCTGAAATCGCTCCTCGTCCATATTGTGGAGCATCACATTCTGCAAAAGCTCTCTTCGGTCTTGGGGTGTGTTGAATGCAAGGCCAGGAAGATCCTCAATGCCTTGGAGATGGGTAATGGCCTTGAAGGCATAACCCTGATCAACAAGGAATGCTTGACGTTTTGAAGAATAGTACATTTCTTTAGTATCTTTGGAGACTAGAGAATAAAAGAATGCATTAAAACCTTCATCGTTTCTGCGTTTCGCCCTCAGAATTCTGCCCAATCTTTGAGCTTCTTGTCGACGAGAACCAAAGTGAGAAGATATTTGGATAAGGCAAGTTGCTTCGGGTAAATCGAGAGAAGTGTCACCGATCTTTGAAAGGAAGAGTGTGTTGATGTCAGGGTTGTGTTGGAAATTCTCAAGAATTCGAATACGCTCGGCCTGAGCTGTGCCACCATAAATGAAAACTTTGTTCAATTTTGAAGCATAGACGTGCAAGGCGAAGACGTTGTCAGAAAACACAATAATTTTATCGCCACGCTTCTCATGATAATCTATCAGAAATTGACATGCCTGGAACTTCCGAGGATTCATTGTAGATATCAAGCCCTGCTTTCGACTGGGTGCTTTTAAATACTCCGAATGAAACTCAGTCGTCATCGGGCACCAGACTTCTGCACATTGAACTCTCGCAATATGACCTTGCGCAGCGAGTTCCATCCAATTGGCTTCGTACAATTTTGGACCGATCAAAAAGTTTAAATCTTCGATCTTATCATCCTCACGAAGTAGTGTGGCAGTCAGACCTAATTTCGAGTGGGTTTTAATTGAGGATGTGACTTTTCTGAAAATAGCAGCGGGCACAACATGCACCTCATCTAGAAGCATCAACCCCCATTCTCTGCTCGTCAAGAAATCCATCATCTTCTGAGCATCAAAAGCTCGTGCACGTGTCTGCGTGACCATAGAATAAGTCGTTACAATGATACCAGTACTCCTCGTGAACTTCTCCTTGTGATCAGAAGTAAATACTGCAATATCAGCGGGATTGATATTAGACCATTTCAAAAACTCCTGTCGCCACTGAACAACAGACATAGAACTCGTGCAGAGGACGATGACACCTTTCTTAATTGTGCAAGCCGCTGTGATACCAACTAAGGTTTTTCCAGCACCACAAGGTAAGACGATAATACCACTCTTAGCTCGACCATTACCAAACATCTTGCTCAAGCTCTTTTCCTGATAATGCCGGATCTGAGCGCTTGGCCTCAGATCAATCTCGAGATTTGGATTTGCTTCATCATTACGAAAATCATATTCTTCGAGCACAGGTAATCCAAGCTCTAGGCATCGTTTTTGTGTAGCTTCTACGCCGTCATCGGCAATCTCAAAAGTATGCACCGCATCTTCTTCGTCCTCATCGTCGTCCTCTTCATTAAGCTTTGCATAAATGTCTTCCTGTGTAGGATCTTGTCCATCTGGTTGTCTATCCGCTGCACTCTGGCGCGTGTCCCCAGCTTGCTGAACTCCAGCTGCATTTGTCGTTCCCGGAATGACCAACCCACCCATGCTAGGGGCTATAGTGGTAGTAATTTCTGTCGTTCCTTGGACCCTAAGCGGACCTATTACTGGATCTTTTAGAAGACGTTGTAGCAACTCGGGATCTGAACTTTCGACAAAATGTTTTGTATTTTTAAGGACCAATTTGACTTTACCATAGCTTTGAGTACAGTTGACTATGAAAGCTCTAACATTATCAGGTATGGGCATCTTTGAAAGTCTATCGAGAACATTGATGATGTCTTTTGGGTCCAAGCCGACCGACACAGCGGCGTACAAACTATGAGGTGTCAAAGCATATTCGTGTAGGAAACTCGGCCGTGACTTGGGCTCTGCTATTGTAGTCAAGAAATCTTGAGCATGTGACGCTAGTGGAGAGAAACTTTCTAGTATAATGCGCGCCTTCTGGGGGTCTATCCATAATGGACGATTTGCGTGATCGGGTTTCAGTGATAAGTATGAAAAGTCGTTGTTGCCAAAATGGTGACTGGCAGAATCCCTAGTCCATTTGGAACTCTTTTTGGCCTGATAACTTTCCGCCGAGAATTTGTTGATTGTGTTGTTAATATTTGCTTTCTCGTCCTCTGTTGCTTCTAGACCTTGTCGTTCAAGTTCATCGATGGTGCCATCTTGATATTCATCATCACTTTCACCACTGCTAAAATTACTGCGAGGCGTCGCAGGCCCCGGTGTAGAGGCAGCTGAGTCTTTGTTCGATTTGGTAGCACCTCGCACACCTAAATACAGTTAGTTATCATAAATTCTGTACCTCGTAAAGCAAATATAAAGCATCATACTTGATGCGGCTTTCCTCTTTAGAGGCATCACGGAGTTCCTTCTAAAAGAAAATATACCTCGTAGGTTGAATGATTAATTGGGAGGAACTGAAGAGATTGAGGTTCAAGTTTCCTTTGGATGTCGCTTTATCGATTTACTAGGTAGCTGCGGCGCAAGGCTGCTGATTAATATGGTTTTAGCGTAAAAATTAACCTGGTTCAGCCTGGCTGGCATTCACTGATTTGGAACCTTTTTTTCGGGAGGCATGTGAAGCGGTCACTACTACTGGACTTGCCTAATAAATATTAACAAAATCCTCCAGCAGAAGAACCTCGAAGGAATAAATTCAAGGTCGCGGAAGCTCAAACAATACGAGATCTCAATATATCGCATTATGTGGTAAGATTCTAAGTCCTTCTCAACACTATTTAACAACTAACAGAATTCTAGTAAACATATTCTCAACGCGCAAGTTTCCATTCGATCGCCATGCTGTAAGACCAACTTACCAAGCTATCCTTTCCATATTAACTTCTGCCAAAGGTCGAAAATGGTTTGACTGCGCTGAATGCCATCATGAAACTGAATCACACCCTTTAAAGAGAACAACAGAAATGGTATTGCAGTTGCTCCCTATGCCCCGCTCTTTTTGACCCCTCATACTAATCACAGTGCAAGACATTTGCGTGCAAGAAATGTAAAAAGGCATTCCGGAAAGACTTTGCCGACGAGACGGATGACGGAGATGAATACTGCCCGCACTGCGATAATCACTATGTGATTGACGCTGTGGAACCAAAGCCAATGTTGAAATTCGAAGGAGAGGACATCAGGAAGGATAGTAGGATGATCAAGGATGATCGACTGCAAGGGAAAGAACGGAGAACCATCTTCGATGTGGAGGAGGCTCCAAATAAACTGGGATAATAAGATGCATTACGAACGCGGAGAGTTAAAAGGAGTTTGATTTAGCGGCATGGAAATGGGAAATTCGGATTCAGAGCGATGGTTATTTGGTAGCTAATATGCAGATATGAAGAGGGCCGGAGTTTTTGGCACACAATAGTAATTGTGAAACTAGGGTGCATCAGAAGTACCGAATTTGGGTCATTTCGTCGCTCATTGCTATAGTACAGAGGCTCTATGAAGTGCAGAAAGTCATAAATATCACCCCGCTTATTGTGCAGCAGCATCATCAGGTCCTCTCGTCAAGATCGCAGCAGTCCCCCCCGAGCGACCACCCTTCTTCTTAGCAGCCTCCTCAGATTTCTCCTGCTCAATGTCCTTCACATATTTCTCAATATCCTCCACTGGCAACATCTCAATGAGCTTGCCCGGTGCCATGATAGCAATCTCGATATTCTTCGCTCCAGTTTGGACAACTTCCAGTAACGACTTGATTGTCAATTTGATGGTAGCCTCCCGATCCATATCATCCTTGTGATTTCTCTCTAAGAACTCTCGTACAGTTTTGCTTGATCTACCGATAGCATTGGCTTTCCTAGGAGCTTGTTAGACCTGATAGAACCCATGAATTATGAACAACATACCACGCAGAGTAGATTCCGGATGGCTCAGTCTGGTACAATCTTGGAGTCTGATCATTGGGGTCGAATCCAACAATCAAGGTACTAATACCAAACGGTCTAACACCACCACTTTGTGTATATCTTTGTTGCACACCAGCTACATATTTTGTGATGTACTCTATTGTAACTGGATCCTCCACTGTAAGACGATGTGATTGTGCTTCTAATCTTGCTTTATCGACCAAGATTCGTGCATCGGCATTGAGACCTGCAAAGGCGAGGCAAACGTGGGTGTCGACGAGACCAATTTTTGAAGGCGTAATACGGGTATCTTGTAACTTCATCGCCGAACGCTTCTCGCATCCCAAGACAACAATATCCTTGCCCTTTACTCCAACGGCGCATGTTCCTAGATTGATATATAAGCTGCCGTTCATTGATTGTTTATAGCTATCTTAAGTACCTCTTTTGACAGCTTCGAGAGCATATTCGACTTGAAAAACATGACCATCCGGACTATGGCAGCTGTCAGATCCGTCCCTAATTATAAATCGTGAAGCAAACTAACCTGAAAACTGTCATATGTTAGCAGCTACCTTTTGATTTGCCTAGGGAATTACCTTACCAGACAACGCTCTATCATATCCTGAAGCCATGATTTATGATGATCTGAACCGTAAAAGTGAAACGAAAAGTAATTTTGGGGTATCTCGAAAATGATCGAAGCTTAATGGAAAAGCGGGAAAAATATTGATAAAGCTTGATGTTTGAACTGCAGGCAGCTCAGCATACGAAGCTACGCGACAGGAAGGTCCAACAGGCTTGAGCTTGTCCCTCAATCCTCAGGCACCCAATTTGACAAGGCTGGCTGGCAATTGGGAATCTGCGGGCTGTCCACCAGGGTACCCGCACGGATCATGTCAGCACGAGGCAACATCGCAGCCTTCCAAAATTTGGCCAAAACGCCAAACAACGAGAGTACGAGCCAAATTCTTCTCAAAGTCCCGGGACAGTTATTTTCGAGAGATCGTAAAAACTTCAAAACTTCAAATTTGTAATAGAAACTATACTTTTATCAAAAGCCCTAAACTTGACAGTTCACGTAGAAATGCAACAAACTCTTGGAAGAGGTGGATCTAAGCTTTGATAAAGCTCGCCATCGCAACCCCACTCCTAATTTTCCCCCGCAAGAATCTGACAAGCCTTCTTCAATTGACTATCACAAACATGGCAGTTCGATCACGGATTACTCTCGCAGCTCGCAGAGCTCGAGTATCATCGGTATCGTCATCATGCTCAAAGATAAGACCATTACGACCACTGGTCCAAACTAGACGCCAAAGTACTGCGACTACCGAAGGCAGTGAAGGAGTAGCCAAAGGAACGACTGGTACATCTAAGACCATAAAGTTTACATCCGAAACATATCCCGATATAAAACGAGACTCGAGATTCGCACAAATATCTGAGGAGAATGTGAAGTTTTTCAAGGATTTACTGAAGAAGGAATCTGCGGTTATTGATGGAGTCACAAAGGATGCTACAGATGATATTGAACCTTTCAATGGGGATTGGATGCGCAAATATAGGGGTCATACAAGTTTAGTTTTGAAGCCTGGATCTACGGAGGAAGTGAGCGAGATTTTAAAATACTGCAATGATAATATGTTGGCAGTTGTGCCACAAGGTGGGAACACTGGGCTCGTAGGAGGATCAGTTCCTGTGTTTGATGAGATCGTGATCAATATGAGCCGAATGAATCAAATTCGGTCATTTGATGAGGTCTCGGGTACTCTCGTTGTAGATGCCGGTGTTGTTCTGGAAGTCGCCGACAATTATTTGGCAGAGCGCAAACATATATTCCCATTGGACCTGGGTGCAAAAGGATCATGTCATATTGGAGGTAATGTTGCTACAAATGCTGGAGGCTTGAGGTTGTTACGATATGGAAGTTTACACGGAAATGTTCTTGGTATCGAAGCAGTCCTACCAGATGGAACAATTGTTGATGACCTCTCCAAATTACGCAAAAACAATACCGGTTATGATCTGAAACAATTGTTTATCGGTGGTGAGGGTACAATCGGTATAATTACCGGAGTATCGATTCTCTGTCCTCAACGATCAAACGCTACAAATGTTGCGTTCTTCGGTCTTGAATCCTTCGAAAAAGTACAAGAAGCTTTCAAAGAAGCCAAAGGTCAACTTTCCGAGATCCTTTCTGCCTTTGAACTCATGGACAGCCACAGCCAAGATTTGGTTCAAAGAGTAACCAAAAACAAAAGACCATTGGAAGGTGAGTATCCTTTCTACTGTCTTATCGAAACAAGTGGTTCCAACTCCGAACATGATCAAGAGAAATTGAACAATTTCCTCGAACATGTCATGGAGAAAGAGATTGTTTCTGATGGTACCCTGGCCGAGAATGCAACACAAATTAAAGATCTTTGGGGCTGGAGAGAAGGTATTCCCGAATGTCTTGGCCACTGGGGTGGTGTCTATAAATACGACCTCTCTATTCCTCTGAAAGAACTCTACCAACTCGTCGAAGACGTGCGAGAAAAAATCACTGAAGCTGGTCTCATCGGCGATACCGAGGATTACCCAGTCGTAGGTGTAGTAGGTTACGGACATATGGGAGATTCAAATTTGCATCTCAATGTAGCAACCCGAAGCTATGATAAGAGAGTTGAGCAGGCATTAGAACCATTCGTATACGAATGGGTTTCAAAAAGAAATGGGAGCATTAGTGCCGAACATGGACTAGGTTTGGCGAAGAAGAATTACATTGGATATAGTAGGAGTGAGACAATGATTGAACTGATGAAGGGAATCAAGAACCTTTATGATCCAGTAGGCTTTCCAATCCGATCCTTTCCTGGGATAATTTGTCGTGTAGAGGTATACTAACTTTTAATAGAATGGGATTATGAATCCATATAAATATATTTGAAGGGAAATAGAGACATTGCAGTTGTAGTCTAGGAATACCAGATGTTCATATGTGGTTTGGATACCATTTCGGGAATAGGGAGGAGAATGAATAGATGAGTGAAGGTTTGTAAATACTATCTACTAAAGATACCTACTCGGAGTATAATAACTCCACACATAGCTAGATATCCTGCATAAAGAAAATCAGCAAGTCAAATCACGCACATTGAGACTTTCATTTGAAGTACAAACACCCTTGGCTTCCTATTTTCTCTAGCACCTTTCCCTCCCGAGGTCACCAATGTTGAAAACAACTTTCAGTCACCATTAAACCTAATTATTTTCAAACCATCAATATATCCGCATCGAGCTTCATCTATATATCTCCCTCCATCCCTCTCTCCTCAAATATACCTACCCTCACTCAGAAATTCCCCCTCTCCCTCCACATTCCTCCAATTCTCAACCTATCTACCCATCTACCCATCAACACCTACCTTCTATATCCTACTAGCCCCTCATCACAACCCACCCACCATTCCCACCATTTCCCCCCCCCACCCCCCAAACCCCAATTTTTTCCAACCGTATTAGTAATATCTCTAGAGTCTAATCCCACTAATGTCACTAATAATCCACTTTATAATTACCTAGGTAGGTTTAACTTTCTTGTCGTACCTACCTAGGTAGTTGATGAGATTTTAATTTGCATGTATGTGTGTGATTGTGTGTGATTGTCTTGGGTTAAGATCTTATATAATTATGACTTTTGCATATAGGTATGTAATATACGAAAGAGATAGAGATTATGAACTTATGATATAGTAAAACTGAGTAATTATGTATAATTAGGGGTAATGATTCGAAAGATATTGCGAGTCAGAAGATCACCATATAAAGATCTGAAGAGTATATTTGGCTGGAGAATGGAGTAGATGGAATTCAATATTGCATTTTATAATTCAATGTACTCTCCATGGGCCTGGGCACTTCATTTAAAGTTCGAGAACCGCATTGGGACATTGAAACTAGGCATCTAAGAGATTCAAAGCTATGTTTCTCCAGTTTTTGAGACAAAGTCTTTGGAATTGACCCCCACCTTTCCCCACACGAAGGTTTGCAGAACCTGATCCTCGAGGAGATGCTGCAGGAAAATAGGTCTGAGGACTTCTTTCGACCGTGGAAAATGTCTAAGAGCGAGCTGCAATATTGTGATTGCTTTGCCTGCTACGTGTTCATCAGATGGTGGAGTGTTGTAGTTCGTCCGTAGGTCGTAGATTGTTTGATAAATGAATTCGAGCTCAGAGCCGCCTTCCACTTCGAAAAAGGGATATCCCATTTGTTCCTTTGATGCAGAGCTTGGCGACAGCAATAGCGACACATCCATCATCGAAAGAGTAGTAATTGAGAAGTTCGACCCATTTTTGAAATCAGCCCCATCAAAGCCCAGTACCATCTCATAAGCGAACACCCCTAGCACTCAAGAGTACCTGTCTTTCACACTAGCCTACTTGCCGAAGACTAATCACTTTAGTTGCAAAAAATCTCGGATTGTACACAAATGACACTTCTGTGCACTCGAGAGAGTCTTTCAGGGCATCTTCTGGTGAGATCTTAGTATTTGTTTCCTTAAAAATCCTCAGTGCCTGTTAGTAAGTCTCGATAGTATGACGTGTAATCTTGACTTACAACTCGCCGAGCCGATTCACATTAGCGATTTTCCAAAATTGACCCAGCAAATGTCGTTAGCCCGATTCTGGCAATTGACATTAACTGGTTAGGTAATGTGACATAGGACACGATCTTATTCTTGGAAGAAGTTGGAAAGTCGAGACAATTCATGCTGGTATTGGTGGATTGTGACTGAAGCTAGGAGAACTCGCGATCCAATGGCTTAAAACATTCCTACAGCTTGTGAATAAGCACTGTCCCTCATCACACTGAAACTCAAGATGATTTCCAGGACGCTCTGAACATTCTAATTCAAGGGATATTGCCAGCATTCTTGCACCTTCTTTCAATATCTGTAGACCTCAACAAGCTTCGTAAACTTCCTTCCGCATGTGATCCACTCCTAGCCCTACCCTGAAATGATCGTACTGGGCTGGGTGGTTTACTCCAGGGCAACCATGAACTTAGATTACTGAGTATGGACGATCTCGGCGAAGTCTCAGGTCTTAAAGTAGAAGCTATTGACTCATTGCGTATCAAGGTAGGCTTTGGTAATGTCATCTCATGGAAAGTGGAAGGTCGGGTGGGCGTAAATTTATCAAAGGCAGGCATATGTTCAAGATCCGCAGCTGATGTCTGAGGTCGAGCAGGTTCGCTAACAAGAAAGGTGGGAGATGCAACTTGTGGTTTATGTTCCTGTTTGAAGCCTTGAGCATTGTCTATAATCATTGATGCAAATGTGGCAGATTTGGACCGGGCGTGCTTGGGTGGAGGTTGCCTTTCAGAAATTGTTACCGGGGCGGCAGAGTCTCCTATCACTTCGGAACTTGAAGGTGATATTTCAACCTCCTTGTTCACTGCTCTGCCACGCACCTCGTCTTCCAGGACAGCGGCGGGCTTTTTCCTGGATTTATCCTCATCAGAAGATCTTGACGATGACATAATAGTTTCTAGTGTACCATAAGCGATAGATTTCCCTCTTCGACTTCCTCTTGAGCTTCGTGCAAAATGTCTTGTAGGAATTTCATCCGGCTCAACGGCTTGTAATGTTGATACGCCCAAATCTAGTCTTGAAGTAGTGCCAATTTGTGGTATGCGATCTCCAGAACCATGAGGGGGATGATGAAATTCGTGTTGATTTGCCAAACTATACTTGCTCCTAGCACATATCTCTGCGATCCTTTCTAAATCCTCACTCACACCATGTCTTATATCGTCCATGATTCCCTTGAAGCTAAAAGCTTCCACTGGTGGAAGTTTCATATCCATTTTAATTGATGCTATGCCCGCTGTTCCATTCTGCTTTTTGAGAGCGATAGGATCCCGTTGTTGAGAGCGAGGTCGAGCGGCTCCCGAATAAGTCCGCACAATCACCGGTTGATTGAATGTTTCTCCGGTAGATTTGGCATAACTATGATGAGATTGATTTGCACCGTTGAGAGAGCGAAGGGCAGCAAGACGATGTGCGACCTTTGCCTCGTCTAGGATATGTTCACCACGAGCAGCCTCTTCAGATTCCACAAGACTTGCAGTTGAAGTGTTAGAAGTCCATAAAGCTGGTGACAGAAAATGAAGTGGAAGTGAATGACGTCTATTATTTTTGTTATTTTTGCTATTTTTATCGGGGTTTGAATTCAGATGATTATTTTGATTGAAGCTGGAATTTGAATTGTGTTGATTTGAGGAAGTTTTTGAAGTGGTGTGAGGTCGCATGTGAGGGGTTGATGCATCTCGCACAATTAATGATGTTCCAGTGGTTGTCATGATGTGGATACCTCCCTCTCTTCAATCTCTCTCAGGATTGGAAAAGGCAAGACATTGCGTTGCTGTTGTTGTGGTTTTGGTTTATTCCTTTTGTCCTTTAATTTCAATTCGCATGGATTACCAGCATTAAGGGAAGTGGGAAGTATGTGAAAAAGAAGCAATTGCTGCATTTACATGGGCATTTATTCGTATGAATATATGAAATAGGAGATTCAATACTGTGTTGTGTTGTCAAATACTCTTTCTCAAATTGTGCAATTTTCGTGGCAGTCCCCCAATGGTTCACCGGTTTTCTTTTATCAGAGCCAGTCAAGTCGAGTTCCAGGGTTTTCTAGGTGCTGGTGGCTTGTTTGCGGTGAAGGATCAGAAAGGAGAGAGATAAAAGAATGCAATTATTGGTTGATGTTGATCTGAGTGTAAGCAGACAAGAGTGCTTGTGTAGCAGGAGACTCGGGCTTGTGTGCGGTGAAGGCTAGAGAGAAGGAAGATATGATAACAAGGTTTGGTGGGTTGATAATAAGATCTTGTGATATTTCGGAGTACATACTACCGGTAAACGGTACGGAACACCTAATCAACACTAAAAGCCCATTCTGAACACCGGGCATGCCTGTATTCGAGCCGTGCCTTTCTTCCCGTTCAGCGCTAAATTAAATTACAACCTTAAGACCCCGCAAAATTGGCATTCAACAAATCCCCACCTTCTCAACCTTCCCAATCTCACAATCCAATCTCACAATTTCTCTTATCAACAACCGGCCATCTATCATCGCATCGATTTCGACATTGTTGATGAGAACCACTAACTTTTCACAAGACTATTGCATTATATCGCCGACATTTTGAATAATAACACTTCCCAGAGCACAATGACAAAATCACCAAATCCCGACAACATCGATAGAGGCTCCAAAGATAATCAATCACATTCCGATAACCCCTTCATTCGTTTCAGACACTTCGCCGATGAGCACGTCAGTTCAATTCTTCAAGGCTTCATTGGACTGCCATCTGCATTTGCCAAGCCTGAAAGTCATTCGCAGTGGTCCGTATTCGATGAGGATTTAAGAAGAAGAGATGAATTACAAGCAAGGCGAAGGGAATTGAAGGAGGCCGGAGAGGCAAGAAGTGAGAAAAGAACGGCATCGGAGAATGATGAAGTCCAAATACCGGTGAAGAAATCACAAACCTCTCATAACCGAATGGATCTTGATCACTTCTCTCCTGACCGGACGATGAATCTTTTCAGATCTTACGATATTCCACTCTATTCGCCCGTGCATTCGCCATTAGCCGCTCCTTTCCCTGATAACCTCAGGCATACTATGAGCTCTTTCGCTGCTATGATCTTGTACAGAGCCGATGCAAATGATATTTCACTAATGCCTTATCTTCTTTGCTCGCCATATTCGCCCCTAATTCTATCCGTTGGTCAATCTATTCTTGCGCATAATAGAATATATGATGCGCGAGGTAGAATGTGCGGTGCGACTCATGGGGCTGCTCCTCGAGACGATTTCCCTTATTGCGAAGCATTTGAAGACCTACTCCTTACCAGCCGAGGGAAAAGTCGGCACATAGAAGATCCATCCAAATACCTCAACTCAAAAGCCGGTTCAGAACCGAGAAGTATTAGTTCAACAGTAGAGAGTGGATTGAATTGGATTGAACGGCTTCGAGCATTGGGCATACTTCATCTGCGCAGTTCGGATTTAAACGATACTTCCAATGAGTCTCGCCTGTTTGAACAGGAAAGGGACCCTAGCAATCAGGATTCAAGTCCATCTATCGCCTGGGTCAAACGATTGGCGAAGGATGCAGAGACCGAGGAACAAATGTACGAGAGTTTCCTCACCGATGCGTCTACAACGCCTGATCAATTCTTAACTAAAGTTGAGTCCACCCTCACTGCCGTGGAAAGATTAATGAAGAGCAAGAGTATTCCATTCGAAGAAGCTCGTGCAGCAGCTTTCCCGGACGTGCAAGGGGTACATACGAGTGAGAAGTCAATATCACAAACAACGGAACCAAAGCGAGAAGTATCTTCAAGCTCAACCGTCGAACATTACACCAATGAAGATGGAAGTGTAGAAACAACAATTCGTGTATGGAAAAGATTTGACGATGGAACTGAAACAGAAACAACGTCTAGCCATACAGTTGACAAAGCAACCCGACTTCGCGAACTCGCTAGTGCTGGTTTCCATCACGAGTCAAAGCAACGGGAAGTGGAGACTGATGATCAGGACGACAAGTCACGAACCAAGAACAATGCAAAACCAGGTTGGTTTTGGAATTGAATGGCTGGACGTTTGTATGTTTTGGGTTTGTATATTATAGGTAGGACAGGCATTTGGAGTTCGGTGATTGGATAAGAATGCAAACCTTTCGATTCGCAATAGAGTATGCTACATTCGTCAATTACTTTTATAAATACCAAGCTTGGCCGGCAGATGTTGACTAAATTTGTGGCACTCGTTTGATTTTCATTACGGAATGCTGAAGAATAATTGGGGCGGAGAATTTAAGGCGCATGACCCCATATTTGCTTCTCCATGGGGAACATTTCCCCTGTTTTTCATTCAATGATGCAAGTTCTTCAAACCTAATTCTAACTCCTACTATAATAAACAATTAAATCCATGGCTCGCTCTTTTCAAATACTTCTCTCCATGTCAAAAGTTTGTCAGATTAGCCAGTTCACATCTCGGAAAAGAAAAATTACAAACATCAGCGCTCATCCAAAGTCAAAAAGATGCCGGCGATCATATCAAGCGATAATTATTCAGTTGAATCTAAAGCCCTGTGGACTAGGTATGGTTTTGAAACCTATTGTCGTTTAGTCTAATTTCACTGATGAAATTAGGATGATGGAAGCAAATGAATATAGTGATTTCATTATTAAATGTCACTCAAGGACATTTCATGTCCATCGAATTGTCGTTTGCACGCAATCGAAACCAATACAGGCTGCAGCAAATGGAAATTTCCTGGTTAGCTCCTATTTCTTTATCTCTTCGACCAACTCAACTGACAGTTGAAAAATGCATACCTTGCTCAATCATTGCTGAGACTAGTACAGGAATCTGTTACTGGCGTTCTAGACCTAGTGGATGATGACCCCGGCACTGTCGAAAGAATGATCAACTTCTTTTACCTCCAAGATTATGACGATTCCGAGACGATTGAAGAAGCTAAGGAAGGTTATGGACGTCTTTTAATCAACACAATGGTGTATATTATTGGCGACAAATACGATATCCAAGGCCTCAAAACCCTCGCAAAAAGAAAGTATGAGGCAGCCATAGATACGGAGTGGAATACCCCTTCTTTCTCGGCCAGTTTAGAGCTTATGTACGAAGAGCTCCCAGAGAGTGATATGTGTCTTACGTCGCTTGCCCTTCAAACTGCAAGCAAGCATGTGAAGGAACTCAAAGATAAAGAGGAATTCACTAGTCTGTGCAAAAATAATCCTGCAATTGCCTACGACCTGTTCACGACGGCTGCCTCGCAATCTTCTGCAACCATCTGCCAACCTAAGGTGCATAAGGAAACCACAGAACATTGTCCCAAAGGCCATAGTTTCACACATCTTAAAGATATACATGCGATGTATGATTCGAACTTGGGGAAATGGAAGGTGAAATGTCCAAATTGTGCCATGCAGAAGGTATGTTATAAAGTTGATGGTTCGTGTGATCTAGAGGCGAGGTGGGATGGGGATGGGGTTGGTTATTGGTATTTATGAGTATTAGTTTGACGACGGGTTTATAATTTTGTAAATGCAGGGTATTTGTTGGTTTAGTTCCTGCTTTGGATTAGCTAGGTGTTTATGGTTGGATATATTGTGGCATCTGGGATGGAGCAATCAGTTTTTGTATACTCTGGGGTATGGCAAGGTTTAACTGGGATGGATACATAGAGAGATTTATTAATGATACAGATAATTTTGTTTTTGAACAGTATGTTTATTGCAGATGCTTAGATTAGTATACTGTGGTAATTCCCTAGTGAGTTTGGTATAATATATATATATATATCTTAATCTATATCCTACTACTATATTTTGAATTGTATATGATGATTTGAGGATGTTTTGGGGGTCTTTTTTGGGGGGTCTTTTTGAGGGGTAGGGCAGGGGGGGGGGGGGGCGGGGGTAGTTAGGGATGTGGATGTGATGATTTGTGGAGGTTGATGGGAGGGGAAGGAAAAGGTAAAGGAAGGAAAGAGGGACGGGAAGGACAAAGGAAAGAGGAGAGGGAAGAGGGAAGGGAAGAAGAGGAGAAAGATGAGAGTATTGGTATGTTGATACTCCTTTTAATACTATTCCTTTCCTTTAGCCAGCAAGTCTGAATAGGTATTTAAGGTGAGGAGAGTATACATAGATATTTCGTTAATCTATTCTGTTGACGTACATACAGACTTATCAAATAAATACTACAGCTAAGAATACAATAATCCCGAGCTTAATAAAGAGCGCATGCTTATTTGTTACTTCAAACATGCCCTCAGATGTGTGTGAACAAAAAAGTAAATGTAAGCTTTCCTGTAAATCCGCATGGAAAATGAGCTTTAAATGAGATGTACAACCACGACCAAAAAAGAAAGAAATTAAAACATATGGGAAATGCAAATCAAAAATACATGACGTAAAGAAACTAAAAACTGGACAGACATCAGGAATGAGATACTTTGCTTGCCACTAAACAAGAGCCTCATAATTCATGATCAACCGACCTCGAAAATAACCACGTACTATGTAAGATTACATAGGTACTAAATACTTATTGAGGTCATTGTGACTCACATACATCATATCGTACGTATATATCCATCCATCCATTCGTTCATCCATTCTGCATATGCATATATGTACTCCGCCTCTTATAAGCAATCCCCACTCTCTGCTCTGCATTCGATTCTCAGGCTAGAATCCTTCATTTGTACGGAGTACGTGGGCATTGATTGAATCCTTCTCCCCACATTTTTTTATTCAGAATTCTGTGAGGTTATCGATGTCGTCTATATGATAAATCCTCTTTGCTATCTATCTCTCTATCTCTCATATATCGGATATATCTATCAAATACATCAATATAAATACCTAGGTAAGTCAGGTTAGATAGGTATACAAAAACTAAATACTCGAGCACCATCTATACATACAACTATAAATCTTTCACCCTCCTCTCTCTCCAAAAATGAGGCTGAGAATATGAAACCAGAGGCGCCAATTATTGCATTAATATTAGATCTTTATTTAACAACTTACAGCTACCCTGTTCTTCCAGTACTTATCCCCGCCTCACCAAATTAGTTTCGCATCCATTTGACATAAATTAAAGAGTCCCACCAGTTGAGTTGCGTGCATATTAGGTATTTATTTATTGAGTACCTGTTGAGGGCCTCTCTTTGATACCTAGGTAACTGGAGGCGATCGTTGGAATATTTTAGGGTTTTGGGTTTTAAGTTTGGGTGGATGTTTATTTAGGTATGATAGGTATGATATGATGCATGTGATAGGACATTAGGTATCTATCCACTTCTACGATGAAATGATAACCTTGTTTGTAGTGGTCGAAATGCTACGAGACCGAACAAGCAAAAGTGGCGTAATCCGCAGATTCCGCAAAATCAATTCACAACATATGATGCAGAGTACCAATATTCCTATCCAAGAAACCCAATTCAAGACCGCTCAGCCTTGACTCACCCGGCACGCAAGAAAATCAACCATCCAACTAACCATCCAGTGAATACCTGGGTATAGGTTCATGATAGGATGAGATGATTTCTTGCGGAGTATCACTTTGCAGCATTGCGACGCCCATAGCCTCGTTATGCATATTTTAGGGTCGTTGATGCTGCTTGATTGGATTGTGCTGCCTATCTGACTTGCATTTTGTATTTTGGGACTAAGGCGCTCCGTATGAGCCTGTGGAGGCCTTCTTTATCTTCCCTTTCTTCTGAGGATATATTAAGTATGGTTGTGGAAGGAGGAAAGAAAAGCATTTTTTCTTGGTGAATGAATGTTATGAATTGGATTGACTGGTTTTCTTTTTCTTTTTGCTTATATATGGATTGAAAGTTAATTGAAGGAAGCAAGATTTATCATTGAATTGAATAGATTCAGTCGAAGTTGAGTGAAATTAGATTTAGTTGCATTTCATGTTGCACACGCGTTATTGAATTGAATCAAATCGGGCGTTACAATCAATCTATTCTATCGTTTACATTACCACATACGTACCCCGATACAACCTCAAATCCTCATCTTTTACTTTCACAAGGCAAGGAACATAAGAAGTCTTCGAAATCAACATCTTCGAAAATGCCGCCAGAATCCAAAAGTACCTGCACCTCCTGCAATAATACGACGGCAAATTGTCAGAGTATTCTGAAGCAAGTGATACTTTCTCTTGAAAATGCATCCGAGGTTTATCGGAAATTGGTTCCTTTTGTGAGGAGATCTCATGAGAGATATTTGCTGGGCGATGATGTATATGTGGTGGAGGGGCAGTTGAGGAGGGCGTTGAAGAGGCTGGGTGAAGTTGATATTACTTCGGAGGATGGGGGAAGGATATTAAGTGAATTGGTTGGCCGAGATGGAAGTGCCAGGTTAGGAGATTTACCTCTTTTTAAAGTGGCTAAGGATGAGAAGGAGAAAATCGATGGGACGGAAGGATTGAAAAGAGAGACTAGAACGAGTTTTTCGATATTGAATCTTGACACTATGTTTTCGGACATCAAGATTCCATTTGTGGATTCAGCGGTAGAACTTAGGAGTTCGGGGATGATTGATCAAGTTCTATTGGATGATGATATCATGGTTTTTGTGGAGGAAGGTTGTGAGCAAGAGGACATTGACACAGAAAGGTATATGGAATTAGCACCTGTGCCAACTCACATCACCCCTGAATATCCTTACCTTCTGAAGGCCATTCGTTTATGGTTAGAAGGATTCTTCGACACGAAGGAAGATTCTCTAGGTATTCCAGAGTCTATGGTTAGTCAGCTTGCTGGATTTGAGAAAGACTTTGGACTCGATAGATTACCAACAACAAGCTGTGTATGGAACCCCGATTACCAAAGACAGCGGAACGAAGTATGGACGACAGTGTCATTCTGGGGACCAAATCAACGGCCCAAATGCATATGTGAACCTGAGGACCTTAATGGGGACGGGTCTTATCATACAAATCATTGGAAGGATCCTTATTGTCCGATGAACATGCCGATAGATTTGGATTCACCTTCAGTGAAGTATGCATGGAATTACTCGACACGGCGATGGATTTATCATAGGGGCCCTGGAGCAATAATAGGGCCACCACCTCCTCCACCACCTAATTTCCCAAGACATGACGATAATGCATCTGATTCAGGCTCAGATATGGATTCAGAGACGGATGAACAAGCCGCTGAGAGAATTCAGCGATTAAAAAAAGAGAGAGCAGAAGAAGCAGAAAAGGCTTGGGAAGAAATCATGGGTATGACTGGTTTGAGGGGGGTGAAGGAGCACGTGCGGAAGTTAAAAGCTAAGGTTGAAAGTTCGATTCGGCAGAATATCGATTTGAAAGAGGAGAGGTTTGGTGCAGTTTTTATGGGTAATTCGGGCACTGGAAAGACCACCATGGCCAAAATTTATGCCAAATACCTCTATTCCATGGGCATCATTCAACGGGATGAAGTAATTGAAACAACAGGGACTTATCTCTCTGACGGTGGCATTGAAAGGACAAAACGATATATTGATAGACTAGCTAGTGGTGGTGTGATGTTTATCGATGATGCAATGACGCTGGACGATTATAGCAACGGTACCAAGATTCTCGATTTCCTCTTCCAGGAAATTGATCACATGAAAGGATCTGTAGTTTTCATTCTTGCCGGACATGAAAAAGGAATGCGGAAACTATTAGGTCATGGAACAAAGAGTGTCACCAGCTTGCTTCCCAACGTTCTTACCTTTGACGATTTTTCGGAGTCAGAATTACTTGAAATCCTAAGCTCATGTATCAAGAAGAAATTTGACGGGAAAATGGAAGTTGAGGGTGGATATGATGGGCTTTATATGCGAATTGCCGCAAAGAGGGTGAGTAGAACGAGAGGCGGCTCCCAATTTGGTAATGCCAGAGCTGTGGAGAATCTCGTTGCTCAAATTTGGGAGAGACAGTCTGCTAGATTGTCTAAGGTTCGGAAAGAAAGGGCTACCAAAGCCGCTGAAGACGAAGCTAAAAAAAAGAAACTGGACGAAGAGAGGGTCGCAAAAGAGAGCGATATTCGCGAGCAGAAGACTGGAGACGACACGAATGACAAACCCCTGGAAGAAGAAAAATCTGGCCTAGAGCAGAATTCTGGTATAGCAAAGAATAACGCACAGGTAGCTGGCCAAGGAGACAAGATAGAAGCGACAAATGATTCGAGTATTTTTGTTGTAAAAGAAAACCCCGATACATCTAAAGATGGAAAGACAAGCAAGAGCGGAGAGATGACGGAAGCAACAGGAAAATTACTTCGTGAGAAATTGTCAATGAATGATCATAGTGAAGCAGAAGTTTTGGAACTTCCGGCGCAGGGCATTTTAGCGAGTGAAAAAAAGACGAAAGAGAAATCCATTGTTGTGGTTTTAGAACCAGCAGATCTAGAGTCGCCTGAAATTATTGCAGAATCAAACTCTGTAGAAGAAATAAAATCAGAGGAGCCAAAGCCAGACGAAGACACTACATTGTTGGCCAAGACAGAAGTCGTGGTAGATGAGACAGCACCGATAGAGGAAACAGTGCCGACGAGCACTGAAACTGATGGGCAGTTCAAACAAGTAGATGAGGAATCTTTAAAGGTCGAAAATTGCACCGAGGATGAAGCTGAAAAGAACGAGACACCTGAGGGAGATAAATCGTCAGCTGAAGCACAGGAATCACCCGAGAAAGGTTCGGATGCTCCATCTGACACAGAAGAAATGCCAAAAATAGACCCGGAAGACCTTCTATTTACAAAAGAAGATATACTCGGTCCTGATCCCTCTACTGCTATTTTAAACAGCGAGGCTTGGCAAGAACTGCAAAAACTGATTGGTTTAGAAAAGGTTAAAACATCTCTGCTTACACTCCTCGAGCTTGTTAAGACAAACTATCAACGAGAGCTAGAAGAAAAACCTCTGCATCAATTCACCCTCAACCGCTTATTCTTGGGACCAGCTGGAACTGGTAAAACCGTGGTTGCGAAGTTGTACGCTAAGATTCTTGGCGAGATTGGTGTTCTTTCGAAGGGCGAGGTGATTTTCCGAAATCCAAGTGATTTGATCGGACAGTATATCGGAGACTCGGAAGCTAATACTAAAGCTGCGCTTAATGCTGCCCGGGGCAACGTGTTGGTCATCGATGAAGCATACATGATGTATAGTGGAAATTCTGATGGCACCGGTAATGAGAGCGACTCGTTCAGACAAGGAGTGATTGATACTCTGGTCGCTGAAGTACAAGGAAATCCTGGTGAGGATCGGTGTGTTCTGTTGCTAGGATATAAAGAACCAATGCTAGAGATGCTCAATCACTCGAATCCTGGTTTGAGTCGAAGGTTCCCTGTCGAAAATGCATTTTCATTTGAGAATTTTTCTATTGATGAATTGGAAAAAATACTTCGCTCCAAATTAGAACACCATGTTCTTGAAGCCACAGAAGAAGCTATCAAGGTTGCGATGGATGTTCTTCAAAAAGCAAGCACTAGATTGAATTTTGGAAATGGTGGAGAAGTAGAAAACTTGATTGCTTCTGCTAGAACCAACTACCAGCTGAGGATGTCAAAAATTCCAGTAGAAGAAAGGTCTGCTAAATGGGTATTCCAGCCAGAAGATTTTGACCCCGAATATGATAGGGGTAGGTCGGCAAATGCCAACCTTCAGAAACTTTTCAGCGACGTCATTGGGTGTGAGAATATTGTTAAACAACTGGGACAATACCAAAACGTCTGTCAGGCCATGAAAGCAAGAAATATAGATCCGAGACAGTATATCCCGACAAATTTCGTCTTCAAAGGACCACCGGGTAAGATATATGGACCTTATGGTAACGTAGAACAACCAGTACTAATAATTGTGTCCCTAGGAACTGGCAAGACAACTACAGCACGCAAGTTTGCAAAGGTATATTATGACATGGGATTTCTCTCCGACGAAACAGTAATCGAATGCTCAGCCAGCGACCTCATCGGAAAATACGTCGGACATTCCGGACCAAAAACAGCCAAAGTTCTAGAAAAAGCCCTAGGAAAAGTCTTATTTATCGACGAAGCCTACCGTCTAGCTCCCCACACCGAAAACTACAGTTTCACATCCGAAGTAGTATCCGAGCTCGTCGACCTCCTAACCAAACCCAAATTCCACGGAAATCTAATCGTCATCCTCGCCGGCTACGAAGACGAAATAAATTCCCTCCTAGCCGCAAACTCCGGTCTCGCATCCCGTTTCCCAGACGAAATGAATTTCCCCGCTCTAACTCCTCTCCATTGTCTCCAAATACTAGAAATAAAATTACAGCTTGCGGGAATCGCTATTCCCATTCTAAAACATACGCAGCAGAGGGAATATGAACATTTGCTGCGATTAATGACGTTGCTTACTGCAACGCATGGTTGGGGGAATGCGAGGGATGTGGATACGTTGGCGAAAGGGATTTGTAGGTCTGTGTTTTTGGATATGCAAATGCTGGATCAGGGTGAGGATGAGGGGGACTTGGTTTGTAAGACCGAGGTTGCGACGTTGGCTGTGGAGGTTATGTTGCTTGAGAGGAGGAGGAGGGCTTATATGGTGGTGGCGCCGCCGAGGTATGAATAGGCGTTTGGATTTGGATGAATGGGAATGGGAATTGGGAGGGAAGAGGGAAGCTGAGCTTGTGGTGTGAAGGGACTGGGTATTTGGAGTCTTGGGGGGGAATGAATAATTGGTGCTATATGGTTATATGGTGTGGATATAAGAGTATGAATACATAATAACTAAGAATATTCTAAATTTCAAACTCTTGTTTTTCATGACGTCATCACCTCATCACTTGGATCGCTAACTGCTAACTGCTAGTTGAGGCCCAGAGCATAAAGACTAAATATGAATATAATAAACAAAATTCTTCACGCAAAAAATGTAGCATATATATACCACAGTACTAGACAAATAATATTACCGTCCCGAGCGCACTTAATTCCGAAAAGAGGAAGTAGGTAAGATCTTACGAGGGTATTGACCTAGTTCTATAATTACTCAGGAGATCAGAAAAATTTATTAAATCTCCATGTTATATGCATATGTATATGTATATGCGGATTTATTTAAGTCTTACGAAAGAGGATTGTAGTAGTGGTAATATGATATGATATGAAATGTTTTGGAGGTGTAGTGTATATTTGTAACATTCCCTAACAAGGGGTGTTGGGAGAAGAAGATACTTTTATAAGTCTAGCGTAAAGTAAAGAAGAAGAAACAGAGTCTTTCACAAGTCTCTAAAGCTGATACTAGTAGTAACCGGGGGTTCGGGGGCTATAATAATATTTTAAGCGATCCCATATACACTCCTAAACAGGATAACATTATTAAGCACCGCTCATATCTCGATGGAGAAGCGCTAGAGTTCATCATTATCGATATCGAGAATGTTTGTCCGCTTTTTTATTTGTAATTGGCGGAGATTTGATTGGATAGTGAGTGATATAGTGATATAGGGTATATATTCGTGTGTATGTATAATTCATGTGTATGTATATATACTGGTGTGGTTTATTGGGGGTTCAAGGGTTGTGCTTAGAGTTTTGATGGTTTAGAAGGTTCTCTATGGGGTCTGACTGTGAGTGTGAGAGGGAGGGAAGGCGGGAGGGAATATGACGAGTGAATATTGTGTGTGTGATTTTAAATTGGGATAAGGTTGAAAGAAAGGGGACTTTTTGGTTGGATGTCAAACTTTAGTACAATTTTGAGAGTCGTTTTGTGAAGAGCTTGTTTTGCGTTCATTATCCTTCTCATCTGAAAAAAAGTTTTCCTGTCCCCTTTCTAATATAGAGGAACTTCTCCAGACACTTGGAGTTCGGCGCAGAAAAATATCCTGTTTTTCGTAGATTAAGACGATAGAGTTGATAGTGGTAAAGGTGGGCATGAGTCAGTATAGTCGATGGGCCGGTGGGTGGTTAGCCGTAAGAATTCTGGAATTTACTCATTGCATACCCTTTTAATTCATATCAAAATCTGTTGGAAAATTATACCTTTTTATATAAGAATAAATATTGAATGACTTTTTCAATATTGGATCACTAACTATAGCGGCTTCATCATAGAGAATACAATATATGATTCTATCTTGATAAAAGACTCAAACATTGTGATATAACGAGCGGAAATAGAGGAAGATGACAAGGTAAGTCACATTACGCTAGACGTGAAGTTCCTAATACGGCTTAATTATAGGGTTGATTTTGCTTGGAAAAGAGTGAATATAATCCAGTCTAGAAAATGAACGAAAGGCACTGGAACTCGCTTGTATTAAAACCTATAAGTTCTGTCAAATCTACCAGGACTAAGAATCATCAATAACAAACAAACACAACATTGCGAATAGCATTACGTGTTCAGAAAACGTCATTTCTTTTACAGACCCATTCAAGCAAATCTGTTCTGGAGGGGCATCTAATCCGTCTCAGCAGGCGTATCCGAAGTTTATCTCGCAGTAAGTATGGTGTCCTGTTCATGGAATAAAATAACATTGAACACTCACAGGTTATATTCTATCGGTAAATACTCAGATCTCATCATTAAATGTCAAGGAAAGGAATTCAAGGTTCATCGAGCAATTGTTTGCCCTCAATCAAAGCCTCTTGCTGCGGCTATGGACCATGGGTTTGAGGTAATTTTTATGCAAAATGCTGATACGTTTTTCGCTTGTGCTGATGACACGTTTTAGGAAGCTACTACTGGCGTCATAACTTCGAGGAATACGAGCCGGAGATTGTAGAATATATGATCAAGTTTCTTTATGATGGTACCTACAAGGTATTCGCACGAATGAACAAACTTACTGCACCTGAGATGACGCAAAACGCAACATCATCGGCCGAATCATATGCTTCATCATTCGGCGAGCCGTCAAACAAATCTCCTCCACCACGCTTGCATGCCCAATCAAGTGCGAATACTATGGCGGGTGGTCCGGGGGGACTTTTCGGACAGGGTGCTGACATGTCTTCAAGCTCCAATGGCGCTTCCATATTCGCACCTACGGATGCCCCCGGAGATACAAGGGGCAACGTATTCGACTTGACACCAGCAATTTTTGATCCACATCGCGAATTTTATCCTACTAACACTTTTGCAGCCGCAGCTGGATCTGTAGCATCAATATCAAACAGCTACAGTTATGTGTGGGGTGGAAATATAGACACGGGAAACTTTCCAGTTCAAGGCTCAGAAAGCAGGTATGGTTGGTTAGGTACTGGTTTGAGTTCCATCAAGTTTTCTGCGGTGGATTTGATCAAGTATGCAAAGGTATACATACTGGCCGAGAAATATGACATCCAACCATTAAAGACACTTGCTCGTGAGACATACTTCACTATCTTGAAGACTTGCTGGTACTCTTCTTATTTTGTGGAAAGTATCGAAATTATCTTTGATGGTACACCGGAGATTTCTGGAGGAGATTGTCTTCGGAACTCCATCGTGGAGACTGCTAGTAGGCATGTGAAACAACTTCTGGCGAGAAAGGACTTCACCCAATTGTGCCAGGAGAGGGGGGATATTGCCACTTCCATTCTTCAATCGGTTGTGATGTGATGGAATTTACGGATGGTGGTTGGCATGGCTTTATTATATGGGCTGAATGTTTATATGATTAGGTATTATAATGAGAACCTGTTTTCTTCTATAGCGGTAAATAACATAGCCGCAGATGAATCAATCACCAGTGCAATTACATTCTATGTCTACATAATGAAGCTAATATAAAGTCAGCAACATGAAGACACAGATGTTTTTTTTTCCCAAGAACAAATAGCATGCTTTGATGCAAAATAAAGATTAAGAGTTCCGGAAGAACCAAATCCATGCATTGATGAAATATTGACACGGCCTGCTTTGATGCCAACGAAATGATATTTGGTCTATATCAGCAGCTATGAACTTCATCGAGCAGCAAGGTTTCAGGCCAGGCTTAGGCAAGTCAAGCGATTCAATTCCTCTACACTAACTAACTTATAAGACTTTACCAAACAGGAAAATACCATAATATCGTACTGAGATATAGACACAAGGCTCTATTTGCACATAGCGCAGTCTGATATGTTGTATCACCTGGCTTCAGCAAAGTTCTTTCACGTCACACATCTTCCTTCCACTTGTGCAGGCCAGCATCAGCATGCTAGAAAGAAGACCAATATTTATCGAAACGGATTTCTTCTTTGCAAAAAACATGGCGGAACTCATAAACAGACATGTCGATGAGCGTGAGAGGTTTGGAGCAGCTTGCTAGAAATAATGGTTGGAGACCCCGAGGCTCGTGAACAGAGGGCAATCACCCGTCATCATAGTATGCATTTTCCTGGGCTGTTGGAATGGGGACTTTAAAGTTGCACGGGACGTTGGAACACTACATTGACATTAGTATGACTAACTATAGACTGCAAATTCCGCTTCCTCTCGTCCACAAATGGCAAATAGTTTCAGAAATTGATGGACATGGCAATAAGTTGCGATCTTTGACGGTTAGGGAGAGTTTGCTTGATCTCATCATGCAGTGATTACAAGCAAATACATTGGCTAATTTTTCTCTCATTCGGATATGAAACGAGCGCTTGCTTCCAGACAGACCATCTTGGCAACCCATCAAAATACAGTGTCCCACCAGTTAAGAGCGTGATTCCTTCCTTTGGTACTCAGTATGAATACTGACCCCCTGTTCCAGGTCTTGGCAAAGACCAAAGGTAATGGGTACAACACGAAATCCTTATGTTCTGATAATATGACAATAATGTACAAGTGCTATCTTGTTTCATCAAGTCAATGCATGATATTTAACCTCTCTTGCGCCGTTCACTTCTTTCCCTTTGTCTTCTTCTTGCTAGTTTGCCTCCTCTCACCCTCGGGTCTTCCTAGTACACCTCTCGTTCTCTGGTATTGCAAGACAATATTCTGCACACTACCCATATCATGCTTGGGCTTCCTCATGTATGTCAATCTTGCTCTCCTAGCCCTCTTAGCCTTCCTCTGTACCACCTCAATACCTTCCACATTTGGACTATATATCTTATACCACATCTCAACACCAACTCTCGTCAACTCATTCCTAAGTAAGATACCCGTCTCCACGCCTCGTCTTCGGATATTGATGCATACTCCAGCAAAAGGGTCGCCTGTTTTAAGACGTACGAGAAGAATATCGCCAACTCTGGCTGCTTCTGGGTTTGTTTTGGAGAATAGGTTGGTGCGGGCACCAGTCGGATCGAGGACCGCTATTTGCTCGGCGTGAAGGTTTTTTATGGGTTCTTTGTATTGCTGGGCTGGAGATGATGGTGGAGGGTAGGTTTTGATCTTTCGGACAGCTGTTCAAGGTATCAGTACATGAAGAGTGTCAATTGTAGAAATCGATGGAGGACCGACCTTGAGTCTGAAGAGGGGTCTGCGAGGCCGGCTTCGAGTGGTGATATGTGCTCAACGACCTCGAGATAGCCTTGTGTTGTCTCGATTGCCGTATTAAGGATTTCCAGCAGCTCAATGGCCGCAATGTGGGTGTTATGGTCGCCATGGTTGTTGAGGACTGGATTTTGTACTTGAAGTGAGGTTCAATGCGACCAATCTGAAAAATTCTGCCGGTTTTGGGGTCACCGCCCCATGCCAAAATAATAATTATTATATGCGAGCACCCCAGACTCTTTAATGATAATGATTGATCACACCCCTCCAAATAGTGACCATTAACTTTCCACAAAGCTCTTTGAACTTTTCCTAAGGTCATTATGAGTGGAAAAGGTCTTTCCAAGGTCGTTCGTGGCAGCGAATGCTTGTTTAAACAAGCGCCACTGAATTCGCCTAGACAACAACGATCATTCACGAATTCTGCAGTATGTCAAAGAGTTGGTATGTGACAGCAAGGTGGGTAAATTATATTTTATATGCTGATTATGAAATAGGCTGTGTTCCATCTTTCAGACCAACCTCTTCTCCTGAGCTTGATGCCCTACTGTTAAAATACCGAAAGAACCTCTTCCTGCCCGCACACCTTGCAGAATACGACCAGCGGCTAGTATACAGCACTAGACATGCGCAATCACTTTTAAATGACCCCGTCAAAGTCGTGGTTGGTGGGGAGGAATTTGTCTTAGAACACATAGATCGTGTGAAAGATGTACCACACACCGTAAAAGGATTTAGAGAAGTCCTTAACCTCATGACGGAAAAGAAAGATTGGAACAATCTGCCACAACTGCTTGAGGGGCATCGTGATTGCAAAAGACAGATATCTTTGGCGTTATACTGCCAGACAATCCGACGAGCCGGTTTAGTAGGGCGAATGGATGCCATTATCGAGTCAGCAAGAAGAGTTCGCTATACAGGCTTTCGTTTGAAAGATGAGGAAATTGTCATGCAAGTCATGTATTGGATTTATTACAAAGCACAAGTCAGTGGTTTTGAAGAGCACGAAACGGAGCAGGCTCTTGCATGGGCAGAGAGCGTGGCAGATTTGCTCGAGGATTCTAGACATGCTGGAGATAAAGGACCATTACTTGTGGAGAAGGGGAACGATGTTCGGGCTCTTCCGGAAGTCATTGGCATATTACTCCAATTGGCTGCAGTTCGTGCCGTAAAACATACGGATGGGAAAGATTTGGATGGAAAGGTCGCAACTTATACTACGAGGCTTTTGGGAACGCCGTACGACTTAAGCACTGCTTTACTCAATATGAGAAGGCCTGAAGTACGGGTGTATTCGAAATCTGACGCCCTTAACTCAGAAATTACAAATCAAACCCACGCTGATGGCACACAACTTTCCACGGAAGAAATCCAGAAAAAGACTCTCAGAGCGAAGAACGGTTGGCTAGTAGCTGCAGTACCGGTGTTGCATGGGATGAAAACGGCATTGAGAGTGTTCGGCCCAGATACGACAGCTTCATTACGATTGAATGGGAACATACCTCGATTAGAAAAGCGGGTCAGTAGGTACGCAGCCGAGCTAAAGGAAGCTTCCGCGGGCAATCTGGGCTATAGAACGTATACCAACTTATTCGGCGAAATATAATCACGTGTTTCTCTTAATGATCGAATGGATAACTTTTGTATTTGTATATACTTGTACAATAAATTAAGGAAGCACAATATACTTCTCTAAATGTTTCGGAATTGCTCCAAGGAGTTTCTTCTCCGATAACCACTTCTTGGAGAACAATCGGTCGGCATACCTGTATGCGCCATCGCATAGTACTGTCACCACAGTGTGCCCCTTTCCGAGCTTTTCAGCTAGCTCCTTTGCAGCAGCAACATTCAAACACGAACTAGCTCCGAGGTACAATCCTTCCTCATCTAAACATCGGTAGACCATCTCGATACTCTTCTCATCACTGATGTGCATTGAGCCGTCTAGTAAATCAATGTCTGGTTTCAAGTTGTCTGTAACTCTGCCTTGTCCGATTCCCTCAGTGATACTGGAACCAGTTCTATCCACCAGCTTTCCACCTGATTGAATGTATGAATGTAAAACACTTCCCGGAGGATCCGCGAGATAACATTTGACTCTTCCATCGGACTTTGTCTTCAAGTAACGTGTGATTCCAGCCAAGGTACCTGCTGTTCCCGTAGCACAGGTGAAAGCATCCACTTTCCCATTGGTCTGATTCCATATCTCTGGGCCAGTAGTCTCAATGTGGGCGCGTCGATTCGCGATGTTATCGAATTGATTTGTCCAAACCGCATTCTCCAGTCTGTCTGCGTGTCGTTTTGCTTGATGGTTGTAATTTTGTGGATTGTCGAAAGCAACCGCTGGCACTGGATACACTTCGGCACCCAACAACCTCAGGAGGTCAATCTTTCCTTGAGATTGTGTATTTGGCATGTAAATAACGAGCTTATAGCCTTTAGACCTACAAACATGTGCAAGTCCAATTCCTGTATTCCCGGCCGTTCCTTCGACAACAGTTCCTCCAGGCTTCAGTAACCCTCTCTCTTCGGCGTCCTTTACGACATATAGAGCAGCTCGGTCCTTGATTGATCCTCCAGGATTCATGAACTCTGCCTTTCCTAATACTTCGCAGCCAGTCGCATCGGAAATATGGTTTAATCGGATCAATGGGGTGTTCCCAATTGCTATGAATTTTTTAGCTGATTCCTCATGCGCATAGAAACTGAGTCTCAAACGAACCTCCAGTTAAACCTTTAACCACACCCTGAGCTTTGGAAACTCCAATGCCGTACTGATTTGGGGCTTCCATCTGCGCGACATTCTCTGCAGCTCTTACGGCTGTAGTCGTAAAGCGTCGAACACCAAGTCGAAACATTTTAACAGCTTGGAGAAAGTGATTTTGACTAAGCTTTTGTTTACTCCGTGACTCTTTATCCGATTCTGTAAATGCTCGCACTGGCCCGATGTCGCCATAGTTTTTGTCCCGCAGGCGGGTCTTATCGCTTATCATTGATACCGGCTCATGACTAAGCAAGGGTAGGAAAGTAAACAATGAATGTCAACAAACATTTTAGCAGTCGAGTGAAGGATGAAAAAGATATCAACTTTCTAAAAGCGTTCATGCAATCTGCGACAATCCCTTTTCGACTTTCACTATAAACTCTGCACGAATACCACGACCACCTTTCATTTGACGTATAAAGAATCCACGATAACCATACGAAACATTTCACGAGAGAAAAGAAAGTTTATAATACCACTTCTGAACTTGAGAAAGCAAAATGCCAAGCAAAGTTTCAAGCAAAAGCTCGAGGACGTCGAATTCGGGAGCTCGCAAATCATCCACTGCAGAACCAAGTAGTCGCAGATCCGCTACTTCCAGGGTGACCGCGCCATATGTTGAAATTCCAGAAGAAACCCCAGACAACGAGTTGCGAACGCAAATTTCATCCATATTTAGAGATTCGCAGAGGAACACCGCATCACATAGAAAATTAGTTGTCAATTTGCGCAAGATACAAGAAGCATGCTGTTACGAACCCACTAACAAGAAGAGTAAAACTGGTGCGGAGGATTTTGACGAGGAAGAATTCACATATGAGTTCACAAGATGTGTTTTACGCGTGATGCCAATTAAAAAGAGTGAGAGTGTTGGAGAGAAGGCGATTCGATTCATTGGTTTATTCCTGAGGCATGCTAATGAGAAGGACAATGAATTGACTCCAGCAAATGAAGAGGAGGATGGAGTTTTGGTTGAGACACCAAGTACGAGGCTCACGAGTCACCTCATGTCGACTATATTACCTCTTTTGACGGCCAAAGAAAAATTCGTACGATTTAGATCTACACAGTTGATTTCACATATTATAAACTCCCTCGACTCAATTGACGACGATCTTTTTCAGCAACTCCGACATGGACTTTTGCGCAGAATTCACGATAAAGAAGCGATGGTGAGAGTGCAAGCTGTCTTAGGTCTAGGCAGATTAGCTGGGAATGAAGCAGAAGGGGATGCGGATGAGAGCGATGACGAATCCTCTGGAGGCTTACTTGTAAAACTATTAGCAGTCCTACAGAATGATCCCAGTGCCGATGTTCGAAGGTCCCTTTTAATAAATCTGCCAATATTACCCAATACGCTTCCATATTTGCTAGAGAGAGCCAGAGATCAAGATCCAGCAACTCGTCGGGCACTCTATTCCCGACTTTTACCAGCACTTGGAGATTTTCGACATTTGTCACTATCGATGCGTGAAAAGTTACTACGATGGGGTCTTCGCGATCGAGATGAAAACGTCCGCAAAGCTGCAGGCAGACTTTTCCGAGAACGTTGGATTGAAGATTGTATGGCTTCAGCGGCAGCAGAGACCGCGGAAGGCGAAGTTGTCGAAGAAAATAAGACACCAAACATGGAAGCACTGTTAGAGCTTCTTGAGAGAATTGATGTTGTTAATTCCGGGGTGGAAAACGGGGTTGCGCTAGAAGCTATGAAAGGCTTCTGGGAGGGACGACCCGACTTTCGAGATGCCGTTACATTTGATGATTACTTCTGGGACACTTTGTCGGCCGAGTCTGTATTCATGGCAAGAAGTTTCAATGATTTCTGTCGGAACGATGGAAATAGCAAGTATGAGGCTCTGATCGAGGAGAAAATGCCCGAGGTTACGAAACTCGCGTTTTACCTTCAGAGGTATACTGCAGTTCTGGTTGAGGCTTTAAAGAGAATTGCGACACAAGAGGAGATCACGGAGGACGTAGCAGAAGAGGAAGATACGGTGGAGCAAGAATTTATTGTCGAACAATTACTCCACATTGCTCGAAGTTTAGACTATTCAGATGAAGTTGGACGACGGAAAATGTTCACGCTTTTGAGACAACACCTTGCTATCCCTGATCTGCCTGAGGAAGTCACTAAATTAACCGTGGAGGTCCTTAGGGGGATTTGCGCTGCAACCCCTGCTGGTGAAAAGGAATTCTGTAGTGTTGTCCTCGAGGCCGTTGCCGATGTTCATGATACAGTCATGGATGAGCAAGATTTTGAGGATGCCGAGGAGAGTTTTCATTCTGCAAGATCTGGCGTCAGTGATGATGAAAAACCAACTAGAGGTAAGAAAAAGCCTCCGATGACAGAAGAAGAAGAGCAAGAAAAAGCGGTCCGCGAGATTATGGTTAACATGAAATGCTTGCACATTGTGCAATGCATGCTTGAAAATGTTGAAGGAAGTCTTAAAGAGAATGCGGATCTTGTAGCTATGCTCAACAATCTTGTTGTACCAGCTGTGCGCAGTCACGAAGCACCTGTTCGAGAACGTGGCCTCATCTGTATTGGCCTCTGTTCCCTTCTTGACAAATCTTTGGCTGAGGAGAACCTGGCGCTCTTCATACACTTCTTTAGCAAGGGTCACTCTGCTCTTCAAATCACTGCTTTGCAGATCTTGACCGATATGCTTAATCAGCATGGTGCTCAACTCCTGGAATCGAATCCAGCAATTTTGACAAAGGTCTATCTCAAGGCTTTGAAATCCGGTACCAAAGACCCCGAGGTTCAGGCGGCAGCTACCGTTGCTGTCGCTAAACTTTTGCTGGGACGTGTAATTACGGATGCATCATCTGCAATTGATGACCTCTTGAAGACATTGGTCGTCCTTTACTTCGATCCCAGCACAGCTCAAAATCAAGGTGTTCGTCAAACTTTAACCTATTTCCTACCGGCCTACTGTTATAGCAGAGCAGAAAATCAGGACAGAATGCGTGCAGTGGCGTTGGATGCAATGCACAAGCTGTTTGAAACTCAAGACGACGATGAGGACGCCGAGGCTGAAATGGTCGGCCTTGGGACGATCGGTGCCCATTTGGTAGATTGGACTGATCCCCGGAAATGCTATGTCCCTGGAAATCAAGTCAGTTTATCAGATGAAGCGCCTAAAAAGGCAGTCAACGGAGATGTTCATCTTGATTTTGCCATGGACATTCTGGAAAGATTGAATTCTTCTATGAGACGTAGGTTAAATCTTTTGACCCCCATTCGTATTGAATTTAGACTAACGCCTGAAACAGTGGAAGAAAAGAAAACCCTCACGCCTCTCCTCGCTAAACTCCACATCTCACCAGCCTCATCAGAGGACAAGCTTCGCGCGACATACGAAGAAATAAGCGAGGCCGTTGAGAACAAAAAATTAGGGCTTGACGCTACTGGTAGAAATGCCTTGTTCAAAATACATGTCACAATTGGCAAGATTGTAAATGCTCTTTCAGAAAAAGACGCGGGAGAGGAAACTGTGTTGAGAGGAGGAAGCGTGATGAGGGAAAGTGTAAGGGATGGGAGTGCCCCACCTGGTGCTAGTGTAGGGAGCAGCGGAAACAGAGCTGGCAGTCTTGGTGTGAAAAAGACTAGAGGCCCCGAAGTGATAATGGAGAGAATAATCAAAGTGGAGACCGTGAAGGAGGAAAAAAATGGAAAGGAAGAAGAAAATGATGAAAGCGAGGGAACAATCGTTGCTGAACAGGAGAGAACGATCGTTCCCTCTAACGAGGAGGAAACATTATTGGAGCAACAGTTGCAAGATAGTCTGGTGGAAAGTCTCCTAGATGATGATGGGGATATAGAGATGGGTATGTAAGCCTTGAGTGTATATGAGCAATGGTCGGCGTTTGGTTGGAATCAATGCGTCGGATTGACCAACGAATCTATGAATTTAATACCCTATTATTATTACAACTACCCATTCGATTCAGCCCATTGCTGAATATTTTTGTACATCAAAATTATTTTTGCATTGTGAAACATTGAATGTAGCCAGTGGTTGATCAATTGAGCTTCACAGATTTGCGGCCCACAATGAGCTTTACCTCTGGGTTGACACTAACTCGTGGTGACCCTCCCTCCTGCCTTGCTGCAAAAATCTTAACGATTCCACAAAATATTAAGAGTTTTGCCGGGCTTGAGTGGCACTGGCTCTCCTAACTACACTCTAAGTACATTCATTATCATTCCCGATCTATCCAGATGACTAATCTTTAAACAATTCTTTCTCCTCAAACGTCTATATTGCAATGATAACCTCCCTTCCTTGATAATTCCAAGGAAGACCACAAGATTGCTGGCTGTTCATGCCATAAACTAAAATTCTACGCGCTTGCCTGCTTCATTGATAATATTATTTCAATGGATCTATCATGCAATCAAAGCAAAACTTTCAAAGTTCTTATAATTTCGACTTCGTCTCTGCATCTTTCGTCCATAATCCATCCCATTCTACCTTGTGCTCTAAATGTTCTTTCTTAGTCGGTACCCGCACTTTATGATGTTCACACGTGCAATAAACTATCGATCCATCTAGACTAGTCATGCTCCCTCGGAGCATTGCCATTGTTTTCCCGTATTGGATTACTTCGGTGTAGATACGAACTGTGGTTCCTGGGATTGTTAATATGAGGTATTCTTGCTATGGTATTGAATATTGATATATGACATGAATGAACATACCGATAGGAACAGCTCTTAAGTAGCTTAAATTAAGTGTTCTCGTTACACCACCAAGGAAACTGTGTTCATTATGATTAGCATATAGAGTCCAAAACGCGGAAATGAAACTTACTCCCATGATCCGGGTTTGGCGACTGGTCCTAGTGCAATTGTAGTGCACATGTCGAATATTACGGCACCGGCTCCCCCGTGCATCACGTTGTTGATATTGGCATATTGCTCATCAATGAGAAATTCGAATGTTACGGTTCCTGAGGTGGTGGCATCGACAACCTTGATATTGTTCATGACATGCGAGTCGAATCCTTTGAGATTTTGGGATTGAGTGATTAAGCGGTATCTTGTGGTTGTTAGATTTTGATATGTGAAGAATTATAGGAATGAGAAATTATAGTACAATAAAGGAAGAAGGGGGACTGAGGAAAAGAGGTTTTATGGAATATAACATTCTCGATACAAGGCGTGTTGAAATGCTAGATGGGAAACCTCCTTGCGGCATAGGCAAAAGAATCATGGATGGGAATAGAGGAAGCAAAACTACCATAAAACAAAAGTGTGAGTATTGTACAGATTGCCTTAAACACTGCATTATACCCCGCTTAGAGCATACAAATATAAGAATAAATGAGAATGAGATATGGAGAGTAGTACCTTTCAAAAATAGCCTCAACCCCCTTCAGAGCCTCTTCCCGTGACTTCGCCATGTTGTCCAGATATCCCGCTCTTTTCCTTCTATGCTAACCAATTAACCTAAAGGGGATCGGAGTATAGCTGCATGAAGGATGTGAAATGAGATAAGACTAGGTAAGACGTTGACTTCTTCACAACAAACTTGTAGCTCGAATCCAAACCGACATCAAGCAAACGTTGTTAACGTTATGAGAGATTCTTGCCGAGGTTCGTTCGGATCGTGAGATGACTGGTGGACCGTGAGATTTTGTGGGGTAATCATTTGGTTTCCTTCGGAAATTATGTAATCAAGGGGCTGGGGAGACGACTTCTCATTTTAGGGTGTTGGATTCCTCGATGACCGGTTCAGACATATGTCGTACTCGATTTCTAGGGAAAGAGACTTGATTAAGTCTGGCTTATGGTGTCGATTGGATTCTTCCCATCACCAGTTCACTCAAGTAGACGCCTATTCGTACCAGATTGCGCGCCAGTCCTCAAGGAGATACATAAGTCAACGCGAATAAAAGAATAAAAAACCATCAGCTCGTAGAAAATGTCACAGAACCGCTGGAATTACTCGAGGAGCAGCTCCTCAACCGGCCTGACTAGCACCAGCACACTCCGGTGAATTTTGTCAACTGTGTAACTCAAGATATCAAAAGAAATACCATAACAACAAGACTAATTTCATGATGGTAGCCCAGAAATGAAGAGCTATTAGTTCTCAAAATTCCACGCCTTTGATCAAAGGCCAATATTTCCATGTCTTTTTCATACTCACGACAACCTTCTCTCTAATATATCCAAGTAAGCGAAGGCAATTCACCCTTCGTCGACATTGCTACTTCCTGGTGGATAGATTGGTAGAATATGGAGATATGTCCCATAGTGAAAGCATCTGGAAGTCTCGATAGTAAGGGCCCAGATAGTTGGAGAAAACTTATTATAGCTTCAGTAGGGTTGGATCACTTTCTCTTACATTCTACCTCTCGATTGAGAATGGTTCTGGCCTCGATGGGAGTTTATTTGTGTGCGAATTCAGTATTCTGGAGTTATCGGACAATTTGAATAATTTTTGCGAACATAGGAAAATTTGAGGTATGGAGAGAATGTTAGCGGTACCAAATTATTTTTTCGAGGACTTAGATATCAGAAAACTATTAGGAAATTCTTGTAGGTATGCAACAAAAAAAATATGGGCGGGAGAGAAATGGATGATTCTTCCCCTCTGAAACAACATTCTTGAGTAACCATCAAAAGTCTTCAGCCCATTGTTATAGATTGTCTCTCAAAGATTATTACTTCAATGACCTCGGGAAAATGAGGTAGTCTAGAACTCTGGTGTTTAAATCCTCTTCGACCCGTTTCAAACTGTCTCAAGAATCTTGTATTCAAGGCTCAGGACAGCTTCTGGTAAGTTGAGAAGCTGCACAACGCGCACCCAGTTTGATTTTCTTTGAATGGTATATAGAAACTTCCATCCCTTAACTCAAAACACCAAATTGTCGGGTAAAATATGCAACAAAAGGTGAATAGTCATGAGTTTTATGCGTACATAGGTAGCCTTTGATGTTGATTTCCCAGTCAAAATACAACAACCTTTTCAGATATGTCAAAAATAATAAATGCGAATTACTTCATTCCGAATCACATAATTAGTTAAATCCTGAAATATTATAATAAAGCTAGAGAAATATCCAAGCAAAAACGAAAAAATTTCTTCATTTTGCGGCGCATACCTAGCCAGATATCTAAATAAAGAGACGATTTCATGACGTGCAAATTACCATTCATACATTCACCAGCGTCTTCTAGATTTTGTTTCATCTCTAATTCCGCTCCTGTTATGATAGGTTGATTCTATTGAGGATTGTCATTTATTTTGATGAGTAATTAGGTAATTATAGAAAGCTAGTTTAGCGAAAAGAAATATCCCACGATCTACGGTCATGACAACAGACAGAAACTTGTACAATTAACCGATGACTTTTTATACAGAGAAACAATAAAGTCCTCCCCTCCCCGCCCCGGCATCTCCTCTCCAAAGAAAATAATAAAATCCAAATACTCAATGAATAATTCCCAGCTACGTTGAACAAAAGACTTACCACTCACTTACCAGTTCTTAAAAAATTACTTTTAATTAGGCTTCTATTTGGAAATCAAAAATTATGAGAACAATCGGAAGTTTTGGGTGATAGTACCTAATTACATGGAAATAGAAAGTGAGTCGTATGCATAGCGTGGTACAATGTCGTTTACGCAAGAAAGGGAAGTCGTTGTTGAAGAGGCAGGAAACAATGCCATCTTAGGTAGGTAGGTAGCGTAAGGTTTTTAAGAACCCGTACCTATCGCCGTGGATGTACGGTCTCGCGGAATTGAATGTAAACAAATTGTCTGAAGAATGACCAACGAAAGATTTGTTGGTACTCTAGTTCATAGATGGATAATACCGTGAGCGATTTTGTTTCAATCACGTGCCAGCCATAATCAAGTCGCGTTTCAGTCATTGTTCAGGGGTCCAAAATCTTAGCTAGTGTCCGTCCAATACAGCTGTTCATGGATTGTTCATCATGTTTGAAACACAATGACTGATGAAGTATATAATGGAGCAATTCCTCACTCTTTTTCATACTCCACAATTCAATCATCCTTGACTGTCTTAAGCAACAACACTTTAAGAAGCAAAGACACCGAGTTAGCATCGTCAATAGATATTTTCAGGATACTATTAGATCTCAACTCAAGCTCACACAACAAAAAGCACATCAAACAGCCATGTCTTTCACAGATTTTCCCAGTTTCTCGGAACTCCCCACGGAAATCAGACTTCTAATCTGGCGGGACGCTGCGTATCAAGCTCTCAACCCTCCTCGGGCCATCGTCCAGGATCCCGCAGTGCGGCCCAGAGATATCACACTTCTCGAGACCAATCCGGAAGCTTGTGAAGAAGCCCTCCTTCGAAAAGATCTAAGGACTTTCCGTCGTTCAACTCCGGGCGAGCAGGGTGTAAACGATTCTTCTCCCTCTTGGGATTGGTTCAGCATGAAAACGGGCATTTTTCGTCATTGGAATCAGCCATCGCATTCCAAAAGGACTTTATGGTAATGAACCTCTCAGAAATGCTGTCCAAGCTATCGCGATTTCGTCAGACATGCTGCACAACTACTTTTTGAAGAAATGGAAAGCACAATTTTGGACTTGGTATGGAATGATTGACTATCCTGCGTTAAGAACTGCGGTATTCCTCCGCGATGACATGGAGCAGGAATCAATGCCCCACAAAGAACTCGTCCAGTTCACTTCCTATCGGCCCCACACTGGTGATTTGAGAATTGCCGTTGATCCTAGCCCAATCTCACAACTGGAATTGGATGAAATGGAACTCACTGCAGACTGGTTAGATGATCTCGTCACCAGAACGCGGGAAAAGCGACCAAGCTGGCAGTTGCCTGAATTCAGATGGGGGTGCGTGGTTCGACATTGAGCTTGATATTATTGACCGGGCATCAACGAACACACACGCCTAGAGCGTAGGATTGAACTTCATTTGAACATTTGTAGTTGATTTACTTTAAGACTAAAAGCACTTCAAATAACAAAAAAAAAACCCCAAAAAACCAAAAACTCTTCCCAAAAAGATTAAAATTCGGAGTTGGCGTTAAGTTTGGCATAAAGCTAAAGTTTGAACATGACGTTAAGTACCTAGTAGTCCTAGACTTAACTTTGATATATAAAAAGCCCTAAATTGCGAAAAGAAATAATACTGTGTAAAAACCTCAAAATGTGATGAAAGTAATGAGTGAATGCTGTAATTGAAGATCAGGTTAATGAGTCCTCAAGAAGTCAAATCGGGAATGCTATGCACGGACGGCCCTACGATATAAGCTTGATTTGATAAGTTCATAAGAGGGTTGGGGAAAGGTAATGGGATAGAAATGTAGACCTCCACAGTGATGTGATGAAGTTTGCTTATTTTGAGTAGTAAGTAAGGTGGTACCTGACATAAATAGCCGTTTAGTTGTTCTTCAATCGGAAAATTCCCACTGTCATGAGCACAATTTTAGCTCGCATCGCTCATGAAAATCTTGATTGATACCCATATAAATTTGCAGCGCTTAATCTCGCAGCGCAGTGACTAATGTGCGTTAATGAAAAACAGGGGCATCTTTATGTGGCATGAAAGTTTTACTTATTACTTACTCCCTTTGAAATCGAAATTAAGCAGAAAAGCATGATGCAAGTAAACCAAAACTGCTTGTGGGAGCAACATTGAAACTGTCACTGGTAGATCTTGCTTCAGTGTCACTTTGTATTGGATTCAGGGGTTTGAGCATGATAAAAGTCTTTTGCGACATCCCATCAAAAGCGTAAAAGAGTGGTAATGCAATTGGAGATGAGAGTTTCGTGATAACATTGAGTGTCAAGACACATGTACATTCCTCAGTCAACACTAATTGATGGGCATCATCTGTCTGGTCAGACGCGGAAACAAACATATAAGATTACAAGTTTTGGCCCCGCGTAGGCTCAATTATCGTAATCTAACGTGGCTTTCTTTCGATGTTTGCTTGCTTAGTTGCTTGATGGTTGGTTCTATCTTGATATAAAAATAGCCGGTGAGAACAAAGGGACTTTGGAATCGTGTATGACGGGACAAGAAGCCTTGCTTGAAGGCGCCGTTTGAAGCTGCATTGTACTAATTAAAAATGTATATTAAGAACAAGATCAATTGATTGATTGACTGATCAAAGATCTAAAGTGCCAAGTGCTAAGTGCTTTCATAATCAATAGATCCATGTACTAGCCATCTACGGCGTAGTAGGTACCTACTACCTAGTAAGTACATTGACCTTTTGAATGCCCCGGATTCTATGTATGCAAGATATCGATGTTGACTTCACAAGTGGGGAGGACAAGGCTTCTGTTGTGATTGTTGTTGGAATTCTCCCTTGCAGCAAACAGTCACAGTCACATTGACAAGGCCTGATGATGTCTATAATTAGGAACAAAGAGTTTGTTTGTTTGTTTGCTTGCTTGCTTGCTTGCTTTAACAATCTTTAGGGATAAATTGAAGGTTTTTGGGGTCGGAAGACAATACATTACAATGCACTTCATCACTTCCCAGTGTGGATCTCAACGGATGAAAGGGAAAGTTTAGATGGTGATCCGTTGGACATGAAACAGTTATAGACCCTATAAAAAGTAGCAAACAAATTACAATGTCATCGAGATGATTTCTACCAATTTTAGTCGTACTTTTACATAGATGAGTGACAATCACATCACAACTTATTTAACCATCTACCATCCAACGGTTGGGTAAGGTACCTAGATAGATCTGTGGTTACATTTGTCCTTGTCTGTACCTGTTCCTGCGAATGTGATGCCAAGGAGATATAATGATAGTGAATTCCCCTATTTCTGTTGAGGAAATAGAACCGATCTTACAGACTTTATCTACTGATCTTTTATCTAATTTAATAATTTATCATTGTTCTTATTTATTATTGTCATCATCTATCCAAACCCTTTAAACTTTTCTCTTTAATCTTTCCTCAAGTTTTAAATAAGAATTTCTTCCCCACCAGTCCCAGTCCAGTGCATCAGCAAATAGAACGATCATCATCCTTTCAGGCTCTTTGATTCGCTACTAGCGGTTTCTCCAGGCTTAAATCAATCCCCGAACAAGGAATCCACAGGAAATCCCTGCTAATTTACAGCTCCTCCACCAAAAGATTAAACGGAAATCCTGCCTTTTAAATAATCACCTCCTTTCGAAGGGGTGATTATTTCTTCTTCTTAATTGTCAAACTGGCGAACTTCATCATGAAATGGTTTCGAAGAAAGAAGAAGTCATCAAAGGAACTATCAGATAAACCAACACTCGTACGAAGCTATACAAATCGAGCAGACCGAGGCAGATATGCAGGGCCTTATGCAACCCCGCGTGGATCAAGCATAACCAAGCTTCCCGATAAACTTCTCGAACGTATCTTCATCCTCGTATGTCCTCATTCTCAAGATGAAACTTACGAGACATGCGAACAATCTTCGCTCGATGATTGTTGCCCATTATGCGATACGAGAGATTTGGCACATTGCGCGCAAGTTTCAAGGAGATGGAGGAATACGGCCGTTCGGGTTTTGTTAGTATCCAACATTTCGTGCAAAGTGTTCAATTGAGCTAACCAATCATCGCGCAGATATCATAGTGTTCGGATTGATGCCGTCCATTTCTGTGAACTCGAAGAGATATTATCGGAAAAGAGAAAACATAAAGGTCGATTCAATCGCAATGCGGAACCAGAGGAAACGCCCACCGTGAGGTTGCAACTTCTTTGCAGAACGATTCGCGATAATAGATCGTTGGGAGAATTGATCGAATTCCTCAAAACACCATACATGACCAGAGGAGCCTGTAAAGCCGATCTTGCGCGAAGTGTTTCGGTCTGTCCCAATATCCGATACCTTGATCTTCCCGATGGTTTATTCGCAGATGATCCTTCCTGTCACACACTCAAACTCGAAATTCAAGCGCGATGTCCAGATCTGCGAAAGATGACATATATGACAGGCTCTGAGAGAAGTCTTGAACAATTGGCAACGGGTCAGGTTTGGAGAAATTTGGAGGTATTGGAATTCACAAGGCTTAATATGGATCCTACAATCATTCGCCGTGCTTTGGGGACGTTAACTGGGCTACGTGCTTTGAAAGTTACTGACACGAAGACTTTTAATGATGAGGTTTTTCAGCACAGTGATTACCTACCACCATTTCCAGCTTTCACCGAATTGGTCTTCGAAAACACACCTAATGTCACTGCCGACGGCTTGGAGGCATACCTATTCCGAACAGACACCCAACAGAGACTCGCGAGTCTCTCATTGACAGAAACAGGTATCCATCCTCCAACCTTGCATAGGATTGTCGACAACGCTCCCGTATTGACATTTTTGTCAATTGTTGAATCGGTCCAAGCATCCTTCCCAGCCCTTCAAAATATCCCACCACTTACCTCGATTTCTCTGCACACTTTGCACTACGAAATCACATCATCATCCTCAAATGCCCCCAAGAGCATTGTACAAAGTCATTACTCATATCTTACCACCTCCCTAATTTCCAATCGACTTCCTGCGCTTCGAGCTCTTTACGTCCGCGATTCCGATTTCCCAGAATCTCTGATTGATCTCGCACCTCCAGCCCCGGCATATGCGTCCGATCCAGATAATTTCGTACCACCTAATCCCTTCGATCGTAACTCTATTGCATCTTTTGCACAGCCTAATAACAATCGATTCAGCTCCAACAACCCTTTTGCAGCTCAGGCCAACATGGCCCCAATGATGCCGACTGGACTGGGACTCAAACAGGAACTGGAGGTTTACAGTAAGGGTCTAGATGAAATGGAATGGAATTTCGCCAAAGTTCAACCACCATCTGCACCTGGTAGAAGAGGTTCTGCAACAACAGCAAGGCCGATAAGTGGATTTGGGCTCGGTGATAGTATGGGTAAATCATGGGCTCCAGGTCACGGCGCAAGAAGAAGTGTCATTGTCGGAAATGGATTTGGTGGTTTCCTCGCCGTACCTGCGGATGAAGCTCCCAGACCCAGCAGCTCAGCTGGTGAAAAGAAGATACATTCCAGGAAAAACAGCAGCCAAGATTTATGGCGGTGATTGTTCAGACATATCGTTGGACCGATCTCAATTTGATGCTTTACCTTTTTGGGTCATTTCTATGAATCTTACCTGGACTTTTGTTCAATTATGGAAAATTCTGGTCCGGTAGTACATTTTCCTTTGGTTCTTTTTTTTCAAATGAGTGGGAATTTCACAAACATCTTCACTTTATGAGGATGTATGGAGTACACCAGGACATATTCGTGAATATTACTTTACTGCTTTACCTTGCGTGCTTGGAGCGTTTGTGTTTAATACCCCGAGGGCTCTTATGGTTTATGAATTGAGAACGGGGGACAAGAATAAGAATGGATAGTAGGGATAGTTGATAGTATGCTTAGGGGATGGAATGGTTGTTGCAGATGATAGGATACCATAGGATAATTAGTAGATAGCGAAATATAAATAAGATTTCTACTATAGCCAATAGTAACTACCATATTCAATGGGTAGTACTAATCGTACTAGTAGTACTAGGAAGATAAAGTTAATATATTCCGAAATTGGCAAGGAATATTTTCAATTGTTCACGCGTTGTTGTATTCTTTTTATTTTATATTGATTGCATTTATTTATATTTATATATACTCCGTCTAGACAGCCATATTTAAAAACCTCAAACCTCAAACCTCAAAACCCAAATCAAATATCTCAAATCCTTCCTTCCTTCCTCCCTTCCTATGCTTGCTTTTTTATATAGATTTATATTTGTCATGTATATCCAGTTAATTAGTTTACGAATTGATGTAAGCTTTTACATAATACTGTGTATTATAAAATTATGTAAGACCATTATTAGATATTATATCCCCTCGGGAAATTTAAAGGAAGAGATTGTATTGGATTGTGTATTTTTATATATGTATATAGTTTAGCTAGTCTCCATTTGAATTTTCCATGGCTGCTTTGCTTGGAGTAAGAGTAAGAGTAAGAGTATTTATCTTGGAGGTTTTGTGTATGTGGATATAGATAGATAGAGAGGGGAGGGGGGAAGATGTATATTGTAATTTTAATTGTGATAGTATTGGTATTGGTCCGTTTTCTTTTTCTTTTTCTTTTTCTTTTTCTTTTTCTTTTTCTTTTTCTTTTTCTTTTTCTTTTTCTTTTTCTTTTTCTTTTTCTTTTTCTTTTTCTTTTTCTTTTTCTTTTTCTTTTTCTTTTTCTTTTTCTTTTTCTTTTTCTTTTTCTTTTTCTTTTTCTTTTTCTTTTTCTTTTTCTTTTTCTGTTGTTATTAATCTTTAGTTGGTGGGAAAGTGGGAAGGTGCTGGGAGTTTCTTAAAGAGGAAGAGGAAGGGATCTCGGTTGTTTTTATATCGTTGGGGGGGGGGGCAAGGGGAGTGTGGAATAGAAGAGTCGGATAATATTTTTGGGTTGGGGAATTTTTGGGTTTGAAGATTTGCATGTTTATAGTGAGTTGTGATATGATGGTTTTGATGGTTTTGATGTCTTGCTTTTGACGTTGGGAATTTTTCCTGCTTTAACCTTTTGAGCATGTAATTTTATGTATTTCTGTTACTTTTAAAAGGCTTGTTTTTGCGCTGTGGTGAATTGGTGTAATGACCACTCTGGGAGATTCTTTTGCAAAGCAAAGAAATCTGTGTCAATAAAAGCCTGCTGTTATTCTATGCGGTCGTGTTAATAGATCGAGCATATGTGGATATATTTCCTATCGTCAGCGCGCTTCATAACCCTGTTCCCATCTCATCAAACCATTCTTCTACCAAAGAGAACCTTGTTGATAATACAAACCGCCTGGCGAGCTTGATCATTCATATCCTCTTATACTTTTCATAATGCAACCGTTCTCGTTAAAAAAAATCAAAATCGGAATGTCTAAGATAATTAAAGCGTGTTTATTCAATTATTTCTTTTCTATTCACATTAGTAACTGATGAGGATTCCTTTACTGTATGCTCAAGAATAGAGTCATCATTTTACTTCGCGCTTCGTGGGGTTTTCGTTTGCGCTGAGTTTGGGTAGTATATATATATATATTTTCAAGATTCTGGGAAGTAATTAACTTGGGGTTCCCGGAATGCGAAATTCACGGAGCTCAGGGCTGAGATGTGATTTGTGAGATTATTTCTGGTGTGTATTGATAAAACGTTTTGTAGTATATATTTCTTTGTGTTGAGTGGCTGTGACGAAGTTATTCAGTCGGTTAGTTACAGGAAAGTTATAAAAAGAAAAAAAAACCAGGAAGAAGCAAGAAGAAACAAGTGGATAAAAAGATTAGCAGTGATGAGACCGGGGTTTTAACGAGTGGAGACTTTTTAGAGCGTTGATTTTCTTTAGAGTTGAGTTATAGTTTTGTGTGTGCTTCTTTGATCTTGAAAGTCGTTGATATGGAAGTGCTTATTTGATTCTCAATTTCTAATATTTTGGATTACCTGTCTTATACTCTGGCCCTTGTAACGCAGACAAGACAGATGGGGCCATCTGTCTTAATTCTTGGTTGGCAGCAGAATCGGAAAGCTTGTCTTCAATAAAGTTGATTGTAACCACTGCGTTATCCAACGCTGACGAATGCTTAAGGCAGCAGAATCAGTAATATGAAGTACCTCGTCGGGTATCAAGGAAACTTTGGTGCGAGGGGTGATAGATCTCTGTAGCAAGGGACGGACGACTGTCTATACCTAGTTTTTGAATGGAATTGGTTTTTTTTATTGTCAGATCGAAGATTGCAGACATATTGAGTATCTTTTTATTTGAGCTGGACCCCTTTTTAGAAATATCTGCTGCGAAAAGCTTCTATCTCTAGTTGAGCACATGGGGATCTTGGCTATATTTTGTGTGATTTTCTGCGTGATCGGGATGGTTCCCATATTTAGTCTCCTGTCAATCTTGAGATTGAGGTCTTGAATGATCATGTATACATAATAATCATTATATTTCTCTAGAAGATAATATTTGTGCTTATCTTCTGAATTTTGCTATTTTGCTATAGTCTTCGGGTTTATGGTAGTAAATAAGAATGAATATAGGAGGCTTTATTTGCGGAGATGTGCCATCTGCGTTAAATTGTCATCTTATGCCGGAAATCCAGATGTGATAAGTTTGAGTACAAGATGATACGTATTTGGCATTCGGAATCTAGATGTTTATCTATGACCCATGTATTGGTTCTATCTGGGACATACTCACAAACATGGCGAGTGTATTCACTGGGGATACATAAAAATGTTGAGAGGCAGTTTTCTTAGGTGCCGCTTAGCCAAAAAATAGATGGAAGGAAAAGTTTCGCTATCTGTTTCCGAAATGCAGAATATGATCAAGGAAACATTTACGGTGCCTTTATTTTCCAATGAACTTTAGTTTAACTCAGGATATATCGGATATAAGTTCATTCCCCGTAATCTGCGTTCAAATTTTGTGATTTTGTTCTATATATACCTAAGTAGTGTAGATACCCCCGTACGAAGTATATACAAAGCATATCCGAATTAGTGTAGTGTTAACATAACTCAATTCTATAAAGCTTGATGGTTTGGGATGAGATTCAAAAAATTTCAAACCTACGAAGTTTTAGATTGAGGAGCCCCAGGTTCGACTTCTGGATTCAGAACTTTTTTTTGGTTTTTTGTTTTTACACTTTTTATTTAAAGAGGGCTGATTACTATTTTTTGAATGTTGAATGCAAAGTTGATTAAGTGAGTATGTACTCATACATGATTACTTTTTTTTCACAGCATCCATGGTAAAACTAAAAGCTAGAGGGCTCTAAGAAACAAGCTACTCCAGATCCTTCGCCTAATTCAGCTAGACAAGTGTGGTTTTTTTACCGAGCCCCTTATTAGCGCTGCGGCTCTTGGCGAACCTAATATGACATGTATCCAAGCAAACAGACTGGAAATTTGGCATCAAAAGTCTCCAATTGCAAGTATGAAGTCGTCGTATAAAATAAATTGTTTATTAAGAGCTTATTGAATTTTTCTGTCGCTTTTTCGAAGTTCTAGTGCCGATGTTGGCTTTCTTTGATAATGTTCCGCAAGATGATAATTTTATCGATTGTGGTACTCCACTGTAAGATGCAACAACGGGGAGGAGGGGCCTTCTATGCTAGTATACTCAAATCAAGATTAGATGGTCCCAATTAAAGTTAATCCCTTGATCGAAAGAGCCGATTTTTCTCCAATGCGCTTGTCCATCTTGTACCTTCTTCTAGATTGGTGGAGGTGGATTCTCAGCTATTAGTTTTGTGGAAACTTTAAGGGTCTTTTTGAGACTAATTTCCCTCTTTCGACAAAACTTCATTGAGGGATGTTCAAAAGACGGAATCATAACCTTTTCATTGCTCTGCCACGATAAAATTTGACCAAGCACGAAGAGCTGCTGGTGTAACATGGAAAATGTTTAGTAGTTCAAGTGTCTAATATTATATCGACATCAGAGGCTCATTTATATTGTATAAAGTAGAATCTTACAATAATGATGTCCATCATCTTATAGTCTCCTCGCAACTACCTTTTATCCATACCTGATATGTGCCTGCCTGATATATGATTTTACTGTATGACTGCTTGAATCTGCCTAATTCATGTGTACCTGCCCAATTTGTATGTTATCATTGCCACAAGATCAATCATCCACCATGTAATATCAGGTGCCCAATATCACTCAAATAGTCGTTGTAACTAGGACAGCATGTCTTTTATTGAGTTTTTAAGTCGTATACTTGATCTGATCAGATATACAGATTTAGAAGAAAGACAACGAAAGTATGAGGGAAGGTGGTGGAAAGCTGGCCGTAATGGTTAGTTTGAGGTTTCCTTGGAAGTAGGGGAGCTGGTCTCCCTTTTTTTTTGCCTTTATTCTTCCTCTTCCATTTGAAGAGTGCGGGAATTGTAAATCTTATACACATTTCTTCACTGCATCAATGATTAATAACTATTAATTCAACTTTCGGTAAATTTTGCCATTTTTGAGGGTAGTCTAGAGAGGTTCAGTACCATCGAGGAATGGTATATAAACAGTAACAAAGTTGTATGTACACCCTTCGAGGAATTTAGGTGGTGGAGTTGGCCGTGGTGGCTAGCTTGTGGTTTCCTCAAATAAGGGGGGGTAACTTCCCAAATTTTTTTGGGTTTTGTCGATCTAAAACTATCAAGAAATAGGTTTATATATTGAGGCAAAGTTGCATATACACCCTTCGAGGAATTTAGGTGGTGGAAAGTTGGCCGTGGTGGCTAGCTTGTGGTTTCCTCAATGAAGGCGGGGTAACTTCCCAATTTTTTGCTTTATCCCCTATCCATTTGAGGAGACGTTGCCACTGTTCAGAGTTTTCTGGCCGGGCTCAATGCCTAACTGACTCTACGTTGCTAGGTTTGAATATTTTTATAGCTTTTGAGTTGATCATGAATATAAGAAGATATCATTTCATCAATTTGGTTGTAGTAACCATTAAACAATAATCATTTATTTTTCATGGTCAAATAGAATTTTGTAACTGCTAACTTCGAGAGTACTTTCCTTGTCTGTACGGGGAAGGTGCCATGTCTGTTCAGCCAGCATCCTCAATACCTCCATTCTGTATCTATTACCCTCAGGTACTATTTAGTATTTAAATTTGCTACAGTTTAAGCTATTTCTTTTTGCATCCTTAAGCTTCAACCCATTATATTCATGGACAAATTGTGTTGAAACTCTAGCCCTTATATGGGGAAACACAATTATTATCTGATTCTTCCACATTTTGATCATTCCAGTACCCTAGAATATCTCAGCAAACGGCCTATCCACCAATGAAAGTCTAACTAACTTCTCCCACCTTCCCACACCACTAAAAGTACCCTCATTACAAATGCTCTTTTAACTTGGATATCTATTTCTATCCTTTAGCAATGGGGAATTTCGGGTAACCCTAGGTTCGACCCCTGGATTAAGAAATATTTTGCATATTTTATGTCTTTTAATTTTGTAGAGTACTTCTTTGGAAATAGCTTTAATGGGGTGGGGAGAAGGCGGGGGAATGTTTTAGGAAATGGGATAAGTTTGCTAAGGGGAGTAGTTTTCATGAAGTATTATATCGATAGATGTAAAGTCAATTTTGGAGCTTCAGCTCACTTTCAAAATCTGGGATATACTAGTCTAGCAAGCTTTATCAAATGTATAGGATGGAAGAATGATCTACAATGAACACCACATGCCCAGAGATGCCCAGCCGGCTCCAAGCACCACACAGCTGACTCGAAGTATTCGAGTATAATCAGTGGTAGAGATAGCCCCAATTATTTCACGGATTTGACCATTCATGTGCATTACACACTCGAATGGAATCCGCTTCCCCCGCTTTTGACTTTACTTCACACTTAGAGCGTCTTCAAGCGGGTCCTGGTCTGAATAGAAATCGACGTGATTTGGAATAACTTATTGTCCTTCTGCGCCCTTAAAAAAGGAATCCCTCCCTTGTCTTGCTGTAAAATTTCCTCTTCATCGGACTTCGAAAAACCTCACCGAACAACCTCATCGACGAAAGACACTGTTCAACATGCCTTTCTACTTGAGTATCGCAAGGCGTAGAGAGATGTTTGCGGCCATCATGAAGGAAGAAGAGGGTAAGTATCTCTCACACAAAAACATCCCATTAACCCAACCATCTAATACTAACAAGTACACGGTAGAAGCAACGGCGAACTGGGAAGCATTTGCCCAGTTACCACTTGCAGCTGTCACGGAGGCAGAGTGGAGAATCGAGGGAAGAGACGAGATTACTCCAACCGCTGAGTACTACTCGTCTCTTACCAGGGAGGATCGTGTCCAGATGTACGAAGATTTGCTCCTCACCTCGGAGCCAGATTTTTAGACATATACACATGGATAGATGGATGTTGGGTATGGAAGGATATGTATGGGGCAAATTGTTATTATCAGATAACCATGTAACCATATAGTCATACAATACAACCAACTTTTTCTCGCTATTTTGCTCTTTTTCTCTTAATATGTACATCGCCTCATTTATAAGGTGATGAATTTTCGCTGTTGAAGAGTATAACCCTAAAGCTAATTCTAAGCTACTCCTAGCCCCTTCACTCGCTTAGTTCCGACCCCACACTACCCCATACTTTACCCCATACACCATCTAACCAAGTTCCTGAATTACCCCTTTTATGAGGCCACATGCTATAGGATTAATTTCTAGACTGATTCTAGTCCTCAAATCCCCATATCTCCCTCTTCATCTCGAGCAGACTTTTCCCCCGGGTTTTGAAGCCGATTAACCATGACGTACTAAAATTATCGTAGTCATACTATACTAAACTAGGCTGAAAAATAGTTTAATGCTAGTAACGCGAAATGTATCCAGTTTGTTAATTTTTGCTTTAGAAAGGTGTCCAGTTCGTTAGTTTCTGCTTGAGAAAAAACAAGAACGTAGAAAATATCAATAACCATACACCGGCGCAGATGAAAAGCAGCTTTGGCATATATCATATGGAACCTTCACGAAGGAGGCTAAATAAGTTATTATGGGGATAAAGGTTTAAATTCGCAGTGCATGTGCCCTGGTCCGTTAGTCACGAAATCTAGATTGGAAGTAGATGACGATAGGATCTTTACTCCTTTGTAATTCCCTGAATATTTTTCCCTCTCTTGCATTGTGCTTTTTCCCCTTCTTGGACAACTTCCTTTCGTCCTCAACACGTAGGATTATATTGAAATCTATCAGTAGCATTTCGATAAAGTGGAGGAAAACTTTGTGACACACAGTCACCTAAACTCCCATTTCCTTTCTCATTCTCAATCTCATTCTCAATCTCATTCTCAATCTCATTCTCAATCTCATTCTCAATCTCATTATCAGACCTACTTCCCTTAACAGAACCTCCTCCACTATTCACGCCAGCATAAGGTTTTTTGTTTTTTTTTAGCTCCTCCACCATCTGCGTCATTGATTCCAGTTCCCGATGTCTTATTTCCTCCTTTCATGACTCGATTTTGCATTCCATTTGTTTCTTCCGAATAGTCTCGCTTGCGGCTGTGGTTAAGGTAGCTGTGGGAGAAAGCAGTGGTCTCGATATTGGTGCTGCTGCTCGAGCTAAAGGAGAGATTATGGTGAGGGCATTCTTGGACCTGCCGCTAGAAGAGTGATGAACTTGACGTTAGAGGCGCTGAATGCGGTTGGATGAAGTTTATCGGTTGCAGAGCCCATGAGAATAAAGGTAGCAGTCGGACGAAGGTGTTCACGGGCGCGGTAGAAATGTCGGAGAACTGGGCTGGAGAAGCAGAAACGAGGAAGAGGGCGGGTGCGCTGAAGGTCTTGGTGAAGTGCATTTTGATCGCTCGGTTTGAGAATCTCTGAATGAATGAAGGTATTGTTAACTTGAATTGCGTATGAAAGAGACAGATAAATCGAGAAAAGAATTATTCGGATCTGAATGCGAGCACTGAAATGAGGTATGTGTAAGTCTGACGAGTGTTTCAAGTATGAAAATGAGGATAATACTAAAATCACATAGAAACTAAAATTAACTGACGAGAGAACATGAATCCGAAAGGGAAAGACTTCGAATATACAATCCTACATTCCCCTCCCACACACTGCATGTAAAATTCGATGAATTTGCAACCATGACTGGAATATTTGCTCAATAACTAACGGCGGCGATATATAGAAGATCAATCCTTCTCCTTCCTCTTTCGTCCACCTCTACCTATCTCACTGCGAATCGACCGACTGACAGACTGACAATAATGGATGCTATGCGCTCGCTCGAAGGAGATACCATATAGGCAACGAATAGCACGGGATTCCATGAAGGAAAGCGAGGAACTTAATATGAATTCGCAAAGTATTGAAGGGATGAAACTTAAAAAAAAAACTGAAAGTTCCTCTAACAAACTTATAAACTCAATATACCATATCATTTTGAGGAAAAGGCCACCTCATCAACGAAGAATAAACAAAACCAGATCTTACAAACAAAAGCGAAAGGGAAAGCGAGAAACAAAAAAAAACATCGAAGGAAAGAAGGAAAGAAACCTGAAGGAAATAAATAACACCCGATAGATTCAAACGGACGATCACACCCACTTTATCCAAAACCCCAAAAGATAAAACCTTAAATCGGGCATTTCAAAATTATATAACCAACCATAAACCTAATTTCGATTAGTCGGTCGCCAGCTCCTGAGGATACTGACGTTATGTCTAGAGAGTAAGTTTTCTTTTGATAACGTGTAGAATCTTGAGACTATAGATTTATCTGACAAAAAAGAACCTTGCGAAATATAACCCCTTTCCTTTACAACCGAGTCCACAATTGAACTCTACACGATTTTCGCATGCCATTTCACTCATTTAATTCACTCTCCAAACCACTTCTCATCCATTCACTTTAGAGAGCTTCTAATACTCATCGCTTGGCTCGCACTACGAGCACGCTCAATTACCGTATGTTGTCCCATGAGCACGTTCAATTACCGTATGTTGTACCGATGACTTCACCATTTATTCATTATGCCATCGCTCCACAAACTAGCTCAGAAAGCGAAGAAGCTAACAGCATGATTCTTACCTATTAATCGTTTTTCTCGCTGATTACAAGCAAACTAACTAATCATGCTCTATTGACACGAATTCAAAAGTTTTCATTGCGATGAGGGCGGGTACTAATGTGCTCCAGGAAAAGGTGTGGAGTGCGTACATTGAAAAAGCCACCATAGATTCTCAGTATCTGGATGGGGCTCAAAACCAATTTTTGGCAGTATTATCCTCGAACTGAGCCATGCGAGGGATGGTGAAGCACTGTCGCATGTCGGCTAGAGCCTCTTTACCCCGAACTGAAATCCCATAAATACCATCGGCTGTTTTGTGAAACATGACATCAACGCATAGGATATATGGCTACTGAGTATAGCATGGTGCCTTGGAGCAAGGTACTTGTAATGATATCAACTGGTTGTTAATGCCCGTTTGGGTGGCCTCCACGTGCACCAGACAACCGAGATGCACTTTTGCAGCAACACGATCTTAAATGTCCTAGGGTAAATCACCATCAATATAGATATGGCTTGAATCGAGTAACCCGGGCTTCTGTGGCAGTTGCCATCAAACAAGTGTAGAAGAAAATGAAACAAAACATGTATGTGCTAACTCGGTGATCATGGAAGACACGAGAATTGCTACATCGGCCGGCGATTTCTTAAGAGCATTCGTGGCTTGCGGATGCGTTGAAATAGGAGACGCCAGTAGGGCAACAACATCACTCCCATAGGGAATAACACCAAGTAATAGTTGGGCAAAAAGGGCTCTTTAACCAAAGATTGAACTTCGTTCCCGTATTCAACTTGGAGCAACTCATATGGAATGATGGAAACGTCACTATCAGCCATCCGCGCTTCAAAAACATATCCCGAATTCAAGGAATTTTACCGCGTGTTTCAGGGGCATTGGAATTCAATATCTGGGTGCATGATTCAGGTGTCCAAATAAGAGACTTTGGTAATTCGTAGCCTCGGGTGTGTGTCTAGTAAAGGCAAAGTAGGCATGGAACTTCAAATCATTGCATACGAGGCCTATATGACGATAAAAGTGGCTATTCACGGATCCTCAAAGGTACTTAACACAAAACAGATACTGCTTGGCAAGAAGCTCTCAGACTAATGGCACCATCAAGTGCGCGTAGTGGTTGCACAGCATCCAGAATAATACCGGGCAGGTGGTGGGATAGAGCCCAATGTAATTATTGTCCGGCATTGCAGGTGATCAGGTAAGGCCAAATGTACAGTTGGGATATTGCGGAAGACGTCAAACAAATCTAAGAATATATAGTGGTCAGCGCACAAACGAGCAGCAGAGAATATAGAAAGGAATAATATACAAACTATATAACTAACACTTGCTACGGCAAGAACTAAAGCTGAGTAGCGCATGTCGCTTGTGCCGACATAAGCCAAGAGCTCAGGATTAGTACCATGTTTAGCGGGCCCCAAAGCTGTTCTACCAGCAACGAAGCCAGGTCGCTCGTGACCTTAGATAACAATACCCAGCTAATAGCTGTTACACTGACTTCGCTCACCCATTCAACATGCATGGCGTTCGTGTCCCACGCCAATCGCTCGACGATATCTGGTGCCAGAACGTTTTACCATTGCGCAACGTGTTCCATCGCAATAGTGCAAAGTTGAGTTGACAATATAATGCTTGGTGGAAGGAGTTGAAAGGATAGTTAAAGGGATGTTGAAACAGAAAGCAATACTGCTTATCGCTGAATAGGTGACTCGACTTCGAAGCAGTAAATTTCGACACAAGCAACGTGATTATATGATTGAATGCTACCTGGTATTAGCAAGTTCAATGTGATCAAAGCATTTTTTGAAGATGAGACAAGAGATAATGAATTCTTTCGGGTGGTTGCGAGGTGGTGCAGAAGCGAAGAAGTAAAAGCTTTTGCTTTGCATCAATCCTACTCTTGGATTTCATCCACCAAACTCTGCTCACTCAGATAAGCTTTTTGATGAGGTACTGTGCCAAGTACCCGGAGAAAATCCAAGTGATACTTTACACTGGAGTCCTCAGTACTGCTTTCGTGCAGTTGACCTTGCCGGTGTTGGATAGCCAACAGTCATAGGCTCAAAATGATGTTCGACTATTCCTTTCTGTTAGAAGATAATGTAGAGTCTCCTGATAAACCATATGAGTGGAGCGATGTGGTTACCCAGTTCAATTCGGTACCATCTCGTGAAGGTAGGCGATGTCTGCAGGATTCTCATTTGTGAGATAGCTTGTGGTGAATCCGTTGCCCGCATTTATTCGGTATATCTACCTCGGCGACCTTGTTTTGCTTCACGCTTCGAATTTGCGAGAATAGGAGTATATATGGATCACGTTCTGGCGCTAGTCCCCCTTATTCTGACGGAGATATCGGCGTTAAGTCAAAAGTGTGGGTTTTGAAGAATTCAAGCTGTCAACCTGTCAGGAAGATGAAGGAGGATGTTGATGCACGATCGTCTTTAATTTCATTGAGGTTCGTAATATATGGTAGTGGTAGTGGTAGTTGGTAGTACTTGCCGTCAATATGAGTCATCGGGGTCCGGTAATCAAGTACGCCGCGCAACACCAAATTGATGCCTTGAGAGAATGAGTCTTGGGGGAAGTGGAAATCATGCTCTATTTTGAGCAATATATTATGTTGAGAGTGGCGATCAAGGAATAATTATCAGATAGATGATTTAGCAACATCAAAACTAAGGTTGAGGTCACCTACGAAATATAGAACCGGACGGTAAATACGCTATTCAAGCACAACGTTAACACACAACAGCCAAACACAAACACAAACACAACAATTCCATCTTAATAAAACGCTTATCACCTTTTATTAACCTTATCCAGAACTGCATTCGGCTGATCCCGCTAGCCCGCTCAAGCCAAGACCTTTTGGCGGGGATCTCAAGTTCCAGCCTTATGCCTTTTATTCTTTTATTCCATAGCTTGTCACTATCAACTATTATGATTCGACAATCTACAGAGTAATTACTTATCGACAACCTTCTCATTCATCTCTTACAATATTTCGTCGCAAAAATTTGCAGAGTTTTCTGATGGATTTCATTATTCATTAATTGAAATTTCTCTCGAAGCGCATATTTTGATCGTTGAAATCAAAACAATAAACTAACTGAGTGGTGATACTTTTCATCATCCTGTATTACCTAGGTCCATTTCTAGTATCAAAAGACTTGATACATTTTATTCACCCTTGTGAGTACCTAGTTTGGCAGCCCAGAAACTCCCACACTTTTGAAGCAGTTGCTGACTGCGTATGCAGAATATGCCATTGTATATTGAGATCATATACAGTGCATGACATAACACATTTCCCAACTCTCCGCGTCGTTCTCTCGAAAAATCAGAATATATGACGATTCGGTCGTCAGACTCCCCGAAAGACCATAATAAATATCTCGAATCTTGAATTTCGAATCTGCAGGAACGGTTTCAGGTAATTTTTGTTATTGGTTTGCGCTTTATTGGTTGGCCCGTTCCAGATTAAGTGGGAAATATCATCGAAGCTATTCCTGGACATTCGGCCTTCGCGCTATCGACCCGTCGTCTCTCTCTGGAACATCAGTAATACTTGTTGTTGCTCCTAAACTGAGAGGTTTTGTCACTGCTGTGGGTGGTTGGTATCAGTATTCGGGAAACTTCCCTGGGTAATTTGGGGCCAACTTTGAATACGCCATAGGGTCCGGTATATCATTGGCCGGAGGAATTATCTGTGGAGGCTTGGATTCAAGGAAGAAGATACATTGGAATTTGCCCTCCTAAACTTTGACGAGAAGGGAAACCTGAGTTGCTTTACCTCCATCGTAAGTCATCAAGAGACAAACCAAATTCTTGAAAGGGGATCATCAATTTACATATGGGATTCTTAGCGCAGTCAAACACTGTCCAGCGAACGTAAGGCTATTTGTCATCTGTATCTATAGTTCTACCTCCGCTCCCTGTTTCCAATAGGCCCTGTCCCTTCTTTCCTCTAACGAGATTTGGGCTGCTTCACCTATTCAACTAGGGGTTGATCGTCCGGGTGCGAGCCGCATCGCTTCCTCGTACCACCCATTTCATAGGCCACTTCGAGCGAGAAGGCTTACACCGAGTCTCTGGAGGTTTTGAAATTGATAAGATACCAAATATTTGGCCCAGATCACTCCTGTGGGCTTTTAAGTAAATCAGAACCTTGGCCTGTCCTATTTTATTTGTCTTCACAAATCAATAATAATTTATCATCATGACTCCTACGCCCCCTTCCACTACCTCCTCAAGCGCCGGAGCTCAATCTCCAGAAGGCCAATATCGGGTGGTAAGAAAGAGAAACAGGATTCCTCTCTCATGTGGGCCTTGCCGACACAGGAAGTGAGTCATTTGCGTTCTATTCTGTCAGCACCTTGCCTCTCTGGCACAATTATACTAATCTTACGAATAGGTTGAAGTGTAACCGGTCGCATCCATGTGAGAATTGTACGAGGAGAGGTGATGCTTCCTCGTGCTCATATGCTGCACCGGGCACACGAAAAAAGAATCAAACTCAAGGCTCAACCAGTCCTGATGACATGCAAAATCGTATTGACCGTTTAGAAGGTTTAGTCTTATCCTTGATGACAAATGGTGCTTCATCTGCAGGCCCAGCAGCCGCCACTGCTGCCATTAACCGTTCTCACAGCGAAAGTGTCGGTTCATCTTTTCCTCCTGACATAGAACAAGACGACGATGACATGATCAAAGAAGAAGGTGATGAGGATAGCGATGTAGATGGCGTCGCTAACTCATTGGGCATCATGAAGGTTGACCCTGATAAAGGAAAAACAACATATCTAGGAGATTCGCACTGGCATCTGGTCTTAAAAGATGTATGTTATAAACCCCGGTTTCCTTGTCGATGCATGATTCTGTCACCATGAACGCTTTGGTTTAATACAAATCTTCAAGTTGCTAGAGCGGCCTCGCGGGTCGATTATTTGAGAGACACCTTTAGGCAATGGTCAATCTTTTGAGCCATTTTTGAACCTTCGTCTTTCATTCTTAAGCCTCAGATGTTATTTGGATTAGAAGTCGTTACTAATCGGTGGAAAAGATCGCAGAAGTCAAATCCTATTTCAGTAGTCATAAAAAAGAACTCGAAAAGAATTACGAGAAAATCAAATCTTCAAACCCTCCTGTCAATGATGATACCGCATTTCTAATCGGTGCACATTCGCCAGCTACGGACGATGAGCTTCGAAAAGCACTTCCTCCCAGATCTGAGGTTGATAAAATCATCACGAGGTCCGTATATAGCCATTTTAGAGGAACAGAGTGCTAACTAACCGTTTACTAGATATTTGCACACTTACGACCCGTCTATACACATTATACACGCTCCGACTTTCCATAAGGAGCTGCAGGCCCACTGGCAAGATCCCGCGAAGACCTCGATTGTATGGCTAGGCCTTTTATATTCAATTCTCTGTTTAGCCATGCAATCATACCAAAAGATCGGGGATGAACCACCGGAATGGAAAGGTAGGGAGCTCTCGTTTAGTTCTTCTCTTTTCCTCGACTTTCTTGTTCAAAACTTTCCATCATGGCGCTAACATTTTCACTAGGTCGTACTCTCGAGGTAGCTAGTGAATTCAGGCAGCGCACGGTCCAGTGTCTTGTCAATTCCGATTATACCAAGTCATCACTTTACACGATTGAAACATTGATTCTATACGTACACGGTGAATATGCGAGCCGATGGGATTCTGAAGTAGGCCTTTGGGTCATAATAGGCATGATCACTCGATTATCAATGCGGATGGGTTATCATCGAGATCCAAGCAACTTTGCAGGTATCTCTGTCTTCCATGGCGAGATGCGTCGTCGAATTTGGGGATTTGTGCGCGCCATGGACACGATGTTTTCCTTCCAGTTGGCCCTTCCGAGTATGATCCGTGATAGCGACTGTGATACAAAACCTCCTCGCAACATATTTGAGGATGAGTTTGGTCCGGATTCGAAGACATTACCACCCGAGAGACCGAAGACTGAGCCTACCCCTATATCTTACATGCTCTCCAAAATCAACATAACAAATGAACTGAACTGCATAATGGAGGAAATACAAAGTGTTAATCCTAAAGGCATTGCATATGATGATGTTCTCGCGCGCGATAATAAATTGTGGGAATTAAAACGGAACCTTGCTCCTCACCTTCGACTCCAGCCCTTGGAAGAATGTACACATGATTCTGCGACGCTCTTGATGCAGAGGTTCAATGTGGACATTCTTTGGCAGAAAACTATGTGTGTCCTTCATCGCAAGTACATTGCACGTGCGAGACAGAATTCTCGCTATGATCATTCCCGTCGAGCCTGTGTCAATGCTGCCATGGAAATCCTTCGCCATCAACACAAAATCCATCTGGAATCCAAACCTGGGGGACGATTGCGTTCGATGAGTTGGGCGGTTTCACCCCTTACCAAACACGATTATTTACTCGCTGCAATGATAGTCTGCTTAGAGCTTCATTATGGGAGTATTTGTCCGCCGGACAGACATTTCTGGAAAAAAGAAGAACTTGCCGATATGCTCAAGGCTGTTGAAACCTCTCAAAGTATTTGGAGTGAGACGATGGAGGAATCGATGGAGGCATTTAAAGCATGCAAAACTTTGAATATTATTCTTGAGAAGATGAAAGCTTGTAGGGAACCAGCGGCCATTGCTTGTGCCACACCAATGAGTACAGTCGACGCTTTTTCACAATTCGATGATGAGAACCTCAGACCCGAGCAATCAGCAGCTATGACTTTGGGTATGCTTTCTGGTGGTCTATCACCAAACTCAGCAGCTATGTTCAACAACGTGGGCCAGGCATCAGCAGGATATTCGAACATGGACCTGAATATGGGTGATTCAAGTGGAAGTGGTCTCACTCCGTACGCACTCGATAATAATGTTAACCCCTTTGCCACCATGAACGGCGGCGCATCCCCATTCTCCATGTTCGGCAACACCGGTAATGCTCCTGGAATGATGGATCTACCGGCGAATGTTGACTGGGTAAGTTTATCTCCCGATATAACTCTTGTGTCCAAACCTTACGCTAGGGTGGAATGCTGATCGAATTATAGGAACAATGGGATCATTTTATCGGAAATTCAAATGTAATCGATCCATCATTTCAGTTCTACCCACCGAATCTAGACACTTCACCACCGGGCGGGGACGGTCAAGGACAAGGACAACAACAGGACCCGTCAAATCCATACGTAGGTCCTTTTATGGGTGCAAATACTCCTGGTAGATGAATGAACAATATTCGAATAAAATGATTGGTAGCGTCGATGTGGTTATACACGATTATGAAAGGGAGCAATAGCGTTATTTTAAAATACCACATGGGTTTGGACTGTCCGGCATTTCTGCGGATCTGGGAGTTGCGATGGGAAAACTCTCCACGAAATTCAAAATTTTTTAAAAGTTCACTGTTTTTTCTTTTTATGCGTGACGAATGGTTTACTGTGTTGTGATGTATGAGCAATGCCAGGTTCGTTCCTCTCAAATTGTTTCTCTTTAATTCATCCCTAAGCAATTCGTCCTTTGGTAGTAGTTCGTCTCTCGTCTCTCTATGGAAGCTTGGTTTTCTGTGGAGTGTTTTCCGCTATTGTTTGGTGGGGCCCTTTGGGGTGGGGTTTGAGGGGCTACAGGGAGAGGGGTGAGCTTGATTTGTATACTTGAGATTGTTGATTAAAGTTTATTTTGATGAATAAATGCAATAAAAACGATGCGTGAAGCGAGAGCGGGTTTAGGTAAAGTAAAGGCTCGAGAGATGTGAATGTGGTTGTAAGGGGAATGAGTTGAATTGGTGGTTGCATTGATATATATATAATGATTGGTTAACGTGGTTTATCAGCGAGCGGGCCATATCACCGAGCGGGCCACTTTTACCTCAATTTATATCTTTCAACTTCAATACGCGATTTATCAACAAAATATTATGGAATCGAATAATCAAGAAGGTCGAATACTTTTAGCTATCGAAGCTATCAATAAAGACCAAAAATTAAGCATTCGGAAGGTTGCTAAGCTATATAATATCCCGCGTACAAAGATTCAGCGCAGAATGGACAGTACTACCCCTCGTATCGAATCTCGAGCAAATGGTCATAATTTGACCAAATTAGAAGAGGAAGTGCTTATCCAGTATATAATCGATATGGATGAGAGAGGGTTTGCACCTAAATTAAATGGTGTAGAAGATATGGCGAATTATATCCTCGAATCGCGGGGTGCGAAGAAGGTTGGAAAGCTCTGGGCTCATCGCTTTGTTAAACGATGTCCAGAATTAAAGACGCGTTTTAATCGCGTTTATGATTTTCAAAGAGCTCTCTGCGAAGATCCCAAGCTTATTGAAGAGTGGTTTAGATTGGTATCGAATATGCGGGCGAAATATGGTATTGTCGATTCCGATTTCTACAATTTCGACGAAACCGGCTTCATGATGGGTATAATATGCCCTGGAATGGTTGTAACTAGTGCTGAACGAAATGGCAGAAGCAAGGCAATACAACCAGGCAATCGAGAGTGGGCTACAGCAATTATATGTGGCAATGGAGAGGGTGAAACTATACCTCCATTTCTGGTAGTTCAAGGACAAGTTCATCTTTCCAATTGGTATACCGAAACCGATTTTCCTGCGGATTGGGCTATTAAACCTACTTCCAATGGATGGACGAATAATGAGACAGGCCTAGAATGGTTAAAGCATTTCGATAAACATACTATTCGTCAAAGAAAGGGCAAATATCGAATGCTAGTATTGGATGGGCACGAAAGCCACGAATCAATACCTTTTCAATCATATTGCAAATCAAATGATATTATATGCCTCAAATTACCACCATATTCAAGTCATTTAACTCAACCACTTGATGTTGGATGTTTCGGTGTACTTAAACGTTCATATAGTTCTCAAATTGAGGAGTTTATCAAGGCACATATCAATCATATCACTAAAGTTGAATTCTTTATAGCTTTCAAAGCTGCATATCAACAATCATTTACTATTCAGAATATGAAAGCTGGTTTTCGAGGAGCAGGTCTAATACCATTCGATCCTCAATCTATACTTTCAAAACTAGATATTAGGATTCGTACTTCTACCCCTCCATCTACCTCCTTGGAACTTACCAACTCCTGGATCTCTCAAACCCCTCATAATCCAACTGAGGCTCTCTTACAATCAACTCTAGTAAAAGCTCGAATAACTCGTCATCGATCAAGCTCTCCTACACCTATATTTGAGACTGTACAAGCTTTAGTTAAAGGTACAGAGAGATTAGCACATGAAGTTACACTTTTGAGTGCTGAGAATCGTATGCTTCGAAGAGCAAATGAGGTATTAAGTAAACGTCGACGCGCTAAAAAAATTCAACTACGTAATGGAGGAGTACTTACTGGACAAGAAGCTGAAGATATATTATCACAACAAGAGGTTGATAATCAGATTCAACGCGACGAGCGTCAAAATGGGGGAAATTTTAATAGGGAATCATCTACTAGTCGATGCTGTAGTAAGTGTGGAAAGACTGGTCATAATTCAAGAACTTGTCAGAATAGTATAATAGATCCTAGATTATTAGATTCTTGATAGTTTCAATCAATTGATTTAATTGTTGTTAAATAATATGGGTTTGAAATGATAAATTGAGGTAAAAGTGGCCCGCTCGGTGATATGGCCCGCTCGCTGATAAACCACGTTAGGTATTCGTTAATTACCCACAGCTTAAGATTTCCCATCTGCGAATCCCCATCTCTGTGTAGGTAGGTAGGTAGGTAGGTAGGTAGGTAGGTAGAAATTCGTGCTCACTATAAATGACCATCTTCTTCGACTTATAAGGTCAAGCAACTAGGATTTGAAAATGTCGGATTGTATTGTCTCGATGGGATGTGTTACGAGGTTTGCCGTCTAGATCACGTGGAAGTGCTCTAGGCTCTCGAAGTAGGTTTATAACTAGGCGTCAAGCAGGGACTTAAAGTAATGACAATAATGATATGCAATTCGTAACTAATAGTAGAGTATACTAAATGATTGATCTTGAGCACGAAGCTCTACAATAAGGAAACTCTTTCCAGTTATATAGACCTTCGTACTATACATCCCACTAACCTCTATCGTCCCATCAAGGTGGGAATATTTCCCACCATAGTGGGATTCCTACACTTGGTGGGAATCCTTGATCACATGCTTTCGATCAGATTCGATGTCTATGCTTGCTTAGGGTGGGGAGACCATATAAGTCAATTGCCATATAGTTTTATATGTGAATCTACTTGCTTTTCCACATGGTCCAAGCTCGTATGGACAGATCAGCTGTTACTTCGTAACATGTTTGTTGTCACACTCAAGAATACTGGGTAAAGTATCTTGTATTAGAAAATACTAAGCTAAGGAGAAAAGAAGAAGGAAAACAAGAGTAGAGATTGATTGATTGATTGATTGATTGATTGTGTTTATCGTCATAGGCCGTAGGCCGCGTGTGCCTTGGCACGTGACAACCTTAGCCATCTATTCCAGTTTTGGACAAATGACGCTCAGAGGAGAAGCCTCTGAGTAGTTTACTAACTAGCTAGGGAGAATATTTATATACAATTTAAAGGGGCTAGGGCAGGGTTTACATGATTGCCTTCGCAGGGGGGGGTTGGGCTGGTAGGCCTTTTGGGGTTGTAATTGTAGTCATCCTCGTCCACTAGATCACTACCTCTTGATCTCTCTCCCTGTCTCCTCGTACTTGTTTTGGTTGTTTGTGTATATACTCGCTTTTTTTTATAAAAAAAAGAAGAAGAGAAGTGAGAGAAAGGAAAGAGAGGAAGGAAAAGCACCCTTAGAAACCTCTTAACTCCGTTTGAATCCAATGAAAGAAAGAAAGTTCTTTTTTTATATTTTTTTTTATCTTGCATCTGTGTGCCACAGGCAGATTTCTGTGTAGAATTTGGTGTATTCTAGCCATTCGGCTAGTTTGGCTATATCGATGGGATTGCTTAGAAGCCAGGGGATGATTTTGGAAGGGGGGGCTCTTTGTAAGCGCTTTGAAAGCTTTCCCTTTTTTACAAAAGAAAAAGTGTAGTAAAGCTTTCCTTTTACTATATAAGCAATGGGTATAGGCTGTAATATAATTGAAGTGTTGTTGACCTCCTGGGATCTTGGCAGCATATGCATATATAGTACATATGCATATAAGGAGCAAACAAAACTCAACTTTTAATTCATTCTTTCCTTTTTGGTATACTGTTTGTTTGCTTTCAATATTTTGATTTCAAAGCACTTTAATTCCGAAGGCCGAATACCCAACCTATTCCTTCATTTTTTGAATATATGCTCGCAGCTTAACTGCTTAGCTAGAGAATAAGTCAATTCAATCTGATACTCTTTCTGGTCTTAAGAAACCCAACAAGTGTTTATGGTATATTGCTAAGTTTTCATATTGTGATCTGATAACGAGAATATAGTGGAATATAGTTCTCTTTAAAGAAAAAGTATCTGTATTAGAAGTATAATTGAATTGGAGATCTTTGTAGTATTGTAGTCTGATTGTATTCTATAATTGTTTGTTTGCTTTATTGGCTCTTATTCTGATCATTCTTTTTAGGGATGCTAGCATACAGATTGGATTGAGGGGAAAGAGAAGTTTTTATTCCTTTCTTGATGGTTTTATCAGCTATTTTGTTGTTAAGGATATCCACGGTGTCCTAGGACTTATCGGATGAAGATTTTCCTGGGGGAGGTGTGTGGGAGCCTTGGTTTGACAGCTTAAGCTTGTGTAAGCTTTAGAAAGTCTTCAAAGACTCTTTGTAAGGAACCATTGAAATAAGATCCTAATCGGAGAGCAACCTTGTAGTTATCTAAGAAGATCCAGAGACCTGTGGCCAGTTTGGTTGATGCTAGAGTGAGGGCTTTTGATGCCCTTGCTACTGCGGCTATAATTTCTGTATCGAATACTTCTATGTTTGTACTTAATGAGAAAAAGTGGTATGCTATCTGAATATCGAATTATGAGATTATGAAACCACCTTCAGTTGCACCATCCTTGTTTTCGTTTTTTAAGCTGTTCGAGAAGATCTGTATATCGCTTCTTGGTATCTTGGTATAGAAGGTTTTGAAGTCCTCGGTTGCTTATGCTTTCGTTCTATTTATTGGGCTATTGATACAAGCCTCAGCCTCTGCCCTCGACTCTCTGATTTCCCAGGGTAAGGAGGCTAAAGGGTTTATATGTTCAGTCTCTGGTAATGCTGTGATAAGCCTTGCGAATCTTGTATCTAGGATGCAGTTCTGTTCTTTGGCTTTGGTTATATTCTCTACTTTGATTCTGAGAGGATAGTAGAGGTCTAATCTGATGATTCGTATTGTGTATAATTGTGAGATCTGGTTTAGCTCGATCTCAGATGGTCTGAGTTTAGCTTCTTTGTAGAGTACTATTGTGTTTGTAGTTTTGTATACTAGGAGGATTGCTTTTGTATAGGTAATTACTACTTTATTGAGTAGGTTTATATAGTTATCCATTATATTCGAGATCGAGATCGGTTTGTTTAAAGCATTTTTCTTTAATCTGGTTTGGTCCAGCCACCAAGTTTCTGAGGCGAAATAGTATTGTTTGAGTATATAGGCTTTAGCCACTTTTTTGGTGAGATATAGAGGTATCCCTTAATTTATATTGTTGAAGGATCTTAATATATTAGCTTCTTTAAGGGCTTTGATTGTAAGGATCTGAACATATAATTTGAAGCATAATTTCTTGTCGAAGTGGACTCCGAGCCATCTGAGCGGGCTAGGTTTGACCTTTATGTTTATAGATTCAGTATATATTGCAGGGGTATTAATTAATATTCGATATTCTTTGTAGAAGTATATAAACTCAGATTTCTTGGGATCAAAGGTAATGCTTTCAGTTTTTCCTTATTCAAGGGTTTCTTGTATATTTATTTGTAGAAAGTTATAGTTTGTGTGTGAACGAAGTGAATGACTTCAATTCAATTACTACTGTAATAAAGAACTAAGCGAACGCGAAAGAGACTAGCTCTTTTAGTAAGTCTATATAAGACTTACTACTTCCAATATGTAGCTAGCTCTTTAGACAGAATACAATTAGACATACAGGACCTACGTAATCCGTGGGTGCTACGTCTTCCGTATCCTTCTCGTACCAACAGTTTGTCTATAATAAGTCTGATGTCGCTGGTATCGCGATATCGTCTGCATATCCGAATCTGCTTTGTGGTTTGCCTATCCAGAAGAGAGACGCGATGTAGAGTATGAATAGGATCGGGGAGATCGGTGAGCCTTGAGGAAGACTGCATTCTAGCTTTGTTTCCGGGCTAATCTCGCCGTCTAGTCGGATCTTGATGGATCGATTAGTGGCGAAGGACTGAACCCATCTAACCAGGTTGTTTGGCCATCCTTGTTCCCGAAGGCGGTTTATTAGTCTTTTTAATAGCATTGTATCAAAAGTATCTTTTATATCTATTGTGAGCAGGGTGATCTTTAATTCTTGTTTTAGGGATATTTCAATATTATATATAATGCAAGTAGTGAGGTCTATTGAGGATTGCAAAAATAGAGCTCCAAACTATTAATTCGCTAGAACTTGGTAGTTTAGAGTAAGCTATAATACCTTCTTCGCAATGAGTCTTTCGAGGCCTTTGTTTAGGATTGAGAGCAAGGCAATTGGTCGGTATGATCTTGGATTGGTGTAATCTGGCTTGTTGGGTTTAGGGATGATTACGATGGTGGTTAATCGGAAGCATTTTGGGTAGTGTCTTAGATGTAGATAATCTTTGAAAAAGAGTAGGATTACTTCTCTTATTTGTGGCCATACGATCTGTAGGATTTTTGTTGGGATTTCGTCTATGTTAGATGCTGTATTCCCTGCTTTTAAAACAACTAGTTCTATATCTTGTATAGCTATATCAGGGAAGGTGATAGATCTGCTTGGGGCTGTAGGGGTATCGAACGGGATATCGTCAACCTCGGCTAGGTTTGTCAGTAGGTTATTGGCGAGGGTTTCCCTTTTCTCTTCGATAGTGTTTGCAATGGTCTGTTTTGATAGGTCTGCTAGAGGTGGGGTTCGATATATGCCTGTGGATTGATGCCATTTGGCTATTCGATATACATCGTTTATATCCTTTACTTTATCTACTTTCATGATATAGAAGATGTGTTTTGCTTTCCGGACTGTCTTTCGGAGAGAGCGTTTGGATATAGGAGTCTTAGTGGTCCTGTGATCGTGAGCGGCTTTCGTACAATCCTCGTTCCACCAGGGTTGTTGAAGGAGGCTTTTTGTAGATCTCTTTGCAGTGCTTATATAGGCTTTTATCAGTGCTTGTGTGAGAGACTCTGCTAATTGATCTAGCTCTCCGATGGAGGGTGCTTCGAGATCGATCTTAATGCAGGTTAAATTGATTCTTAGTAGGTCTTTGAAGAGTGTTTTGTTTAATGTATCCACTCTGAGTTTTTGTATGGGTTTTGTGCTTCGGTAGTTCCAATAGAGTTGAGTTTTTAGTGTAAAGTGATCTGAGGTGCAATCTAGATGTTCAGTGAGAGAAGTATATGCTGTGTAGGGCCCTGAAAGGAAGGTGAGGTCTAGGACGTTCCCTTTTGTATGAGTAGGGATCCCGATTGGGGAGATGAGGTGTAGGTTTCGGGAGTTAAATCATTCCACAAAGGATTCAGCTAGCACTGAAGGGGAGGGGTGTAGAGGGTTCCAGTTGGGGTGATGGAGGTTGAGATCACCTAATAGGATAGCGTTTGTTGGGAATCTCTGTAGTTCGAAAATTGAAGTGATGGCTTGATTGCCGTCTGCACATTGTATTGGAGCATTATATATATTTATGATAGTAAATATCGAGTTGTTTGTAGAGAGTAATTATATAAAGATTAGGTCTCGTGAGATTATAGGCCTAATTTGATTGATTCGTATTCCGATTCCTTTTCTGATGTAGATCAGAACCTGGGGAGTGTCTTTTCAGTCATCTATTGGAGTGAAGATTTCGTAGGAGGGGTGTGTTTTGGTGATTTTTCTTGAGGTATCTTTGTATATATATGGCTCCTGGATCGTGATGATATCAATTTGATCTATGTTTGCCAGATTAAGGGCGAGATCATGTGAGATCCCTCCCTTACCTATATTAGTTTGGGTTATCGTAAGCGGTTTACAGTTCATTAAATGGGATGGGGGTTGGGTTGGCGATTGCTGTAAATCGATTAGCGGAGCGGGTGCTGAAGAGGGTTGTGGAGTGGGTGGAGCCGAATAGGCGGGTGGGGGTTCTTGGCCTAAGTTGGTCCGAGGGGGAGGGAGGGGTAGGGGAGTCGGCCATTTGTGCATCGGATGATGGCTTTGAGCATCCAGCCTTTACACAAACAGAGTTTCTGTTTTCGAGGTATATCTTCCGGATTGTCTGGCGTTCTGATTTTGATTTCCTTTCTCTCCCTTGTGGGCGAAGGGGGCATTTGGGGTCATCTGCGGGGTGGGGGCCGTTGCAGTGAAGGCATTTGGGTGGGCATATGTGTTCAGTGCCATAACTGGTAGTATGATTGCTCTCTGTATGCTTTCCCGAACTGTATAGGGCGGCAGATTTGTGATTTGAGGCATGTTCTTGCGTTGTGCCATTGAAAGCAACGATTGCATTGAGTGATCTTTGGGTTTTTGTACTGAGGAGGGATGTGCTGATGTTGGCCCCTAGAATCTTCAGGTTCTTTTTGAGTGGTTCTGCTCCTGTCTTGGAGGCTTACTATCCATGTTGAGTAA